CCCCCCCCCCCCCCCCCCCCCCCCCAGATGGCATACAAAAAGCGCCTATCCACCCGGTCTTGAGACAGAACATGGATAGCGATAAGGACCACGAGTTCATCACCCCGGCCTTGCTTTTGGCAAGCGCGCTTTTGGACATTCCGACCACACTGAATTTCTTCGATGCTTTGTCGGTGCCGTCACACCTAATGTACACACATAGAACCAGTTCGAATGTGTACAAGTTTTTGAAGATACCGGCAACCTTGAATCAGGTTGATTAAGCTCGGACCTGTGTGAAGATTGTGAACATGGTCCAATGGACTTCTTGGGCTTTCAGAGACGGTGCTAAGATGGAGGACAACGCGGCCTACGGTATCACACAGTCTATTGCCAGGGATGCTTCGGCAAGGTGAGTAGTCTAGGACGAGATAGCTGCAAAGCGTTACTAATGACTCGCAGCGAGACTTTGCAGACATATATAAACCTCAACAGTGTTCATTTGGAGGTATTACGTCTATATGACAAAACCTCAAGTGATGAAGAAAAGGAAAGTGATGACGAGGAAACGGACAGCGATGACAACCAGGCGAACTGCGACTACGAGGCACTCCTCGAAGATACCTTGGACATAGCGGGGATAAAGGAAAGCCGGAGTTTACCTGAGTTCCACCCAACATCAGCTATCTTGAGGACCTACCTCCAGCTAGCGGTTGTCATCGTTCACGAATTCGCTCATGCATTCAACATAGCGTACTACGTACGGCAGCCTGGTGAGATCCATGTGGAGCCTTGGGTCGCAGGAGACAGGTTAAACGAGCTAGGCTGGGCCCTTATACACAATATCCTTGCAGGCAATCCCAGGGACACCTGATGTACAACTCCATGTTCTTCGGCTCATTGGAGTACGAATGACTACAACATATACTACGCAGCCGAGGGCTTCTTGGATGGCGAATTATACAACAGTACCAAGTACCATGATACGATCTCGGATCAAAATGAGGACTATATGGACACGAGCAATATTCAACAGAGTCTGCAACACAACACTTCGCAATGGCAGAGGCTCAGCAATGTAGAGTGTATCGCTGCCTATGCGGTCGATTTGACTAGCTCACTTAGGGATCTCGTGGCCGTGGTCCCTGGACCAAACACGACAAACAGCTCGTTGTTGTACAGAGATGCATATCATTTTGAGTTGGAGTCCGAACTCGTCGACGATGCCTACGGTCCATATCAATGGGTCTGCGAGGACCCTTAGCTCTTTGCAAAGCTTACAGCAAACGGCTTGGACTGGAGTCATTTTGAGCCCGGGAGAGACGGCAGTTGCTACGTCCTAGCACCTACGCTCAAGAGAATCGCGGATGAGTGGTCCCCTCACTATTACGACGCTCAGTATTGTATGAGTGAGATTGTTGTGGGAAAGTGTAGTCTAAATTTCTCACTCGGTAATGTAATAAAGATATGATGTATGGCACATGTGGCCTGGGGCATAAAAGACTCACCTTTAATTACTGTAGCTGACGCTGTGGCTTCATCCTAGCAGAGAGCAGATGGCGTGATCAAAGATGCCTGTCTTGTTGACGGTGAGTGGTTCAGACGGCACTTGAATGAGAGCTACAGCTCTGCACTGGCTTGTTTCGCAGAGTCTATTCTTGGCCAGTATCACCACTGAACTACGCAATGGTAGTAGTATGGCGGAGGATACGGTCTCGACATGTGGCTACAGCCCTTTGGCCGTGATACTGACCCTCGGCATCGGGTCAATCATGCTGGCTGTCGTTATCTTTGGTGGATACTGGAGCGTCTCTACCGGCATACCGCTCGTTGGTAGTTGTAGTGCAGCCGTCTCCGCCGCGTGCCATCTGCCTCGAGGAGATGAAGCACACTTGCTACCGTTGCGGTGGGGCGTGGTTGTTGCCCAGATGGACGGCGAAAATATCGGCCGTTGCAGTTTCTCGGCCAAGGAGGTTGTGGGTCCTGTCGTCGGAGCACAATATGTATCAGATGTAATCCTTGTACATCGTACATCGTACAAGTCAGAACTTACAGCCTACCGAGATAAGCTAGTTCAGCCGGGATGACGCCTGCATCTGCATTTACTCTTTGTGATCTCCCCAGTCGTATCGACCTGGCAACGTGTCCTATCTCCGCATCATTCAACCTCGAGATAAGTTGGAATCAGAGGCTTGATGTCAACTCTGGTTTGAAATCAATAGGAGAACGCTCATGACCAAGTAGTCCTCGAAGCCCTAGATCTACGGGCGTATGGCTCGCCTTCAGCTCTACTACACAAAGATGATTGTGGAGGACTCGGTCTGTGGAACACGTGTTGAAGCGCCACAGTATAAGCCGAGACGGACGTTGACAATTAGTTGTGTATTGCGCAATACCCCGTCCTGCCAGATTGTTGGTAGTGTTGTCAGTAAAGTTTCTCCACAGCAGGTGGGTCTCGAGCTCGAGTCAGGAAACTAGTGGCATAAGACGAGGTTGGAAGTCGAGACTTTGAAAGTCTACCTGACAGCGACCAGCCATCGTGAGGTCGAGACGAATCCTCGAAGCAGAGTTGGCAGTGATTCTTTTCACAAGGCGGCAGAGGCTAAGCCGTCGAGATGACCGCATCGCCCCGCTTCTGATCGTACAGTGAGTATATGGCCGAGAGTCGCTTCTAGGAAAAAGCGTCTCTGGGAAATAGCGTCTCACGGCTCGGGTTCATCGAGCTTTGGAAGCCCGCTGCTCAACGGTAAGAAGGATTCGTGTTTGACGGATTCCTGCGCGAACGAGAATGATGCAACGACGCAAGCGACACGGGATTTAGCTCCTGTCGAAACAACCTGAGCGAGACAAGTCGGATTGCACGACAGCGCGGCTCACGGCTTCGTGCATGGCACCTGAAAGTAAGGGAGAATAACTTTGAGAGCGACATTGCCGGAGCCGCCCGAAGGCGTAGACCCAAAGTCAACCACTGATGTCGTTTATCGCAATGTACCGGAGTAAGGTTTCGAGATGTCGCTGTGGCTTCCGTCAGCTTGTAAAGTAGTTGGCAAAATCAAGATGTCTTGAGGCCTCGAATGTCGTAGGGTAAAGAAATGGTCCGCGCCGCCAAGGAAACAAAGTTTGGTTGCGCGCGTGAATCCTCTTCAACCGAACGGGCATGGCCAAGAGGGGGCTCGATCCCGCCTTGGTGTTTTGCTGCCATCACATCAAGGATCAGATTTCCGACAAAAGTCCCAGTGTACACGCTGTTTCGGGCAAGGCGCTCAGAAGGACGAGTCACAAAATCAACGGTACATCCAACCGCATTTGATATATCGATCAGTGAGGGGACCAGCCTTCTGTGCTTCCGAACGCGGCTCCATGTGCTACCTATATGTGTTGCAGGATCATGATTAAGAAGGGTCGCCAACATTTTGCTAGTTATGTCGCCTGATGCGGTACAGCGAGGACATCGCCTTGCTTTGTCGCCCGCCATCTGAATACTACCAAGCGCGTATGTTTTACTGGATGTGCCGAGTCACCAAATACCGCCATGAAAGCTTTGCCGGAGTACAGCCCCTCGTAATCTGGATATACAGACCATCTACACAGTGCATTTGGTTGATTGTGTGATCGGATGCAGGGACTTGTGGTGCCACGTCGAGCAATGCGATCATTCTGGTCTTCTCTCCTACAATTTCGAGCGTCCTTGTCTGCTTCTCGAGTAAGATCTCCGACGATATGTGCTATCATCGACTGTTGATGGTGCAAGGCTTAAGCCCCTCTCACCATCGTCCGCGAACGTGGAACCCGCCTTGACCATACTTCCAAGCAAGTGTTCTTCAAAACTGTCACCATTGATTTTTGCCCAGCTACACATAGCATCACAGCTGACATATTCCAAACCATGTGTTATCCTTCTTCCTTCACTGACATTCCGTAGATTCATTGTCAAGATGATGTTCACATGTCCTCATTGACGTTATTACTTTTCGTTGCGAGATCCTGCTCACAGTCTTGGAAGCGCGATGCCAAGGTCGATTCGAACTTGAGCTTCAAGCAATCACTGGAACCCTGAGAAGCAAGTCCACCTCATCATTCAATGACCGCGTGATCACAGAAGCGTAGGGTTCGCTCTCCCGGCGCTTGCGCGTAAGACTTTCTTTCCATTATGAAGTATATTCAGCTCTGCACTATCATGACTATCCCTCGTGTTTTGAACGAGGGCACAACATCAGTATCGTCCGCGCATTATGATGAACAGTCGACCGAGACCTAGCGTTGATCATGTGGGACAACTGCCGAAGCGGGCAAGCATCCCTCCCAACCACGTGGATTTCACAGCGATCCCATCACCCACGATTATTCTGGGGAACGGACAAGGGTATGACTGTGTTTCAAAGGAAGGAATCCGGATAACGATGAACTCCTAGTATAAATATACAGTGCTTGGAGGATGTTGATTACATTTGGCTCGAAGAGACATGGCGACGCGCGGAAGTTCACGATTTTCAGATCACACCTCTACTTGCGGACCAAACGCTGCTGAGCGAGCGAGCGATCTTGCAAACAAAGATTCGATTGCTAGAGGATCGAATCCCTCATCGCCGTTGATCTCACCCGCAAGACAGGGCAAGAAACTAGCGAGCATGACCTCATGTCTGAAAATACAGCAGGCACGAGTTCAGGAACCTGCCACCAAATCTCACGCTCCTGACATTGCTTCGAAGCGTGGAGTCAACATGCTTTTGGTGTTTCTGGTCACCATGAACTTAGACTGGCTGACATCTTTTTGACTGGTGGAAGTTGTCTCTTGACTCACACGAACGCTGCAAAGCTGACTCGAGGAGCTAGATACTCGTGATGGATCCTAGGCCGTGCGCTGAGGGCGCTAGGAGCCCTTAGCCGAACGAACGCCAGCGCCAGCCACTGCATATCTTCGCCCAAGCTGAGCTTCCGCCCTCAAACACAACAATGTGAATCGTAATGAGAACCGATAGACGCAGACGAAGCGTTCCATAGGAGATTGATGTTTCATCTTGACAGGTGTGGTGCTAAGGTTCAGAAGCTGTGCCCAAGAGGCGTCGAAGGAAAAAACATGATGGAAGGTTTGGCGTTCCCAGGCTGTGCGACGGGAAGGGAAAGCAGAGACGAAGGTCCGTCTGTATCCGAGACGGCAGCGGCTGCAGTCAAGTCAACCGTCGAGCATCGCAACTTTGTGAAAATTCATCGGGCTGTGTACAATCAATGTGAGTACGGCAGGTTAAACTTTACAGCTTTAGAATAGAATCATAGAGGGAGTGAGAGCTCAAACCCGATCTGAGAATTATAGAGACTGGAGTAAGGACGTCGCGGCGTCTTCCCTGCTCAACCCAAATCGTGTCGAGCGGATGTCAATCGCGAGGTCCCCAGACAGATAGATGTCAGCTGCAGACTTGGCAACCGCTAACGCTTTGGCTTGAAAGCCTAGCAAGAGTCCTCTCCCAGGAGCCGGGAGACGTCTATGGAAAGCTGGCAGACCAACAGAACCGGCACACAACTCCGATCCGGACAGACCGCTCGAGCTAGGGTAGTCACCAGACCAACAAGCGAGAACGAACCAATCGCACAGCTACGACGTCTTTATCTCGGCAGCATATTGAACAAGTGCCGAAGGCAGAGATAATCGAGGATCGCTGTCGGGTTGCATGTTGACAAGTTCGCGTGATCTGGCCGCCCTCACCAAGGCTCTCCTTAATCGGCGTGGTGGCACCAATGGAAGTGCGAAGCCTCCGTAGCCGGCAACGAGATCGTGCCCTTCACGTTCCTCTCACAGCTTGATCAGCACTCGTGGAAAAGAGGATCGAGGTCCGAACTCGTGGGAGCCGAACGTTGCAAGCCAGGACCAACAGAGTTAGTCAGTCATGGTGAAACGTTGAGACTAGCAAATGGTTTGGGAAAAGAAGGTTGGCGGTTGACACGCTCCGCTGGCGCAATTGGCAGGCGTTTGGTGAGATGGACTGAACGTCAGCCCTCAGGTAAATTCGTACACGCGTCCCCTTGGGGGCGACCAGACCGAGGGGGCACAGAGATCTAGTCGTGTAACAGTGCTTGTCTTTAACAGGTCAGGTCACTTGTTCTTGGCCAGTGTAGCTTCGGCCCTCTGATAGCAGCGAACAAGTTGTTGGCCATGGGTGGCTTTGCATGGCTGCGAAGGATGTCAACCTTAACCAAGCCGTTGAACAAGCCGGAGAAAGAGCCGCTTAGACCACTGGTCATGATCGTATTGACGATGGTGGCTCCAGAGATCAAAGGGTCGTTGCGGCTGTTCTCTGAGCTTGCAATATCGGTTGCGCCTGGTGGCGCGTTTCATCCTCGTGTGTGCCTTGTCATGCCTTGCCTTAGCCAGTTTACACGTGGGGTTGCCGAAGTAAAAGCTTCCACTCTGTTTCTGCGAGACGACCTCGTCCGCTGATTCGTCGAAGAGTCGTCTTTCGGGCCCGCCTGTTTCTGGGAGGGAGCATCGCATCATTATCAGAGCGCGACTTAGTTCGGGTATCATTACGAACCACTCTGCATTGATTACAACGTGCATTGCATTTCGCACGGACTTTTCCATGTCTCTTCCTCATGATGCTCTCTCATCTGTACAATTCTGATCCTCGGCGGGGAGGCGTATAAGGTCAAGCCGGGTCCTGTCGTGGCGGGCGATCTCGTAAGTAGTGCCCGTTTCATTCTTCTTTTTGCTGCTGCTGCTGCTTCTGAGTCGTTTCCATCCTCGTCAATTCAATAACTTCTTCGCTCGCTTCCATTCATCTGGATCGCTTCATCGTTCCTGCCAGCCATTGTTACCACCGCGCCCATCTCAGCCGTGCGCCATCTTATTGTGTCTTTTGCTGCAAGCCCGTTGAAGTCCGGAATTCCTGCAGGTGTCAGGTCAGGATCGAACAAGCTGCCCGTCCCCAGCAACTCCAAGCACTCTCATACGCTACATGGTAAGGCCTCAGCCCTTTGTTACCCCTCAACACCATAGAAAGATCGCTCCATCCTTGTACTCATCCTTGTCACTCTGTCTTGCCAAAGGTCTCGGCTATACTTCCGTCCACATCATCCTTCACTTCTCTTTCTTTGCGTCCCCCATTCAGCAGAAGCTCTTTGGCTTGGCTTGGCCGCCCGCGCCCCGCGCTCTTAGTCCAGATCCCGACATGCTTGGATATAAACCTCCTCAACACATTCTTGTACTTGTACCACGTCTCAACACCAGTCTGTTTACTATTCTCAGAGTTCCTGCCGTGTTCAGCCCAGCCTACCTTCGGTGGTCTCGATCAAAGCAGGCTATATCTCCCGATATACTTCGCTGTCTCTTTTACTTACTCCTAGTCATCGTCTTGTACATTTGTTGTTTAGTCCTGTTCGATCACACTCTAACATAACCAATTACAGCCTTACACACAATCGAGTCCGCCAGGCACATTGCACTCAGCTACGTCGTACGACATTCGAGGCACCTCCCAGCATAGTCGCGTGGACTCTCCAAGACAGACTACGACGTCTCTACCTCCTCCACTTTACCTTCCACTTTCGTCGGTACCATCACAGGGCTCCTCTGGTCAACCTACTGGGGCACCGTCGGGGTCTCAAATTTACTCGCCACAGCCACCGCTATACTCCGTTTCCTATCCTACAAGAAGCCAAAACTTTTCCAGTAGGTGCTATTCGATATCACAGTATTGGCATAACTGAAATCTGATCCAACACATAGATTCAGACACGATGGCGGTTCATCCTGTGATTAATCGACAGATGTACCCAACCATTGGGGCTTACCATCCATCACAAACAGCCTCTACACACATGCATTCATCGCATCACGATCTTCAAGCTCGTGGAATGTATACTCACGGATTTGGATACCCGCAACAACAGCATATGTTTGCCTACCCTCAGTATGCTCTACCCACGCATCCGGCATACGCTACTCACCCCTCATCACAAACCTACTCGCCTGTATCGCCCGCAGGCTCGGCGATTCTGATGCCCCAACAAACAACTTCGGCTTTGCATAGTTCACCTTCTCATGGTATTACTGCAAGTCCTCGCATGAAGGTCGAGCCATCTCATCTAAAGTTCGAACATCAACCCATGAAATCAGAGCAGAACTATGTACAAAGGCCCATATCTAGCATCGATATGGCTCAATCCGGACCCGTTGCAATCTCATCTCCGCCTTCTGGAGCTGGATCAAATACGGCCGCTCCAGGTCCAATCCCTGCTACAACCCCTTTGGTAGTCAGACAGGACCAGAACGGGGTGCAATGGATAGCGTTTGAGTACTCGCGAGACCGAGTGAAGATGGAATATCAAATTCGCTGTGACGTCGAATCCGTGGTCATCGACGAGCTGACTCCGGAATTCAAGACGGCAAATTGTGTTTATCCAGGTGCTTACAGTGGTAAGGAAGGCTACAAGGGGAACAGGCTTCACTATGAGAGTGAATGCAATGCCGTAGGCTGGGCTCTAGCACACCTGAATCCAGCACTGAGAGAGAAGCGTGGTCTCATTCAACGCGCGGTCGATAGCTGGCGGAACAGCAATCAAGACCCTCGCTTGCGGAGTCGACGAGTCAGGAGACAGGCCAAGATCAACAACCGAAAGGCGCAACTGCGCCAACCAGATGGACCTATCTCTTTATCTCCCGCTGATAGTCTCGCGTCGAGAGCCCCTCCAGTCATGTCTATGGACTCAGGAAGGCCGCCAGCACCACCACTCAACCTGAACGCTGGTCAGATGCACCATCATCATTCGACATCAGATGGCAACGGAGGCGAGAGCGGTATGTTTCACATGTGATTAATAACGCGCTGCAACCTTGTCACTGCTTTGTCCGGTCGTTGGGATAGGACTTGGGCTATATGTAGGACATCCTTGGAGACATTGGGCGTTGGAACTTTTGCTCTGCTTTCTTTATACCTATACCCACATTGTCATGATTGTCTCTAGGCTAATTTCTTTTCTTCTCCGATATAGTCAGCAATGAAGCACTTTCGTCGCTGGATCATCGTAGTCCGTCACTTAGCCTCATCTTTGATCGTCCACTAGCGTCCCCTCTCGGGCCACATCGGCGGGATAGTCACTGTCCCAACGTCTCTTCGTCCTTCTCCACTGGGTCTGACTCTTCGACCGCGGACACGCGAAATTATGTCAAGGCAGAAGAAAATGGGGAGAAGCTGCCACTATTCGGGGATGAGCCCGAGGCAAAGAGACGAAAATTCATTCTTGTCGACGACCCGTTGCGTGGAACTCGAGTTCGTGTCCACGTAGAGCTTGATAACATCAAGTTGGATGAAATGCCAGACTTTCATCTCCAAAAGAACAGCGTGTTTCCCCGCCAGTTCTATCCACGACAAATGAATTCGATATCATCTTCCCCCGAATCTTCGAAGGACCGCCACATTTCTGTACACACCAAGACTGAAGGCGAGCGGATTACTTTAGAGGGCGAGGACTCTGTCAACGTCCCACTGTTGGACGGTTCGCAATTGGAACTACCTATTCCTAGGATATCTGAACATCTTCGGCTCAAAGAGTGCGCATTGAACGAGCTCGGTTACCGCATGAGTTGGAGGCATGCAAAAACATTCAATGAGAGGACAATTTTCATGCAGAGATCGCGTAAGTGGATACCCTTCCTGTCGACGTATGAGTGTCTGACGATCACATAGTCGATGCTTATCGAGACAAGATGTGGAGCTCTATGATGGCTTTGAGTCAGGGTGTCTCATGCTTGGCTGCGCACCTCGAGGTGAGAATGGGAAAGCGTAAATGGACCGAACGAGACGGACCTAGCATCTCCCATACTTGAACTGCGGCTCAGGACAACTTAAGGGACCGTGGACAAGAGTCCAGCTTGGCAGGCCCATGCAACAATTGTTACGAAGCTCCAAAGGGCAGTCTGGGACGTAAATTGGAGCATGTGAGGAATCGATCACAAGATGACCAATGATTCTCTGAATTGGATTAACAGGCAGGGGACCCTCCTGAAGCAGGGTTGGTTGATTCATGTGTGCGCTTGATTATGACGCCTACGTAGCTGCAGAAAGACACATTGTATAGCTGTGCCAGATCGTCCTGGGCGAAAGTCGATTGGGCGACTAGTCTCAATGACAATCGCATCAATACATCATAATGGTGTGTCTTGCTACAACTTGTTATCGTCCTGCGTCAATTTGGAGGAGAGCAGAAGTGACAGGATTCAGCGGGTCAGTGCGCGTCCTGTCGGCAAACTTGGTTTGGAGGCCCCCACAAAGCGTCGCTGCTTCCTCTTCTTTCTCTTGCCCCTCATCTTTTGCAAAGCCCGACGCTCGGGGACTCAACACCTCTCTTTCCTCAAGAACACTACGAGTAACTATTGCAACTAGACCATGTCAGACTTGAACGAAGAATCGCCAGAACCAGGCAAGCAGCCAAAACGAACCAGCAAGGCCTGTAAGTTGAATTGCAGTGAAAAGTCGGGGCGCGGGAGGCAGTTCCGAGCGCCATTGATCTTCGATTGCCGGGTGCGGCTATCGCTGAGATGGACTCCTTCCAAACCAAAGAAGTCCTGCGTAATATCAATCTCACATGTTTTACGACTAATGGAGATTAGGTCTGGTCTGCCGCGCAAGAAAGAGCAAATGCACATTGTAAGTCATCTCTCTTCGTCTTCTGAAGTTCGTTCTGGTCGATAGCTATTCTTCAGAATGACCAGAAGCTTCCTTCCAAACCAATGCAAGTGAAGATGGCTGATAGAACACCACAGGGACACAACAGACGGGGAGCCCCAGCCACCATGTCTGAGATGCCGCAAAGAGAACAAGCAATGTGTCATAGGCAGCAGCAATCGCGGAGGCAGAAGGGTGAGGCGGTCAACCATAGCCTCTCAGCAGAGCCAGGTCCAGACTCAGGCACCACACTTCCAATCTCAAGCAACCTTACAAGCACAGAAAACACCCTCTAATGAACAGTCCATAATTGAGGCCTCTTGGTAAGTTGCAAGGATCATCATAAGACTCGCACGCGGACATGAATCATCCATGGACCAAGCTGACCATATCAATTAGGAATTCAGGTACAATATCCAAAGACACATATTCTGATCCACAGCACAACATCACTGGCGCGATGTCTTCATCAACCAATGCTGGAGTTGGTAATCTGGACTTTGCGACTCAGCGTCAACTGTTCGATCCGCAGACCCTCGCAATGGACATTGATTCTGCGGTCGGATCCGCGACAGTGGACGAGTCAAGGCCTCATAGAGATACCAACGGAGAGTCTGCTCGCTCCTCGAGCTCCGAGAACATACCATTCCATGATCTGCAAAATCCATCGGATGCCTTGGACATACTAGCCCAGATCGCAAGCAATGATAACAATTCGAGTCGGCAACAACATACCTGGCAAGAGAAATCCCAGAATCACAGTCTTCGGACCAACTCCATGTTCCCCAACAATTGGAGTAACGATAGGCTCAACTACCAGCTCGTTCAGTCAGGTGCTCTGTCATCTTCAAAAATCTCACAACTGATTGACCGATATCGTCAACACTACCATCCCTACTTCTCAATTGCTCCTCCTAGCACTTTGGACACCAACAACCTAATCAATACGGCTAAAAACGAACCTCATCTGTTGACAGCTATGCTAGTCATCGCTTCGAAGGATCTCCTGGAGGAGCCGCACATCTACACTGCTTGTTCAGAATACATGCAGTCTCTCGTGTCTACTCTGGTCGCTGGTGGTCCGGGAGGTGTGGAAGCGGTCGAAAGTCTGCTACTGCTTGCCGAGTGGACGCCATATACGTCAAGAAGTCGCGCGGGTAACGTCGGACGCGGTGAAGAGGATCGCGAAGCGTGGATGCACGTCGGCACTGCGCTTCGTATCGGATACTATCTGGGTCTGGACAAGTATTCGTTCCCGGTGGCGGGAGATATCAAGGATCCTCAATGGAAGCGAAAGCGTCTAGTATGGACTTGCTGCTATATATCGGATAGACAGATATCTATTCGCATTGGTCGAGCCTTCTGGAGTCGAGGGCCCGGACCCGGTCTTGCTATCCGGAAGGAAGACTTTCCCTACCAGCCTCAGAATCCTGGAGACGAGGACTTCCCAAAGTTGTTCCAGGCCACTCTGGAATTGACATTACTGTTTAGTAATGTTCACGACGTCCTTTACAGTAGCCCCGGAAACAGTCTACGAAATCATTTGACCGGAGGCTACTATATCAAGATTGTCGATGTGAGTAAAGCCACATTCTTGCTGTTTTGTCTGTGAGCACTAACTTCGGCTTAGGATTTTCGTAGCGCATACTACGGTTGGAATGCTGTGTACGGTACTATGACATGTACGTGTGAGTCTTTCGGCAGCATTGAGCATAGACTAATGCAGATCACAGGTTCGCCCAACCTCAAAGCCATGCTGTTAATGTCTTATGACTACCTGCGACTTTATACCAATGCTTTTGCTTTCCATGCTACAATACGGCGTGCGCTACCTGAAGGCGAGAATGGGAAACCGTCTTTCAGTCGAGTTTTCTACAATAACGTTGGGGCGGTAGGAGATGCACGATTCATCTATGAAGGACTTGATGCTGCAAAGAGTCTGCTGACCACGATGAACAACTTCGTGGATGCAGAGAGGTACGTCTAAGACACTCGTTCTCACATTCCCAAATGCTAACGCGAGCATCAATAAGGATGTTACGCTACATGCCACTTAGATTCTATCTCTTCACGGTCTACGCGGGTGTGTTCCTGTACCATGCTCGCTCGGTTGGTGTTATGGCACCTGAAGAGGAGGCATCGGTTAGAAGAATGATCCAACAGACAGTCACGGTTCTGCAGAGATCTGGGGTTGGCGAGAGCCACCCTGGAAGCCGCTATTCACAACTTCTGAAGCTACTCTGGGACAAGGTCGACCGGAAGTCTAACAAGGAGTCACGCTCTGCTCGATCACTCGCTACTCTTGAGAATCCGTATAGGCCAGTCAGCACGAGTGCCGCCACCCCAGCTTCGAACTCGGCCGCATCCGCTTCGTTGGAATCGCCAGCAGTCACAGACCAGATGGGTGATTTCAGCTGGACCGACCTAGATGCGATTGGTAACTTTGCTGTAAATGGTAACGAAGGCATGTCAACCGACGCTGAATGGTGGACTGGATTCTTGCCGACAGATAGTGGGCCTTTAGGTCCGCTCAGTGGAATTGGATCTATGGATAATTGGAGCTTCAGCATGTGATGAGTTCAGCGACGGAGACGCCCTCTGCCAGGGAGTTACGTACGAGGCTCAGAGGCCAAATGTCGAGAGGTCATTGGCGTAGTTGTGGAGGAACAGACATCCCACCAGTGATTGAACATGTAAAATAATAATGGGCAGTGCGAAGACACGGTTCGTTTCGATTAGAGGTGTTCCCCAAGAGAGACATAAGATGCAATGACACTCGTGAGCCTCTTGCCTCAGATCCATGTCATCTTTCCGTAGACCTATGACGAGCGCCCGTCTGATACCAGTATCTTCATCACTGGACAATTCTCCACGATGTTGCGTGACTCTCTGTACGTGTGGAATTCTCATGTGATTGTCATCGGTCTTTGTTACTAACAGACGCTCGTCGGCGTCTGAAATGAGGGGTCGCCTTCGCTTATTCAAAAAGCCATCTCGGCATATCATTTGTCCCGTCAGTTTGCGAGTTGAAAGTGCCTTCTTCTCTATTTCATACCCTCTCCTTACTTTTCAATAATTTCAAATCTCGTGAGAAGTATAGCAAAATGGCACGTTCAGCTCTTCTTATAGGAAATATCACCCACGCTCGTAAGGAGTGGGAGGAACTCAGCTCTTTGGTCGAGTTGAAGGCAAGTAAACATTGCGTCACCGGCTGTTTCACGCAAAGCTGACGAGAACGCACAGGAGTACAAGACCGGCTCAAGAGATGACTTCCTTTCCAAGCTGAAGTCTGGAGATTTCGACGATACCTTTGTCGTATACCGTAGCAATGAATCGACAGGAGTCACAGGCCCCTTTGACAAAGAGTTGGTTGACTCCCTCCCCTCGAGCGTCAAGTACGTTACCCACAATGGTGCCGGATACGACAACATCGATGTCAAGGCCTGTACCGCACGCGGTATTCAGATCTCGAGCACACCTATCGCCGTCAACGATGCTACCGCCGATATCGCAATCTTCCTCATGCTGGGTGCACTGAGACGCATTACGATTCCCTTCAACGCTGTCCGCAAAGGCGAGTGGCGCGGCAAGGCATTCGGCCTTGGCCACGACCCGAAAAACAAGGTCCTTGGTATCCTGGGTATGGGAGGCATTGGAAGAGCTGTGGCCGAGAGAGCCACTGCTTTCGGCATGAAGATTCAGTACCACAACCGCAACCCACTTCCCGCCGACAAGGCTGGCAATGCCAAGTACGTCTCCTTCGATGACTTGATGAAGACATCAGATGTTCTGAGTCTTAACCTGGCTCTGAATCCTTCGACCACACACATTATCTCTACTGCACAATTCGATATGATGAAGGATGGTGTCGTCATTGTCAACACGGCCAGAGGACCCATCATCGACGAAGCAGCGCTCGTCAAGGCTATTCAGAGCCAAAAGGTCTTCTCAGCCGGCTTGGACGTCTTTGAAGAGGAGCCTAAGATTCACCCTGAGCTCATCAGCGACGACCGTGTTGTTTTGCTGCCTCACATCGGCACAGCAACTTGGGAGACGCAGAAGGATATGGAGTTGTTGGTTTTGGAGAATTTGAGATCGGCCGTCGAAAAGGGCGAGCTGGTGACCTTGATACCCGAGCAGTCCAAATAGATGCTCATCCGAAGTGATTAGTTATGTGCACATAGATCCAAATGTTAACACGCTTTCCTATGGATCTTGATCACCATAAAGACGTCGTTGTGGTGGGTTAACGGGTGTGACTCCAGTATGAATGCCGAGCGAAGAATTCGTTTTGAGAACATCAAGTCAATTGCTACCTTCAGAAGATTTTCGGTGGGTTTCATTCCATATTTTGATGTTGTTAAGCATCGACAGAGCAAGACGCGCGACTGGGCTCATGAGGGACCCGCCGCGTTACCTAATAGCTATCGGTCCAAGTGAACAATTGCCGAACCTGTCAGAGCAGACCCACCATGCTCTACGCAGCAGTTGCATGAGTCGCTGCGACAATGTTACATCAATGTCGTGCTGATCTTTGGGTCACCAATTCACTTTGCTGATAAGAGTTTGGGACATGACCAGAGCATCTTGGCCCGTCTCTGGAGCTCTTGTTGCCTTTTTTGAGTCCCGAATTTTGCTCATGACACAGCCTCGACTGGACAATCCGTGAACCTCTTCAAGACTCCAAACAACGTTGAACCAGAGGCCGACGCCGCCCTGCGATCGCGCTATCTTCCTTGACGATCACACTTGGCAACCCCATGGAACCTCGTTGGAGAAGTGCGGAGGAGGCTCTTTCTTTGTATAAAACTTGGACTAGCCTTCCTCTTCCTTGGCTGCTTGAGCCTGTTTTTTCGTTGTATGCAAAGCCAGTTTGTCCCTTTGCTTTTTTGAGTGGTCGACTTGTGCAGTGCAGTGATTGAAAGCATTGTGACACCATGGCGTCCTTGGCCAAACCAACGGGTGTTTGGGCCGATATCAAGGAATATCGACGAGCATATACTCTTACGGCTGTGGCGAGTTTTGGTGGAATGTTGTTCGGATGGGACACAGTAGGGCTTCTACCATCTTGCATCGACGATCATGTGTTGACATAAGTTCAGGGTTTGATCGGTGGCGTCTTGACCATGGACTCGTTCAAGAACTCATTCGCCCTCACAAATTCCCCTGCCGCATATGCCGACCTGTCGGGTAACATTGTATCTGTACTCCAAGCTGGTTGTTTCGTTGGCGCTGCTGCCAGCTTCTGGGTATCTGATACGTTTGGTCGAAAGTCTGCACTGATATATGCCGATATTATCTTCATCATCGGCAGCTTGCTTCAGACTTGTAGTGCTATTGGCAACCAATCGCTTGCTCTGCTCTACGTCGGTCGAGTCATTGGAGGAGTTGGTGTCGGCTTGATAAGTGCAGTAGTGCCAACATATATTGGTTGGTACAACTTCTGTTCTGACAAGCATATCGCTGACCTATCGACCTTACAGGTGAGAACGTCAACAAGGAGATCCGAGGACGATGTATTGGCACTATGCAGCTGTTCAACGTCACAGGCATCATGCTGTCGTACTTTGTCAACTACGGTGTGACACGATCCATCTCATCCAGTAATGATGCCCAGTGGCGTATACCGTTCGCCCTCCAGATGCTTCCCGGGGTGCTCCTGTTCGTCGGAATCCTGTTCCAAAACGAAAGTCCTAGATGGCTTGTGGAGAAAGACCGACATGACGATGCCGCTCGTGCACTTGCACATGTTCGAAGCTACTCACATGATGATCCTGTTGTTACAAAAGAGCTAGGCGAGATCGTGGCCGACTTCCAGAGCCATGAGAAGATATCTTTGTTGGGACAACTTCGGACTGTTTGCTCTGACAGAAAATATCTTTATAGATATTCGATGGCTATCATCTTGATGATGTTTCAGCAGTGGACAGGCACCAACAGTATAAATTATTACAGCCCGCAGTAAGACAGCTCATCTATGTTGACAGTCCTCTTACTAACAATTTATTAGGATCTTCGAATCGATCGGCCTAGGATCATCTGCCGGACTGTTCGCTACAGGAATATACGGCGTAGTCAAAGTCGTCATTACCGCCTTGGCCTTGGCTTTTATGACTGAGCAGTCAGTCAACTATTCGTATGGACTTGGACCTACTACTGACTAATTTCTCTGCAGACTCGGTAGAAAGTGGAGCTTGATCATTGGTGCTCTAGGCCAGGCATTTGCAATGTTCTACATCGGCATCAACCAAGCTGTCAACCCAGTGGTGGAGGGTGCTGCTTTAGATCGGAACAGCATCTTTGCCATCATATCTGTTTACTTGTTTGTCGTCTTTTACAGTGTCGGATGGGGTCCGATCCCCTTCATCCTTGCTTCCGAGACGAGTGTACGTATATCCCGAACCCTTTTCTCTACAGATCTGGCTGACCAGACCTTGTAGCCCAATCGTGTTCGCTCTCTTACCATGGCATCAGCATTGATGTGCCAATGGGCCTTCAACTGTGTCATCGCCAGAATAACACCCGTAATGCTTAACAGCATCACCTACGGCACGTTCTTGATCTTCGGCATCTGCTGCATCCTGATGACCATCTATACGATCTTCTGGTAAACCCCTGCCACCTATCCTGTTCAAGTCTCCCTACTAACCCAATCTACAGTGTTCCCGAAACCAAAGGTGTACCCCTCGAGTCAATCTCCCTCCTCTTCGAAGGCAACATCATCAAAGGGGCCACTTACGACACGATACCCAAACACTCACGAGCAAAGAAACTGCAAAATGCGACGAATGTCACAGACGAAGATGAGGGTAACAAAGGAGATTTTCCCATTCACGTTGAGAGGGCAAAGGATGTTTAGCTAACTTTTGTCCTTTTTCTTCCTGAAATTACAGAACAGGTACCTTTGATGCGTTGATGAGATACGATTCTGCAAGTATACATGAAGGAAGTATTTAGTGTGGTTTGAGAATTGGTGGAGGGATGGGAGAGTTGCTAAAAGTCGAACGTAGCAGGCTGGATCTGAATCTCTACTGCACGACCAAGAGAGGTGATTAGGACAGATCTGTTTATAGAGCTAGAACAGTGCTGTACCATCCTAGTCTTGCCCACGGTGCAGCCATGAGTCCATTGTTGGTTGTAGAAGAACATATCACGATGTGATAAAAGACATGAGCAGGGTCATCCCAACCTCAACATCGGACTTGACATTCAATGCAAACGATGGTCGAGCAGCAGCCACGAAGGCAGATATAAATACTATGAAGGAGCTACCGACCACGTACAAGACAAAGAAAGGTCCCAGTGTTCAAAACCGTGTCGACCAGTATCCAATAAGGATGATGGAATGCACACGCAAGGAGTAGAAGTTGGAAGACCAAGGAGGATGTACATTCAGCCATGTTCCACATTTGCAATCTCAAAGGTCTTGTAAGTAGTGATGATGGACCCAAAAAAAGAGCGGGTCAAGTAAACACATAGAAAAAGAGCATGAAAAAAGAACAAGCCCATTCTTTCTTTCTTGCTCTAACCCTCCCTATCCTAGCACTGTTACCTCCCATTCTGATGATTGATGGATAAAAGAAAAGAGGGGAAAAAAAAGAACCACAACCAAACTTCCACAACACAACTTTAAAACAGTCCTGGATTTCTTCTCTACTCCTGTCCGAATCCGACAGTCTCTTCCACGGCCCATATAAGCTTAGCGTTGAGCGCTTCGTAGGTCTTGTACGGCGGCAGGTCGAGACGGTTGAAACAGGTATGCGACTTGGGCAGTTGACCTTCCTCGCCTGACTTCTCGATTGTAAAGCGGCGGGGTCCGTCACTTCCTTGCAAATCCTTGAATCCGTTGACGGGAATACGAGAGGTACCGGTTGCGAATTGCAATAGACGAGATTTTTGTTCAGAGTCCCATGTGCGAATGCACTATGAAATTGTTAGCACGTGTTGGAAGACCTCAATCATGTGGATAAGTATCTTACCTTCCAGAAGTTCTGGATAACGGGATCCTTCTCGTCGTAGCCGCGGTAGTCGGTGTTCTTGGCCCAATCATCGACGTCAATTTCAGAGATACCACCAATGAGAAGCTCGAGCTCACGCTCATCGAAGACGTTTACAAGGTCTGACGGGATGAGCTCGTGGAATCCTTGGATGAAGGCGTTGAATTGTTCATCGACACGTTTCTGAATTCTCCATTCGGTAACAAGCCTGCAACAAGCGTCAGATTTACAAACGTTCAGAGGTGCAGTGATGGGTGCAACTTACTCGACATATTCTCTCTTGTTGTCGTCGGTCACTTCAATATCTCTACCACCAGGCTTAAGGTCGATGGTAACCTTCTCGCCAAAGACTTCGTCCTCGACACAGAAGTGCTCGAAAATAACATTCTCGACAGAGTTATCCAAGGTCCAACTCAAGGTGCGGTAGAAATCGGCATCGACACCTTCCATATCAGCAAGACTGACCTTCTTGCGAAGAATCATCTTGTAGAACGCTCCAATGAAGAAGGCATCGAGGAAGCGCCTGTGGAAGATGGCGAGACCCACGACACGTCCAATGAATTTGAAGTATCCAAGATGCTCAGGGTTGATGCCTGAGTGAGGGTTGATCTGTAGTGTGTAGTTGTCGATGGCCGAGTATTCGAACAAGCAGTAGAAGGGATTGAACATCTCGTGAGACAGAAGGAAGAAGAACTCTCTAGAGAGACCACCGTAATCGAGACCATCCTCACCATCGAACTTGATCATCAGACGCTTCTTAAGATCACTTGGACTTTGACGCATGATCTCGGCATATGAGTCTTCGAAAATATGAGTACGTCGGACCTTGACGTGGCACTGGCCGGACAAAATGCGGAGGGCGGGTTGAGAACGGAAGTAAATGAGCTTCCTTCTGAAGTCGCGCTTGTACTGCGGTACGTTTTGATCCAGCGATGAAGGTAAGCGGGGATCGTCCCAGGTGGTTGTCTTTGTGTTATGGTCGACAAAGTACACACGGGCAGTGTTTGTGAGACGCATTTCCCATCCGCTAGGCAGGGGACCGAGCTGGGAGACAGGCTGCTGCTGGATGGTGCCGTTTGCAGCATTTTGACCGTACATGCGAATATACTGTTGCCTCCTGGGATCGACCCATGTGGTAGTGCGAGTGTTGTGGTCAACAAAGTAAGCACGCCCCTCGGGTGTATGGCGTTGCTCCCAACCGGCAGGCAGCTCGCCAGTGCCAGCAGTAGTAGTGCCAGTGGCCATCATTGACATTGCCTGAGGGTTCGAAGTTCCGGCAGGACCATTAGGTGGAGAGTTTTGACCGCCCGACAAGGTTGGTGAACTGGCGCCGGTGCGATCATCAGGCAACATGCGGTTCTGGTGTCGCGCACGCTGGGCTTGCGTCTCTGCTTCGTTGGCCTGGCGCTGTTCGCCAGCGTTGTAGCTGGCCGTCGGACGAACCCACGTTGTCTGTCTGGAGTTGTGGTCGACGTAGTATGTACGGCCCAGGTTGTCTTCTCTTCGCTCCCAGCCTGGAGGCAAACGGCCTTGCGAGTCTTCGAAGGCACTGAACCCTGCGGTGCGGGGAGCTGACGTGTCGGCAGATGTGCTGGCCTGGCGTTGTGCACCCGCTGGGGGAGGAGCATCTAAGGTAGAGGATGAAGCGGCACCATTGGGACGGGCAGGGCCGGCGGCGGCGGCGGTGGCGGCTGCAGCGGCAGGGGTTGCGGTGGGTTTGAGGTTTGTAGAGAGATTGAGAATCAGCTTGCCGTTGACAACGAGATTGTCATTGCTCTTGCGAAGGTCGCGAGTAAGCATCTCTGTGCAAGGGAATGGTTAGCGTTCGAGGTTGAAGGATGACTTGTGTCGACTGACCATCACCACCAGCGTCCAGGTCGATGACACTGCCAACACGGACGTTGACAACACCGAGGAAGCCCTGGTCCTTCTTCTTGAACTTCTTCTGGTCAAAGATTTGAACGGCGAGGATGCTTTCTTCGTTTGCTCTCCTGTAGGATGCCGTCAGTGTCTGCGACATGTATCATGGGGCGAGTGGTCGCACATGTCAAAACTCTCGTTCCAGTAAGGGTTGAGCGTCTTCTTGATGACACCCGTCGTCTTCGTTTGCTCGCCATTGACGGTGGCTACGGCAAAAGGGTCGGGGAATCCTGCGGCACGGCGTCAGTCGAGGGTCGCGGCACGAGCGGGTCATGGAGGGGAACTCACGGAAGACATCTCTCTTGTAGAGGCCGTCGGCGGCGATGACTGCAGGGCATCAGTGTGGACAGGAACGGCAACGGGCACGGGGACTCACTCGTCACACGCAGGTTGGGCTGGCCCGGAAGGTCGGCCATGGTGGATTGGGCGCGTGTTTCGCTGGAGGGCTAAATGGTGGGGATATCGAGTCGGCAAGAGCTCGCAGCCCGGGGAGCAACGACTGCTGTCGGCGGGAGAGAGCAGATGTCTGCCTGTCTGCCTGCGTCTGCACGTGCCCAGAGCGAGTAGGTAGGATGGGACTGGGCGAGGATCAGGATGAGGCTACGAGCGAGTGGCTGTGCTCCACGTCGAGTAGCAGTACTGAGTGTCTGCAACAATCGCCACGGCTCTGCAATCGTCCTCAAGAGGCGCGCCGGCTGTAGACGGCGGCGGAAAGGATATAACGACACGCGCCTATGTCGATGAGAGGGCGGAAAGGGACTGGCCTGACGTTGGTTGGGAAATGCTGACGGAGAGAGCGTCGACGGTCAATCGTCATGGCGGCTTTGCTGCGACTGCTGGCTGCCACTCCGACCAACCCACCGCAAGCCGCGCCCCCGTCCACCAACGCCTTTTCCCTTCCTTTTCGCTCCATTTTTTCACCTTGACACGCTTGTGTGAAATCTCACCTATATCCATCCTTTGATTGCAAATCATCACCACTTAGGGTGTTTATTCTCTTATTCTTCTTGTTCTTCTTCTTCTTCTTCTTCCCCTACTACTACAACACATATTCTATTATTACTCACCATCCTCATTCCCGTCTAGTCTCCATTTGTCCCATTTCAATCATGCTCTGTCGGCCTCGGTCAATTTCCTCGTCTCCTTCCTCTGCTCCTCTCATCAAACCTTCCTCTTCATCTCTATCTTGTCCTATTTCTGTTCTAGTCTCATTTGTCCGATTCCCGCTACCCTTGTCTCGCTGCATGGCCATGTATATCGCCGACCCAAGTATCAATGTCGACCCAACAATTGATGTCAATCCTGGTGTCTGTCCAAAGATGAATCTGTCAAATCCTAGTGCGAACAGCATCGACGTATACGCCATGTTGGTAGCTCGCGATGACTTTTCATAACTCAGTCCTGCTGCCAAAAGAAATTGCTGTTTCACATTAGTCTTTGCGAAGAGTCATTGGTCGTCCGTTCAGTTCTCACCATGATAAATCCGCACGTTCTGTCTTCGTTAGCCATGTATTTTGATCAGAGCCTTGATGTCTACTCACCCAAGGAAAACAAGGTATCCCCACTCCTTTGCATCGGCAGGAAGGAGGAAGCCAATACCAGGAAGTGTAAGTTGGGCCACAATGCTGACTATTGTGCACCACGTAGCGAAGTAATTGACACTGATCAGTGGGTGAGCTCTCTTGCCAATCCACCGGATCGTCGTATACGCAATCACTGATCCGCCTACACCGACCAGCGCGATACCTACGGCTGCCAATCGCTCAGCAGGTGTGACGTTGTCATAGTTGGACGCGTCCGGAATGGTCACTGTGCTATTAGCTCCAGGCACTACATCAGTGTTCCCACTGGCTGCAGGTGCTTCTGCAGACGAGAAAAAAAGCGATGTCGGTCTCGCGATGAAGACCACACCTATCAAGGACACGAGACTTCCTATCTTGTCAATCCTGGTAAACTGCTCTTTGAGTAGGATCGAGCAGACCCAGCAGGTGAGACTGGGTGCGAGAAACGTGATGACAGTTGCGTCTGCAAGTGGCAGGTAGATGAGCGAGTAATACATTCCAAACACGCCCCAAAATCCACCTAGACCTCTCGCGACCAACAGCCATCTGACTTCTCGGCTTCCGAATGGGAAATGTGGTGTTTTTGTGTACCACATATATAGTGATGAGAGGACGACGGTAATTGACATACGTGCGAACAAAATCTTCTTGGTCAGCACATTCTCTACCTCTGCAAATGATGCTAAGTATACGCACTTGGAAAGGATGCAGTCCTTTGCCTTTGTTGCCTTCAATTTCCAGTAATCGAGTGGTGACATTCATCATCACTCCAAACACTTGGGCTAGCAACATGTAGAACAGGCCGGCGTTCCGTAGCCAGCTGGCATGAAGCTTAGCTTGCCATTGGGCCGTCCAGGATGGTTTTATTGCCTGGTGTCCACCATCTAGCCATCTAGATGGTTCATCGTTCCTGGGACCCAGCTGGTCAAACTCCTCTACAGAAAGATTGGACAGTGTGTCCGGAGACAAGGGCCTATGAGGCGCTCTTTGCTGTGGAGGCTCGAGAAAGTGAGATTCGGCTTGTTTGGTGACATCGTAGGCCTGATGAGGCGGCAAGGCCTCGTCGAAAATCACTTGGACATCCTCGCTGGCTTTTGCCGTCTTTGCCGATGAGTCTGGAAACGGAGAGACAGGTCTGCTCATGCTGTTGTAGGATGAGGCACAAACAAAGTCTTAAGAGACTGATCGATAAGATGACTAGTAACGAAAGTATCCAACGACAGCTATGTGGACATACTCATGCCAATGAGTTGAAGAGCAAGAAACAACAGCCTGTCAGTCGGCGGTTACTCATACAAAACCTGGGCGGCAGTCTTCCACTGCAGTGCATATTGCTACGCCGACTAAGGAAGGCACACGACCGCGGGCTATCGCCTGGCCAATCAGTAACTTTTGCTTTTCTTCAAATCGTCATGATTGTAGTATCGACTGCCAAAACGGCCTGCTTGGCTCGATACTTTCACTCGGCCTATCTAGCTCGGCAAAGTTGTTTTCGTGCCGGTTATCGACAAGATCGAAGTACCTGTGAGTATGCCTGGCATTCTGGTAGCCGGGGGTCCGACGGGATAGATCCAGTCTACAACACATGCGAGCTTGCAGACTCTCCATGTCTGATAAAAATCCGGAGGTTGTGAATTGGGTGACACGAAGGTTCAGCGTTCCTGCTTCCCCTCAATTCACAACCGATCCGGGTCGATCGTGTGCTCGAGCAAAACGTCACATGCATGTGACACTCGAGAGTTTGTACCTGCTTCCGACATCGGCAATTTTTTTGATCGCGAAGCACATTTGATCATGAAAAGTCAAGCATACAGCGAACATCTGCATGTATTGTAGAGTTTGCATGACAGCGATATCATGGCTATGACACGATCTATGGTATAACAGAGCACGGAGAGATGCAACAAAAATCGAGTTCATTATTCGATTGCTGACGTCTTCTCGCCGTACATGTGGAATTGCATGAAAATGACGGCGTCCTCGAAAATGGTTCCGAGAGATCCAATGAGCCAAGGCAAATTCTTGAGGAAGTACTGTTTGTCGACAGAATGAAGGAGGATCTGGATTTGTCAGTAAAGCTATGGCTGGGAAGGATCAAACGGGCACGTACTCCTGCACCATAAGTGAGGTTGCCCATTAGTGAGAGTAAGAAGAACAACAGTGATAGGCCTTCGCACGATCTTTCGCGGTGGTTCTTGATGATTTGAGGAATGCGAGCACTAGCAGCGCGTTAGTACGAGCTAAGGTTCGTGGTAGAGGACTGACGTACCCTAGGTAGCAGACAGCGCTGGCATAACCAAGTATCTCAGCACCGACTGGCATGTGTCTGCCGCCGTCTGAGACGTCAACAGGAGTGGGCTTCCAAGCTCCGGCTCTCCAAGCGATGGCCCAACCTGCAGCTCCAGCAATCAGGATGATTGCAACACTGAGTGTGTTCTTGAGCCAGGCAGTAGAGCCCTGGCCCTCTTCAAGGATGTTGGCAAGGCTGTTGCTTCGCTCGGCACTACTTCTGGTACGTCTGCGACTGGCAGCGCTACTGCGTCTTCTACTACCAGGCAGTCCAAGGTTGTCCTGCTGCTCGGCAAGGAGAGGTGCGTTCTCGTCGGTGACGGCGTTCTCGGCAGCAGCGACAGAGCGCTTGCGTTCGCGGCGGGCGTTGAGAGTGTTGTAGTAGAAGCATTGCGACAACAGGACGGCGTCGGCGAAGCAGAAGTAGATGGCCAGAGCAATGACAGTGGGCACGAGATCAGCCCAGAGCGCGCCGGCGAGGTTGGTGATGTCGCCAGCCATCCATACCAGCAGGAAAGTGATAGAGATGCCGTCGGCAGAGGATTGGCGGTAGTTTTCAATCAATTGAGGCACCTAAGGATTGAGTCAGGGTTGAGAGTTTGCGACAAAGTAACGAAGGGAAATTTTACCAGCAGGAAGATCCAGCAAGCCAGGGAGATGCTGCCAGCGATGCCGGAGAGGGCCTCATGCACCGTCAGATGCACATGCTGCAACATTGTGTCGCTTGTGAGAGTCAATTGGTGGTACGAACGTGGTGGTGAAAGGCCAGTTTCTGTAACAATCGAGTTGCGATCATTGCTTGCGTTGAGTCGAGTCTGGTCAGCATCCCGCAAAAACAAGACATCCGTGCGCAAGCCACTTACTGCGATAAGGATCCAAATTCTTTATCACCCTTTTGACAGGAGGCTCGTATCGTATCCATCCGAGTTCTCCCTCGTTTGCTTTGGAACGCTGTTCTGAACGCGACCCGGCCCTCTGTCCCCTAGCATCATCTGTCAATCGACTGACATCTGCTGCCTGACTTCCTGTCTCGACTCTCGACATCTACTCGACATGGGTCGTCAAGCCTTGTCGGTAGTTTTGCCACTTCTTGCTCGTCATGTCTACGCTTCTGTACAATTATGCAGCTGCCCAATGCCTTTGTCCCTTGTTATGCTTCCATTGTGCTTGTCAGGCACACAGTCTCTCACCTGTCTACTTTGAGCATCGCGTGAAAGCTGCGCTTCGATATCATGATCCTGTTCGTACAGTGAAGTGAGGGAAGCGGCCGTTCACGTTGGGCAACAATTTGTCGATCCTAATGGCCACCGCTGTCAACCAAGCATTGCCGTGCGGCCGCGCCATTGAGTGCTTCTCTCGCCCCTCGACCAAGTTTTCGAAACAAGAGCTTGCTCATCTCATCATCGACCTGGAGAGATCGGCCACAGGTATGGTCACTCTCTGGCCCTGTCGCCAATCCCGACGCAGTGGTAGTAGGCCTAAGGGTCCAACCTCGAAGTCGGGTCTCATCTCCTCCAGGAAAGGCCGAGATGGGTCACATCCAAAGTGGTTCGCTCCGTGCATGTCAGACGTCTGGTGAAGGTTGTTTCGAGTCGTCACAGACCGAGTACATTTCTGTCGAGCAGTCGGGACCGCTGGATTTCTAAATTGTTAGAATCACGGGCCGCCGTTAGTCTAAAAGTTTAGGTTACCGAAGCGGGTGAACCACTCGTGGATGATCGACTTTGTGTTGCATGGGCAATAGATACCTAGGTGAATGCCGAATGCTGCCAAAACTCCTTGTGCTTGCAACAACAAAACTCCTCCAAGTCCCTGTAGTGAAGATTGATGCTTGTCATCCGCCCTGTCGACAACCAAAGATCGCACAACTTGCGGGGACTTTCTCCTTGCTTCACTCCCGATCCAACACCCCTCGATTCATTCAAGCAACCTTGATTTTATATTGGCAGCCACCTCGGTTTTTTGAGAACCAACGCTGCTTCCCAAATCCGCATTCCACGATCTTGCCGGGAGAAAACATACATGATTCTTGCTCGCTCCGCCCACAACATCCATAGTCCAACACGCCCACAACGGTCATCATGTCTCAAGGCTAGACGTGACAACTCCCGAGACACGAAACACGAAACGCGCCATCATCACCCACACCTGGACAGCATGCCTGCGAAGCCGAACGCAATCGTATAAGTAAACACACCGACACAATGGCCGAATTGAAGGGCATAACCTACTCATCCGAGGAGACAGATCTCGGACTCGAGCAGCAAGCATCAGCACCCCCGCTCGATCGCAAGTACCTTCGGGCTAGCCACGATTACCAACCCGAACGAACTACCATTTCTGGTTCCTCGGGCGGCATCTCCATCACCGCCCCTTTGCGAGAGGGCGATATAGTCTTGATACATCTCACTCATCCCAACGGCTGGGCAGATGGAACCATCCTCTCCACTGGTGTCCGAGGCTGGATCCCGACCAACTACTGTCACATTTTCGATCCTCTACCGATGCGCTCCCTCCTTCACGCATTGACTCGGATGTGGGACTACATGAGCTTGGGTGCTAACGATGAAGCCCTGTTTGAGGATCGACAGGACTGTGTCCAGGGTCTGATAGCAGGCGTTCGACGCTTGCTGGAGCACTGTGACTGTCTACACAGGGACGATAGCCTCATTGTGAAGAACGTAGCTCTGAGACGGACACGGAAGAGTCTTCTGGCGGACCTCTCATGTCTCTTGAAGACTCGCGACGGTATCCACAATACCTTTTCCGATTCTTCCGATTCGGCTGAGTGGACCACTGTTGACAAGTATCTTACGAAGGCTTTCAGGATTGCATGTAGAGGTGCACGATTGCTGGATATTTGGTCTCAAAATTCATCTCCAAGGCAAACGCGATCCAGTATGCGCCATAGCGACGCTTTCGAAAGTCCCCAGACTGCAAGAGCTTCGATGCATATACGTATTCCGCATACGCCACTCGCGAATGTTGACGAGCAATCTGCTCAGCCTTGTAGTTCTGACTCCGTCAGAGAGATCCCAAGATTCCAGCTCCAGGTTCTTGAGTACGACGATACTTCTCAAGCCACAAAAATTGTCAACGAGCACTTTGGTACCGAACTTGACGCAGAAGCGCAGGTGCTGCCGCACAACACATCGTCGCCAACACAAGCGCCGCGCATCACGATCGGCTCGAAGTCCATGACTGTCAAAACCCTCGCGCTCACCGAAGGGAACATGTCCGACCTGGCGTCCGAGCGTCTCACGGCCGCCCATGAGCAGTTCCTGGGCGACATTGGTGCCTTTATAGGCCTTCATTTGCAGTCTAGAACATCTCTAGACTTAGCAACGACGACTCGGCTGTCCATCAGAGCAGCAGAGGATCTATTGGTGATCATCAGCGTTATCTCAAGACGCAATCCTGGTCGGTCCCAAGGTATAGCATTGGCCTCAGACAATGTGCGCATGAAATTAGCGACGCTTGCAGAAACTGCGGACCGCTTGTGCAGAGTGCCTGCCGAACAAGATGAGCCGGAAATTATAGGAGTTGTGGGCCCCGAGAATGGGCGAGGACTTGTGGCTGCAGCAACCGCTTGTGTCCGAGCGGCAGGCGACTGCACTGCAAAGACACGAAAGTTTCTCGACCATATAACTGGCGACTTCTTCCTCCCATTCGATTCCAATGGACAACACCAAAATTCCGCCACTGCCATTTTAATCACGCCACCTGGCGAAATTGTTTCTGGAAATTGGTCGGAAGTCACTCCCGGTGCCGCTAACCCGCAAGATTGCGACTCCGCCCAGAGTAAACTCTCAATACGAGACTTACCACAGAGACCAGGCTGTCTAATACGCTCGGCGACCGATGACACCAACAATTTCTTACTTTCTTCGGTCTTCCCGGATGGAATCATGCGAAGGTCTGATTCTTCTCCACCATTGATGATACCATGTGAGCCGCCGCCAATATCGCCCACTTCGCCAACATCATCCGAACCACCATTGCAACCACCTCCATCTGCAAATGAGTCACCCGGGCATCATCAGGACCACAAGGAGCACTGGACTCCACCTGACAGGAAGGGAAGTCTAGGCATGTCTATGACGGAGACTTCTAGCGCCTACCAAGACAGCTTGAGAAATTCGATTGGTAGCGTGACTTCGCCAACATCCACGAGAGCCACAGCGCCAGACAGATGTCAACGACACGTTCGCGCCAACCCTAGTCTCTGCACGTACGGTAGTGCATTGAGTGTCACAACTTCTGCCGATGGCAGCGATCATGACGCTGAGGTTCTAATGAGATCATATGCTCATGAACTGCTGTACAATAAAGACGGACAGATCGTTGGTGGAACGCTGGCAGCGCTCGTCGAGAAGCTCACCAGTCAGCATGCTCCTCCGGAACCAGAATACAACACGGCTTTCCTGCTCACATTCAGACTTTTTACCAATGCTGTAGAGTTGACGCAAGCACTGATTACACGGTTCGAGTATGCTGGGGACTGCAATACAGACAGCTCTCCTGCACGTCTTAGGGTGTATAATTTCTTCAAGACCTGGCTCGAGTCGCACCATCTGATGGAAAGCGACGGTCCGGCATTGAGGACCATATACTCATTCGCAGTGGAGCAACTAACCCCTCGATTCTCCGGCCCAGGCCAACGTCTGGCCGAGCTGGCTAAGAAAGCCTTTCAACTGAAAAGTACAAGCACAACAAATCAATTGGTCTCTGCCATCGGTAAGACCTGCGTGTCTTTGGGCACCGACTACGAGAAGACCATCATCCCTCATGCCAACATCAACAAGGAGCAATTGTACCTCTTGATGGGTGGTGTCAATACCAGAAAGTTCACTTTGTTAGATCTGGACGCAGTCGAGGTCGCTAGACAACTCACTATCATTGAATCGAAGATCTTCTGTGCTATACAACCTCAAGAGCTACTTGGTCTTGAGTGGACAAAGAAGAGTGGGCATGCGGCGAACGTCTTGGCTATGTCGAAGTTCTCAACCAACCTCACGAATCTCGTCGTCGATACGATCCTTGCTGCCGATCAAACGAAGAAGCGTGTTGCTATGCTCAAGCACTGGATCAAGATCGCGAAATTATGCCTCGACATTGACAATTACTCTGCTCTTATGGCAATTGCGTGTTCTCTCACCTCATCTGCTGTTTCCAGACTCCGTCATACATGGGATCAGCTGTCAGCCAAGACCATGGCCGCTTTCGAGGAGATCAAAGAAATCGTTGACGTCTCGCGCAACTACGCGGCCCTCAGACATCGACTGCAGACCCCGAAAGCTCCATGCCTTCCGTTCGTCGGCATGTATCTGACTGATCTTACCTTTGTTGATGCTGGTAATTCAAACACACGTCCTCTACCAAATGACGATGAAGAAGGCACGGAGGTGAAGATGGTCATCAACTTCGACAAACATATGCGCTCCGCGCGGGTTGTCAGCCACCTCCAACGCTATCAGGTTCCCTACCGTCTCCAACACGTACGCGAGATACAAGACTGGTTGGAAACGCAGCTGCACAGAGTCGACACGAGTGAACAATGCACTGTGATGAGCTTTTGGCGTCGCAGTCAGGCATTGGAAGCGCGTAGCAATGCTGACGAACGTCGCGAGTCGACCGAAGAGAAGGAGAAGATGTCTAGCAGTGGCTTTATGGGCAGCATGCTCAGACCAAAAAACAAAGCCAGTGTGTCGTCCGGACTCAATGCCTTCTTGCACCGCGTCAAAACGGGAGGGTCGAGCCACACGGCCGACTGAGATTCGCATACCCCAGAGACGCTTTCATTTAGTTTTATCGCTGGAGTACGATGAGAGAGGAAATCAACAATACGTCGCTAAGCATGGAGTTATGGAAGATACCATTTGTTTTGAATCGGCTGGGTGGGACTTTAGCGATAGAAGAAAGCGACATGATATTTTACATTCAGTGTTGCTCATCGGTGGCAGAAGAGAGCAGAACTAGAAGAATATGGTGTACATAGTAGCTTAGGGGCGCCATTTTATTAGCATGATGAACGACTCTCGTATGTTACAGCTCGTTGGCTTCCTCGAGACCAGTCACAACATACCATCAACGCATACTCTTTCACACTCTGCGTTCGAGCAATGATGCCACTTTTATAGAAAAGGGATGATAGAGTTACATGTGTTGGAGACAAAGAGAAAGAGGAGGCGAATATTGTTCATAGCACATTACTGACAGGTCGAGGTCGGTGGGTCAAACCACTACTCGACCTTACGCCCATGACGACCGTCATCACCATTCTCATACGGACCACCCTCCTCCTTAGCAAGACCCTTCTTCTCATTGGTATCTTTGCTCTGTTGACTCCACTCTGGTGCCTCATCCTTGCCAGCATCCTCCTCTTCATCACCCTCCTCCTTTGTCTTGTGCACCGTTCTCGGGTCATGCTCAGCAGGGCTGTAGACGGTGACCAGCTCCAAAGGCTGGTCCTTGCTGGTATTGTAGAATTGATGCTCTGTTCCTGCGGGAACAACCACGACGTCGCTGGCCTTGACGTTCTATTTTTGATCTCTCGTCAGTCACTGTATTCACTCTGTCTACTATCGAGTAGAGAGCTATTCTTACCTGTTCCTTTCCAGCAATAACAGCCTTTCCTGTTCCAGAGGTGAAGATCAAGACCTGGTCGACGAGATGCACTTCATTGCCAATATCTCCACCGACAGGAATCTCCATGGTGACGAGCTGCGAGTACAAGCCAGTATGAATGACCTTTCTGAATTGGCCAAACGCGCGGACCTTTGAGGTCAAGCCCTCAAAGTACTTCATCTCATGCTTAGGAGGTTCAGTAGACATCTTATCGTCTTTTGCGAAGAAGCGTGTAGATGTGGTAAAAGTACGGGGGATTGATGTGGAGGTAGTAGTCGCGAGGAAGCTTTTGTTGCGGAGAGTGTTGCGAAGAGTTGTTGATGTGAGGCGGGAGGGAAACATTCTTATGATTGGAAAGAAGAGGGGGAAAATTGGGAATGAGAGCTAGCTACCAATGGTTATGAGCACAAACAGATTGACCTTGCAGTTTTGATCGATGTGGTCATCACTTTACAATCTCGTGATGGTGAGATTGATCTGGGCTTGCGATGACGTCGACACATTGATGGTCTGACCCACACAATGAGCACATCCATGAGCACAACATCTTAAAGCTCAACGACAAGCACCATGTTTAGCCGGCATAAAGCGATCAAACGGTTTACATCAACATGGACTAACAATGAATGCTCAGCTCTGGTGCTCTCTAAGCCGAATATTGACATTCGGCGAAGATGTATGCGTGTTATTGGCTCCACCATCAGGATATGTGAGCTCGCTCCTTCTAGATATTGAGTGAAGCTTCATTACGGAATGGATTGGATTGTAAGATATTAGAAGTTCAAAAGAGACCGTTATCAATTCCCTCGCGCTGAATTCAGCAGTTTTGTTGGTCGTAGATTGCATTGCCGTTGCGGTCAATGACACCAAAGCTGGGCGACGCTTGGTAGTCCTGGTGGACATACCAAAAGATGTGGACCTGCTTGAAAGCCGCACAAGCTACCTGCTTCCAGAATGTCTGAGCGTTCTTGATGCTGGCGACTCCGTTGCCGTACTTAGGTCCACTGACAGGCCACCCGGTCTCAGTGACCCAGACCCATTTACCAGGAGAAACCTGGTTGACGACATTGCGTACTCTGTCAATTGCCGACCAGAAAGCGTTGCTTGCACCCTCAATGCTACTTCCTTCGAAGTACGGGTATGCATCTGAAGGTCGTTAGCAACACATCCGCTTGAAGCAATCGGCGTAGGCTTCAACTTACCAAGACCAATGAAATCGGAGGCTTTAATGACTTCAGTGTTCGCACCGTCGACCCATGCCGTCCAGGTGTCGACGTGTCCGACATCCTTCTTCACACCCATGGCGCGAACCATTCCGCGAACGTCGTAAATCTTTGTTGCAAGTGCCCCAGCACTGGTTTCCTTGCGGTACAAATCCTCACTTCCAACACTAATGGCAATGATCCAATCTTGACCGTACTTCTTGATGGCACTTTCGAGGGCATCCTTCTCCCTCTTGAAATGGCCGTCATCTTGGGTCCAGACACCAACAAGCAGTTGAGTTCCTGTTGAAATGGCAGCAGGCACTGCAAGAGCCAATGTGTTGCAGTCGCTGGAAGCGTATAGTCGAACGGAGGTGAAGTGGCCGGGAAGCGAGGATAGCTTGTGGAAAGCAGAGACCCATTGTGCCTGTGTCTTGCATGAGCCATCCGGGTTCTCGGCAGCGATATTGAACCCCTTCCAGTATGCTTGGGTAAAAGGTACTGCAGCAAGCAGGGCGGCGGCGGCACTGAATAACTTCATTGTGTATATGGATGTACCGAAACCTGGTCGGCTTTGCTATGAAGTCGGCAGAATATATGCTACACTTAGCAATGGACGCGTTGTATAGGCGAAGTAGATGCGGTATTTGATGCACACAAGTAAGTGGTGTTGTTGTGCAGATATGAGGTCTTGATGCTCCAGGCGAGTAGATGACCGTACAGAAGAAGGAAACAGGAAGCAGCGACCAGGACCTGCCTTCTGTTATGAATTTGGAGTCAAGCCTACCGCGTGAAAACTAAAGGGGGCGCGACTATGGCTGTAACGGCGGGCAAAGTCTGGTGGACACGATCGCGCATGACTTGTACGACTGGATCGCTCTTGACGGGCTAAAGACACGCCATTGGTAGTCACTCTCTGATGAGCCATGCTGTCCTAGGATACTTGCTCCATCCGTTAATATCAAGATGAAACTCGGGCACATCTTCTCATCCTCCACACTGGCTCCAGCCTTGACCGTTGGCGTTGTGGTCAGTGGGCAAGCCTGAGCAGATGGGTATCCACACGTTGTGATTTTTTGCAGCAATGTAGGACTGGTCTCGTGATGGCGCCGAGCTCCATGAACAGCTCAAGGCTTGCCGTCGATGAGATGTGTAGAAAGAAGGTGAGAGCACATGGAGATGAGAGGAGGCCATCGAAGTCGATCTTTTCGCTCGGACCCCGATGCGACATGTGAACTCGTAACGATGAAACAGCTATTCCCATGCTACGCCGCTGTCTTGGCCATGTGCTACCATATTCGCCATGAGCCCCAGGCTGCACTCGGGCTACACTGCTGCTCAGATACATCAATACTACGATCGCATCAATCTTCCCGCCGGATATCGCCATGAGCCAGGTCACGCCAGCACACACGTCGCCTCACAGACTTCGACAGGTCTGGAGCTCTTGAGCGCTCTTCAGCGCTACAACCTCGCCAATATTCCGTTCGAGAATTTAGACCTTCACTATAGCTCCCACCATAGCATCAGCATCGATCCTCAAGAGATATTCGAAAAGATCGTCCTTAGAGGTGATGGAAAAGGAGGAAGAGGTGGATACTGTATGGTGAACAATGCCCTCTTCGCAAACGTCCTACGCGGCCTTGGGTTCCATGTGACTAGCCACGGCGCCCGTATCAGCAGCTCAGTGAGCGCTGCGAAAGACATTCCTCTAGCCGACGTCTCCTTCTCAGGCTTCAGCCACATGGTCAACCTGGTCACCTTCGCGGACAACCCAAGCCTCAAATATCAGGTTGATGTAGGCTTCGGATCCGGTGGTCCCACTGTTCCGTTCCCTCTACAACATGATGAGAAGGGCAAACTCAATATAGAGCCAAACGACTGGGCCAGAGTCGTCCACTCGGCCATCCCAGGTACTGCCTCGGACCAGAAATTCTGGATTTATGAAAAACGCACAGGCGATCAGAACTGGAGTCCTTGCTACTGCTTCGCAGAGACCGAGTTTCTCGATGTCGATTTCAAGGTAATGAACTACTGGACTAGCACATCGACTGAATCTTGGTTTACCAAGATACCTGTATGCCTCAAGATGATCTTGAATGAGAGTGGAGACAAGATCGTGGGTCGTAGGAGTGTTTTCAAGACGAATTTCAAGAAGGAGGTTAGCGGCAGTGCCCCGGTCAGTAGAGAGTTGATATCGGAGGAGGAGAGAATCAAGGCGATTGAAGAAGAGTTTGGCATCCCTTTGAGTGACGAGGAGAAGAAGGGCATACATGGTATGGTGTCTGAGATCTCATAGATTGGTCTAGAAGTAAACGATATTTTGCTGGAACCTATCAGCTAAAGTCGGTGACCACGGCATAAGACTGTCCAGCTTTCGACAAGTCGAAAACCGATCCGAGTGACAAGCAACCTCAATCAGACCAGCGAACATATCAGTCAGGTCTTGTCAAATTGTTCGTCCTGTACATGCCAACATCTATGTGTTCACGGGCTCTAGGCTACGAGAAGAATCGATCAGAATCATGGAATGCTTGTTAACAGGGCGACCCTGGGCGAGCAAGGTGAGGCCTTGGCGGTGCAAAGTCCGGGGCGAAAGTCCGAGCGGGTTGCGGGTCGACAAAAGTTCTCCAATTATTTCTTACGTGTCCAGCAAACACACATATCACAACCACAATCATGGTGAAGCGCAAGTTGAATGATCAGGATGTTCCTGAGGTGGCAGAGGCCGTAACGGTAGTCGAAGAGAAGGTGGAAAAGAAGACGCCGACAGTAAAGAAGACATTCGCCGAACTGGGACTGGATGCGCGCCTTCTCCAGGCCATCAACAAGGAGAAGTTTGCTGCGCCGACACCCGTACAAGCCCGCGCGATTCCTCTGGCTCTCTCGGGCAAGGACATCCTTGGTAAGTGGCAGACGTGTGGTTGGACAAGTCGCAGGACTAACAGGAAACAGCACGAGCAAGAACCGGCTCTGGCAAGACGGCAGCATACCTCCTCCCCATCCTCCAATCCATTCTCCACCGCAAATCCACACAAGCCTCGTCGACCAAGACAACGTCGGCTCTCATCTTGGTGCCCACTCGCGAACTTGCTGGCCAGGTCGCAAAGGTCGCTCTGTCGTTTGCTGCTTTCTGCGGCCAAGAAGTGCGCATCGAGAACTTGACTCGCAAGGAGGACGACAAGGTCGCCCATGCCCGTCTGATCGAGGCCCCCGATGTCGTTATCGCTACCCCCTCGAGGGCAACCAGCCTGGTCAACGCCTCTCTTTTGCAGCTGCAAGACCTCAGCCACCTCGTAATCGACGAAGCCGACCTTGTCCTTTCATATGGCCACGACGAAGACCTGCAGAGCCTGTCAAAGGTCATCCCTCAAGCCGTACAAACAGTCCTGATGAGCGCCACACTACGGACCGAAGTCGACACGCTCAAGGGAATGTTCTGCAAAGACCCCGTTCTGCTTGAATTCGACCAGGAAGAGAAGGAATCGTCAGCCCTCACACAATACGTTGTCCAGTGCGGAGAAGACGAGAAGTTCTTGCTCATCTACGCAATCTTCATGCTCAAGCTGATCAAGGGCAAGTGCATTGTCTTTGTCAGCGACATTGACCGCTGCTACCGTCTCAAATTGTTCCTCGAGCAATTCGGCATCAAGAGCTGTATCTTGAACTCGGAACTGCCAGTCAACTCGAGACTGCACGTTGTGGACGAGTTCAATCGCGGTGTTTACGACATCATCATTGCTAGCGATGACAGCGAAATCGTCGGAAACGAGGAAAAGTCAAGTCGCAAGAGGAGAAAGGTTGAGGCTGTCGACGACGACGCAGAGGCAACCGCCGTCGGCGGAGAAGCAGCAGACGTTCCCGAGGAGACTGCTGCAGAGAACGACGACGAGGACAAGGAAGAGAAGGCCACAGAGGAAAAGCCAAAGAAGAAGCAAAAGCGCTCAAAGCTCGACAAGGAATTCGGTGTCTCTCGTGGTATCGACTTCAAGAACGTCGCCTGCGTGCTCAACTTCGACCTCCCCACTTCATCCCGCAGCTACACCCACCGCATCGGCCGTACCGCTCGTGCCGGCAGGTCTGGCATGGCTCTCTCCTTTGTCGTCCCCAAAACTCTCTACCGCAAACACAAACCCACCACCATTCCCTCGGCCGAACACGACGAAGAGACCCTCGCCAAAATCACCCGCCAGCAAGAAAAGAAGGGTCAAGAAGTCCTCCCGTACCACTTTGACATGAAGCGTCTGGACGGCTTCAGATACCGTATGAGCGACGCCCTTCGCTCAGTAACCCGCATCGCCATCCGCGAAGCCCGTATTCGCGAGATTCGCTCAGAGCTGCTCAAATCGGAGAAGTTGAAGCGCCATTTCGAGGAGAATCCTACAGATTTGCAACATTTGAGGCACGATCAAGAGAGCCATGCTGTACGCGTGCAGCCGCATTTGAAACACGTTCCAGAGTATTTGTTGCCTGGTAACTCGGCGGTTGCTCAAGGTGCTGGTGATGGTGGCTTCGTTGGCTTTGGCAAAAGTGGAGAGAACAGAATCAGAAAGGCGAGAATGCAAAATAGAATGAAGGGCAAGGGTAAGGGAAGGAAAAAGTCCGACCCGCTAAAGTCGTTGAGTGCGAAGAGGAAGTGAGCGTTTCATTCTTGTTGATAGGCGGGAAAATATCATAATCATTGCTCTTCTTGTCTACTTCGTAGTCCCTGAGTGTACTGTTTGTTGTCCATCACCGTCCACATGTTATTCACCTGCTATCTAGTTTGACCTTTTCGCGGTCTTTCCCTTTGTGCCAGCTTGACCCTTGGCTTCACGGGTAGCCTGCGTGTGTTCCACCTTCTTCAAAGTCCTGTATTCAGCATCCCACATCTGAGCTCTAATCCACTGCTCCAACTCACCATCATCATCAGGAATACCTTCCTGCTGTGTCAACTTCTCCTCTTGTGCCTTTCTGATAACTGCTGCCGCAATCTTGACACTGATTTCGCGAACATTAGTTACATCAGGCAGTAATCCTGCATTCTCATCCTTGAGAGCAGGTGCTTGAGCGGCAAGAGCTTTGGTAGCTGCGACAAGCAGAGGTGGTGACATGAGTTTTGCGCGGGATAGGATGGCTCCTAGGCCGATACCTGGGAATGTGGTGCTGTTGTTGCATTCGGCGACTTCGTATTTAGTGCCATTGTACTCGACAGGGTCGAAGGGGGAGCCAGTTGCCATTAGAGCCTTACCCTCTGTCCATTCGAACAAGTCCTTGGGATCTGCTTCGTGCAACTTTGTCGGGTTTGAAAGAGGGAAAATGATGGGGCGATCGGTGTGTTTTGCCATTTCCTTGATGATTTCTTCTGTGAATGCCTTTGGTTTTGTTGATGTACCGATCAGGATGTGAGGTTTGACTTCGCGGACGATTTCGAGCAAGTCGTCATGTTTCTTGCCTTCCCAATCTGAATCTTTGCGTGCGTATGGGTGTTGGGCTGGTGTAAGATCGTCCTTCATCGACTCCAGGAGAACTCCGGGCTTGTCCACACACCTGATAGAAGAGTAATTAGCAGTGCAGATGAGCTGACAGTATGTTGCCGACTTACCAAATCTGCTTCAAGGCTTCTTCTTTTGATTTGTTGGACTCAACAGCAATGGCATCCGAGACTTGATCTGCGATACCGGTACCAGCGGTTCCAGAGCCGTACATTAAGACACGGACGTCCTTCATCTCAAGCTTTGCAACTTTGAGTGCAGCGTAGATCGCAGCAAGAGTGACGCATCCAGTGCCTTGAACATCGTCATTGAAGCAAGCAATCTCAGGAGTGTACTTGTCCAAGATACGACGAGCATTAGGCAGACCAAAATCTTCGAAATGGATATATGCATTAGGATATTGCTTCCTGGCGGTCTTGACAAAAGTGTCGACAAGCTTGTCATACTTTTCTCCTCTGACTCTCTCTTGAGGGAGACCGAGATAGAGGTTGTCTTCGAGCAGCTCCTTGTTGTTTGTACCGCAGTCCAGGACTACGGGAAGGGTACGATGAGGATGGATTCCAGCACAAAGAGTGTAGATGGCCAGCTTTGCAATCGAGATCAAGATTCCCCCAACACCTTGATCACCGATTCCGAGGATTTGCTCGCCATCACTGACGACAATCAGATCAATGTCTTCGGCTCCTCCCCACTGTGACATATGCTGCTCGACCTTTTCCGGTTCGTTGACATTCAAGAAGCAACCCTCAGGGCGACGGAAGAGTGTCGAATAATTGCTGATAGCCTCACCCTCAGTAGGTGTATAGATGATCGGGAACATCTCCTTGAGATGATCCTGGATCAATTTGTAGTACAACACCTCATTTTGCTCCTTGAGACTGGTCATGAAAGTGTTCTTTGCCAGATTGTCTGCTCTGGAGCCGTATTGGGCATATGCTCTCTTGACTTGCATATCAAGAGTCTGGACATTTGATGGCAGTAATCCAGTAAGATCAAACTCGTCACGCTCTTCGGCAGTGAAAGCACTGCCCTTGTTAAGATAGGCGCATGAGAGCAGCTCAGAACCCTGTAGGAAAGTCAGCGGTGTCATTTCAGAATAGCATTGAGATCGCAGTCAAACACTCACCGTCAACGCACAGTCCATAGCCTTGTTAGTCGCCAAAGGGAGATGGCTGAAATGTGTAGTCTTGTCTCCAGACATGTTGATTGTACTGCTGAATGCTTGGATAGAATAAAGTTGCTTGATAGCTCTGTGACGAAGAGAAGGACGAGACTTCAGTAAGCTAAAGGACATTGACCATTATTTGAATTGATTCCGCAATGTTTGAGTTGCACAGAAATGCAGATGTTGGTGATAAGTTCCTGCTATCCTGTTGCTGGCAAGCTCTCTGTGACGTGTGTCTCGATTAGGCCCGAAAGCAAAGTCGCAAACGTCCGCGGGAAGGGTCGGCCACAACAACAACCACTGCTGGCGTACGTACGCACTTCCAACAACCAACACATCAACGTCACTGGATGTCAAAGATCCTAGATACGGGGTACGCGATTGAGTCTGGATCTCGATGCCCGTCTTTTGATGTTTATCCCAGCGCTGTCGAGCTCCGCTTTATGGGCACTCGTAGAGGAGGTCTACCTCTACATGGACCACGAACGCACTGTACAATACCAGACTATTCGAACCTTCTTGCCATAGGTTCCCCAGAGGTTCCTGCTTAGCGTGCATCGCTATTAGCCCAGAAGTATCTTGTCCGGATCTGCCTAGCCCCTTGGTCTTCCTTCCGTCAAATCTCTTGATCTTCCTGTCAGCTCTGCGGACTTGTACATATCATCTCTCCAGAGTACATATACTCAGTGGTGGTGACGTAACCCTATGATCAGTTGGCCACTAGATACAGGCTACTGCTTCTCTAGTTCGTCGGTCCGGGGAGCTCCGCTTGTCAAACATCGACGTTGCCTCTTCCTTAGAGAAAGTCACCAAAACATCCCCATGTTGCTTCCTAGCTCCCCCCGCTCTATCGAAAAGTACTTATATTAGTGAGATCAGAGTTTTAACCATGGAGATATGGCCGAGTGGTTATGGCGCTAGTTTCAGGCCATGAGCTTACTAGTGGGCAACTGCGTGGGTTCGAATCCCACTATCTTCAATATTCTTTTGCTCTGGCAGTACTGTTTTGCGCCTGACGAAGATGTCATGATGTGTACGAACTGAGTGCGATCAATTGGGTCAGGTTTGGAGAAAATCGGTGCGGCGTTGCTCGGCCACATCTCCAATGCATAAGTGGGCTTCAGGGTCGTCTGTACAAGTCCGCAGAGCTGCTACGCAGCTCAGCTGAGTTTCAGTCCCGAAACTCAGCGTTCACGAGGAGTGATACACCTTGACAGGTTTGAGGGCGAACTTCATCGGAGCTTATAATAACCCGGCTAGTTATCATCTTGACAATCTGGAGCCAGGTAAATTCAAGGCGAGACCGAAATCCCTCAAGGGGACCACGGTAAACTCAATGACAAAAGCTATGTTTGCATAAAAACTGTTTACTAGAGAAATCAAAAAAACAACGATACCCAGAACATTACTGAGACCAGACAATAGTTGAAGAAGGAAGCAACCAGCCACCCATAGTTACACTAAAGTCCATGAGCCATTCATCCATACAGTCGTGAATTTTTGGGATTCTGCCTGCCGTCACACATCGCAACCTTCACCTTGCAACACAACATTGCCTCCATTGTGATTCTTCTTCCACCCACGACATTGACAAAATCGCAAGCTCAGTAGTCCTTGCTGATACCTTCGACAGGACCAGCGTAGTCATACTTGCCCTTGAAGTTGTAGTACAAGACCGCAGCAACCCAAGTGACACCGTAGATCAGGATGGTCCAATTCATATCCTGTGCGTCAGGGTGTGGTCTGGAAGGGAAGAACAGCATAACCCAACAGAAAGACAAGAAGATGATCGCAGTCAAGTTGACGGCAAGACCCCAGCGACCCAGACTGAAGCGACTGGGAAGGAGAGCTTCCTTCATAATTCGCTTCCTGGCCATGCATCCGATGCAAATGATGTAAGACGTCAACAGTCCGACACTGGAAAGACTGGTGATGACGTTGAAGGCTGTGTTTGAGCCGATGACAATGAGCGAGATGAGGACTGTCAGAACCACAGTAACAGTACACGCGTTGAGAGGAATGTCCATGCCAGGACGGACCTATGAGAGTCAGTCGTCTCGATCTTGGAAGGGTATCAAAGCTGTGGACTTACTCTACCGAGGAAGGAAGAAAAGGGCAAGCCACCATCTCTAGCGAAAGCAAAGAGTTGTCTTGACGTGGTCGTGACTTGATTGATGGCAGTGAAGAACAGCAGAACGCAGACGATTGCCGTGAGACCTGATGCTCCAGCCTTGGACTGCACGGCATTATAGAAGACCTGTGAAATTTGTTGGTTAGACTTGAATCCAAAGTCATTTAATGTAGTGAATCACGCTTACCTGAATATATCCCTGGCCGAATTGAGTGTCGAGTACAGATTCTACAGAATCTCCGAGGGTAAACATGAGCGTAATGACTGTCACAAAGCCGAGAGCATAGTTGACAACTGCGGTAGCGGCCATAGATCTTGGAAGGACCCATGAAGCATCCTTAAGTTCTTCCGAAAGATGACAAGCCGAGTCAGAGCCGAGAAGTGTGGTGAACGGTGATAAGATACCGACCAATGTCGATAGACCCACGTTACCCCAGCCCATGTTGTCGCTGAACTCAGTAAACACTTTCTTTGCAGGAGTTCTCTCAGCCATGACCCAAAGAACGACAATGATCGTGAAGAAGCTGAAAAAGAAGAACAGCAACATGAAACCCTCAAGCAGTGGCAATTTCTTAATTGCGACGGTGTTGATAAAGATGCAAATAATGACGATACCAATAGTCATCAGTGCAGCATGCCAACCAGGAAGCGTGTAGCCTTCGACATTGAGTGCGATTAAGCCTTGTATGTTGAGTGCAGGAGTGTACGCGCTTGCGCACATAGCGGCCTGCCATCCCAGGACACACATCCATCCTACGTGTAAAGAATCAGTAAAGACTCAGAAGTCCGAGGGCGGATTCACGAACCAACCATGTACGAAAGGAAGCGTTGGTACTTGGGCGGAGCAAACTCACTGACCCCTGTTCGTTGAGTCAGTCATGGACTTTTGTTCCTGAACTGACGACAGTCAGAGGATACTCACAATGGTATTGACCACCGGCGGTAGGCGCCCTTTGAAGTTGTTAGCATCTCACCCATGCACGATATTTCGAGGTTACGCAAGACCCACATTGATGCCATCTCGGCCATGGAAAGCATGCAGAAGAACATGCCCACAGCCACGATGAGGAACATCCATACACCGCCAGCCATTCCGCCGTTGGCCAATGTGACATTGCTAGATCTAATCGATCGTTAGTCAGTGATAGATGTATGATGACAAGATATAACAAACATCAAAGCAACGACCCAAGCATTGCCCAACAGGAGACTGAATCCCCAAATAGAAACGAAACGGAAGTTACGCTGTCGCTAGTGAGTACTCCGATCTATGTATGAATAGATTAACACATAAAGACTGACCCTGAGCTCCTGAAGCTTTCCCATTCGACGCATGTCGTAGTCATCGTCCTTGGTGCCGCCCTTTGTTGCTTCGACGGTTGCCGCATCTTCGACATCCTCGATTTGTCGCTCGAACGAACTGGCGGTCTGGACAGACGAAGAGTTCTTGATACTATCCATCTCGATGGCGGTGGAGGACATGTCGGTGGAGAGGAGATGTTCGCGCGAGCAGTGGCCCAAAGAAAACGTAGTATTGGACAAACGTCTGGTTGGAGTTACACACCGAGTTTGTACTCGGAAGAAGACAGGACGCATGCAAGGATAAATAAGTAAACTGGCTCGGGGCGACACTTCCTCGTTGGACGGTGTTCCGGCGGCAATGGTCAAAGGGAAGGAGCTAACGGATGGCAAATCTGCGCCGAGTGAATCTAGCAGAATGGCATGTCGAGAGACGGCGCAAGGGTTGCTGCGACTACCCACCTTGCATCCGACCAAACCATGGAGTCATGGTGTTACGAAGGACGGAGACTACATAGCGTCACCTCGCACAACTCTCGGCGGAAACGGACGTTGCACGTCGTTGGGAGGAGACTCAACTGACTTTACTCAAGCCACAGTAGCGCCTTGTTCTCGGAAGCCGAGAGAGATATTCACGACTGTGTTCTCTATATCGTCTTTCCTCACAATGATACAAACAGATAGGTGCAAGGGTTCTTGCACGAAGGGCGGCAAAATTATGGCGTCAGTCAGTAGGGCAAGAGACAAATACAGGTTGACAGCGGCACTCGGCCTGTCTTGGTAGTCCTGCAAACACCTTGCAGATGATTTTACTTCGTTATTTCAGTTCGATTGCGAGGCTTGCAGCGAGGGTGTCAGATTTGACAAACGCCAAGAAGTGAGCGACATCTTCCGAGGGTGCACGACATTTCCCACTTGCGATTCTGCAGGACATAACCGGGATATTGTTCCCCTTCTTCAGGATCAGCTATGAACGATTGCATCGAGGCTCTTGAGCATGATATTCACGGAAGCGCAGTGCATTGAGACTTGTTCGAGATCAGCAGCGCGTCTGGCTGATGTGGCCATGAAGAACACAGCTTGAGCATAGAGAATGACTTGCATACAAATCGTCTCTTGCTGACATTGTGTTCAACGTTGAGCCTTACTGAGACAAGGTCGTGGCTCGAATCTATGCAATCTCACCTCATATGGCGAGTGAGCCCGAGGATGTCGTTGGCTATCCCTTTACCCACGGAAACGCCTGTGATACCCGACGCGTTTCGTTTTTCACCTTGCAGGGCTAGCGCATAATCCCTAGTTGTACCAATGGTCTCTTGTTCATCCTCCTCAGCCCTCGCCTGATACTGTCGAGAAAGACCGTGTCATATATGGACCAGACTTTATCGTAGCCTAAGGGTGTTCCCCCTTCTCGGCCTTTGCTTTTTCGAACTCGCTAAGGGTGATCGCGAGGCTTGATCCTGGTTGCCAATAACTCATTTTGGCACAGCCCTATCCCAGATCTCTTTCGACTATGGCACGATTCGCACAAGGAACTCCCGCTCACCTTTGGATCGCTGTCCTGATATCACTGAGCTACTCGTGCTTTACTTGGTTCCTTCGAATATATGCAAGAGTTGGTTATTATGGGATAGATGATATTGCCATCACAGTCGCGCATGTAAGTTTTCATCTTCTGGCAACTATGCGAATGTTGCTCGCTTCGCAGATCTGACCACTGTCATCACCTCTGCAATTGTTTCTTCCGAGCAGACACCTGCTTCCAATCCCCGACGCAATACGACGAACAACTTTCGTTGACGCGAAGATAGGTCACCGCCCTCGCTCAATGGGCCTCCTTGATGGTCGCACTCAATAATGGCCTTGGGGGACCAGAGGAGGCAATCGGACACCTTACCAACATGTCGAGAGTGAGTCTATCGAAAGGCCCTACCAAAAGTAAAAGTCTCTGACATGAGACAGACCATAGTTGCTAGCCAGATACTTTACCTCCTTACTGTCGGATTGACGAACCTGTCCTTGACACTGCTCATGAGGAGGATATTTACGACCAACTCGAAACACAAACTCGGATCTTATATTCTGCTTGGTGTGATATCAGCATGGCTAGTCCTTGCAGTGACTGCCATCAAGTCGAATTGCCCATCGACGCATATACTTGAAGGACAGGAGCACACATGTCCCAACGATGTAAGTGCACACACCGATCTTGAGGCAACTCAGCTGATTGAGCATAGATTTATCGGTGGAGAGCCATATTCGCGATTACAATCTGTATCGAAGCTGCGGTGATGGGTCTACCTATTTACCTTGTCAGCCACCTTCGGATCAAAGTTGGCAAGAAGATGCTTGTTGTCTCTGCGTTCGCGTACCGAATGCCGTAAGTGCTTCTTTTCATTGTCAACGAGACAAATGCTGACAAGCCTTTCAAGCATGATCGCCTTTTCTCTGTTCTACCTGAAAGTGTACAACGAAGCAGTAAACTCGGATGATCGAGTCCAACATTTTTCCAAAGTTATCGTCTGGCAGCAAGCATCAATCTGTTACAGCCTCCTATCAGCAACACTACCTTTCGTTCAAGCCTTCATGCGCAGCTTCACGACAGGTGGTACAGCTTTTGGCAGCATCATATACGGATCGCGCAATAGCCGTTCAAATAGCTCTGGCGATACTTCAAGGAGCAGATCACGCAACGAATCATTCACACCACAATTTCTGGGACGTACGAGGACAGTTTGTCGTGGAGCGGGCAAGCAGACTAACAATGAGGCACACCGTGCATCTGGTGGATCTCAAGAATTGATTGTACGGCGCGAAGTCACTGTAGCTGTGACTCAGGGTTGAAGACTTTCATTTCCGTTCGAGGGGAGATCGCCTTATACTTCATCAATGTCAATCGGACATATTGAAATCACATATTCATGCATATATAATGACCTGTCTAAAAAAGCTGTCCAGATCTCTGCTGACCGAGCGGCACGGAAATAAAGATATGCCTAGACTTAATTGTGTCACAACGAAATGGTTAGTGCTCGAGGACCACTATTGCGCCCCAACATTTTGTGCCTTCTTCACACCGTTCTTTGATCAATGCAAACCATATGCGTCCCGAGCGGCATACCAGATGTGAGCATGAGGCAAGGGCTCGGCTTATGCAGGATCAATATCTGGAAGGCGCTCTCGAAACGAGCACCTGCATGGGCGGCTGCATTGCCACGTGCAGTCTGGTGCTTTCAGAATGAGACTCCCAACATCGATCTACTTTTTCTCTATTCTCGTCCTGCAAGAGTTGTCTGTTTGCAGGGTCCCGACCTGCTGTGCTCCGTTGCCACGCGCTCTTTGCCGTGCTGATCATCAAACATGCACTTAGCACTCGGAAGCTGAATATAAATTCGCACATTAGCAATGCAATGCACTGAATCAATTGGTATCCCAAGCAGTTATCGCTTGGCTACGGCTTGTCGTATTTCTTACAGATATGAAAAGGTCGTTTTGCCCAGAAGATCTTCACTGTAAGACGGATAACGTAGTCAGGTATCAGCTATGCGTGTATCACGATCTCGTCTCGGCGCCTATATGATTTCAGGCTCAGTTAAGATCGACTCCGAATGCACCATATATCAACCGAAAGGGTCCACCAGAATCACTTGGCTTCCAAGCCATCTGTCATACAGACAAGACCTTGGTATGATCCAGAATGAAGACGATGAGTGGAGGATATCTCCTCCATCCTTGCTTTCTCACCTATTCTTCTTGGCCTCTGGCATGAATCAGACTTCATTTCTGGCGTATTGGCTGCGTCTCGGCAACAAGGTCAAATGTCGCAGACACGAGCATGATTGCCATAGACCGCATGTTCTCTTCGAATCTGCAACAGTGAGTCCATCCACCAAAGTCCCATGTCTCTATACATCATGTTGTTATCGTAGATTCGAGGCTGGCTGCATGCGATAACCTGTATAACGAGTAGCTCAAGGCCTGCATTGTCACACACAGCGCTGACATTCCTTGACTTTTGGATGCTAGTCAACATCTTACACAGCGGCGGGGCCTGACTCCTGACGTGAGGGATCTTATGGGCTAGCGTTCGGGTGTGAAACTTCGTGGCCATGTCATTATGTACATACTCATGGATCAACCGCCGTGTAGCGGCATACGTCAGAAGTCGCTTTCCATCTTCGTTCTGAGGCTTAAAGAGCGGGGGTATCTGCGAACAAAGCTTTGGAGAAAGCCTCGGGATATCTCGAGCCAGCAACCTCCGCGGCTTCGGAGGCCTTTCGAATCTCATTCTTCTCCTCGTCAGTAAGCTTGACATTCAAGGCGCCCAAATTCTCGTCAACACGGCTGAGATTGGTGGTGCCGGGAATGGGGAAGATGTCGTCGCCCTGAGCCATCAACCAAGCAAGAGTAATCTGAGAAGCAGTGAGATCCTTCTTCTTGGCAATCTCGGTGATCTGGTCCACGAGCTTGAGGTTCTTGGGGAAGTTCTCAGCGCTGAAACGAGGAGCAAATTTACGGAAGTCGCCCTCTTCGAAGTCGTCGGGACTTCTGATAGAGCCTCCCAACATACCACGGCCGATGGGCGAGTATGCAACAACAGCGACACCCAACTCGCGGCATGTCTTCAAGAGACCAATTTGCTCACTCTCAATATCAAGAGAGAAGGGCGAGTATTCGATCTGGACTGCCGTGATGGGGTGTACGGCATAGGCACGTCGCAAACTCTCACTGCTGACCTCGGACAGACCCAAGTACTTGATCTTGCCAGCTTCCTTGAGCTCCTTCATCGCCTGGACTGTCTTCTCGACCGGGGTCTTGCCGTCCAGACGGTGAGCGTAGTACAAATCGATGTTCTTGACCCCCAAGCGAGACAGAGACTTGTCACATGCCTTCTTGCAGTACTCAGGACTCGAGTCAACGATAGGGTTGCCCTGCTCGTCGCGCAGGTTTGCGAATTTGGTCGCAAGGAAGATCCGCTCACGCTTGCCGGGGTTGGCCTTGAACCAATTACCTGTTTGATCTCATGTTAGCGACTCAATGAGTTCGGCATCCAGACCAACTTACCGATCAGATCTTCGTTGTCCATGTACATATCTGGTCGCAATCAGTGAATGGTCAATCTAGAATCTGGTTGGCCTTATTCACCAGCTGTGTCCCAGAAGAGCTCTCCTTGCTCGTACAGTTTATCCAATACGGCAAATCGTTCCTCGTCGGGCTTGGGCTTGCCATAGAATGCTGAGAGTCCCATAGCTCCGTAACCCATTCTGGTGACATACGGTCCGTTCTTTCCCAATTGACCGGTAGGCAGCTTGGTGGCGCCGATGGCGGACTTGACAGAATCGATGACTTGTTGCATTGTTGATGTTGTATTTCTCTGCACAATTGGAGGTTTCGATGCTGGTCAAGCAGATGTCGCACTGATGGATATATATCCAAGCCCCACCCGCTGCCGGTATAATGACGTATCGAGACCGGAGATAGGCAAAGAATATCTCCGTTTGCTCATCGTACCTCCATTGCTCCATACCGCATTTGTCATTGACCAGTTTAGGAGACAGGAGTCCGATTAGATGATGAGGTAAGGTAACTGTGTAAAGTCCGGACTGCTGACATGGCAACTTCCTGGTCTCGGACGGGAACGCATTTCTAGCATAAAGTGAATATTTGCAATGTATGTACAGATTATACACAGCCTATATACAATCTAGACTGTAGTGATTCGAGATGAATGATCACAACGGAATAGGTCCTTATAAGTCCAACGAACGCCAATGCTGAAAAGCGACAAATAACAAAGGTCCAGCCCGTTGTTCTAACGTGGGTATCTCGGTCGTAAACTGGAAAAAAGAAGGCGAAAATGTTCGTTATAAATTCGTCATCATGATGCAAATGTTGTTCATAATGGATAGGTGCAGGGTGAAGCAGAACTGTCTGCTGAGGTTTGACGTTCACGCCATTCGGTTTTCATTTCGCCTGCGCTCTTCCTGCGAATGCTGAAGAAGCTCAGGGCTCGGCTGGCGACACTACTATTCGAGCTGCCTGGTAGAGATTCTTCGGTAGCCTCGCTAGGATCCTTGAGTGGATCACAGAGGGTACGAGCAAGTGGACTGAGGTTGAGGAAGAAGGGTAACAGCGTGGCACCCGTGAAGCCTGCCACGGCGACGCACATGGCGTATTGCGAATTCTGTGCTTGGCTAGCCACGTAGGATAGCCCAGGGAAGACACCACCTCCACAAACTGCAGCAACTAAGATGACACTGCCATCCTTGGTGTACTTGCCCATACCACGAATGCTCTGAGCGAATATAAGGGTGAAGAGGGGACCTTCGAAGAAGAACACCATAAGCATCATTGCTGTAGCTGTTGAGCCTGTGAAGTTCATGGCCAGGGCAGAGAACACGATTGTGCCTGTAAGGAAGAACACAAGTAGGAGGCGAGGCTTGATAATTAGCCCAGCGCCTGCAGCTACAAATCTGGCCACAGCGAACAAGGTGTGTCCTATCGCCATGTAGTTGGTCTCGTTGAACGTAGGGGCCAAAATCTCCAGGTAGGAGTCGAATGTGGTGGCGAGGACTTCTTGAGCTCCAACGTAGCAAAACATGGCAAAGGCACCAACAGCAAGAGTATACCAGATGACTCGGACGCGACCGACTGTAGCGTAATTGGCATTGTCCATACGCTCGCAGGCGTCCTCAAGCTCCTGGTCTGAAGCCTCTGGCAGTGGCACATAGAAGAAAGCGACTGCCAGTGCGGCAGTGAACAGTGCAATCCCAAGATAAGCCCATTGAGTATTAATCAAGGAAGGGGCATCGTTGGTTTGACCGAAAAGTGCTTTTTGGGCGATGAGAGGAGCAACAACAGTACCGATGGCCTGGAATCCTTGACTGAGGTTCAATCGGACCTCAACATATTCCATAGGACCACAGAGAGCGATGAACGGGTTGGCCGATATTTCCAGAGTGGATAGACCAAGGCCGACGATGAAATTGACAATGACGAAAGCCGGGAAAGAGGTCAAAACAGCAGCAGGCCAGAAGATGAGGATTCCACAAGCATATATGCTGAGACCAATGATATAGCAAGCCTTGAATCCGTAATGCCTCAAGGCTAGCCGCCCGAAGGTAAGGGGTCCAAAGAAGTAACCGGCAAAGTATGCACTGTGAATGCTCACAGACTGTCCTGGGGACATGTGAGAGATCTCCTGGAACTGCCTATTGAGGACATCCAGGAGGCCGTATTCAAATCCCCATATGAAGAAGAGCACAGTGACCATGATGACCGGGAACAAAGACTCTCTCGCGGTCATATGGACAAAACTCTTTCTGTTCTTGGTGTTGACGAAATCGAAAAATGTTGGCGTTTCTGCACGAGTGTTTCTCGTGGAGTTTGTCAGCATGGTTTGTGAGCGCTCGAGAGTGTTGTTCCGTAAATCGTCGGGAGTGGTGAGGAAATCCATCATGTCCATATCGCCGTCTTCTACAGGTTCGCGTGATGGCTGTGTTGTGAGATGAGCGGGATCCGGCATCGATGGAATACGGTGAGCCGCGGCCATCTCGAAGGTTGGCATTCGGTCAACTGAGGAGTGCTTTTCGGTAACATCGCCTTCGTCACGAAGAAGATGCGGCATAAATCGGGAGACCAAAGGCTTCAAGGCTGGAACGCAGGCACACATGATACCAACGTTGACCTCGATGGCGGACCACATGAAGGAATATGAGGCATACCAAGAGAAGTCCGTCACGTCGGAGTCACGTCCAGGGCTGCTGTCCTTCTGATAATTGAGGATCTGGTTGAGACGATAGGTCGAGGCTGATTGAAGGTAGGCGATTCGGACGATGTCGACGATAGCGACAAAGAGACCGAAACCGAAAGTGATGACAAGGATGGTCTTCTGCTTTTTAGGCAGACGCATCGAAGTCAAGATGGGCATTGGTAAAAATAAGATGGCAAGATCGGTGATGATATTGACAGGCGCAGATGAGAGGTAGATGGTGATGATATCAGTGCACTGATGGACAGCGGGCACCGGATATCTGAAAGCAGCGCCTACAGGGCTGCATTGAAATAACGTGACCAGAGTCAGGGCAATTCCAGCGGCGTTAACGACGAACAGAGTCGCTATAGTGGCCCATCGAAATGTTCTGTTAGTCTTCGATAGACTCAGGTAAAAGACAAGAATCGAGGTCTTCTCAGCCATCAATGCAGGATTGTATAGCACAGAAAAAGCATATTGTGACCTCCTTAGTGAGCCTTGCCACGAGCTAAGCACGTCATCTTCGTGACGGCCAAGGCCGACAAAGGTGCCATAGCATATAGAGAAGGAGAGACCAAAGGCGAGGAGCTTTAGAGTGTTTGTTAGCCAGATGCCAAGCTCACATGTCTGGCGAAACCTACCCAAGCGACGAGCATAAAGTAGTCGTCTAGAAGGACCTTTTTGACGACTCCAGCACGAGAGGCCATGCGAGCAAAAACGAAAACGGTCGAGCAGGTGATCATGGCCACGGTGACGGCGAAGACTGCGCTGCTGCGCGACTCGTTCCCGCCACCACTTATGGTCATGCCATTGCCCTGATCTTGATCTTGATTCGACATGTCGAGAGACGAGTTTGCGAAGGGCGATCGGTATGAGATTGAATCAACCCATTCTCCGGAACGGCTGGCGACGTTTGCGAGGGTTGTAGGACCCGTTATAGCAGAGGGGCAGGTTGCTGGGCGTAGATGATGTGTGCCTCTCTATGGCAGAGTCTTCTCTTGCGACAACTCCTTCCTTCCCCACGAATCGTTGATGGGGCGAGTAACAGTCGAGTCCAGTAGTTCGCGAGATGTCGAGGCTCGAGTGCAGAGCGAAGAGCGGGGCGACACGTGTATTTGATCGAGGGCGGTGGATTTAGGTAAAAGGCAAAGGAGAGAAGAACGAGGCCTCTGACTCTCCTTCTCCTCGTCACCCGCCCTTTCCTTCCGAGCGCTGCCACCTTCCCCAGACGATTAGATTTTGAGATGTGGAGACTTGAGCCGGCCAGCGGGCACGGCTCCCTTAGCTCGACTTGAGAGACTTTTGACGTGCATGAGCGCGCGCAGCCACATCAGTATTTCTCATACGACGTACGCTGGAGACCAGCTTTTAATCCCAGTACTGTGCGCTGTGTTGCCGGGGCAAAGACTGCTTTCGACTCGCAGCATGCTCCTGCTTACCTAGTCGCTATTTGCCCGCAGAAGCTTCTCTTCCGAGGCCTGAAGAGTCGACCGTGATGCCGCCTCTCCTTGTTCGCGTGGCCAAGACTCATCCGCCGTTGACGTCTTGATCGCTTTTTTGGTTGATCTCCGCCCAATTACACGGCGCCCTTAGCGAGCTTTGACCGCGACTGCCAAATCCTGTCGCCGAATGCGAGTTCCAACTCCCCCGCGGTTCGGCCAACAACCAGCCGGCTCACGACTCGTTGGCCACCACGATGCTGCGACCTCGAGACGACATCTCTGCTTCCCCGTCTGCAGGAAAAAGTCTCCCGTACAGCAGTGATCTGTGTCTTCAGCGCTCGAGAGCAACTTGTATCCGCCCTCTGTGATCATAACGGCACAACGTGGGATGCGAGACAACAGGACGGCTTTGCCCGCTCTGGAACAGAAACGGCCGTCAGGTCCCTGACCAATCTGTATGTGGCTGACTACGCGTGCTCTTCCTGCCCCCTACACAACCAAAAGCAATGAACTTGTTGCGACAATTGGATGTGCAAATCCTCTGCACCTGTAGACTGTAGTCACTCACTTGTGAACAATCAAGATCAGTCCACCTTCTGTGCAGCTGTATTGACGTTCCTTCACAAGAGAGGCCTTCAATCGCCTATCGGTCTCTGTTTGGGCATCGATAGACCTGATTGAGTTTCTCAGCTCCGCGCTGGAGAATTGTACAAGGACCACCGGCAATTACACGCACTTCCTTCCACGCTGCCCTAGTGTCGACCTGTGCGAACGGTAACAGGAAGCGACGAATGTTTTCACGCCTAGAAGTAGCCAGCTCACCATCCACTCGGGTGAGCAGCACACCGTATCTGGCAAAGGTATACTCACCACCGCTTTTGACCAAGATCCTGAGTTGATGAGGCTCTGTCGCGCGCACGCGGGTCATCCAAAACGGCGACAAATGGGTAGTAGTGGCAAACTCAGGCTTCATTTTCCACGCGAGAGGTGACCTGTGCATCTGTGTACAATACCTGTCGCTACATGCCGAAGCGTGGTGTTGGGACTTCACAGCAAGGATGGGAAAAGTAAAAGATGCGGATGCCCCTGGTAAAAACTCAAATTCGGGGAAAAGAGGGTCTCGAAAAGACTGCCCTTGTTTGCAAGCTACAAGCGGCTATCATGACGCTGTAGACGACGACGACCCAATTTGATAGTGGAAAGCGGTTTTCTCATGTCTGCTCTCTCGTTCGGTCGAGCCTCAAATTGCATACGTCCCTCCGCAGTGCATTCGGACAATCATCACCGCACTGACTATGTTAGCAGACCACGATATTCAAGCGGCTCCAGCGTAAATTCACTTTCAGTATCAAGGACCTAGGTAATAAATACCGCAGTGTTGCACAAGTCTGGGCCAAAGTCTGCAAAGAGCTATATTACGACAATCGGAAGACCGAGTACACTATACACCACGCTGCAAGGTTGCAAAGAAGCAATATCGCTAGGCACCCTCTCAGGATAACAAAGGGAAAAGCCAGGACTGCAAACTCATTGACCGTCAGTTCGAAAAATCGTCGAATGGACCCAATTTGCCCTGTGTTCACAACAGGGCAGCAGCTCCGATAGCTATGCCAATGACACCGGCAACGACAGGTGCGGCAATATTAGCAGCGGCGCCAGTCTGAGTAGCAGCAGCTGAGGCCGACGAAGCAGAGGCAGATGCACTGCGTGAGATCGACGAAGCAACGGATGCGCGTGTTGAGGAAGCAACGGATGCGCGTGTTGAGGAAGCAACGGATGCGCGTGTTGAGGAAGCAGCTGCAGCAGATAAAGATGCGCTTGACAGAGCCGACGAGAGTGCACCTGAGATTGAAGCGGTGGCTGACTGAGACTGTATGGCAGAGGAGCCGTATCTGTAACCAGTCAGTGTATCGATCCTCGTGTTATCTGAAACGCAAGAGTCCTACTGGCTAGCAGCTTGACAGTATTGGATTTTGTTCTGCGATGCGGTGAAAGCACCAGCGTCGTTAGGGCAGTTGTTGTAGCAAACCACCAGATTGGTGTAGCCCTGGCAAAGGCAGTCATAATCATTAGGACCACATCGCGATGTGCTTGCCTGCTGCTGAGAGACGCAGAGGTTGAGTACGCTACAAGACGTCAGTTGTCAGATACTGTATTGCGAACGAAGTCTTTCGGGCATTCGTTCTTACCTCTGAGCAGGGCATGTAGAGGTGCTCTGAGCAGTAGCGAGACAGCTGCCGGCGAGAATGGCGATCAAGGTGAAACGCATGATTGAGGTTACAGCTAGTAACTTGGTCTACTCTGCTTGTAGGTACGATCGAAGAGGTGACTACTTTTCCGGAGCAATTGAGAAGTGGCAGGCACGGGCGATGGGTGAAAGACTGATGCAGGACCGAAGAAACAGGAAAGAGCGTCACAGGCGGCGTGGTCATCTATATACAGACCCGAGCACATCGGTGCCGCAATTGTGCTCACTCATGCGCGATCCAGCTTGCTTTCCCGGCCACTCCTCACCAGTGGCGGTGGGGAGTTGCGTGTAACATGAAGCTATTCTGAATCTGGGGCTGATATAGTATCCAGATCTACGCCATCCGCCATCATCTGACTGGTGATTGGACGCACCCGGTATCTCATCCAGATGCCGTTGCCTAGTAAGGAGCTTGGCTGCGGCTCTTCTACCCATACCATACTATTCTTGCTTGCGCAAGGTGGCATGACCCCTCTCTTTTCGACCAGCAGACCAGCCAGAAGCATCTAGGGCACCGCTATTCGGGCGACCGCTTCAAACAACAGCTATTCAGGACTCCGTAGTTCTTGCCTTGCCGCGGGACACGAAAACAAGGAAGGAGAGGTAAGTGCAACGAGCACCCCGCCACGAAGAGCCGCCTGGCTGGCAAGTACAGCCTCTATCGATACATGCAAACCACTACATTAACAACATTTTGATCACCACAACTCCATATTTTTCCACACAAGAGATGGTCTTACCTTGACGCCTCCAAGTGCCGTTATCAACTTCTCATATAGTGGCTATCCGAAGCTGTCTTTCTGGTGCGAAATGTCCAGCCTCTTGGCCCGATGAGCTCTGGCGGTCCGTGCATCCATCTATCAGAAATTTGACAGAAAATATTCTACTAACGGCAACAGGCTCTAGCCTCACTGCTGGCCCTCCGGCAGATACTTGAGCAACACCAGACGTTCAAGTAGACAACATTAAAGGCTCGATCCGATGTTGAGCCAGCCGACTGTATTGCATTGCCATCTCGATCTATCCAGTACCACTGCTGCATTGTATAGATTTTCTCTCACCGATGGGTGCTTCACCTGTCAGTCGTAGTGGTTTAGTGGTAAAATTCGTGCTTGCCATGCACGAGCCCCGTGTTCGATTCACGGCTGCGACATTGTTTTGTCTCCTTCTCTTTTGCTCCACCGATACACACCATTGAGATGTCTGCCAGACTTCAGATCAGACAGGGGACTTTTGTCACGAGGCTCTCGTTGTGTTCGCTCATCGATGAGAGAATGAGGTTTGGAATAATGGATCGACGGTTTGACAATGAGTATGATGCTCGCAAGCACAGTATGTATGTAATTATGATTTATCTATGTGAACCGCAACTCGACTAGGTACGGAACTGGCCATAGGCCGCTGTCAAAGCCTGGAAACTTGCACTGCGGTATGTGTCGGGAAGAAGGTTGTTGCCAACCTGCTGTAACTGCAACAGTGTAGGCTTGGTGGTGTTGTACTGAGGCCAGTAAATGTTAGGAAGCCCGGTACCAATGGCATTCGGGTCAAGGAAGTTGATGAACGAAGTGTAGTAGTCGAGGTAGGTCTTCTGGGAAGTACCGCCAGCCACACCGAAGAAGATGCTCAAGAGATCACTGCCGTGGAAAGTTCCCAATACTGCTGTGCCGTACAAATGGCTGTCAAGATAGCTCCATGCGGGAACAGTGGAGGACACGGTGTACAGAAGCTGACGACGACGCAGGTTGAACACAGCATCTCCGAAGAGGGCGGCCAGACGCTTGTACTGAGGGTAGATGTTGTTCAAAAGTCCAGTCCTGAATGGCGATCCTGCAGCTGGGTCTTCTGGATAAGTAGCAACGGCTGTAGCTACAACAGACTTTGGTGTGTCGGGGAAGGCGCTGGCAACGTAGTCGAGCAATTGTTGACTGGTCGTGATGTTGCTCTGTACTAAGCTGAACAACGGGCCTTCATCCTCCTGGTCTCCAGAGATGATTGGTACTTTGGCGTAGTTTCCATTCTGGTTTGCGACTTCGGGAGAAACTGGGAAGAAGGAGCTTGCAGGATCTGGACGAGGAAGGTATGCCAACGCGATAGACTGGTAACTGAAAAGTCCGGGTACAGACTGTGAACGTGAATTAGCAGTTGTGAGCATAACGAGAATCCGTTGACTTACATCGGCAGCTCTCATGAAGGTGTCGTAGTCTACACTCCTCAGACATTCAAGCGTGTCACTGCTACCACCACAGCCAGCTGCGTTGACTACAACATCATACACAGCTTGTGCCTTGGGATGAGCAACGTCCACAGCAGGAACAATAGATCCAGAGTTCATGATGGCGCCTCTGAATAAGGGTTTGCCGTTGTATTGGTGATCTCCACCGTTGATGATCATTTGATCATAAACCGAAATGGCACCACTACTTGTTGTCAGTGCCCGATTCATGGCCAGCAAAGTATGCAACTTACGCTGATTCTCCCCAGATAGTAACCTTGTCCGGGTCACCTCCAAAGGCCGCAATGTTCTCGGCAACCCACTCGAGGCCCTTTCTTTGATCTCTCAAGCCAAGGTTAGTGGAACCATCTGCTTGGAGCTCCTTGCCAGCAAGCCAGCCAAATCCTCCTACGCGGTAGTTGACTGCCACGTAGATGACACCATGTCCCAAAGCGGCAGATTCAGCGACCAGAGGGGTACCATCGTACATCTGAGTAGATCCCAGCTCGAATCCTACATGCTGTAAGCTTTCGTCTTTTTCCTATGTTTAGCGTACTGCTTACCACCACCAAAGATCCAGAACACTACAGGCAGCTTCGAAGACGATGTGGTACCAGCAGGGCGTTGAACGTTGAGGGTCAAGCAGTCCTCTCCAGAGTTAGAAGCTGCCTGCACAATGGGAGACATGAGAAGCTCTCCAAGAACATCGGCTGGGATGTCAGAGCTGTCGACCTGGCTAGCAAACTGAGGGCATGCTTTCGGCTCGCCAGTAGCTGCAAATGTTCCTGATGGGTAGGTCGCGGTCACAGACTGAGGAGGCTTTAGGCGAAGGCTACCGGTAGGAGGGAGAGCGAATGGGATGCCCTTGAAAGAGTCGACATTGCCTAAGGTGCTTCCGACAACTGTTCCGTTTCTGACAACCGCTGATGGACCAGTAGCACGCTTCTCGTCTAGAGGAGCGGCGAGGACGGCAGTAAATGCAGTGGCGGCGAAGAGGATGGATCGCATGGTGTATCAATGTATGCGATTATGAGGAGATGTGTCTTGGTCGGCGTGGTGATAGAGAGTTGCAGCAGTGACTTACTTATACTGTTCCCATGATGCCCGCGCTCAACTTACGTGACAGATTCCAAATTGCTCCAGTGAGCCTAAAACACATGAACGGCCGTAACAATGGTATATCCACCATGATGTGGTCTCTCCCGCCGAGGTCGAGGGCAAGTGCGAAGCATCACGCGGACAAGCTCGCAACGGTGAGTGAATGGAGGCAAGCCATCGCTGTCCGTGGGCCACAGACGTACAAGAGGCGGCGGTCCGCCCTGTCAAAGTCGTGATAATTTATAGTTAACTTTATTTCGTAACCTAGGCTGGAAGTGGCTGGAAACAGGCGTCTGGGTCAACCGGTGCCAAGGCACACGGTGAGTATGCGATGCCGGGGCGGGGAACATCGAAGTCAAACAGTGTAGATCCTGTAGAGGCAGAATCACCACCGGAATTCCGCAATTGACAAGCCATGCTCCCCAGATAACATTCTTAGTTTGGCCGACCGAGCCTCGTTACACGTTGTAGAGCCATGCACCTAGCTTTGCAACCATTGAAAAGTTGGTATGTTTCCATAACAGCCCTTGAGGGCATTGCCTCAGGACTTCCGAAGGGATGAGCTCGAGTGTGGATATAATAGAAGTATGTTTGTGTAACAGACAAGCGGGGTCTCAAGGCTGAGTACTGACACCTACATGACCACGAGGACTTCTGCAATGCGCTGTCACGGCCACGTGCAGTTTTGTATTCAGAGTAGGTGTGCTGAGACAGCCAACGGCAGATCCTTTGGCAGTGTGTTCTTATCATAGAACGATCACCGCACGTCTTTATTTCTACCAAAGCTTCGGTCGCCAACGTCTGTCAGTTGTAGCTGTGTGACATACAGCAATGCTGTATCGATTGCGACACAACTTCGAGAAACTCTTTTGACGCTCATCTACTGGCTCTGCTTTTGTCTGCAAGGTGATGCCTCTCTCTGATTAAAATATCTCTACTGCGAAGCATAGCAGAAGCAAAGGCCTACAGCTGAGCGAGCTCAAGCAAATCAGTCTGGTGGGTCAAATCATTAATACATGCCTAGCTATAGAGCAAGTCTCACAGCATCCCAGAGGCTGTCAGCCCGTGAGCGAGGGCTCTGTTGTTATGTGTCGTCAAGTATCAGTAAGCGCCAATGGCCTTCAGTAGTCATCATCCTCGTAACCGAGATCGTAGCCGCCGTCATCGAGCAGCCCGTCTCGTAGCTGTGCACGAACCCAGTAATCCTAGGCAGAACGATTAGCAGATATCATCGAGACAGCCTAGTTCTAACATACGTGGTACGTCGAATAGTCTCTTCTCGTGGACATGCCAACTTGATCTGCCACATTGACGTAACCATCCCTGTTCTTCTGGCCTGTCTTCGCCATCCCCTTAAGAGTACCACCATCGACTGTGCTCTGCCACTGTGTTCGACAATAGGGACATGTCACTTGGCCATGGCCTTTAGTGGCAGCCCACTGGTCAAAGCAAGTCTTGTGAAGATTGTTACCGCACGCAGCCTGACACCAGACAATGGCCTCGGTCTCTTGTGATAGTTCCTCGCAACATATTGGGCAGTCTCCTTCGACTGGTTTACGCTTGCCGTCCTTGTCCTCGGTCTGGATGGTTTCGGTGGGCAGTGGTCCTGCATGGTCAAATATCTCATCGAGCTCCGAGGTCAAGAAGGCTGCCTGATAGTTTAGCGGCTCCAGCACTTTGAGAATCTTAAGCAGCACATAGAGAATATGTTTGCACTGTGGATTTCGATTGATTCGGAAGTCTGGGCAAGTACACTCCGGCACATGAGTGATCTTGACCGTATAGACATTGCCAGTGGAGCCAGCGAGGTCGACCTCTTCAGACATGCAGCGAGAAGCGTGGTGTGAACAGTCATAGCTGTTTGCGCGGCGTCTATCAATAACCACCATACGCTGAGTCGTGGCCCGAAGTACAACAGCGGCATACTTTTGAGGTGCCTGTGTGCGGTAACTGTGGAGCATGAGCTACATAGTACGTAGAGGATGTCTGTCGTATGTGAACTTACTTTCTCAGACGTTTCTCCTCGCCCTTCTCAGACTTGGAGTTTTTCGGCTTCTTGGACTTTGGAGCGGCATCTTCGTCTCCAGTCAGATCGATCAGGTTTCCAGCATCCTTGGAAGGACCACGAGGACGCGACTTAGTGATCGGCTCGGCATCCGCGACGTCAGACTTGCTGAGTTGCTTGCTCGCCACACGTTTACGCGTCGGTTTGGAGCTGCTTGCTGTGACGACTTCTTGCACATATGATGTCTCTTGCGATGGATCAGCCATGACAATGTCGTTGGCGCTTGGTCGTTTTCTCTTCGACATGGTTTTGGTGGCGTGATTCGATGATTGCGCATCAGCGTCGCAGGTACCCATGGCCATTCTTGTGCGTCCACTGCGACGCGGTCCTGGAATCGAGTGACCACCAATGGGATCCACTACGTCTGAAGAGTTACGTGGTATTGACCTATCCATGTTGATGTATTCGAAGAAAGACCAGTTGTTGGGTGCTGATGAGAAGATGAGAAGACTGGCCAGGGTGGCAATTACAACCACCGCTCCAAAAGGCGTAACTTTAGCCGATACAAGCAGCTTCTGCCGTGCTCATCTCATCATGTCTCTCGACCACCCCGTATTCTGCGCATATCATAATGTGTCTATGTACTTGACTACTGCTCGTCCAAGTGGTGAAAGTACGGATGGCCTTGACTTCATCGTTCTCCACCATTTACTCATCTCCATCGCTCTAGACCGAGGTGTATGCATCTCACGCGTTCCTCTCTAACTAGCTATTTATAGGCGTGCATGTACGCCGCGTGGCCCTGCAGACGATTCATTGCATCGAGGACCATGCTAATTGTATCACGTCAAACGAAATAGGATGTCGAACTTCATTAATACTCGTCGCTCGTAAGGCCCGATCCTGGCGCTGCATAGAATTTTCTTCAATCGCCAACATTTCCAAACGCCATGTGACCCCTCGCAGTACCTTCTAAGTGCGCAAACAAAACATTTATTAGATTACAAGATTAAACGCTGATGCAGAGAGCCGCGACAAGTGCAACAAGCATTGCTACTGCGGAGCCCTTGACATTGGCAGCAGCCGAGGTGGATGTAGCACCGCAGCAGGCACGGTTGTAGTCAACACCGTTGGCCTTAGCAGCTACTTCGAAAACGGAACCAGAGCCGACATCGTAGTAGTCGACCAACAACCAAGTAGGAGGACGATCCCACATAGCTACATTCAGATTAGCGAGTGCGAAATGGAGATGTGACAAATACGACTTACCAGTGCAGTTGTCGTTGGCAGCTCCGAGGGAGCCATACTCGATGGCTGCTGCGTTTGTGACGTTCAACTCTGCCGAGTTGGGAATCAGAATCGATTGGCCAAAGAGGGCGACATTTGTGTTGAGGTTGTGGTTGGCAAGGTACATCAAGTCGTTTCTAGCGGCATTTTGATCAAGGTTTGGAGGGCGCTGAGAGGTGCAAGGGAAAGCACGATCGGTAGGAGAGAAAGGAGTTTCCCACATGTGAGTGAACTCATCAAGGATGTAGGGGTACTTTGTCTGATCTGCGTTGTAATCCATGAAGACGACGACGCGCTTCTGTGACAGAATCATCTCGGAAAGAGTCGGCCACTGGTCCAAGCGCATAGGAATGTATGGAGGCTCGTAGAGGTAATCAGCCAAGTTGGACTGCTGAACAACCTCACTGTAATTGCCGGGCTCGATGAAATCGCTGTTGACAATGAGGATGGTCACAACGTCGTAAGGGTGATCGCGAACCCAGTCACCAACTTCATTGAGCTCGCTGAGGAAGGTACCTGCATCCAAAAGATCGCAGTTCGTGTGGCAGCTGTAGATGGAACCGTTGACGTAGTGGGTCTCACCCTGAATCATGCGAATACCGTCATTGAGCTGGACAGTGATGCTGCGATCTTGGTTGGACGCAAGATTGCCCGGAACGTTGAAAGCGGCGTTGTGAGCGACGACTTCGGTGATGTTTCCGTACTTGCGGTTGCAGAACTCGGGATAGTTGTTGCATGGTGTAGTGTTGGTGGGTTGGGCACTGCTGCTGGTGCCAGTACCGGCTCTGGAAGAAGATGAAGTGCTGGTCGAGTTCAAATGCGAGCTCAGAGTGACGGTTCCATTGATAACGCTCTGTGTGACGATTCCTCCTCCACCCACTAGCAAAGTCGCGAGACTAGTCGAGCCTTTCGAAGCCGAGGTCGTCGTCGCAGTCCTTCCAGTGCCGGACGAGCCGGTTCTTGAACTCGAAGAAGAAGAGGTGGAACTTTCGTCGGCATAGAGAGTCGATGCTGTGATTTGGGAGCCAAGAGACTTGTACGAGTACATGCCACCAGTAAAGACAGCAGACGATGTCTGGCTACCAGTCAAGGTGACGACAGAAGGACTGCTGGAGCCACTGCCGCTTCTGCTGCTGGATGCGGAGATCGAAGACACATCGGACGCGGAGGCAGTGTTGTCTGAGGATTGTGCGTTGGTGCCCAAGGCCAGTGCGGCGGCGAGCCAAAGACTGAGGGGTAGCATGTTAGTGCTGCTGAGTGGGTTACAAAGAAGGATGCGAAGCTGCCAGGCGACAGCGGATGTCGAGAGGGAAGATAGAAAATATGAGGCACAAGGGATCAACTCCCGCTAGCTTCTGCAGACGAAAAAGGACGTTGACAATGGCGTGTGCTCGGATACGTGAGTGACGTCTACGGAGAGGGCTCGGAGTAGCTGGAGAAAACGGGTATGTACAAGGTACAATTTGTTAATGAGGCTATCCGGGAGTGCCGCGTAAGTTTACTGGTTGTTGGGCCGCAGTCTGATACGCGATTAACGGACGCGAGGCCGTGCAAAGAATAAAAGGAGACAATATCATCAGATCTACCTGGAGATCTCCATTTGGGCCGTGTGGACTATGTGGGTATTGAGCAAGCATGCGCATGAATCATGAAGCTCTCTGACACTTCCCCAGTCTCACATCAACATAACCAGCACCATTGCTAGTATCTAAGCGGCTCGACGTTGACTTTGGCACGACAGAGGTCAAGATGTGGCTGTCACGCTAATAGGATTGCCGCGGCGTCCGTGCAAAAACCATGATGTAATTTCCAGGGCTTATCCGTGCATTTTGCTAACCTTACGCAAAGACGAGCGTACGGATACGCGTGGGATCAAGGTGAACAGTGATTCTGAGGCAGCCACCACAGATGTCGTAAGCTTGGGCTGACGCTAATATCTCCTTGTCGGCCCAGATGCTGCGCGGACGACGCAGACAACTTTTCTCCAAGCACATCAACATAAACCCGGGCCGTTGCAGCCATTTCGTCATCGTACGCCCGCTGTGCTTGAGACGTTGATCTCCTTTCGGCGTTTCTGCTCCTATCGTCCAGAGATTTCTCAGACGTCGACTGCACAGCTATTCATATCAGGCCGCTGTCGACTTCATTTCTGTTGCACTCCCTTTTCGCCTCCCCACACGTCGACCTCCACCATGTTCGGTCGTAAGAACCGCAACGTCTCTCCCGATGCCAGGGTCCCGTCTGAGGAAACGGACCGCACACTGACTCCTGGCATTGATGGTCCCTCCAAGGCCCAGGTCAAGAGAGCTACTCGTACTCGCATGATATGGGCCCTGATCTCATCATTCCTGCTCCTTATCACCGTCATCTTCATGATCCTTGTCGAGGTCGGCTGCACTGGTACCGGAAGCATCAAAAGTAGTATATACTTCATCAACATCAATCTGACCAACATCTTCCCCGAGTCTGTTCCGGATGCCGCCATTATCAATTCTATCGCTCAGACTATTGGTCTGCACGACTTTTACCGCGTTGGTCTCTGGGGCTTCTGTGAAGGCTACAACGGCCAAGGCGTCACAGACTGTTCCAGCCCAGAGACTCTTTACTGGTTCAACCCTGTGCAGATTATCCTTAACCAGCTGCTCGCTGGTGCGACCAGTAAGTAATTCAGTCCACAGCAGCAGTCTCCGAGCTAACCCATCCTCTCAGTCGCATTGCCTACCGATCTCACCGACATTCTGGGCCTCATTAGAGTTGTCTCGCACTGGATGTTCGGTCTCTTCCTTGCAGGTGCCTGCTTGTCCTTTGTCATGATGATCCTGAATCCTCTGGCCGTCTTCTCTCGCTGGCTCACTCTGTTCACTGGTATCTTCACCTTCTTGGCCGCGCTTTTCATCACCGTCGCCACCGTTATCGCGACTGTTATGTTCATCATTATGCAAAATGCTTTCACATCCGTTGAGGAGCTCAACATTGGTGGAGAGCTGGGTATCAAGATGTTCGTATTCATGTGGATCGCCGCAGCCACCTCGATCCTCGCCTGGTTGATCCAGACCAGTCTCTGTTGTTGCTGTGCCAGCAGAAGAGATGTGAAGAAGGGAAAGAAGACCGGAAGCAAGAAGGCCTGGCAAACAGAGACACCCGGCATCGCTGAGAAGGGCACAAAGAAAGGCTTCTTCGGCCGCAAGTAGTTCTTTCGCACATTGAAAATGTTGGCAGATATTGCAAATGTACCATAAGTGGGAGACGGTTTGTATATCGAGGTGTTCGGACAAGGCGTTTTGGTTGTGCATAGGCAAAGCGTTTGGGATGAAATACATAATGTACCTAGAATAACGATATTTGAGTTAACGTGTAATATACGAGAGTCATGACATATGGGACGGTCCACAATACAGCAGTGCTCCCTCGCTGATGAGAGATGATAGACGCAGTCCAGACGAGTGGCGTCTGGCACATAGACCATGTCAAGTTGCGGCTGCTCCAATCAACCGGTTGTGACGCTGTGAGTAGACTGCAATGGAGAACATGGTCGCTCTTACTAGAACTAGGGCCTCTTCTGGTATCTAGAGCATGGTAACCTGATGTCAATATAACAGTTGTGTACCAGAAGAGTGGAATGGGTTGTGACAAACATCTTCAACAGCCACATGGGAGCATTCGGCACCTGTCGGTGTGGAGTCGACTCTCAACAATGACTACCGGCGCCGTCGGATCCAAAATTTGTAAGTCTCAACAACGAATACGCACACTGTTCGAGTGAAGTCGAGGGCTCACTTTGAGTCCAAAGTTTCGACAACAAGGACACCAGCCTGCTGTCGTCATGTACCTGTAGACAAGGCCTTTTAGTTGACGTAGTTACAGGACTTGAAACTTCAGGTCTCGTGGTTAGACCAACAAGAGGTTAAAGTTGTTCATGATCAACTCTAGAAGCAGCAAGCCCTGCACTATGACTAGTTGAGGCAAACGAGGATCTCAGACTCTTAAGCGACACAAGCATTGCTTCGGCCGATGCATCACTCGGTCATGCACTGGCATTGACTGAACAAGTGAGCTCGCACCGAAGACTCACTTCGTCGAGCTGCTCAACATTGCAGCAAAGACACAGTCCACTTCGATGCAAGAAAGCAAGAGCAACTCGAGTCCGACTGCGTTGTCAAATCTCAACAAATCGAGGGCTGGGCCATTGGCAAGCGACACAACCGAACAAAGTCTTTGTGCTCAATTTTTAACGGGTGTTTCATTGGCTTCACCGTGGGCGTCAAATGGACAGGGCAAGTAAAGTGGATGCAGGCAAAAGAAGTGAAATTGTGATCAATTCTTGGCTGCATGTGGAAGCACACAGCCGAGTGCTCAAGTAATCCCTCAAGAAGCAGAAGGAAGCTCGGCTTTGTTTCCAACTGATGGGCTGCCGTGCGCAATGTGGCACGCACCTATATGGCGGGTGTCTGAGATGACAAGCGGCACGTTCTACTGAACGGTTTCGTCAAGGCTCCCATCTCCTTGGTGATGAGATCAAACAGTATAGATGCGGTCCTCGGCAGCGGAGGTGACATCAAACCGTCTTCTTGGACAACAACAAAACAATGTCGGCGTGGGAGTGTTGTGGGTAAGCGAAAGCTTCGAGGGCGGGAGCTGTGACCATGTCCTCAGGAACAGGCAATTGACCTTTCCCGTTTGGGCGAGTAGATCCGCGTACCTGCATCTGCAACAAGGGTCAGAGTTCAAACGTGAGACAGCAAGAAGGGGTTGTAGAGTTTTTGTAGCGTGTGCCTCCACATGTTTCGCACGACAGACTCTCGTAACCAGGACAGGGCGGAGATCCTGTATAGACAATGCGAGGTCGTTGTTCGCACGAGGCAAAACTGCACGAGCGATAAAGAAGAATAGGCCAGATTTCCGAGGTCACCAACATGAGACGGCTTGTGGCAGATCATTGGAAGGGGACAGGCTGGGCGGGTGAGTCGGTAATTGCAACAAGCGGGCTGCCCCTTAGGGCGGATTGAGGAGACTGGGGCGTTGTGCTTGTGCTTGTGGTCTCGCCAAGGCACAACCTCCATTCCTTCTCGTTTCTCGACCGGCACCGACTCTTGCATGTTGTTTGTTCGCTTTCTGCTGTCCATTCTCCGACGCTCCTTTTCCTCGTATACCATTCACCCCAGTCACTCTTTGTAAATACTCGCCAAGTCATTCTTTCAACAGCCCCTGCAATCATAATAGTCGCCCGCCAGAATCACGCATAATACTGCCTGGATGCACTACTGCCAATAACCGCCCGACCTCCTGGAAACACAATCGCCGCATCGTTACGGCAAACAACAAGCACAATGGGAATCACGCTCAACTCACACCACAAGTGGCATGTGCCCCACCAGCACGCGCCCAACTTCTTGACTTTGGCGAATGCCACACTCGATGATGGACCGACACTGGTGCAGCGCTCGTCCGAGTCTTCTGCGACATCGACTTGCAAGGCCGGAGACAACACAGGAACATGCCAGAAGCCGACGACTGCTGGCAACACTACCAGCATCATCATTGGTGTGGCCGTAGCAGTGCCCGTCGTGGTCGCTGCTCTCGTTCTCTTCTTCCTGCACAGACGCGTCAAGCGGAAGCACGCCCAAGAAGATCGCGACGACAAATACAAGTCCCTCGATTTCGGCCTAGACACGGTGCCGTCCAAGGGCAGAGCCCACAAGGGTGTGCCCGAGATGACCATCACCGACATGGAGAAGTCGACGCAGAACATGATGCACACTCGTGGTCTCTCGCTCGATATGCACACGCCTTACCTGCTGCCCGCCCAAGTCAACAGCTCGTCGTCGTCGCTCCGCTCAATGTCTCGCTCAATCACCGACGGCGAAGACCCGTATCGTCCCGTGACAATGGCCAGCGCCCGCTCCAGCTCCATCCCTGACCGCTCTTCCTCGCGTCCCAAGCCTGGAAACGCCTCCGTCTACACCGACTACAGTGAACGCTCCGAGAACCTCAATGCCGGACTTTTGAACAACGCCCAGCGCATGTCTCGCTCCGACCCCTTCATGGACCAGTCTCCTGACAGCATCCACGCGCCCAACTATCCTACTGGCCCTGCTCCAGTCCAGCGCTCGCACCCTGCTCCTCCTCCGCCCGCTCACATGAACAACTCATTTGCCGCATCTGCCGCTCCTCGTACCAAGCCTGTCCCTCCAAAGCTGACCATGCCCGACCCTGATGTCTTCCACGTCACGCCTCCCTCGCCTCCCGAACACCACTATGCTCCTGCACCCCCCGCCCATGTCACCCCTCCTTCGCCTCCTCCTCATCAACAAGAGCCCGCTGCTGCTCTCCACCCAGCCGAAGACTTTGTCCCGGATGGTCTGCACGCTGCTGCTCCTGACGCACGCCGTGTATCCGTCATGGGTCTGCGTCCTCTGCCGCCAGACCACCCCGATGACAACCCTGAACAACGTGCCAACCGTATCCGCTCTTTCTACAAGGAATACTTTGACGACAGCAAGCCCAATCCCCAAGGACAGTACCAGAACGAGTACGAGGCAGACATCTACGCCGACTACAGTGCCTACATGTACGAAGCGCCTCAAGTCCCATACGCCCAGCCCATGGCTCGTCGTGCTATGACTCCTCCTCCACGCGTAGGTGGTGGTCGCGTTCGCAGTAACACCTCTTTCGGCTCGACCGGTCACATTGCCAACCCTGCTTTCCGCCGTCCTCCCCAGCAGCCCAGGAAACAGCTGCCTCCTCCCATCGCCCTGCACAACCTGCCCACACCCTCGGCTCTGACCGATGACATGACTTTCACGCCCACTCTCTTCGCTCCTCCGGTATCATACCGTGATCGCCAAGCTGGTCGCACCCCCAGCAGTCCCGCAAGGCCTTACAGCCCCTCTGTTCGTGCATTCACACCTCTGGCAACTAGCTTTGACGACCTCAGTGTCATTCCTAGCGCGTAAGTCATTACTTCAAGACCCCTCCAATCTTCCTATACTAACTGCATCTCCTTTAGACACGCTCTCCGCAAGTCTTCAACCTTCACCGCTCTGGACTTTGCTCCCCCACCGCGTTTCCGCAACGAAGCTTCTGGAAGTGACGCTGGCAGTATCCGCAGCAACCGCAGTGGCATCTCCAACGTCCAGCAGAACGCCATTCGTGCCGGTGCTTACCGCGTCAGTCGCTTGCCCGGAGACATGGTCGGCACACAGAGCGATCTCAACGCAGCCCTCAAGCCCACCTGGGACATGAGCCGCTAAGAGATTCTCTTCTTTCGGTTGTACATATCTGTGAGAGGTTTGGCCTGCTCTGTACATTGTTGCCAGCCAACCAGCCAACCAGCCATGATGTCGTTATTGTCTTCTTCTTTCTTAGCCTGGCGTTGGGCCCATCTCATCTACACGCCTCTTTCCCCTTTTCCTTCTACCATTCTCGACCTTCACTAGGGCACAAGGCGTTTTTTCTTTGGGGAATAAGATCTGTCTATCAGAATCTTTCAATGTGTGTGGGAGTGGATTTTTTCTTCTTGCTGCTCTACGTGGCGTAACATGCGCGATTTTTCTTTCCAAATCAAAAACCGTTTTCTGACAGGAGGACAATGTCTTCTTTGTTGGTCCGTTGTTTGATGACCGATTTCTTCCTATTTCCTGGCATTAGTCTCTTCTTTGCAAGCCCAACATAGACATGGACTTTTTTCCGGCCGAAATACGAATACATGTTTCACTTTCGTGCCGAGAAAACACCTCCTATTTTGCGATCACGATACAATCCGCCCTTTTGGCTGCTGATGACGATGACGATGATTTTCTTTTCATTGTGAGATATATGCAAGAATTCGTATGTTTTTCTTCCTTGTCCTTTCCGAGGGACTCCTTCTCTATGCCATCAATCTCATCCAAAAACACGAATCTGAAACACAGCTGTCTCTCAACCTCCCTTAGAATGGCGAAATTGAATTACCCAGTCCCTTCAACTTGCCCAAACGATCACTGACCGCATCCACCAAAGCGGTTTCACGCTCCAACAACTGCATGACCTGAGCGATTTTCTGTTTCCTGAAATCGATGGGTATACGACTCATACTAGCACTCAGATCTTGTGATTCTTGTGCATCTTCATCTGGAGATCCATTTGACGTGAGGGCTTTCTGTCGGTCTGCAGTTTCCTTTGCGCGAGCGACGAGGGTGCGTTTGAGTTCTCCTACTGCTGTTAGACGACTTGTTAGATCGTCTTCTGTGGCTCCGGCTTCTGTTTCTGCTCCGGTTTCTTGTGGGGCCTTGGTTTCGACATCACCTAGACTGGTCGAGAGGGCTGCTACTTCCGCTGCCCAGGCTTCTTCCTTTGCACTTAGTTCTTTGCCGCCTAGGCCTGCCATGCGGCGACGCATGGCTTCGACGCGTTTGGCGAGTGCTTTCGATCGCGTGCGTGCAGCCTCCATACGCTCGTCAATCTTGTCTTTGCCGACCACGCGCGGTTGATCTGTATCTTGACCATCATCGTCGTCGCCTGTTACGGCATCGGCGCGCTTGGAGATTGCGTCGACTTGGCGGATTTGCTCTGATAATTCTGCGCGCATTCTTTCGCAGCGGCGGAAGAGGTCGGCGGCCGCAGCTCCCAGTCTACTTGTTTCTGTGGAAAGCAGGCGGTGGGCATCGGTGAGGAGTTCTAGGGTGGCTGGGGAGAAGCGGACTTGTGTCTTCAGGTCTGCTTTTCTTAGTTGAGTGTTTCTTTGCACCGCTGAGTCGAGGAAGCCAGCGAGGGCTGATGAGGCGAAGAAGGCTTCGGAGGGTTGGTATGGTTGACGGACATCAGGTGCGGCGAGAGCCAACGGAGTGTCATCGGGAGCAAATGAGTTGTATAATGATCGATCCACTGGGAGGTCCAATACCACAGCTTGAGGCTGAGAAGAGGTAGCAGTCAGGACAAAGTGACCTAGGTCAGAGTCTATAATCGATACGCAGGCTGGAGCAACTCCAGATTCGGTGCTACGTTTGAGGATGCGATCAATGGATGATCTCTCAACATCGAACAGTACGTCGAGACGGAAGGCGGCACCAGAGTCGGAAGGGTTGATGAGTTCGTCCTCAAGAGGAGCGATCCAAGGCTCGAGGGAGATGTTGAAGATGCCTTCGTTGGAGCTGAGGAGGAAGGCGTAGCGGCTGGTATCGATAGAAGTAAAGGTAGGCCATGAGTTTGTGGTTTCAGGAGTAGCAAGGGTTTCAACAAGGAGCAATTCGGAGAAAGACTCTTCTTCGTCAAAGCGACGGCGGAAAGCGGCGCGTCTGGACGGCAGCCATTGGGCCTCAACGCCATCGAGATCGAGACAGATGTGAACCTTGGCAGAAGCGGTAGCCAAGCAGACTATGCCGACCGAAAGACCGTCGTGGCCAAGGAAGTCATCTTGATCCTCTTCCTGCATCAATGCATCGTCATCAAGACGGGGAGCCACGACAAAGATGTCGGTGATTGAATCAAGGTCGGAATCCGGGCTAAGATAGAAGGGACCTTGCAGCTTTGGGATAGCTGGGGGATTGGAGGGGCGAGTGTAAACTTCAAAGTCAGCCAGAGTGTCAGCATGTGAGACGATCAGAGGATCCTGATTATCAATCTCGGCGAGCCATCGTTGCTGTTGGTCTACGATACGGCGTTCCTCTGGAGTGGGATCAGATTGAGAGATGGCCTCGGCCTTGGCTACCACGGCAGTCGACAGAGAAGGAATAGTAGTCGGGGTGGGTTCCCACTTGGAAGGCAGCAGGGGACAGAGAGCATAGACGTCGCCTTCGGTCATGGCAATCCACATGGTCATCGAGGCCCAGCCGTGTTCGTCCGAGGTGGCTCTGGCACCAAAGCAAGCGGCGGCGACTTCCATCTCGATCGAGTCGGGCGAGAAAGCTTTGCTGGCGCCGTAGTTTGAGGCAGCAAAATCCTGATCGGATGAAGTGGCATTTGCGAGCTTCTTCAGGTCAAGGGCCAGCTCGGGTTGGTCAAAGGAGGCGCGAGAGTCGCGATTGAGTTCCCAGAGGCGCAGACAGGCGTCTTTTGTGACGGTGACCAGGCAGCTACCCAGGTGGCCGAGAGGATGCCATAGGGCAGAGACGACGGGGGCTTGTTCGAGCACATGTGCCGTGGGACCGAGCTGGAAGGCCTTGATGCGAAGCGGAGAGTCATCCTTGACGGAGAGATGGGAAGAATCGGGCAAGATGGCAATGTGGACCGTGTGAGAAGTGAGAATGGCGAGGTAGTCGCCACGGGGCGAGACGACGAGCTGTTTGATCTGGCCGGCGACGGGAGTTTTCAGGATCTAGACATGGTCAGCGGTGGACAGTAAACCAAATCAAAAGATGCAACTTGCCCTGTAAGTTTGGAAGTCGTCGTCTCGAGGAGCATCCTTTAGCATGACCAGGTCGGACCATCTGATTTCATTGCCGACCAGTACGAAGATCTCTGTACCACGGTGGGCAATGGTGCGCGTAGGGCCGCGAGAGTCGGTCTTTTGAGTTGCATTGCGAAAAGCAGCAGCCTTTGTGTCGGCGCTGCGCTGGAACAAATTGTAGCCCGCTGAAGGCGCCGAGAGCCAGTCCGGGGTATGCCTGAGCACTCTTGCCATTGTTGAGGATACAGACAGAGTGCAAGGGTCTGGCAAGAAGAGACACGAGTGAAGCTTTCTAGACGGGAGCTCGTCGCAAACACTCGGTCGACGCGGTATACCGACAAGCTTGGACCACGTCACTTAGAGCCTTTCAGCCAGCGACTATTTACTATTTACTGTCTGCTCCTCATCGTCACCATCACCGTGTCGCATCACACCTCGACCTCCCAACTCCCTCTTGCTTGATCGACCATGGCAGCAACAGCAAGCATGGCTGCCAACATCATGTTGCGCACCACATGCGACCGTCTGGACCGCCCGAGTTCCTACACGGTCGGCAAGGTAAACTTCGATCAACTGCCCGTCATCTGCCACCAACCCACTGACCTTGGCATAGAAGCGCCGTAGATACCAACGCGCCCCCGACGACGACACTCCCCAGGCCCCCCAGGAAAAGACACCCGAGCCCGAAGACAAGCTCAAGGACGCTACCACTCTCTACGTCGGCAACCTCTCCTTCTACACCACAGAGGAACAGATCCACGAACTCTTCTCAAAGTGCGGCGAGATCAAGCGTCTGATCATGGGTCTCGATCGCTTCCAAAAGACGCCCTGCGGCTTCTGCTTTGTCGAGTACTACACCCACCAGGACGCTCTCGACTGCCTGAAGTACGTCGGCGGCACAAAGCTCGACGAGCGCATCATCCGTACCGATCTCGACGAGGGCTTCAACGAGGGCAGACAATACGGGCGTGGAAAGAGCGGAGGCCAGGTCAGAGACGAGTACCGTGAGGAGTTTGACCCTGGAAGAGGAGGCTACGGCAGAGCCATCAAGGAAGACTACGACGTTTACAACGACAACTACCGATGAGCGGACCTCTCCCATCGGACATGGCGCTTTCCACGGAGTCCAGGCGTTTATCTTATTTCTCTCTCTTTCTACAACCCAAAAGGCCCTGCCACGACTCTCCAAGGATCGAGCTTGAGCAGCATGCATTTCGTACATCATCTATATGTCGTCGATACCCATTTCCTCCGTCCTTTTCCCTCTCTGACCATGCTTGCTTACTGCAAAGCCTGTAGAACCTGCTTGATCCACCACACGTGAATTCTGGCATCGCCCGTCAGCTCTGGGTGGAAGCTCGTGCCAAACACATTGCCCTGTCTGACGGCCACAATGTCTCCCTCCTCTCCAACCTCTCTTGCTGTCAGCTTCTTGTCGTTCAAAGCCTGTGCGCGCCCTGGGAGTCTACACAAGACTTCAACCTTGCCGACCGCCTTTCCGTTCGATGCTGCCTTTGACGGCGCAACCACCGTGTCGTCCAACTTTGCTTCTTCCTCTTGTGCTCCAGATTGTGTCTCCAGGATCTTCTCAACCACGGGTGCTCTGATGAAGACGCTGCGGAAGGGCTTGGTGCTGGTAGCAAATGCCTCGCCGCCGGCCTCAGCCAAGAAGGGCAGATCCAATGCCGCCTCGAAACTCTCGACCTGACGACCAAAGTGGTTGCGATTGACTCTCACGTCCAGTCCTCCGATCAACTCTTGTCCCGTCTGCTTTGTGCGGTTGGCAGACTCGGAGAGGAGAATGAGTCCTGCACACGTGCCCCACGTCGGCTTCCTGGACACCTTGACGAACTCGCGTAGGGGCTCCAGCATACCGGATCGTCCGGCGACGAGGGATATTGTGGTGCTTTCACCGCCGGGGAGGACAAGGGCGGCGCATGATTGTAGTTGTTCGACGGTTCGGACTTCGATGAATTGCCACTTTCTTGCTGTCGCATTGTCTTCTGAATCGATGTAATTGGCGGCTTGCTGTAGTAGCTGGATATGCTCGCTGAACGCGCCCTGTAGGGCCAAAACTCCGATAGTGATTGCGCTCATGTTTGCTGTGATGATTAGGAAAGGCACACGAATTGGGAAAAGTTTATGGTTGCGATGACACACGCCGGCGATCGGAGTTAAGGCCGCTTCCACCGCCTTGGTCGGCCCCGCGCTCACTCACCCACTCGTTCATTCATTATTCAGTCTGTCACTTTCGCTGATGCCACTTCTCAAATAAACCAAAGTCCTGCGGCATAATTCATGGCGGACTCTAGTATCGAAGGATTGACATGCTGGCTCATCGATACTCGAACCTTGTGGCCTGGTCAACAAATCAAGGATGCTGTTAGTGCTCCCGCACTGTGAAGACACCCGTCTGTCCCTTCTGACCCCACTAGGCCCCTGACGTACTAAGACTTCTTTCTGGGGACGAGCGAGATGCCGTGCTCCGGAAGATGTTCATCGCTGATGCTCGAATGTCTCTTGCGTCTGCCCTGTTGAAACGACTCTTTATATCCAGAGCATTAGACATTCCTTGGCAGGATGTCAAGATAGCCCGTAAAGGAGATCCTAAGCATGGGAAACCATGCGCTGTCTTACCGACTGGGTCGTTCGCTGACATTGACTTCAACATCTCTCATCAAGCCGGTCTGGTTTCTTTAGTGGGCTGGAAACCACCAACAGGTCAATCACACTCTGCTCTTGTAGGAGCCGATATCGTATGCGTCAATGAACGCGACGACTACCGCACTATCGATGCAGAAGGCTTCGATGCATGGATAGACATCTACGAGGACATCTTCTCCGAGGCTGAACGTTGGGACATGAAGTATAATGTTGACTACGTTACCCTACTGGATGGTAGGATAGTAAAGGGCAGAGATCTCGGTCGACTTGACCGCGGCATACAACGGAATAAGGATCTGGCAATTACCCTCAACACTGGCGTGAAATGTTCTTTCAATAGCGACCTCTTGGTTGACGCGAAGCTGCGCCGCTTCTACAGCTTCTTTTGCTACAAGGAAGCATACATCAAGCTCGCTGGTGAGGCCCTACTCGCACCATGGTTGAAGGAATTAGAGTTTCAGAATGTCAAAAGTCCAAAGCCGGGAACAGTTGCCAGATGTTCTACGCATGGTACATGGGGAGAAAAGGTCAGCGACGTTGAAGTCATCTTGCATGGCTCAAAGGTTGAAGATGTCAAGATGACCCTTCAAGCGTTCGAGGAGAAATTCATGCTAGCTACGGCTGTACAAGGATTACAAGACATGGAGGCGCCGCCATTTACAAAGCTGGACCTGGAGAACGATGTCCTTGCGTTTGCGGCTCTGGTTTGAAAATCCTCACCACCACAGCCACTACCGATATTGCAGAGTATCCAATCGCCAAGTAAGCTGCCACATATATCGAATGCAATTTGAAGAACAGAAAACAGTCCATCGACATGGTCCCAAAATAGTGGGTCCATCGTATTGCGTACTACAGGATTCTCGTCCTCTTGGGAAGCAACACGACTGTCCCGTTGCTGCACCCCAATCATGCCAAGTGTCTATTTACGAATCAGCCCAGCTCTTCACTGTTAGGCATCAGGTTTTAGGGCTTGGGAAATGAATTTTCAGTTCCTTAAGGGGTGAAACGTCGACCAGTCTGTTGTACGTCGTATTTCGTGTTCGGATACGGAAATACGGTCTCGACGTCGTAGGCTATGCATGTTGTTATCACAACTAAGCTCTGCAATGGTTATAACTCGATCTATTGCTGCTTTTCTAAATCTCTGACATACATTGCTGCTTCTTGTTTCTCAACATTCGTTTCTCAGTCACTCATTTCCACCTCTCGAGTCCTTGCCGAGACAGTTTCCCAACTTCGAGACCTGTGTCTCTGCTTCGAGTCTTCTTCCTGGATACATCTTCTTCGCACTTGCTCTTTTTCGTTAATCATTCTTTTTCTCATCATACACAATGGGTCTCTACCACTATGAGCCGAGTCAGATCTTGGCTGTAGGAGCTGCAGGTGTCTTTGGTCTCGGAGCATGCATGCATCTTTTCCAGATGATACGATACAAGACCTGGTTCTTTACTGCCTTTGTCGTCGGTGCTTTCAGTACGTCCTTTAGTATCAACACATCTCAGTTCTCCAGACTGACAATAGCTTTAGTGATGACACTAGGATACGTCATGCGCTTCCTGTCTGCCCGTAGTCCCGACAGTGTAATGCTCTACGCCATGCAAAGTCTCTTCATCATCCTCCCTCCATCCCTCTACGCAGCAACCATCTACATGATCTACGGCCGTCTCGTCATCTTTGTAAACGCACCACAGGCCTCTCTCATTCGACCTACTCTCGTCACAAAAGTCTTTGTCATCGGCGACGTCTGCTCTTTCCTTACTCAAGCCGGTGCTGGCGGTATGATGGTACAACCCTCCATGGCTGCCACCGGAAAGAAACTCATGCTCTTGGGCTTGGGACTACAACTGGTCTTCTTTGGCTTCTTCCTCGTCGTGGCGATCACGTTTTGGGTTAGAGTTAAGAAGGTCCTATACACTGCACCGCCCGTTCCTCAGATTGGAAGTGTGCCTTGGACGAGATTGTTCTGTGCTCTGTTTATTGCAGCGGCATTGATTATCATCCGCTGTGCTTTCCGCGTTGTCGAGTTCCAGCAGGATAGCGATGGTGTGTTGCAGAGTCATGAGTGGTATGCTTATGTCTTTGACGCTGCACCTATGCTTTTTGTGCAGACATTGTTCAACGTTGTACATGCTGGTCGTGTGCTACCTGGAGCTGGAGTGGACAGGGGAGATCTGGATGAGGAATACATCAAGCTGAACAATGTATGACTGGTGGATGAGGGGTTTGAGCGGTTCTTGGTTTCTTTCTATCAATCATATATCCGTGGATAAGAGAAGGCGTTTCGGGATATGTTGAGGAACGGTTTCTTCTGTCAATAGTATTGTATTTCTCTCGTTCTTGCTTACAGTTGATTGGTTTTCCCGAACTCTTCCGACAAGTCCGGATAGGAAAGTGGTCGCCACGTCTTCGAGTAGCCGCCATATATAGACAATCACAAAGGTCAAGATGTATGTCGTGCATGCTGTCAGAGCTAGGTCGGTGTGGGTGACCGCTTCGTCAGGAAAATCGGGAGCACGACTGGATGTCCCATGTCTTTCCTCAACTTCGTAAGAGTTACGGCTCGAAGGTCCCAGGTTGTCCAGACATAGGGCAGGATGCTTTGATGCTTCACTCCGTAGATCTCGGATCTTGGATAACCTCTAGACTGCTTCTTACATGGTCTACTTGTCGTAACTCTGACCTGAGCAAAGGCTCAAGCTATCTGTGCTCTACCCAAGCTGATGATAAGCAGCAAACGAGCAAGCCTTGCCAAAATCATGATCAAGCATCATTGAGCAACACACATCCTCCACCAAGCAAGGCTTAGCTTGCTACATCTCTACTATCATATCAAAAACATAAGCTGATGGACCTCCTGGGGTGAAAATGGGCATGGATATAAATCGAGGGCATAAGCTGAGTATTGGCCAAACCGACCATCGGTAAAATCGCTCGCGGACCAAAGGAGAAACAAGCAAGAAAACATTCCAGAAGTCACAAGGGGCACCTTTCGTGATCGGCTGATGCAGGACCCTGAGCCTCGGCCAGACGCGTGCTTCCCGCATGCAGGCGGCATGACGTGTGGCCCACGCTATGCGCTGCATGCTGCTGGGTGTTGGCATCTTTTATTTTTCCCATAATCAAACCCTGTGAGAGGCTGAGTCTCCTTGCTCTTTGTGAGTTGCACCTTGGGCGGTGTCAGAGCTTGGGGGTTTATCGCATGCGGGAAAACGAAACACAAGCAAAGGTAGAGCTTAAAGAGGGGACCATGACCAGAGCCCAAAGCTCTCCTTCACTTATCTCCCTCCCTCTCTGCCTTTGTTGTCTCTTTTGCACACGGCAATAAACCCGTTTGCTTTCCAAGGAAAAGAGGTGATTGTATCATCTTTCACATGCTATCTCGCTCCCCTCTATGCTCCAGATCGACCTTTAAGCCCTCTCCACATCCCACACAAACATCTCCCCACAATCTCTCTCCAATCTACACGCTGGTATATTATTCCGAATTACCCGTCCAATCCTTTGCCAGTCTTGACTACTACCTACGGCTCCAAGATCTCCCATCTCTCTGCAAACATTCCACTGTTCTACCAATCTACCACCACTCAAATGGATCCCCTCACCTCTGCCCACCGCGTACTCGAAACGCCAGAACTGCTCGAAATGATACTTGCCTTCCTGCCTCCCTGCCAATTGCTCGTCTCCCAGCGAGTAAACACTCTCTGGCATGATTTAATCTCAAACTCACCTCAACTGCAACAACTACTATTCATGAGGCCTACCTGGTCAAAAACAAAGCCCTTTGACTCACACCTATCGTGCGAAGCCAATCGACCGAGCGAGCGACCTAGAAATAATGTGATGCTGAGGAAAGTGCTTGGGGGTCGATATCCGACTTTTACACCTCGTGTGACGAGTCAGAAAGAGGAAGAGGAGTATGCGGATAAGGGTGTAGAGGCTCCGGATGTCAATCCAGATGATATAAACAACATTCGACGTTCGCAGAAGAGTCCGTCGAGTTATTGGACCTGGTGAGAACAAATTCTTATGACGCTTCCTTGGATTTCGTGGAACTGATACAGAGTGCAGGGACGTCAATGTCATGTACCCCAGCGACAAGCTACCCACAGACGACGCTGCAATCCTCTATGAAAAGGCTAGCTGGCGCCGCATGTACCTCTGCCAACCACCCTGCACAGAGCTATATCTCGCTCGTCGCTGGTGTCGAGCAACCCGGCCAGCGATCGCTTCTGAACAAGGCATCACCATGGACATGTTTATCGAGAAGGCAAACAAGGCTCGCGAGCTCTGGAACCAATTGTTCATTTCGAGTGATGGCGATTGGCACTTTGAGGGTCCTATGCCGAGCAAGCGATAATTGGCTTTTTGATGTTGATGATATGGTTTTGTGAATGAGTGATACGATTATACCCGGGAATTTGGCGTTTTTGTGGTTGGCATTTGCATCTGGTATCGATTTAGGACGTCCAAGTATGGCACATGTTGTCATTTATCATTGAGTCTCTGCATCCGTGACGTCCAGACAACTCAGACCGGATTGTGTGGCCCACAAATGCACTGTTCGACAAGTGTGCAAATGGCGTAGTTGTAGATCAGCCCGATGTGCATGACATAGCGTACTTCCGAGTCGAGCGATATCATATACAAGTAGAGTGGAGCAGAGTGTCGTATACAGACAAAAAGAAACGCCATAAATCATCGACCAAGCCCATGTACGCCAGTGTATATGCAGATGCAAAGTTTCGCCTTCTCTTCCCGCTCCCGTGTCTTCTTTCAAGGTTCCCAAAGCTCTTAGTTCGATCACGGGTTGTCTTCTGGCGAGTCCTTGCCATCCGTAGTCTTGATGTCGCCGAACGCGCTCTTTCCAGCATACAGCTGTCGACTCGGGTTGTCTGCACCAGCCTCAATCTCAACACTCGAGGCAACAGGCTTGTTACCACGGAACCTTTTGCGCATATCGATCAATCCACGCTTACACTCTCCGTAGCCCTTTTTCAATTGCTGGCATCGTGTGGGAAGGGTGTCAACGAGCGGCGGACGGAGGCAATCGGCGGCGCTGTTGCGTTGGACCATGATACAGTCACTTTGTTGTAGACATTCCGCTAGCGCAGCACCTGAGAGACGTTAGTCTGTGTTGGATTGGGAGGTTCATAGCGCGTTCGGAGTGGCGTACGGATATCTTTGCATGAAGAAGGCATATTTGTGGCGGTTGACGTGTTTTGCGCCGGGACAGAGGGTGACAAAGAGAATCGATGTCGTGATTTAGGAATATGAAGTAGTCGGGTCGAAATGTCCTGAAGCGTCTGTATGCGGTGCGAAAGAGCGAGTGACTGTCGTTGTTTGAATTGCCGATGATTATTCGGACTCTCATGGACCAACTAGAAATCGGTTAATTGTTCGTTACTCACGTGTCGATCGAGAACGAGGGCGCCGGACCCCGGATGTGCACAGACCCTGGCCGCTTTCACATGCAGGGGTATGACGTGTGGGTCAAACGAGTCTTGTCTCGAATCGGCATTGTACCACCTGCACCGCCCAACAGCTTTCTGCGTCCTGCTTCTTTGAAAACCAGACTAGAACTGATCTCTCCAATCTAGCCCTCACACAGCAAACCGCCTTGGGCACACACCAATATGCCTAGTATCCCGTTCATCGGGAGGTTGCACCTACAGGAATATCTGGCGCTGCTTGGATCTTTTGTTCTGATCGGCCTGGAAGTCATCATCAGAGGCATTACTCTCGCTCTCCCGGGTCCTATCATCCGCTTCTTCTACAATCTTTCGCGTAAAATATTCAACTCTCTCTCGGGTGCTCAAGGGCGGAGGTCGAGGAATAGGAAGAAGGCCATCTCATCACCAATTGCTCAAGCATCGGATTTTGTCGAGCTCTGTGAGCTTTTTGGTTATTACGCCGAGGAGCATATCGTCCAGACCAAGGATGGATATTTACTAGGACTACATCGACTAGGCTGGAAGCGTGGTGAAGAAGACCAAAGAGTGAACAGTGGCGAGGGTAGCATCCAGAAAAAAGTCGTTTACCTTCATCATGGTCTCATGATGAACAGTGAGGTCTGGGTCTGCTTGACCGAGAAGGAGCGCTGCCTGCCTTTTGTTCTTGTCGACCAAGGCTATGATGTCTGGGTAAGTGTTATTATCTCAAGATCTTTGAGGACAGGGGGGCTAACATTATTCTAGCTAGGCAACAACCGTGGTAACAAGTATTCCAAGAAGAACGTTCATCATTCTCCCACAAGTGCTGCTTTCTGGAACTACTCGATAGATCAATTCGCCTTCCATGATATCCCGGACACTATCGACTACATCCTTGCCACTACAAGTCAAAAGGCGCTATCCTATGTCGGCTTTTCGCAAGGAACCGCTCAAGCCTTTGCTACTCTTTCCATTCATCCTAATCTGAACGAGAAAGTCAATGTCTTCGTCGCACTCGCACCTGCTATGGCTCCTCCAGGCTTGGCTATGGGTATTGTCAGCTCTTTTATCAAGGCATCTCCAGAAGTGCTATTCCTACTATTTGGTCGTAAAGCTATCTTAAGCAGTACCACTATGTGGCAGGCACTACTTTATCCTGGCATCTTCTCATGGGTCATTGACAAGGCTCTGCTTTACCTCTTTGGCTGGCATGCTAAGAACATTACCGCATATCAAAAACTGGCAGCTTACCCGCACTTGTTCTCATTTAGTAGCACCAAGTCGGTCGTTCACTGGCTCCAGATTATCAGAAACGAGACATTTCAGATGTTTGATGACGAAGTTCAGGCTCCTCTCTCCATCGCATCTGGTGCCAAGTACTACAAGGTCGCCAAGTACCCAACTCGCAACATCAAGACCCCAATTGTCCTTGTCTACGGTGGAAGTGACAGTTTGGTTGACATCAAGGTCATGCTCAAGGAACTACCCAGACACACAGTCGCCAAGGAGATTCCTCACTACGAACATCTTGACTTCTTGTGGGCTGAGGATGTACACAGACAGGTGATCCCACACGTACTTGAAGCTCTGGAGAGTTACTCTACAGACGCGGGACGGAAGAACATAATGTCACCCTTTAGACCTGCCCGTCCTCAAAGTCTGCTGCCTGCATCAATCCCTAGCTACTCGGAGGCGGAAAGCACGACATGGGACTTTGCGAACGCGGAGAGCACAAGAGATTCAAAGAGAAAGCTCCGAGCGTTCCGCGTGAGCTCGCCGCGACGTTCATCGATTAAGTCGCGAGATCTGAGTGGCAAAACATCTCCGGAGCTGTTCAGCGTCGGCTCGCCCGATGTATCTGCTATCACCGAGCGATCAACAAATTCGCGGCCTGAGGGTTGGTGGTCGAGTGATGAGGTCGCAGGGACCACGTCGGACCCGGCAACACCTGACACACATAATCAAGTCGGTAAAGCGGACCCGGAGACACCGGACGCAACTCCACTTGAGAACAAGGAGACGGAGAAGGAGACACCAGACCCATATTCAACGGAGCAACATGCGCCTGAGACACCAGACACACGCGATGAAGTTGAAAACAAGCAGCCGGAAACGCCAGACACAAGCAGTCAGTCTGAGAAGCAGCCTACCTCGAGACGAATGAGCAGGCTGCCTGTCGTCCAAGGCAGTTCTGGCGCTGGACTTGGCCTATCCTCCCCTCCACCTGCTGTCCCATCTTCCGTTGCGGCTTTCAAAACTTCCGCCTCGTCTCCATCATCGCACAGGTCGAAGCCCAGCATAGACAGTTTGCGATCGGCGGCGGGGGAAGCCAGTTTCGGTGAACACGGTATCAGCTTCGGTCTCGGAGGTAAAGGGCTCGTAGCGGAGGGCGTTGTGAGCAAGGAGATTGGGGCTGCGCAGAAATTGCGAGCTTTGGGTAACGATGGCAGTGCTTCAGACTCGGGTAAGAAGCGAAAGGCAAAACAGCAGATTGTGCGTCGAGAATAGATATCTTGGTGGCAGTGATTGTTTGAGCTTAGTACATAGATGCATTGGAAATCAGAAGGACATATACTCAAATGAAAGAGAAAGTGATCCCAGTCAATTGCTGGATCTGAGACACTTCAGGAGCAGAAGACAGACATGACGTTGTGGAATGAACAGAAAATTATTGCACTGATGAACCAGATTGTTGCGGACGAGACAAGTTGATGTCGCTGGTAGGACGAAACTTGCACGAGCGAGAGAACCCGCGATGCTCGAAGAACACGGCACTTATCTTCGAGCATCGACACTGACGTACGGAACGCGAAAGCGCAGCCGTGGTAAGATGAGGTCCGGCACTTACCTGAGCATCCCCAAGCTTAGACACTAGAACATCAAGGCATACAAGTCAGCGCTGCCGAGCTCTGTGCGAGTTGTTGAGATGAACACCTGAGACAACGTCACAGAGACCTTCCACGAGATTGAGAGAGGACCCGACGTGCCGGTCCAGTCACCAGACAACGCATGCACGACAGAAGAGAGGACCCACCCATCATCACATCGCTATCGGTTTTTGCCGCGTCCCAAGGACCAAGAGGAGGCTTCGATGCTCGGATGGGGGAATGAGGGCTTTTGTGGAGAGTGGTAGTTTCCTGCTTCATGGCAAGTATCGCTGAACCGTCAAGGACTCGCGGTACGTTCCGTTTCCTACTCCATGGCATTGAGCGCTGCCGGTGCGACATGCACGGCTGTGGTCGGGCCCGAAGTATGAGCGTGACATTCATGGAATCTTCCGTTGCATAGGCGCCCAGCGGAAGCTCAAAGCTAGCATGACTGTGAACACACGTGAACTCGTTGTGCCATTAGTGATGCAAGGCGGAAACTGCCATCATCATATGCCGCAATTTAGTAAGCCCAACATGCTATAGAGTAGCAAACAAGCGAGAATCGGATAGCTGTGCTCGAGGCAGAGGTTGAAGCTAAGCTTTTGATATTGATACCCCGGTGGTCAACACGAGCTTGGGCCCCTGCAGCGGCTCACTCCGTCCGCGCTTACCAACATCGAAGTTTGATGGGCACATCGCTGACCATTCCAATAATTCCATTCGCATCCACTTTGCGCGTTCAACTGACGAGCCAAGACGTTGGGTTGCACAGTCACAGCGATCGTTACTGGATGCCGAGCGAACACCTGTGACGGTCACGTCTAGATGTTTCGACTGTATAGAGGCACGGTGCCCTGCATTGGATGTCACGCTTGGCCATGCTGCCAGAAATAGTTGGCCTATGAAATGACCTTGATCAAGCATGTTTGGAGGCACTTGTGCCGGATATGATCAGCGCCCAGGCCAAGAGAACCCGGTACTGTACAATCGAAACACTATGTGAGTCTTGTCAAACACCTGCCCCATAGAGCAGAGCTTGGGGAGAAAACACCAGGTGAGAAAATAGTCTGTGCAACATTTTGATTTGTCCTCCGTTCAATTCACCGAGTAGGTCGATCTTGATCGATCTTCGGAGGTTTATATAAGAGTCGAGCAATATCCCTCGTAAGCAGCATCTTCTGTTGCACACACGACTCTCGTTTTTGTCCTCCTTACAACAGACAACCACAATGCGCTCACTACTGTATCTTCCATTAATTGCGGGCACTGCCATTGCTGGTAGCTGTCCCTATATGAGCGGTGAGATAGACAAGCGTAATGATGCCGCCATCCAAGAAACATCACAACAGACCGAAGAGTTCATGGGTCAATTCAAGCTCGATGATGGACAAGGATACATGACCACCGATTGGGGAACCCCTATCGATGATCTCACGAGCTTGAAGGCTGGCGCTAGAGGCCCAACATTGATGGAAGACTTTGCATACAGACAAAAGATGCAAAGGTTCGACCATGAACGTGTATGTCCCAATTTCTCATCGTCAAGTATGAGCAGCAATTAATCATCGTACAGATTCCGGAAAGAGTTGTACACGCTCGTGGTGCTGGTGTCCATGGTGTCTTCGAGTCATTTGGCAACTTCACCAACATCACTGCAGCAAGCTTCCTCGCAGAGGAGGGTAAGAAGACTCCTACCTTCGTCCGATTCTCCACTGTCATTGGTGAGAGAGGGTAAGTCTATGGTCTGATCATGTTGTGACAGCATTTGCTAATGGACTTTACAGGAGCGGTGATGCTGCCAGGGATGTTCGCGGGTTTGCAACTCGCTTCTACACTGATGCAGGCAATCTCGACATTGTCGGCATCAATTTGCCTATCTTCTTCATCCAGGATGCCATGCAATTCCCCGACATGGTTCACGCTTTAAAGCCTCAGCCTGACAAGCAGATCCCTCAAGCTGCTACTGCCCACGATACCGCCTATGATTTCTTCTCCCAACAACCAAGCACTTTGAACATGGTAAGTTTCTGGAGTCATATACAAAGTCACACTGATGCTGATGATCTCGATAGCTCATGCTTATCATGTCCGGTTACTCTTTGCCTCGTTCATACCGACACATGAGTGGCTTCGGTGTCCATACCATGCGCATGGTCACCGAAGAGGGAGACAGCAAGCTTATCAGATGGCACTGGAAGTCCAAGCAGGGTACCGCAAGTCTCTTGTGGGAAGAAGCTCAAGCTATCAACGGCAAGAACCCTGACTACCACCGCAAAGATCTGTGGGATGCAATTGAGAACGGCGCCTACCCTGAGTACGAACTCGGTGTTCAGATCATGGATGAAGACCAGCAGCTCGCTTTTGGCTTTGATGTCCTCGACGCGACAAAGTGGATTCCTGAGGAGCTTGTACCCATTACAATTCTCGGCAAGATGACTTTGAACGCCAACCCAACCAATTACTTCGCCGAGACCGAAAGCATCGGCTTCCAACCTGGACATGTTGTCAGAGGTATTGACTTCAGCGAGGACCCTCTTCTTCAAGGCCGTCTGTTCTCGTACCTGGACACTCAAGTCAACAGACAAGGCATCAACTTTGAACAACTACCCATCAACCGTCCTCGCATTCCCATCCACAACAACAATCGCGACGGTCGTGGACAGCAATACATCCCCGTCAATAACTACGCTTACTCTCCTAACACCCTCAACAACGGCTTCCCCAAGCAAGCTAATCAGACCGTTGGTGATGGTTTCTTCACTGCACCCAACCGCCGCTTGACAGGCCCCCTGATTCGCGAGCTCTCGCCTACCTTCAACGACCACTGGTCCCAAGCACGCATGGTCTGGAACTCCATCTCGGCCGCCGAGAAGCAAATCGTCGTCAACAGCCTCCGCTTTGAAGTCAGCCAAGTGCAATCCCAAGTCATCAAGCAGAACTTTGTCATCCAGCTCAACAGAGTTTCTCATGATCTTGCTTCTCGCGTTGCTGCCGCTCTGGTCGATGTCATTGTCCCCGAACCCGACAATACCTTTTACAACACCAACAGCTCTGCTCATATTTCCATCTTCAACACTACTCTGCCTACCATCAAGGGTTTAAATATCGGTATCTTGGCCTCGACTACTTCCAATGCTTCCATGTCTCAGGCTGCTCAGTTGGCAAAGTCGTTCTCGGCTGAAGGTCTCTTCGTCAGCACCGTCGCCGAATCTCTTCAACCCGGTGTCAATGTGACTTACTCAGCCGCCGACGCCCACGCCTTTGACGGTCTGGTCGTGGCAGCAGGTGCCGAAGCAATCTTCACCGGTGAAAAAGCATCACCACTCTACCCTCTCGGTCGCCCCATGGAGATTCTCAAAAACGGCTATGGTTGGGGTAAAGCCATCGGCGCCGTGGGGAGTGCTAGAAAGGCTTTCGACGTCGCTGGAATTCAAAAGCGCCCTGGTGTTTACTTTGCCAATGGCACTGCTGAAGCTGTCGATGACTTGAAGAGCGGTCTTGGTATCTTCAGATTCCTTGACAGATTCCCTCAGGACGAGTAATCGAATATGGATGTTCGTGGATTTGGTGTTTGGAGAAATTTTTTCACTCTTGTATAGATCTGCTTTCAATTTGACCTTCAGTTTTGAATTGTTCTTTTGAATTTTTTATGGCTGAATGAGTTACTCATTCGTCCGTAGCTCCCTCCTCATGTGGTATCCGTGCAATACTTGCTTGGTTATTCTTTCCATCCTCATATATCGTACCTGTCTCTTCCAAGTTTTCAAGATACAATGACAGCACAGAGACGCTACTGTGTAAGAGATGTGGAAGTAGCATTCTAGAAAGAATGCAAGAGGAAGGTGCGGTCCTGATTTCTGATCACTCCGAAGAAACATCGACTGATCGTAAAAGAACAGATTCATCAAAAGAAAGAAAAGAGAGGTGTCTACCCCCAAAAAAAACAAGAAGAAGAAGATACAAGAGAATCTAAAACATGTCCCGCGTACTTTGGTATGGGTTTCGTACGTCTATGATTCGCCAATGTGGCGTTCGCTTTCGGGTTTCCAGGAGCCTGTTGTCTCAGTCAGTCCGGTGTCTCGGAAGCAAGTGCTGGGATGTGTCATTCACATACCTTCAAAGTTGTGCTTCACGAAGGCCATTGGGTCGTCATCGTCGCCAGCGCCCATTTGTCCAACACCAGGGCTGAAACTTGTGATGGGCAGAACAACAACATCGCCGACCTTCTTGGCTTGAGTGATGCCGGTGAAATGTTCCCAAGAAATGTTGCCTTTACTCGTTGACATGTCAAAGTAGTCGGGGTCGTTGAAAAAGGCGAAAACAGCATCGGTCCAGATGGCGGGACCAGTAAACTCGACAATTGAATCAATGCTTGACTTTGTGAGTTTGCCAGCTTCCTTGCGACGCAGGGTTTCGTGAGCAATGGTGGCCACCAAGTCGCGGAGGATGGGGTGTCCGGGTTTCGACTGGATTGTCCATTGGCAGAATTGAATACGACGCGAGTACCAATCATGCCAATCCGGACGGTCTGGGTCGGCTTCAATGCCAATGACCATGCCGTAGCTGGAGCGCGGTACGTCTGAGGGCACCCATTCGGTGGCACTCTTGAGGGCGCGTGTATCGATATCTGAGTAGATGCCTCCTCTTGCCAGTAGAATCAGGTAGCGGAAGAAATCGGCCTTGAGCACGGGGACGGGCATGGCATCGTAGGCAGCTACAACATCGGGTACGGCGGCGTACAAATGGCGGATCAGGTGGGCGGCGACATCGTCGGTAATGACCTCGTGAACAAAGGTAGGGTGCAGCTCTGACCAAGCAGCCTCGCCTGGACGGAAGTCTTCCTCAAAGTCACCAGACGCAGGAGTCGTCTTCCAGGTTTGCCAGATGTAAGCAGGGAACTTGCTCTCTGGGTCGTAAGGGAATTGGTAGGCCAGCTGCTGTCGTAACGGCATAGCATGCAGATCTTGCAGGGATATTTGCGGACGCTCTTTCTTGTAGTTGCTCTCTGCCTTCAATTCCTCGGCGACGGCCGGCGTCGTCGAGCTCTGAGATGTGGCTGGTCGCGAGGCCATTGCGGCCGCTGGTGGTTGGATCTGGATTTTGCGGTTTTCTGAATATGAGCCGGTTGGCTTTGGCGAATTGACATTAAAGGCAGCTGCCGTTGGTTGCGATTGTGATCCCCTGAGCAATATGAAGAAGGCCAGTACGACGACGGCCGTCAACAAGGCCCGTTTGAAGGTGAACATTGTGAATGGCGGCCGAATAGCGAACGGACGGGGAGCAGGAAAAAAGGGACAGGAGCGACGTGGATTAGCAGCAAGCGACGGGCATACCACGTATATGCGAGTCTCTGTGAGCTGGACGGAGTGGTGGCGATTTTGTTGACAAAATGGGAAACGGTGTGGAAATACGGGAGCTGAGCGACTTTTCAGGCCGGAGCAGCTACTTGTATATCTTTTGCAGTGGGCATGTGTCGATCGGGGATGGACCAGGGCACCGTTGTGGAGACTACGCACAGGGATTACGACGAGGGATAGCAGCACAACAAGCCTGCTCTTCCAAACCCACCCCGCCGGCTTATATCTATGCAGCTTGCAGAATCCAGAAAGACATCTCTTCTGCTCTGCACAGCGCACAAGTAAGCAAGGGGTATTCAACAACAGTTGCTGTTTGATTGTCCAGATTGTCAGCTCAATTTGAGCCCGTATCACGTCAAAACTCCAACGACAGCCACGACTTGAAACGTCGAGTCGCAAAGGGGTTGTTGAGTTCAAACATAGGAACGCGTCATAGCCCGAAGGCCTGCAAGGCAAGCCTGCAATACGATCTGCCCGCTTGTCTCGCCTGCCTCCGTCGTCTTCAGAGACATGTTCGCTTCTGCAATGTCTCTACAGCATCCATGTGTCTTCGCCTATCACATGCATACTACAGCTTCCTCGCAATGTCATGCAATGCGTAAGCCGTGTTTCCTGGCCCCTCTGCGGTGTTCTTATCGCTGCAGCTACAACAAAGGGATCTGCTGGGAACTCTAAGGGGCGGCGCCGGCAATGCGCAAGCGGAAAGCCACTGCCGCAGTCGACTCGCTGGTGCACACCGAAACGGCCCATATCTCCGACCGACTCGTCCTGCTCTCAACTGACCGTTTACCACTTTTTATGGTTGTTGTACAACGATACGATATCTTTAGAATTGCTGTCTCACCAAAGAAATGGGATTCCTCAACCGTCAAAAGATTCAAAGTTGCTCTGTGAATATTCATACGAACTCCAGCCTGATGCTGTCATGCTATCATGATGTGAGAGGTCTCAGTCTTTAGGCCAGCATCGTGCTCGTGTTCATAGGATCAGCGTGAACGCTGACGAAGCTTCCGTCTGACGGTCTGCGACGGCGGAGCACTTAAGGTTTGAAGTATACGAGTCCCTGTCAAGAACAAGACACCTTCCATGTGAACCTTCCCCCGCGAGCTGAGACTCTCTGCCCACGTTTCAAACGACGGCGCAATGTAGATTACACAGACAACGTCCATCATTTCTGCTGCTCGCTCCTAATGAACATATACCCGTCTCTCTCTGCGTTGTGCGATCATGGTAGGAAATGGCGAGCTGACCGATCAGCCATCCCCTGTTCAATCGAGTCAAACATGTTCGGACCCCGACGTGTCGACGATTGCTAGCTGCGTTTTCCGTGCTCAACCGCATGCTCCAACTCAACATATTATTTAGCCCGCGAGACTTCTATCTATTGCTAGAACAGCAATAGCCAGAACCGTCCAATGGTGACGGTTTGTGCCAGTCGCTCCTGAGACCCGATCCCCGCATACATTGCTGGAGAATGTTTCATGGTTATGATCGGTGCGCACATTAATCACATCGTATTCTCGTTGGCCTTTCTGTCTGGTGCAGTATTTCACTCTCCCTACTATAAAAATGAAAGAGCGTCGCCCTTGAACGTTCATATTGCGCTTTCGACATCGTACGCGGAAGGTCTTGAAAGCAAAACAACAGTATGCGCAAGCTTCAATCACGTCAGGACAATGCAAAACAAACGAGACACGATTTTGGGATAGAGATGCACTTCGTTCTTTTCGTAATTCAACTCGCTCCGACAAAGTTCTTCTGTCTCAAATACGAAGAAGTAGAAGATAAGGGGGAAAAGAAGAAGAAGAAGCAGAATACAATCACATCCGACAACGTCATTTTCGTCATTATTGCCTTGGTGACTGTGGGCGACCCCAGAAGTCCAGACTGGCAATGACATCCTCGCCCATCTCGTCTTCGTACGCATAAAGAATCTGTAGTCGGTCAGCATGAATGCCCTCTTGAAATGGCATATGGTAAAGTAACACACCTCTCTGGAGCTCGAGTGCAGGAAACGTATGTTCTTGGCCGTCAAGATGCAAACCAGTCCTCCCGTTTCTGTCAACCGCACCTCGATGAACTCTTGCTCGAATGCCAAAATGTACTTGTCGCCCCACGTGGCAAAGGCCGTCGGCGCGCCCTCCCAGATAATCTTCCAGTCGTTTCGCGCTCTCCAGCCGTTCTTGTTGACGAAGAATGAGAAGTCCGTATAACACAGCAAGAACTCTGACGGTGTGCGCTCGATGTATATGGGCTTGACGTTCTCGCGGCGAACAACAAAGTCGAGTGAAGTGTCGGCTTGGTCGAGGAGCGACTGTGTCTCGAGTGTCTCGAGCGAGACAATCTCGAAGCCCTTGGCACCTCCAACGCAGAGCTTGGATCGCAAGAAGTGGATGCTATTCGACTCCATGGGTATGTAGAACTCTTTGAACGGTCGGAGCACTTCTTGCCCGCCCGCAAGCATTTTCGCCAGACCCGACTTCTTCTTGCCCTTTGACATGGTATCCATGGGTTCGTACACTCTGACAGTACTCGAGAGTGATGTTGACTTGACGCAGCAGACGAGCAATTGGCCATTGCACATGCCAGCACTGAAATAGTTGGCAGAGCAGATCTTACGCCCTCGCTTAGAGGGAGTCGGCTGATTGTCTTCTGGGTCAAGAGCGTCCAAGGGGTATGAGTACATGACCTTGTCAGCAAGAACCAACAAGATTTGATGCTGCTCCAATACGTCGATCTGGAACACCAGTTTGCAGTCCAGAATACGTTTGGGCTTGAGAGACGCGTCCTTGGGTTTGCGTTCTGCCACAAATACACCGATATCGGTTCCAAGGACCAATTTACGGCCCCCGTCGATGGGTACGCAGCAGTTGACACGGTTGTGAGACGCAAAGTAACCTTGGCTGATGTTTGTCTTCGTGAAGATGTTGCTGCGTTCACGAAGCTTCTCTTGTTGGGCATGTATGTTCTCCATCCACTTCTCCTTTTGAATTTGAGTTGAGCAGTATAGAGTCAGCTCATAGCCACCTTTTCCGAGTCGCTTGAAGGTCAGAGGATATCCGTCTTCCTTTTTGGTCGTCGCGCTAGTGATAGTGCGGGCTCCAGGGATCATGCTAGACGAAGGTCTCTTTGCGATGCCTAGCTTTGGCAAGACCTCGTCCATTTGAGCGATGACCAGCAATTCAAGTGGAATAGGCTTACGGTAGACCTTCTGCTCCTCGCGTTTGTTTACCATCTTTTGTCGAACGAGCAGAACGGCGTGGTCGAAGAGGTAGGCCTGTATGTCGATCGTTTCTGCGCTTGCCGTCTTCTTGAGTCCGCCCTTGAAGACCATTTGCCGTCCCTCTTCGGTCAGCTTCAGATCTTGATAAGGCACGTTAGTCCATTTCAGGTTCTGGTTGAGCTGCGCAAGTTGCTGGATGTTTTCTGCCTTTCCAGACTCCTCGTTGACCCTGGTAAGGATAGCCTTGATCATGACCACAGCTCGTGGAAGATCTTCCTTGTCCGGATTGTCTTCCTTAGCCTTCTTGAGAGCGCCGTCGAGCAGGAGAGGGTATCTGGCGAGACGAGTCGTCGGCTTGGTCAGATAGCCGTTGAGCTCAAGCTTTCGGGATTCTTTCAAACGTTCTGTCTCCTCGACAAATTTGGCGAAAGCAGGGTTGCTGGACTTCTCCTTTTCGAACTCGAACTTTCCGAACAGCTGGTTGGCACCGTACTTGATGAATGGAGTAAACTGAGGGACAAACTCCAGGAAGATATCACCGACATTCCGCACGACCGGATTTTGCTGCTGACGACGAGTAAGTGCGCTTGCCAATCTAACATTGACAGCGTGAACTTCCTGGCAATTGGAGAAGACAGTCCGGATGAATTTCTCACGTCTGTGTTCCGGAATTGGCGAGATGTTGGGATTCCTCAAGGGTTTAATCCAGAAGTCGCGCAAATACTCCAGATCCTTGACAAAGTCTCGTTCGGTGTACATGATTTCAGCGAGAACTTCCTGGCGCTTCTTTTCCTCGTCATCAACACTGTCGGCGATATCCTTGGATACAGTGTTGATCCATAGTCTCTGTTCCGCTTCTGGCTCATCCCGCAGACTGGCTTGCGAGCCTTCTCTTTTGAGGCCGGGCTGGATCTTCATGTTGAGACGCTGTTGTTGCTCCAATCTCCTGGGACACGCGATGGAGTAACAAAGGTGATCGCGTGTACAAGTAGGCGAGTAACACTCGGTTAGCAAGGTAAAGACTCCATTGACCTCGGCCGGCTCTTCAACCACGGCTTCCTTGAACTGGTAGATTTCATTGGGAGAATCTCGCAACCTGTGTGCATAGGCTACTTCGTGGAAGAACTTTTGCGCATCCAGGGACCTGCCGAGAAGGAGAGCAAGATTTCTGTCCGAAGTGCGGATGATATAAGCAATTAGCTCAACAGCATCGTGGCCAGTAAAAGCGTTCTTGTAGACCAAGGCGTCTTTTTCTTTTTCCGCCATTGGGATTCTATCGTAGAAGGCGGCAGCGACTTTGGAGAGGAGAGCACCGTAAACCAGGGAGGGACGTCTTTGGGCTATCATCTGTCCATTGCCCTGTTGAATCTGGCTGTTGGAACGAGTGGAAGAAGCGGTAATCGAAGGTCGCGGAGACTGAGCGGCGCCAGCTGTAGTCTCTGTGTATTCCGAAGGAGCCATGACAGTGGAGGCCATGGACATGGAGCGGGATTGTATGCTGCCCTGACTAGGAGTTCTACTCTTGGCGGCAACGAAAGGATCCTGCTGTTGGTGGTTGACCTCGGAGTCGCCGCGTTTGCGCTGGGGTATGACACGGCCGCTCATGATCTGACTGTGGTCTTGGTCGCGTGAGTACGAGGACATGGACATGGTGCGTTCGTCGGCAGGGCGATCGGGAACAACTCTTCCCTGTGCAGTAGTCCGTGCAAGGTGGTTGCTCATGTACGGCTGCTGGCGGAAAGCTTGTGCTGGAGCTATGTTGTAGCTGCTCTGGCTATGCTGTGCTGGGAAATTGGGTCTGGAGGTTGCGGCCATGGACTGAGAGCGGTACGAGTCTGAATTGAGAGCGGGAGCTGGACCGGGAGTCATGGCGGGCCCGCCAGTGTAGGTGCGAGTATAAGGCTGAGACGGCGGCGGACCTCGCGGATCAAGACGCTGAGGAGCGGCATATGGACGTCGATCTGGGCGCAGAGGCTGAGGCAAGTATTGGGGCTGAGGTTGGCGGTGAGGTTGTGGTGAGGAGGGGTATTGCTGCTGGGGTGGGTGAGGGTGGTGCTGAGGATGCTGTTGCTGGTGGTGGTGATGGTAGTCCCCGTTCTGAGCAGGCGGAGGGTTGTGAGACTGCTGGTGATGGGGAGACGGACGGGGGTGGGACTGCTGCGCCGGGTATGCTCGCATGGGAGGGGCGCGTTGCATGTAGTCGGACATCTGAGAGGAAATGGTGGCGGCGCGTTCGGCAGGCGGCCTCATGGGCTGGGAGAGCATAGTCTGCGAGCGACCCTGGCCCTGGTTTGCGGCACCAGGCGGGCCAAAGATGTTGTTATAGGCGGCGTCACGCTGCTGCGACGAGGAGCGGCCCGGTTGTTGCGAGTATTGGGCCATGTTCAGCGACAGGGCTTATAGTCATCTACATCCGAGGGCGAGCAGAGGGCAGCCGAGTGCACAAGCGAGTGACGATGGAGAGGAGCAGTGCTCGTGAAACAAGGCGGCCCACGCTGGACGGGCCTACTCGACCCTCTGCTCAACTTTAAGTCCTTGTCCACGTGTGCCGGCGGGAAAGGGCGCTGAACACGGCGAATATGCGGATCAACGAGAATGGAATGGGCTGCAGACTGCGCAGTAGGAGCCAAAGAGAGTGGCAGCTGTCCAGGTCTTGACAGACTGCAAGGTGATTTTGTAGAGAGGCTTGCCGCAATGCCGGGATGCTTGTATATGCCACGCCCAACTTGGTCTCTGTCTTACAGCCCACCGTGCCAAGCGTCGGCTGTCGCTGTCGCTGTCCCACCAAGCTGCTGAGACTGCTCTTGTTCAGATAATATACTTCTGCCTCCAATCAAGCAGTTTGTTACACTCGTCTGTAGGATCAACGTGTGTACTAGCACCTGTCTCATATCCTGCGTCCGGTGGGAAAGTGTAGACATGACAGCATCTAAATCGTGTGTGCAGTCCAAGTAAGTAGGTACCTAGCAGATGTCAGTCACGTGCAACGTTTCTTGACCAAGGAAGGTACGAGTCGGAGCACCATCATGGCGGACCGACGTTGCTGCCGCGAGCCAGTCCAAGTCAAGTTGCTCGTCACCACCCATCGACGACCCTTCCACGCGCTGTTTTGCCATAGCGTGATTAGCTGTTTCTAGTCCTGGTCCTCGCCTGTCCGTCTTCTCCGTCTTCTCCATCACCTCTTTCACAATGTCGGACTCCGAACTCGCCCCTGCCTTTGCGCCCTTCTTTGGCATGGTGTGTATACCTCATCGCCCCGAATAGACATGTTAGCTAACCCCTTCTCAGGCTGGCATTGCCTTTGCTGTAAGCTACTTCTCTGCTGTTGTTCGATCATCCAACTAACCTGACTTGCCGCCTCACAGATGATTTTTGGCTGTACGTTGAATCAATGTCTCGTCGCATCTGCCTGATATACTGACGCTCAATCAAAAGGTGTTGGAGCCGCATTCGGCACAGCAAAGTCTGGTATTGGTATCGCTGGTGTCGGTACCTTCAGATCCGACCTGATCATGAAGTCGCTCATCCCCGTCGTCATGTCCGGTATCATCGCCGTCTACGCCCTCGTTGTCGCCGTCTTGATCGCTGGTGATATGCGCCCTCCCCCGGGTACCCACTACAGCCTGTTCACCGGCTTCATGCACCTCGCCTGCGGTCTTTCGGTTGGCTTGACTGGTCTCGCTGCTGGGTACGCCATCGGCATTGTTGGCGATATGGGTGTGAGATCATACATGCAGCAATCACGAATCTTTGTTGGCATGGTTTTGATCCTCATTTTCGGCGAGGTCTTGGGTCTATACGGGTATCTTCCACTATTCTGCTCGCCTGCAAGTCCTCATACTAACACGCATTCTCAGCTTGATTGTTGCCCTTATCCTCAACACCAAGAGCAGAGGTTAAACAAATCTCCCTGGTCCACCGCTCTCTCACAAGATCACCTCCACGCGCTGTAACATATACCAAATAACAATCGTCCGAATCATGTCATCAATAGAAGTTTTCCATAACGAATATATGCGCATAGCATGCCACAACTCTCAGTAATCCTGCACTCCCGTCTCTCCCTTCGTCTCGCCTTCACCGACGAATACCGCTTCTTCTTGCTCGAAGTAGTCTTCTTCTCTTTCCCGTCTGTCCCAATCCAGATCATCGTAGCGTTCGTCTTCGTCGACGGTTTTGTAGTCAAAGTCCTGGTCTTCGCCACGAAGGAAGCGCATTTCAACGTACTCGCGCCACTTGGAGATGCCCTCTTCCTTTGTCTTTGGCCTGTCTTCCTCGTCTTGTTCTACAGCTGTGATAGCACCTGATGCATCCCGCCGATACACGAGTGGACTATGTGGGTCAGGATGGTTCAAGGCTTCGATCTTGGCCTCGGACCGCATCATGTCGGCCTCGAGCATTCCTGAGTAGCCCTTCTCGCGTCCGTCGGCTTCCCGCTCGGCGGCGCTCTGAAAGCGTCTGACCATGCGATCGTATAATAGAGGATCTGTTGAACCGGTTGGTATCGAGGTAATCAGTCGTATACACACCGCGCGTCAGCACCTGCAAGCTCTAGGCTGGGCGAGTCAAAGTAGTCGCCATTCTGTTCCAGGTATCTCCGCCGCCGAGTCTTGACACGAATGCGGGCAGCGCGCGCTATGTCACTTTCCGAACCATTGATTATCTGGTTGGCGGAAGGGAAATGTGGCATGTCGAGTTCGTTGCGACTCACAAAGGCGGCGATGGTGTTTCGCAGACGGATGTTGGATAAGCCGAGGCAGTTGCGACCGACCGCTTGCGACGTGCTTGATGCTTGGCTGGCCGCTGGTGGGAAGCCACGCGGGCATTCTCACCGTTCCGCTCACACTCGCGCAAGGCAGCAGCTTTCGGAGGCGACCTCTTTCCCTTTCTCAAATGGCTGCCTTCCACATGCAATTCCGATAGATGCAGTAATCGTCCGTCGTCCAGACTTTTTGCGACATGGATTCAACGCCATAATATCAATCACATTCACCGAGCGCAATGGCTTCTTTACGATATAACCACAACCTCACTCTCCTTTATAACGACACAAAGCGCAGGGCCGCTATCAATGTAGATAAGCAGGAGCCGAGTCCCGCTTCAGCAAGACTCCATCGCAGGCTCCATGCACAAACCGATCGCCTGGTGACCTGGGGTCTAGAATGGGCCGAGGAAACAAATGACAGCATTGATGAGTCTATTGAGCGTGCTGGCTTCACCGAGAATGTGACCAACGTCCTAGGCAATATCAAGGATATCCTCGAGCAAGCCGACAGACTTTCATCATGTAGCCCCGGATCCGACAAGGTCGTCTTTAACCAAGATCGCTACCAAGACCTACTGCGCGACCTGACCTCCTCAGTTGATGTTCTCTACGACCTTTCAGCATCTCGACGAGCCATCGCCAGAGGTACATATCCCAACTTGAGTGACCATCCTCACGATATTGCCAAACGTGGCCTCCATATGCCAAAGATTCCGTTCGATGCTGCCAGTTTCGCCTCATCAGAAAAGACTCTAGTTAACACGCAATTCACGCGACCTGCTCTATCACCTTATGCCGGGCTACCAGCAAGCATCAGTCCCCAGGCTTTGATGCTACCAGCAGATGGACCACCGCCTTACGAATACCTCGGCATTCCGTCGACCGCGAGGATGATGGGTCGATTGAGCAAGTCCTTGGCCCCGGAAAGTGTACGAAACGTGTTCAGAGACGTCACAGATGAATACGTATGGGTGATGGTTGAATTCGAGAACTACGACTCGCTGTATCGCGACACTGGCGTATCTCCACCGCTTACGAGAGTGGAGAAGCTGGCTTGCTCTCTGAATATGTTATCAAACAGAGGCAATCTCAGGCTACTTGGCTATGTGGAGGACCCTCAGCAACCTCGTATAGGATTGGTCTACGACTATCGCACCATTCAGCCACTCCAATCTGAGGCTATCCGTCCAGTTACTCTTATGAGCCTAATATTGACCGCCACACAAGCCAAAAGACCAGTGGATGTGTCGAATGCTACTCCGTTTCTGGAAGATAGATTCCGCATAGCACTCCGTCTTGTGGAGAAACTGAGAGATCTACATGCCGAGAATTACTTCCATGGTAACATACACAGCGAGAGTATAGTGTTTCTTCAACAAGGTCAATCTTCGCAACCCCGACAAAGCGAGCTGCACCGACCCGTCATCTCCGCGTTCGACATGTTCTCGAGAAACAGGATTGAGTATGGAGATTCTCCAGCGATTTCAAACATCACGAAGCATCCAGAAGATACTGGAGGGGAGATCGACGACGTTACAGCAGTGCGATATGATCTTTATCAGATCGGTCTCGTCCTCCTAGAGATCGGTCTTTGGAACCCCATCAACGACTATTTTAAGGAGAAGTACTCCCTCAAAGACTTCAAGCTCAGGCTCGAGAAGCTTTATATTCCCAAGCTTGCGAGCAAGTGCGGTTCGTTATACATGCGTGCAGTACAGACCTGCCTGAGATGGGCCGATAACGACGATGTCGGACGTGTTGGCATTGAGGCTGTTTACGATAGCATTATTGTCAAGCTCCAGCGTTGCTGTCTGCTAGATGAGACGGAACCTCTGGAGATCAGTCAAATTCCGGCCGGCTTTTTGCAGCCTCAGGGCAGCTCCGAAGAACTTCACACAGCGACAAAGAGGCGCCGCAACATCTCGCCAGGACGTCTTACTACCGAATCTCTTGAGCTGAAAGCTGCCGAGAGAGCTTCAGTCGCGTCATATCCATCAGCCATCTCAAGTTCTGTCGGACCACGTTCGCCTATTCTCTCGATGCTCAGTGCCAAGTCAAATCGATCCAACTCGACCAGTGCAGACTCTATTAAGCACGTCTCTCATCACACGACCCGAGCCTCGACCCACACTCCAGCATTAGACCTAGATCGATCGGCTCACACCCCCAACACTCTGTCGACGTCTGGTCCAGATCCATTCCCTTTCTCGTTCCGTGACTATCGTCGTAAAGTCGTGCTCATCCAATCACGATGGCGTGCAAGAAAGGCCGAAGCACACCGTAACACTTACGAGGACGCTCCGCAGTACCAATCCGACCAGAGACCAGTAGCTCCAACCAGCAGGTGTCGTCTCTTCCCGATTTCACTTCCACAATCTATCGTAGAAGAGTGGCATTCAGACATTGGTCTTCGTTTGTCATGCATCATAGAACGAGCACTTAAAGGATCTCCGGAATCCTCCAGCATCGATCTTGTCAGCGTTGGCCACGACGCCCTGACCGCGAAACCAACCATAATCGTGACTTGCGCAAACACGGCACGAGTCAAAGCCGCTCTGAAACGTAAATTTCACTACGATCGAACAATGTTCGATCTCAAGGTCCGCCAAGGCTGTGTGAACCTGTCGAGAGGCAAGTCCAGGATTTGTGGCAGGGGCGATAGCGTCAAGCGTAGTCACGCAAGAGGCGATGGAAGTGAAAGGTACACATCATGATTTCCGTTTCCCCCCATACTCTTTCCTTTTTGTCTGTTGCTTACAGGCGTTTTTGTTTACATGCTCGATACCCACATGTTCCTCTTTGATACCCAATACTGTTGCTTCTATCACGAACCTAGAATCAATCAAACTCACGTCTTGTCATGCTCGAGGCTGACGAATTTTATGTAGTAACATAACTCCATTGAACCCCTTCTGGCAAGAACGTCCTCTTTGTGGTGCATCTATCGGTGCATACTTACCTGACTACGGCCATCTCGAGCCAGTGTCTCTCGGCGGCATAGTCAAAGTGGACGACAAAGAGTACGGCATGAGTGTGCATCATATGCTCGAGCCTCCCACCGACGAAGAAGACTCGACCGACTCGGACTCGGAACTAGAGGAACAAGCCAATCAAGGCGCCCATCGATCGAGTGCAAGGGCCTCGGGAGCGATCCAGCCTCGCCTCGTACCAAAAGCATCTGATGATCACGACTACCTGAGTGATCTCTCCTCGGTCTCCAGCGGAGGTTCAGATGACGATGGCTATGAATCGTCAGATTTTGAGAGCGACGTCTCGGAAACCGAGGATGCAGGCAACAAACCTGGTATCAGCGTCTCTTCAACCAAGAGTGTACAGGTGACCCAACCAGCCTTTGGAGATGCGGTAGCCGAGGATCTACACGCTGACGATGCCACCACAGAAGAGCTAGACGAAGACCATCTATCCTCTTACAAGCTAGGCAAAGTTTATGCCTCCTCTGGCCTTCGCCGTTGGAACCAAGATGGACGACGCTTTGAGATTGACTGGGCACTCCTCGAGCTCGATCCTCCTCGGCTTCAACCCTACAACCTCATTCAAGGGGGACGACGACATTGCAAATCTCCAGTCTCCTTTAAGCCAGACTTGAAATCTCCAGTCTGCAGACGCAGCAACCTGTACACGGCAGACGAAGACTGGTACCCCACAGAAATTGTCCCAGCCACCAATCTTGCAAACCTAGAAGTACACTGTCTAGGTCGCACCTCTGGCCTCAAGACCGGCGTCATCGGTGCAGCAATGTCCTTTGTAAAGATCAAAGGACGCAGAAACTTTTCCCTCAGCTGGACAGTGGTGGGTGATTTCGGCGTCGGTGGCGACTCTGGAGCTTGGATAGTTTCCAACAACACAGGGCAGGTCGCTGGACATGTCCTTGCTGAACGCACGGGATTGACGTATATTTGCGCCATGAGTTTGCTGTTTCAAGATATACAGCAGACGTTACGGGCGTGTAGGATTAGTCTTCCTGGCGCGGCGAGCAAGGCTGTTGTTGACTTGGATGATGTGGATGTTGGTCAGGGGACGGTGTATACAACCATGTTGCCTACGAGGGAGAAGACGGGCTTTGAAGATGGCAGGAAGAGATATTATGTCGAGTCTGCGTCGAGGGCGAAGAGTAAGGCTGCTGAAGCGGCGATTTCGAAGCCGAGGACTGGGTGGTGGCAGAGTGTTAGGGATTGACGCAGTCGTATGGATTGGAAACAGCAAGATTGATTGGCGGATCGGGGAGAGCGAAACTCTTTGTCGGAGGACTGGTCTTCTTGCAATTATAATGTCCCAAGCTGAGTCTATCACGACAATAGTCTATAATTTAATCTCTTGTACTGCATCATCCAAGTCATTGACCGGCCAACAATACAGTGCTCAGGGCTCCGAAATATTGACAGAGCATTTGTTTGTTTCCTGACTTTGCGGCCTCTCCCATGAGTAGTCTTAGGTGCCTGGCTTCGGGATAATCCAAAGCATCGATGCCAAAGTCAGCTACCATGTGTGCCATCATGCCACCAAACTCTTTCATCAGATCTATAGGCATGTCGAGTGCGACTGTGCTACCCTCGCTTATCTTAGCGGCAACCCTCGTTTGGCGAACTTCTAGGAAGGCACTACCAACCTTGAAAATATATGATGACTGACAACAAGACAGCTTTGGCAAGACCATTAAGCAACTTCACACGTCTTGAACAGGACTACGTCTCACAGCACGATCAGCATTTCAGAAAACACACTCAAGCCTGAGGGATGGTTGAGATACCGTTTGCTTTGTAGTGCAAGACATGTATGCTCCTGACGACTCGCGGGATCTTGCAGACCGCTAAGTACAAACGCCGACATGTTGCGCCAGGCTGAAGGGCGAAAAAAGTGGCAAGCAGAAGGATGTGAAAACGGGTATCTGGGTATCTGTACGATGAAACATTGTGTGCAAAGACTGGATAGAAAAACAAGAATGGGCAGCGCAAATATCAACAAGGTAGTGGTATCCCGTTGACAGAGGACTCCCAAGAACATCCGGCGTGGCTGACGGCATTTTCCCCTTAGATGAAGAAACTCCTAAATACGGGCATATGCAGAACTGCGTCTTCAGGTTCTTTATCGTCATCAAAATCGTCGTGGTTGTGACCACGACCGCATAGCCACATTTAGGACCAGCAAGTATCTCGCTGGCGACATAAAATCCGTAGCTGATAAAGATGAAGACGCGCCTACTGCTTCTGTCCGTGTCTTGCAGGGTGGTCACTCATACAGAGACATTGTCTTAGTCAAACACCAGTGGCTTTCGAAGTTCGGTACCAGCGTTATACTACTGAGCTCTCATCATCTTCAGCAGAAGTGAGGCTCAGACAGTGGCTGTGAGACGAGCAGTATCGACAGGCGTAAGAAAGTTGGAACAAGTAGATTATGGTATCCTTGTTTTTGTTGCAATCAGCAGAGACGTCGGCGTCGTAGATTCGACGGAGAGAGATCGGAGCGGCGCCAGAATACGTTGTAGGTGGAATAAACTAGACAGAAGACAGCAGCGGCTTTGGGGTTGCCTTTGGTGCAAACTAGTTTACACCCAGGGTCTGGAGCGCTAGTCTCAACTCCTTAACAGCGGTGTTGACATCGTCGAAGTTAAGAGCAGACATGGCAAACTTGGCATGTTTCTGAGCCAAGGCGATGGAATCATCATCAGTGCGATAACTTCCAGGGGCGACAGCCTGTACTGGCGGCAGTGGAGCGGGAGCTGCAGCCTGAGGCAGAACAACGGCGGGAGTGTGCATAGGTATGGAGGCAGGTGGTTGGGTAGGCTGCGAGTAGAATTGCGAGGGCGAAGTGGAGCCTTGGTCCATAGCTGGCGACGGAGCTGAAGTCACGAAAGGAGTGCCTGGATTGGTGGAAGGCGCGTTGTCGGCCGAATGTGGGACGTAGGCTGGAGCAGATGGGAAGTAGCCACCGCCAATCGAGTTCTGACGGGGGTTCGTGGTAGATTCGACAGGCGAGACTGCATCTTGAGTGGGGGCTGAAGTCGTGGCATCAGGTTGGTGGACGGAAGCCGGACGTGAAGGGTACTGGCTCTCGGGAGCGCTCTCGACGGTAGGAGGATGGTGTGTGTCTTGGGCAGCGTCGATTGTCGCCTCTTCTCTGACAGGGTTCGAGGCGTTGGGGTCCTCGCCAGCCTTGATGGCTTTGGCGATGCGGACAGCGTGGAACTTTGCGTACTTTGACTTTGCCGTAATGTCAGGGTCCACGGGAGCCCAGATGGACATGGTGAGGAGATCAAAGAAGGTGACTGCAGCCTGGAAGGTGTCGATGGTCTGACGTGAGGCCTGATTGGCGTGGATTGCGTCGTCGGCGCGTTGGAACGTGTCAAGAGCGAACTGCTCAATGTACGCTTTGGCTGCAATGTCGTCGAGAATGGCATCGTTGCCTGCCTGTTCCGTCTTGACCTGCTCCAGCTTGTCCATAAGAGCCGTCGTGTACTGCATGCACTCATCGTCGACCGAGTGCAGGCTCTTGGAGAGGATCTGGTCGATGATGTAGTAGTTGCACCAGTACGATACGATGGGCTTGTGCTTTTCCAGTTGAGACGCACGTACCGCAAAGGGCGTGATCTCCTTGATCTTCAACTTGGCTGGAAGAGAGGCCGCCATCTTGCTGTGCTGTTGTCTTGTTGAGGTAGACGCCAGGCAAGTCTAGAAAGCTAAGGCTTAGGCAGGTACCAAGATGGAGGTCAGGGTTGGCGTGCATGACATGGCGCGGGGAAGCCTCGGTCTCGGGGGTGCTCGAGCCACATGTCACCAAGGTGCCTGCCTCATGTTGACCAAAGGACAAGTTGCCTTGCTGCTTCTCATCTGTTCGCTCCGTCGATTCATTGACTCTCACTACAGACTACGCGCAATCATGGTGAATCTCCACTCTCTGTCGGTGGCCGCAGCTGGTCTGTTGCTTCTGCCCTCATCGCAGGCCGCCGGCCTCTACACAAAGAACTCGGGCGTTCTCAACCTCGATTCCAGAACCTATCGTTCGTTGGTTGCCAACTCGAACCACACCTCCGTGAGTCGTTCCAAGTCGTGCCTCAATCTACCTTCTTACTGATGGAAATGTAGATTGTCGAGTAAGGTGTACTGTGATCCGTCTCATTACTTGCTCTCATTCCATTCCAGATTCTATGCTCCATGGTGTGGTCATTGCCAGAGTCTGAAGCCTGCCTACGAAAAGGCTGCCAGATCTCTCGACGGCCTTGCCAAAGTCGCTGCTGTCAACTGTGATGAGGAAGAAAACAAAGCTTTCTGTGGTAGCATGGGTGTCCAGGGCTTCCCCACCTTGAAGATTGTCCGTCCCGGCAAGAAGGCCGGAAAGCCCTCAGTCGAGGACTACCAGGGTGCAAGAACTGCAAAGGCCATTGTCGAATCTGTCAAGGAGAAGATCCCTAGTCATGTCAAGAGAATCACTGACAAGGACCTCGACGGCTGGCTGTCCGAGAACAACTCTTCGGCCAAGGCCATTTTGTTCAGTGACAAGGGCGTCACCAGTGCTCTCCTCAAGGCTGTGGCTATCGATTTCTTGGGCTCAATCTCAGTCGCTCAGATCAGAAACAAGGAAGCTGCTGCCGTCTCTCTCTTCGGCGTTACCTCGTATCCGACTCTTGTTCTGCTTCCTGGCGGCACTAAGGATCCCATTGCGTACTCGGGTGGCATGAAGAAAGAGGCCATCGTTTCCTTCTTGTCTCAGGCTGCCACCCCAAATCCCGATCCTGCTCCTTCGGCCAAATCCAAGTCCAAGTCGAAGCCAAAGTCAAAGGAGTCAAAGGAGTCGTCAAAGGCCTCATCTCAATTCTCAAAGGCATCGTCTTCACACCGCTCCGACGAATCTGCCAGTATTAAGGCTTCGCAGACAGCTGAGACTCTCGAAGACAACAGCATCCCTACCGAAAGCCCCAACCCACAAGTCGTCACTGATGATGCCCAGAAGCCGATCCAGGTTCCCGATGTGCCTCCTCAAATCACCACCCTTGATACTCTCGAGTCCTTGCAGCAAAGTTGTCTTACCTCAAAGTCTGGCGTTTGCATCTTAATTCTTGCGCCATCCGCATTCATCCAGACTACAGACTCACCCGTCTCGAAAGCTGTCAGCGCACTGTCGGAGATTCATCACAGAAACAGCAAGCGCGGAGCTAAGCAGTTTCCATTCTACAACGTCCCGGCCTCAGCATCTTCTGAGTTACGCTCAGCATTGGGCCTCGCTGATGACTCTCTCGAGATTGTCGCTATCAACGCTAAGAAAGCCTGGGTCAAGCGCTACTCGGGTACTTTCGATATCAGCCGCAACGCTATCGATGCTTGGGTTGACTCGATCCGTATGGGCGAAGGCAAGAAGGAGAAACTTTCCGAGAGTGTTATCGTAGAGACTACCGAGAAGCAAACCCCACCGGTTGCGGAGAAGGCTGGCGAGAAGGTTGATGTCACGATGGAGGAGCTCACTGATGAGCAGTACGAGCAGTTGATGAATGCTCACAAGAATACCAAGGACTCGGAGAATCACGATGAACTTTAGTTTTTGTTTGTACCACGAACGTAAGTAGTAATCACATCGAATATTGACAGACCGTTGATCAGAAGTGAAAGATGACCGCTAGAGGCGAAGCCATTGGAGCTCGTAGGGAGCAGAAAATTTGCAAGTGAACCGATCTGAGGTACGACACGGGGCAGAGTAAACGAACTCCTCCATGGAGGTAGGACAACACAATTCTCCGGTAAGCGAGTCACCGTTCGTGCACACGGCATTCTCAGTGAAGCTCGGAATCACTCGTGCCTCGCGCCATGCAACGCTGCACGATGCCACGACATTATCAAGCATCCGTAGTACTACGCATCAATTGCTTCGCATCGTATCTTCGACAACAGACATCAACCAATTCACGACTCAGCATCTTTCACTCCAACAACATCAAGCCTTCCAACCTCCACTTCGCCAATCCCCATTTCCTCAACCATGACCAACCCTTCCACGCTTCATCCATCAAAACTCCAGAAAGACACACGGCAACAATGACAAACTCCAATTCCACCACCACCACAACAAATGGCACTCATACCAACAGCATCACCCTCAGTTCCCTAATCTCCCAAGCCAATGTCATCGCCGCCCAAGCCCACTCCCGCCAGGACTTTTGGAACACCTTCAACATCCGCTCCGAAGAAAACCTTTACAAGTTTGAAATCGCCCGTCGTCTCCTCGTCAGTGACTCTGACTTTGCGCTCAAACTCCTTCAAATCACCCTTGAGGTTGCCGAACAAGTTGATCGTGACAGTGAAAATCTACTTGCTGGAAAGTAAGGTCAGGAGGTTGAGCTTGAGGGGTTGAAGAGGGATGTTGGTATGCTTAAGAGGTGAGTTTTAGAAAGTCAGAAAGCTGAAGGCTGAACAGAGGGAGATGAACAGCGAGTATCTGAAACCTCAGCAGGACAAGTTCTTCATTGAGATGGTTTCAAGAAGCATCTAAGAGTCTTTGAACTTCTGCTGGACAGAAGCACAAAGAGGACTCGGACTGAGCCATAGTTACTATTGCCCCTGGAAGTCGTGCTTCTATCAGGTAGACTTCTTACAGTTCCTCGGGAAGAGGTGCCCGCTGAATTAGCTCACATGCACATATCACATTTGGACTCACTCTCAAAGTGGTGGTACCTTGCTCAGTCACCATGGTTTTTGATCTCTCCGCAAAACGTGTGCCCGGTTCTCAAAATTTCTAGACTTTTTCGTCGTTTCTTATTCACTGACTGCGATAGCGATCGAGGGTCGATCGTCGAAGAGTTTTGATTGAGGTATGTTTGATCATGCCAATGTGTCACATCCTAAATACACCCCACTCGGTCTTGCTTTCTTCCACGCTACCAGACATGGCTGCTTGCAGTCCCATGGCCAAGACTCTCCTGGTGTGTGATGGAGGAATAATGCCATCATCCCAAAGTCTAGCTGTTGCAAAGGTAGACTCGCTCTCACGTTCGATTCGTTCGCGGAGCTTTGGGTCTACTTTCTTGCCTACTGCTTCCATTACCGAGGATAATTGCTCGGCACCCATGACGCTGGTTTTTGCCGTCGGCCATGCCCAGAGGAAGCGAGGAGAGTATGCGCGACCACTGTGAAAGATGTCAGTCTTGGTTTGATTGTGACAAGAGTGTTGAGAAGCACTTACCACATGCCATAGTTACCGGCTCCGGCAGAGCTGCCAAAGACTACGGTGAACTTGGGCACGTCGGCACAAGCTACGGCTGTCACCAGCTTAGCACCATTCTTTGCAATGCCGCCCTTTTCGGCATCACGACCGACCATGAAGCCAGAAATGTTTTGCAGGAAGACGAGTGGGATGCGTCGTTTGTTGCATAGTTGGATGAAGTGAGCGCCTTTCAATGACGATTCCGAGAATAGGATGCCGTTGTTGGCAACGATGCCTACTTGATGGCCCTGGATACGTGCGAAGCCGGTAACCAATGTGCTGCCGTAGAGGGGCTTGAACTCGGAAAACTCGCTGCCGTCAACTATACGGGCGATGACTTCATGGACGTCGACTTGTGTCTTGAGATTTGTTCCCATAATGCCGTCCAGTTCTTCAGGATCATAGAGGGGTTCCTTCCATGGTTCTGATTTGGGGGCAGAGGCGGGATAGTTGAGGTTGGCGACGCAACGACGAGCTAACACGAGAGCGTGTGCATCGTCTACGGCAAGATAATCTGTGACGCCACTGACCTCGCTGTGCAGTTTACCACCACCCAGATCTTCTGCGCTGACGACTTCGCCAGTGGCAGCCTTGACTAGTGGCGGGCCGGCAAGGAAAATGTGACCCTGCTCTTGAACGATGATGTTCTCGTCGCTCATGGCTGGAACATATGCTCCACCGGCTGTACAAGGACCCATGACGACTGAGAGCTGCGGTATGCCCATAGATGACATTCGAGCTTGATTGTAGAACAGACGACCGAAGTGGTTTTGATCGGGGAACACGTCGGCCTGGTGAGGCAGGTTGGCGCCTCCGCTGTCGACAAGGTAGATGCAAGGTAGACGATTTTCTTCGGCGATTGTTTGTGCTCGGAGATGTTTCTTGACGGTCAGAGGATAGTAGCTACCACCTTTGACACTGCTGTTGTCAGCGAAATCAGGGCAAAGAGAAGATCGTGTAACCTACGTGCTGTCGTTAGCGACAATCATGCACATAGTGCCTTCGACTGTGCCAATTCCTGTCACGATTCCTCCCGCAGGCACGTCTTCTCCGGGGTAGACATCGTAAGCAGCCAGAGCCGACAACTCGAGGAAAGAAGTGCCAGGATCGACCAAGGCGGTGATGCGACTAGGATCAAATAAGTTGATGCAAAAAGTGTTGGTCTAGGAAAGCCAGCTTACTCTCGCACCAGCATCTTTCCCTTGGAAACATGTTTCTCGCGTGCCTTCTCACTACCTCCTAGGGCGGCATTACGGTGTAGATCTGTGAACTTGTCGAGAAGCTCTTGCATTGACTTTTTGTTGTCGGCATAGCTAGTTGAGTTTGTGTCAACAGTAGTTTGCAGTACTGAGATTTGAGCAGCCTGATGGCGGGATGTGTAGGTTGCTGCCGTCCTGGCTCCGAGGCATTCTCTAGTAGATGACGATTGAAATGGCAGAGATGTGCTTCGAGTGCGAGGTAAACAGGAGCGCAGTGCTGGAACGCGCAGCCATCGGGCCGGCGCTGCTGCAATCATTGTGTATCTACCTACATTACCTTCTGAAGGTAGTTCGCTATGTTATCATGTCCACACAGGTGACCGACTCCCCCCTCTCGGCTGGTCCCTTGCCCCGCATGATGCGCCCTGGCCGAAAGGGCGTGCAGGGCGCGGAAATACTCCCGCCTCTCACACCCCGGCTTTGCGTGTCTCCTCCGCGATACTGAACTTGGTTACCCCACGATCTACTTATTTCTCTTTTCAGGACATACGTATCTTTGTACATCGTGCCTACTACCATGACCTCAAGATCAATCGTTCGAGGGCTGTTACAGAGCTCAAAGCCGCAATACCGAGCACTCTCGACCACCAGATCATGTCTTGCTAGAAAGCACCCTAATGGATATGCACCGCCTGCAAAAGAGGATCTAGAGGAGTTACGGGAAAGGACGAGAGAGTTTGCTCGTACGTGATGCATCGCTATATGATCCTCACCCATCCTAACTTGGCGTCTCAGTTCGCGAAATTCCAGAGGATGTTGCCGTAAAGACTGACCACGACAACGAATTTCCAAATCACATGTGGCGGAAGATGGGTGAAGCTGGGTACGTGAGAGTGGTTTAATTGTTGTGATACTCGCTAATTTCGTTCAGTCTGCTGGGCATCACCGCCGACGAGGATTATGGTGGCCTTGCCATGGGCTATCAAGCACATATAATAGTCATGGAGGAGCTCTCGCGAGCATCAGGTAATGCCATGTCCATACCATCATCGACCCATGGCTGACATTTCATAGGCAGCATCGGACTCTCATATGCCGCACATTCTCAGCTATGTGTGAACCAGCTCATGTTGAATGGCAACAAAGACCAGAAGCAAAGATTCCTACCAGACTTGATTGCAGGCAAGAAAGTCGGCGCTCTAGCCATGTCTGAAGTCTCGGCCGGAAGCGATGTGGTTAGCATGAAGATGACAGCTAACGAGGTCGATGGTGGATATGTCTTGAACGGAACAAAGTTCTGGATCACCAATGTGAGTTTTTAGCGAGGCGTGTATCGCAACAGGAACTAACGACCTGATAGGGACCCGATGCAGATACAATGGTGGTGTACGCGAAGACAGCGCCGGAGGCTGCATCTAAAGGCATCACTGCCTTCATTGTGGACACCACAGCTAAAGGATTTTCATGTGCTCGCAAACTCGACAAACTCGGTATGAGAGGCTCCAACACTGGCGAGATCGTCTTCGAGGATGTGTTTGTACCAACAGAAAACATTCTCGGAGAGGTCAACAAAGGTGTTCGAGTGTTGATGGAGGGTCTTGATCTAGAGCGATTGGTGCTGAGTGCAGGTCCATTGGGACTCATGAAAGCTGCTCTTGATGTGACTCTACCATACACACACGAACGCAAGCAATTCGGCCAACCCATCGCAACTAACCAATTCATCCACGGAAAGCTTGCAGACATGTACACAAAGTACATGGCATCATCAGCATTCACCTACACTGTCGCTGCCGCGATTGACAACGATCCAGATAACGCCCAGATCAAAACGCAGGACTGCGCCGGTGCTATCCTGTACGCGGCAGAGAGAGCAACCGAGTGCGGGATGGACGCAATTCAGTGCATGGGCGGCATGGGCTACATGAGCGAGATTGCTGCAGGCAGGATCATGCGGGATGCTAAGCTGTATGAGATCGGCGCCGGAACAAGCGAGATCAGAAGGATGGTCATTGGAAGGGCGTTTAACAAGGAATACCTTCGATAAGCGGTCTGCACCCAACAGTAGGAGACTACTGCGTATTTTGCTCAATGCGAAAGTCAATTGATGTACCAGCTGCCGAACGTACGAGACCTGATCCGAATACGGTGCCTGTGTTTCAACAGAGCTACAAGTTTCAGCACAGGTTTATTGTACTTGGACTGTGTCGTCAAGCATGACACAGGAAACTGCAGCCGAAATGCAACTATGTCATGAAAGGTTCGTACTGCAAGCGTGGCGAGTGGTACAAGCGTGGGGTAGCTGACAGATGGATGGAGTCTGCCGAATCGACCATGTTTGCCTGAACGACGACGCTTCGGCACACGCAAGCGGTGTTACAGATGGAGGGACATATGTGGTTCTCCAACGGAGTTTGCCATGGATAACCATGGCGTACATCCACTTTGGGCTGACGAAACGAGGGGGCTGGGCAGTAGCACGGGAAAGTAGGCAGATCGCTAAGCAAAAGTCGATGGCTACGAAGAATGAGCGTTTCTCCGGGGAGATTGCCTGTAAAGTGCTTTGGACGGTAAATACCATTTGGTATTCTTTGCCTTCAGCCTCTTTTTCGCAGCCTGGGGCTCTGTTGAGGCTCGCCTCATAATGGAATGTCGCACTGTCAATCCCAAGGTCAAGCTCGTGGCTTTCTCCGAGCAATCGAGTCGCATCGGCAACGCATCGTTGTATTAGGAATGGATCTGACGGAAGTCGGTGTCAAGGTAAAGCTTAAATCAATGATGTGAAAAACAAGCGATATGATTGGTCAAGCACGCACTAAGCGGTTGATGCCGACCTGACGACGTCATGAATGGTGATGAAAGGTGCCAAAGTCCCAGTGTGACGGCTGCTAGCTCAAGCAATCGAGGGCGACGATTGTGAGATACATATATGAGCAGCCACTCCCTAACTTGGCTTGATTTTTCTCAGATCTCATACCAAACACATCACACAAAATGGCACCTTCAGCAACTTCTCACGCCCCTGACGGCCAAGCTAGCAGCGATATCCATCGCGATTACAACGATGATCGCAATGCATCGTCCGAGGACACCCTCTACACAACCACCAATGGTGTCCCTGTGCCTCACCCCTACGAGGTGCAGCGTGTCGGCGAGAACGGACCTCTCCTTCTGCAGGACTTCCACTTGATTGATCTCATCTCTCACTTCGATCGCGAGCGTATTCCCGAGCGTGTTGTTCACGCCAAGGGTGGTGGCGCCCACGGTATCTACCGCACTACCGACCCTCTGGATGACCTCTGCATGGCCGACATCTTCCAGGCCGGCAAGGAGTGTCCCATCACGGCCAGATTCTCGACTGTTGGTGGCGAGTCCGGCTCACACGACTGTGCCAGAGACCCTCGTGGTTTCTCTGTCAAGTTCCGCACCGACGAGGGCAACTGGGATGTTGTCGCAAACAACACTCCCGTCTTCTTCTTGAGAGACCCCGCCAAGTTTCCTCTCTTCATCCACACCCAGAAGCGTGATCCCGCCACCCATCTGACCCACGCCGATGACTCGACCATGTTCTGGGACTACTTGTCTCAGAACCCCGAGTCTGTTCACCAGGTCATGATCCTCATGGGCGACCGCGGTATTCCTGAGAACTGGCGCAAGATGCACGGCTACTACGGACACACCACCAAGCTTGTCAACAAGAAGGGTGAGTGGGTCTACGCTCAGATCCACTTCAAGTCTAAGCAGGGTACTGGCTTCATCACCCAGGAGGACTCCAACAACTACTCCCCTGATGCTCACCAGAAGGATCTGTACAACGCCATCGAGAACGGCGACTTCCCTAGCTGGGATGTCAAGGTCCAGACCATGACTCCCAAGGAGGCCGAGGATCTGTGGGAGAACCAGAAGATCAACGTCTTCGATCTTACCCACGTCTGGCCCCAGGGTCAGTTCCCCCTCCGCAAGGTCGGAGAGTTTACTCTGAACGAGAACGTCAAGAACTACTTCGCCGAGATTGAGCAGATTGCCTTTAACCCTGCCCACAACCCTCCCGGTATTGAGCCTTCAGCCGACCCTGTCCTTCAGTCGCGTCTCTTCTCATACCCCGACACCCACCGTCACCGCATCGGTGTCAACTACCAGCAGTTGCCCGTCAACGCTCCCCGCACACCCTACAGAATGGGCAACTTCAACAGAGATGGAGGCATGGCATTCTACAACCAGGGTTCGCGTCCTGCCTACCTTTCCTCAATTGAGCCTGTGCAGTTCCGCAAGCGTACTCTCGACCTCGACAGAACCCACGGTCACTTCTCAGGAAAGGCTGTTACCTTCCTTTCTGAAATTCGTGAGGAGGACTTCAATGCTCCTCGTGCCCTGTGGGAGAAGGTCTTTGACGATGGTGCCAAGGAGCGCTTCATCAAGAACGTCTCCGGTCACATGAGCACCTGCCGCAAGGAGGAAATCATCAAGCGCCAGATCACCATCTTCCGCATGGTTTCCGAGGACCTCGCCAGTCGCCTGGAGAAGGCCACTGGTGTCAAGGGCTACGAATCCATCAGAGGAATGACCTTCAACGGAACCCACAACGGCTTTGCCACCGATGAGAGTAACAAGTACGCCAACGGCCAGGTTCCCGTCAAGGTCTCCAGCAGCGTGGCTGCCAACAACGGTGCCCCCAGAGCCGGTACCCACGAGGAGTACTACAAGTAAAGAGTACGAGTAATGTATAGATAGCAAAGTTTTTATGAATGAACGAATGATATTTTTCAGCTTCAACAATGTCTACATCTTCTTTCAATCGCGACTACCATTCAGCCAGTTCATGTGCAACCTGCCTGAGTTCTATACCAGTGCGTGATGTGTCTCGGCTGGCTAGCTAGTCGTGAGAGGGCTTCTACAAGCTAGGAAGATCCCCAGGTATCTTGCATGTGTACTCATTATAAACGCAGTGTGCCGATCGCTCCGGCAAGTCGTTGCCAGACTCTTGAGTCCGGTGCAATAGGTAAAATAACAAGATTTTGGGTAGTTTTGAAGTCTGGAGGATGACCCTGCCCATAAATTCGTCATGACATATTATCACCACGACAACAAGTATGCCAGGTCAAATGAGTCCAGACTATTCTTCAAATTACTCTGTATATGTTTGTAACGCGCTGTGATCGCTAATAGGTTCTATCAAGCTCATTCTCAACTTTGCTATTTCTTAATTGAACCATTCATGCACAATGTCGAATTCTATGAGCTTCGAGAGCAGTCAAAACTCGAACGCGAGGATGTGGATACTAGGAGACTGTGCAATAAATCCGACTAGCGTCTCTGACTGTCTAATTACTACGATTGATGTTCCTGTCAACAGCATTTATCGCTATACAGATGTGGACTCACGAACGCGAGCGTATGGAGGATGTTGTTCCGAGAAATAACGGGTGCTCGACTGACGAACAGCCACAAAAAAAGCAAATCTTCAGCCGCATCTTCCTAACGATACTTTATGCGTTTGTTGCCGGGAACCTATAAGTTTTGGATTCACAACTTCGTTAACTCAATGCAGTAGTGTCCGTACAGTCACTCAACCCTGGCTGTTGGACAAAATTTCAAATCTCAACCTCGTTTCGCCAGCCATCGTGTTTGGAAGAAGAGAGTGCCCAACACGCCCAACATTGTTCAGGATGAGGCTCAAATTCACATGCGACGGAGTGCCGCCGAGAAAAGGGACCATTTGCGTCATCCCGAAGCGAGAATTGGTCGTTCAGTTTTGGTCAAGATCGACGTCACCATCCAAATTCTGGCCCAGCGACTCCGACTAACCTCTCCGACATCCTCAAATTGCTGACCATGATACTCGAGTGTTATGTTCCAATTCACTGTCGACCGTATGCATGGAAGCTATCATACATTGCATAAAGGTCAGTTCAAAAGGTGCGGGTCTTCTTCTTGTCACCGTGTTGGTTATCTCAAGAAGAAGACCCGGTGGTTTGTGTATTAGGACCGATAATTGCAATTCCACCGAGTATTGGCCTTCTGCAGGAAGTGATATGATTCAACTCAGCGATGATGGTGAAATTTTCCTGCTCAACGTGCGGGGAGTATCTATGTCATACTTAGTTGTCTTCTCTGATAAATCTCGAGGGAGTTGGGAAAGTTGTCGTCTTACATACCATTATCGCATACCGTCACCTTTTTGTGCCAAAAACATCATACATCATGGGCCTCGACAGAGAAGCAGAATTCTTGAACGTGCTTGTGCTCGCAAGCTTGTTCTACAACACACTCAAGGCTTTTGACAACATTCACAGCTCGTTCAATGAGTTCAAGGATGAGAAGGTTTACCTGGCCCAGCTCGGTATCGAGCAAGCAAGACTTCTGATCTGGGGTGAGCAGATGGGAATCTTCTCGCTGCCACCTTCTTTGACATTCATGGAGACCGAGGAGGGCAAGCAAAACATGACCCCTCGCGACCCTCGCCTCGACGACGACGAAGTCAGAGTCAACCTCGAGGGCTTGATGAACAGCATCATCCACACACTCAGTAACCCCAACGACAACGACAGCGATCTCGACACCACTGGTTTGAGACCGTTGCCCCGCAGTGGCGCACAAGCTCTGGAGCAGCCTGCCGCTGACCTTACGCGCATGAAGAACTTTGAAGAGTCGTACAAGCACCTTCTCGACTTGGGTTCCAACAAGGTTTCAGTCAAGAGACCAACAAACTCGGTGACATCGCAGCAGTGGGTCATCCACGACACTCTCCGCTTCTCCAACTTCGTCAAGTCAACCAAGCGTCAGGTCGACACTCTGCTTATGGCCCTCAACATCAACGACAGAGTCGAGAACATCCTTCTCGGTGACATTCGCGATCTGGGCAAGCATGCTGGTGGCTCTCCCAACAGCAAGCCTTCGCCGTTGGCAGTCAAGGATATGGCTAAGCTGAAGCTCCTCATCAGAGCATGTAAGGGTCGCTACCCGGGTCTCTTGAACGAGGCTCAGCAGACATTCAACAACCTCCAGAAGGGTGTCAGTCAAGAGCATGACATGGCTGCCAAGGTACACAAGCTCCTTGAGCCTGTCCACCCCGACTCAGCAGTTGGCAGTGCCACAAACAGCGGCGCTGCAACACCCGAGAAGAGACCTGGATTCATCCGCAGGCTGAGCACCCAGACATGGAACAAGCTGCCTGGCAGAAAGACACCCGGCTCGAGCAGACCTGCTAGTCCTGAGAGAAGCAGATCCTTTGGTGGACGCAAGACTCCTGGAACCAGCAAACCTGTGACACCGGCAGCCAGCAGACCCGCAAGTCCAGTCCGCGAATAAGGGGTTGAAACGCATAAGACGAATTGAACGACCAAAGTACAGAGAAAGAGAAGGACATGAGTATGGTATGAAGGAGATTGGGACGAGATATCGAGGTTGACGAGAAACGGATATATATCACTTACTGGGATGGATGTAATTACAAGTAATACCTTAGCGATAGACACACAAAGCGAGATGACTTACAACATGCGACGTTCTCGAAAACTCTGTGAGAAGTGATAGCCAGGCACGAAAGTAGATTGGTTGGAGATTGTCAAGGCGGTCTGCGGTATCCCCGCATTTGGTCCTGTCAAAGCGCGTCATCGCTGTCAGCCTGACAGTCGTCTTCGGCGCACTGCTAAAATTCAGTCAGGTCCGAGTTTGGATTGAGCATTGAAGGCGTAGCTTCTGGATCAGAGGTTTAATACAAAGCACGTGGCTTGCAAGATGGCAGAAGGAAAGAACAGGATCGAAAAGGGAAGGTGGGAGGGGTGGACAGGCCGACTCCACTCTCTCATGCAGGACACTCGGGACGCCAAGCCGAGTTTGTCAGTCGCCGAAACTGCCCCAATACTGGCTCTTCGTGCCTTCCTCTAGCTGCCATTCACCTTGATATCCTTGTATTCATCTGCTCGACTTTTCTCACATTCTCACCATCAATCGCAAGAATGGTTTCCCCGCGGCGGTCAGGTCGCACCACCAGCACACCAGCCGATCGCAGCTCGAAATGGCACAACAAAATGTCACCCCGCCAGAAGTCTCCCTCCAGCCTCTCCGACGACACGATGGATCCTCAATCGGGTGCCCTTCACTCTCCAGATGAGTCTCGCCAGACTCGTAGAGCTACCAGAGCTCAGCACACACACGCCGACGACGTCGATCAACAAAGCCAGCCCAACGACGCGGACGCAGACGCAGACGGTGACGGCGATGGCGACGACGAAGTCACTCGCTGCATCTGCGGTCTTCAAGATTACCCAGGTCCGCCTCTGACCGACGATTTTCCTACCATAACAGATCCTTCTCAGGCTGAAGACGCCGGTGGCCTGTTCATCCAGTGCGACAAGTGCCACGTCTGGCAGCACGGAGGGTGTGTCGGCATCATGGACGAGAGCAAGAGTCCCGACAACTACTTTTGCGAGCTCTGCGACAAGAAGCTACACAATGTCTTGACCGACCCAAAAGGGTGAGTCTCACTCTTCGAGACACCACTGGCTAGCCGCGCTAATATGACGCAGACAACGATACTCGCGCTACCTACCCGTCATGAAGCCTGAACCAAAGACTGCTCGTAAAGCCTCTCTCACAAAAGAAACAGAATCGGCAAAGGCACGAAGAGAGCAGCGAGAAAGTCAAAACAGGGCCAGTGTTGAATCGTCAACAGGAAAGAGGAGGTCCACCATGAACAGCCGCCAGGCCTACGATGATGAAGAGACGCTACGACGAGTCATCGAAGAGACCAAGAGTGTTGGCGAATTGACTCCAGCAGTGCGCAAAGGCAAACGTGGACGAGACGACAGCGAGGAGTGAGTGGACATTCGACTCGACATCACAAACAAGCGGCTGACAAGCATCTGCAGCTCCAGGCACGAAATCAAGCGCCAAAGAACAGGCTCCGAATCGCCCAACCCGCCGTCAACGCTAAACACGGCTTCGCTCGACGCAGATTCAGACGACGACGGCACACAGCCCAAAAACAAGAGAGTGCGGAATGCTGCTGCCGAGGCTTTGAGACAGAGAGAGGCCAGAGAGCGTGAGCGCACGCGGGACGAAAAGCGCAAGGAAGCGGCAGGAAGACGTAGCGAAAGAGCCGGTCGAAGGAGAGTGGATGGTACGCTGGAACCCGGCACACAAACATCATCAGGCGAGCTGACCACCTACGCAGAGTCAGACCCGCTCGACGACACACCGAGACCAATGGGCACCCCGATCCTGCCCAATTCACAGCCTCCCAGCCCACCTGCTTCAGCGCCGCCGCTAGCTCCTGGAAGCTCGCACAAGAAGGGCACTGTCAAGAAGCAAAAGCGACTGGGTCGTAATCAATACTCGGCAGCGAAGGCCTCCACCAACACATCCGACGCCAACGCTACAGCAGCGAATCCCAACGGCAGCAGCGGCGACGACCCCATCACCAACAGCACATCCGACTCCAAAAACAGTCCCAGCAGCAACAACGAGACACCCGCCGCCATCATCTCTGCCCCTCCCGCAAAATCAAAACCCGGAAAATGGGCTGGCCGTGCCAAAAACCCACGACAAGCCGCTATCCAAGAAGCAGAGATGGTTACCAAAGACAACCGCGACAACAAGAGTCAAATGACCATAACCGACATGAAGAAACGGACAGGAATGATGATGGACTACATAGCAAAAGCACAAGTCGACATGGCTGGAGATGGCTCATCACTGAATGCACAACTGCAGGCTCAACAATCTGCAGACTTCAAAGAACTCAGTAGTAGGGAAATGATGGATGTCTTGACCAGGCACATCATGATCTGGCAGAAAGAGTATGCAGGCGAAGCTCCTACTGCTGCTGCAGCATCTCTTGTTGCATGATGAAGCATCAACACACGAAACACATTCATGGCATCTTTTCACTACAAAGAGGCGTTTTATACAATCGGGTCACGGCAACTACCACGAAATCGCCGGAATACGGGGGTCCTTGAGGATTGGAGCATATGGGTTGGGGTTTTACTTTCATGTCTTTCTGCTTCTCTTCCACCTTTTTCCCTTCCTGCACTTTTTTTGCTCATGACTTTTGGAAAAAAGCAAGACGCTGGGTTAGATTTAATTTTCGCTTGATCGTACAGTTGATCAAATGTTACTTTATGAGTGGATTTCCATCACGCCTGGACAATATGCCAACCAGTACTTGTCTTTTCAAGCTGCATGACGAGAGAAGACAATGGTATCATTGGAATCGTGAACGGAATAGCTCATGTTTACAATGCTATTTCAAAAGATCAACGTCGCCCCTCAAGACACAATAGACAAGGGCCCTGAAAGCTCAATTGAGGGGAACAATCGAGAAAGAGCGATCCACAACTTCAACTACCTGCATATCAAAAAAAGCAATGATGAAGAAGAATCGGAACGTGAAGATCATTTTGATTATATCCATACTTGTACAGCATAAATTTAACGCATAGTAGGCATGACACTCTCAGCCTTTGTAGCAATAGCATCCTCGCTCTTCCACAAACTCGTAACGGTCTTTGTCTGGGTGAAAAAGGCAAGACCGGGCTTGCCGTAGAAAGTGCTGGCACCACCGCCAGCGACGGACTTTTTATTTCCGGTGAAAGAGAACATGGGGAGTGGGACGGGGATGGGTACGTTGATGCCGACTTGTCCTGCTTCGATGTTCTTTTGGAAATATGATGCTGTGGGGCCGGAGTTTGTGAAGATGGCGACACCCTGGGGGAGAAAAGTTAGCAGTGTTCTTGGAGGTATGAAGACGATTGGAAGCTGCTCACATTGCCGTACTCATTTTCATTAGTAAGCGTAATGGCTTCGTCTAGGGTGTCAACGTTCAGACACACCAGGACTGGACCAAAGATCTCTTCCTTGTAGCAAGTCATGTCTTTTGTGACATTTGTGATGATGGTAGGGCCGACGAAGTTGCCGTTAGGGTACTTCTCAGGCTTGAAACCACGTCCATCGAGCACAATGGTAGCTCCCTCCTTCTCAGCACTAGCGATGAGACGCTCAATCTTGTCCTTTGACTGAGGGCTGATGACGGGACCAAGCTCGGCACCTTCCTCGAAGCCTCCGTTGACGTTCAGGGCCTTTGCACGGTCAGCAATGTCGTCGACCCAGCTCTTGGTCTCGCCAACAAAGACGACAGTGGACAGGGCCATACAACGTTGACCAGCAGCACCGAAAGCAGCACCTGCGATTGCGTTGATGGTGGCGTTCTTGTTGCAGTCGGGAAGGACAGTAGCGTGGTTCTTTGCACCGAGGTTGGCCTGGACACGCTTGCCGTTTGCAGAACCACGGGTGAAGATGTACTCTCCAGCCTTGTTGCTGCCGACAAAACTGATGGCCTTGATGGCAGGCTCGTCAATCATGAAGTCGACGGTCTTTGCAGCACCGTGGACGACGTTGATGACACCTGGAGGGAAGCCAGCCTTCTCTGCCAGTTCGCAAAGAATCATCATGGCACCAGGGTCGCGCTCCGAGGGCTTCACGACGACCGTGTTTCCAGTGATTGTGGCGGTGGGGATGACCCACAGGGGAATCATGGCAGGGAAGTTGAAGGGGCAGATGGCAGCAACAACGCCCAGGGGCTCCTTGTATGATCTTGTCTCCATATCCTTGGCCACTTCGAGGACCTCTCCTGTCAACTGAGTTGTAATGCCACATGCAGTCTCGGCGACCTGGAGTCCACGAAGGACATCACCCTTGGCATCAGCAAAAGTCTTGCCCTGCTCCAGAGTGATGGATGCAGCCAGGCGGTCCCAGTGCTCTCTGATCAGGTGGACAAACTTGAACATGATCTGTTGTCTGTGCAGCAAGCTCGTGGCCTTCCACGCCGGGAATGCCTTTTCAGCCGAAGCCACAGCGGCCTTGAGCTCTTCATCGGTGGACTGGGGGACGCGGGTGACGAGGTTGTTGGTGGCAGGGTCGTGGAGATCGATCCATTGTGTGGCGTTGGAGGCTACAAACTTGTTGTCGAGGAAGTTCTGTGTGTCGATGGGTTGCTGGATCTGGTCATGCGTGGTGGGGTATTCGGTCGCCGTGGATGCGAGAGCTGAAGCAGCAGCAGGCGAGAGCTGTCTTGCCGACACGTGTAGCTTCCTTCCTCCCAGCTTGCATGTGTTGAAAGTTTGGCCGAGTCGTAGTGTTGTTGTGAAGGATGATCGGCCGACCCCAGGATGGAGATAGACGCTCTGTAGAGCACGACGTGCTACCGCTTGACGACCTGCCATTCTATGACGCTGTTGCTGATACAAGCTCACTCAAGAATACTCTCTAGATCTTCTTTTCGCAGGAACGGATCTTGTCAAGAAGGTGCGACCTGTTTAAATGGTCGGCAATTGCGGCCAATGCGGCCAACCCCATAAAGTGGAGCTCCTTCCCTTATCATTGCCTATCAATTGCGGGGGTTTTGCCGAGGTCGGGGATCAACTTCTCTGTCCGGCCATGCTCAACCCTTGCTCGACTTCGCGCCGAATATTCGCTCACTACAATACGAGTATCTCTAGCACCAATGGGTCGGCAAGATTCTTCGTGGGAGCGAATCATGTTATATTAGTGGGAAATTAGACAGACGCTTCGTTGACAACTCATGAACTTCTTTTTTTTTTTCCATCTTCTTCATCTTCACGTCATCATCACACTTCTAATTATGCGTTCAGAGCTCATCTCTGACTCTGCTAGTGACCGACTCGGCCATGCTGCTTGCTGAAGATGCTGCCTCTTGGGCCACTTCAACAACCTTTGATACCGACTCGTCCGTGGCTTTGCTTGCCGTCTCGCCAAACTCGGCCAATCTGCTAGATGCACTAGCCATTGCAACGCTCAATCTGCTCTGAGCCGATTCGAAAGCACCCTTTTCTGATCCGTAGATGGCACTGCTGGCGGCCGATGTAGCAGCCTCGTACTGCTCAACTGCCTTGGACACAACAGCGTCGCGATTCTCCGACGCAACCGATGCAATCGACGTGTAGATGCTGGCCGCGCCTGCAGTCGAAGGTGTACCAAACAAAGCTTCGCTGATAGCTTGCTGAGCGGACGAAGCAGCGTCCGAGATTTGACTCTGCGCCGCTTCGGCATAACCGGTAGTGGTTCCATACACGGCCTCGCTAGCTCGAGATGCGACATCGCTGTACGCGCTACCGACAGCTTCGGTCATCTGCTCAACATTGCCCTTTGTAGTACCGTAGACCTGAGCAGAGACAGCCTCGACTGCAGAATTGATCTGCTCATTGACGTTATCCAGGAGAGCTTCGACTGTTGGGGGTGGCGTAAATGTAGTTTCATAGAACGAAGATGCGCTAGCGTAAGCATCCTGGGCGTAACTCGATGCACTCGATACAATGGCTGGTGCACCGGTCGAATAGGCAGATTGGAGACGGTTCCAAACACTCTCGGTGAATTCCGGTTCACGGCCATTGACCAGCTCGTCAAAGAGAGCCGAAACTGCAGCATACTGCTCAACGACGGCGACAGTAGCCTGAGAAGCGTATCCGCTGGCTTGAGAGAAGAAGGGTGTGGGGGAACCGTAAACCTGCTCACTGGCCTTGGAGACCAGCAATTCCCAATTCTCACTGGCTTGCGAAGCTGCAGCTTCCGTCCAGGGAGTTTCGCTACCATAGATTGCGGTACTGGCAGCACTGGCAATCGATTCGACTGAGCCTGTTGAAGTTCCAAAGATTGCTTCGCTTGCCTTGACACTTGCGCTTGAGTACTGCTCACCAGCAGCCGAGACTGCTGACTCGTACTGTTCGAAAGCAGTGTCGAAAGCGGGCCCGGCAGTAGAGCTTGCAGAATCGAGAATGTTGTTCAAATTGGAGCTTGCGCCGCTATAAGCCGCATCATACTGGCTTTGAGCAGAAGCAAGAAGCTTCTCGTACATGGCAGGCTGAGTACCGTAAACAGCCTCACTAGCCTTAGAAGAAGCAATAACAAGATATGATGATGCACTGGATGTCGCAGCGGCGTACTGGCTCGATGCTTGGTCTAGAAGGCTCTGAGCCGGAGCCTGAGTGGTGCCACTGACAACGGAACTAGCAGATGAAAGCAAGATGTTCATGTTGCTAGAAGCGGCATCGACAGCACTACTATACTGGCTCTGGGCAGCAGCAAGAACATTGGGATACCCAGAAGTCGGAGTGGGGCGAACCATGTCTCTTCCAGCAGATTCGAAGGCCGAGTAGCGGTCATAAGCGTATCCGACCATTTCGTAGTATCTGCGCTGCGCATCTGTAAGGACTCCTTGCTGGACTGGGGTAGGTGAGGCTCCGACAGCAACCTTGGCGCTTTCGAATTGGGCACTTGCTGATGAGAGACCTTCTTGCAGTCTTGAAGACGCGATCGAAGAGATGGAAGAGAGTGCAGACTGCACAGGATCGGCGATAGAGTTGGAGTAAGCGGACTGAGCTTCAGTGTATAGGGAGCTTGCCTGAGATTGGAAAGAGTCTCCGGTGCTACTAGCGCTAGCAGTGATGGAAGCTGCAATCGAAGCGGCTTGTGATGCAATCGATTTGGTGGCAGGGACGGGTGCTCCATAAATGGCGCTGGACGCGGCAGACACTGCGGATGCGTATCTGTCGCTCGCAACGCTTGACAGAGACTCCCCAACACCCTGTTCAGTGCCATATATGACACTGCTTGCGGCAGATAGAGCCTTCTCATATTGCTCGCTGGCAAGAGATGTAACCGATTCGATGCTACCTTGGGTAGGTGCAGGCTTCATTGCATCTTGTACGGCACGGGTGAGTTGGTCGCCAGCCTTTCCGAACATGTCCTGCAGCTTCTTGGAGTACGTGTCCTCATCATCGACAACATCATCGTCAAGAACAATCGAATGCGCAGAAGGTACTGCTTGAGCCATAGCTCCGCCCCAGACCTTCTTTGAGGCCTTCTCCGAGGCGACTGAGACCGACTCCGACACCTGAGAGGCTACTGATGATGCACTCGAAGCTCCCTGCTGAGCAACAAAACTGGCACTTGAGGACGCTTCGGAGACGATCGAGGGAGCTGAAACACTTGACACGACTGAAGCGACACTAGAAGAAACACCACTAGCAGCAGATGAGACGCTGGACTTTGCAGCTCTCAAGCTCTTTGCCATCTCAGGATCAAGAGACTGGTCGGCAATGCGTGAGCTGGCCGAGCTAACCGCAGAAGAGATGCTCTCCGTCACAGGAGTTTCGCGACCGATGACGGCCTCAGATACCTTGGTGACAGCCTGTTTTGCGACGCCGGGTTGTGTGCCCAGAACAGACTCGGAAGCAACAGTCGCCGCGCTCTTAGCGTTTTCAGAAACAACAGAGGCGATACTCTGAATTGTGGGTTGTTCAGAACCAACGATTTTCTCAGACACTTTGGAAGCGGCACTTTCGACAGAGCCAGTGCTCGTACCCAGAATAGCTTCAGAAGCACCAGAGGCCATCTCGGAACCTCGAGAAGAAATGCTTGAGGCTGCCTGAGAGCCTTGAGCAGACATGCTGGAGGCTACTTGAGAGCCCTGGGAGGACAAAACCGAGGTGGCTGACTCGACCGTACCTTGAGAGCTTCCAGCGATTGCCTCTTTGGCATCAGCAATCTTGTCGACAACTTGCTTCTTAGCCCAAGCGGCAGCGGCTGGTGCATATTTTGTGTTGAAATCGTCCGAAGAATCTCTAGCTTCCAGTTTCCATTGAGAGACACCCTTCAGTCTGGTCAGTTCCTTGGCAGCATCTTCAGCAACGGCCATAGCTCTCTCCTCGATCTGGCGAGCACCGTCCTTGGCCTCAGCGAGTTCCTTGGAAGTTGCAAGGGCGGCGACCTCATCGCGACCCTTGCTTGAAGCCTTCTTGAGGTCGTTGTATTTGGTCCAATCTCTGTGAGTGATGGCAGCGTTGGAAGCCCAGCGCCTGCCAATCTCCTGCAGACGTAGATCACGGATGTTGTCAATGGTCTCGAGTGTCGAGTTAGCGGCAGCCTCGATAAGATGAGTGATGTCCTTGTCAAAGGTCTGCTTCCAATCGCGAACATTCTGAGCCTTCTGCTTGATAGTCAGACCAGCCTTCTTGACCTCCTTGTTGATGGTATCTTGAGCAGCTGACATGTCGGACTCTGAAGCCTCTTCAGGAAGATGCTCGATGACACTCTCGACCTTGGCCTTCAAGCTTCTGAAAGCCGACGAGGAGCTCTCCCCGAGCTGTATGATCAGAGCTTCACCGACACCGTTAGTCTGGGTCTCGACCTGGCGATCACAGATCTCTTGGATACGCTCGCGTAGATGGTCCAGACCCTCGCGCACAGCAATGGAAACATGCTCTTCCCAGACCTTCAAGTCCTGAGTGAATTGTTCGGCAGCACTGGGTGCGTCTTCGGTAGAAGCCATTGACGGCGAGGCCACGACAGCACTAGATGCCTTGGTCAAGATGGATTCAACAACAGAACTGGCGCTAGAAACGACAGCAGTGGGGGAGCTGGTAGCAACAGTAGAAGAGACAGACGCGACCGACGAGAGCGAAGAGGACGAGGAAGAGGCGGAGCTCTCGGCAGATTCAATAGCAGCTTCGATCTTCTTCTCATCGCGGTAACGTCCCAATCTCTGGCTGATCTTGAAGATTTGAGGCTCGACGTTCTCTCCATAGAGAACTTGAATCCTGGGCCAGACCTGTCTGCTGATAAAGGCAAAGGTCAGATCGGTGCCCCAACGCGCGTATGGCAGAGCGGTGTTGACGGAGAAACGGTGGGCATGACCATAGAACTTCTTGGCATAAGGAGCAGTGTGTTTGTAAGCGGGCAACAGCTCAAGCTCGTAAAAGTCAGATGCCGAAGCCTTGACAGTGGTGTAGTAAGGGGAAACGGCGTCTTGGACCTTCTGGACGTGGGGACCCAGGGTGGATTCGTATTGCTTTAGAGCGTGTTTGCGGGCGACGTCGAGCTGAGGGTGAACGGATCGCTTCCACTCCTTGGTCGCGTACTCTTGAGCTTGCGCGAGACGAGGAGCACCGTGCTTTTGAGCAAAGGCAGCGGCGGGAACGTAGGCTTGGTCCTTGACGCGGTCAAAGTAGGGCCGGGCTTGTTGAACGTAGGGAGCGGCATAGGCATTGTAGTAGGGTTCGAGGTGAGGGAGCGCAAAGTCTCTCAGCTGGAAGTAAGGCTCGCACACGTTTGGTGAGTCTTTGGTGAGCTGTTTGGGCGATGACGGGCAGCGGAAGACGACCGTCACGAGCGTGTACCAAATGGACAGTCTACGACAAACTTAGTAGTTGTTGAGCAGGGCAGCAGCTAGCAGAGAGAGAGAGAGAGGGCCTTACCTCAGGGCTATGCTGACGAGTCGCGAAAAAAAGCCTCGACTCTGTACCGGACGCACTCTCGTGGATGCTGTCGACACGGAGCCATTCAACGCCTTCTCATTCCGGATGGCCATGTTGACGAAAGACAAAAGCGCAGTCTAGAAATCAGAGCTGCATGTGGCTTGGAGTGCAAAGCAAATGCGAGGGTGCTTGGATTGAAAAAGACAGCAGAGTCTTATACCGCAACGGCAGGGCAGTTATCAGGAGAGAGTGACGAGCAAACCGGGCAGCTTGTGTTTGTGCTTCAACTTGCTTCTGCGCCTGCTCGCGTGCGCCGCCCAAGGATGCGGCTTGATGTCATCTTCAGCCACTATTCGGACAAGAAACCATGTTATCCACACATGGTTGTCCCGATCACGAAGAGCTCTACGAATACCTATCATAAAGAGTGAATACCACAGCTTGACAAAGGCTATGGACATGGATAAGAAATAGACATTTCACTATATAGGAAAGAGCAATAGAGTTGGCAGTGTCTTGTCGTTGAGGTACCTACCTGGAGGCAGGTTTCGTCCCCCCGTATACTGAACTCTGTCAATCCTAGACGGCTACGTGACAGTGTCCCGCACGGGGACGAGATAGGGAGGTACTCCGAGTATCAAGTCAACTCCAGCCTCCGTTGTCTTGGCGGCGTTTCAAGTGCCTCTCCAGGTCGTTCGTGTGCTCTTGCTACTTTATCTTCTTGTGTTTCGTATTTGCCTATTTGGATTCAAAGAGCATCGTCGTCCGCTCCAGACCAGGTCCACCCCATTCACATCTTAGATGTCGCCTTGAAGACACCGCGCCTTGACGGCTTCCCTTAAGCCATACCATATCCCACTGGCACCCTGACGACATTGCAATATGTCGGCCGCAGAGCCCTCGTCCCCTCCGGACGTCATGAACGACCCGCACTTCGACCCGAATCAGAGCAGTGACAAGTCGCCCGCCGAAGGCGATACCTGTAGAATTTGTCGGAGTGAGGGTTCCGCCGCAGAGCCGCTCTTCTATCCCTGCAAATGTAGTGGCAGCATCAAGTTTGTTCACCAGGACTGCTTGATGGAGTGGCTGTCGCATTCACACAAGAAACACTGCGAGCTTTGCAAGACGCCTTTCCGCTTCACAAAGCTCTACGATTCGCACATGCCTCAGGCTCTGCCGCTGCCCATCTTCGTCAAAAGAGCCTGTCTACACACCATGAATCTTGTCCTGACCTGGGCTCGCGCTGTCACTGTCGCCCTCGTCTGGCTGGTCGTGCTTCCCTGGTGCATTCGCTGGTCATGGAGAGGCCTCTTCTGGGTCTTGGATGCTGGTTGGGCAAGAGATCCTTGGTTGGCAAAGATGGCTCACTCTGCCCAACCGCTTGTCAACTCCACGTCGCCTAGCGCCACTCCCAACGACAAAGAACCCTTCGGCCTGAGCCTTTCACGATTCCTTCTCAACAGTCTATTCTATCCTTTGAAGCCCCTGGCGCAACCAGTCTTCCAATACTCCCCAAACTCAACATCTGAAACCTCATTTGTGCCGCCCTATTCCAGCTTGTTGTCCGACGTCAAAGCTGTGAACAACCTGACATCTCATGTCTGGCTCAACCGCTTTATCCTCGATGTGCTCGAAGGTGACATTATCACTATCAATGTCGTAGTCGCTTTCATTCTGGTCTTCCTTATCCGAGAGTGGGTCGTCCAACAGCAACCCATAATCAACGCCGCTGCCCATATCCGCGATGCAGAAATACAACTAGACGTTGCCGAACGGGCTGCTCAGCGCCTCCAACATCTAGAGGCCGCAGCCTTGCAAAACGAGGACCTCCGACCGAATCTGGAACGTTATCGCCACAACTTCGAGCAGCCGCCATCCGAGGGCGAGGCTTCTGGAGACCATGAGGCCCACTTCATTGGTTGGTATGCTATGGAGACACTCATGGACAATGCCGGTGTACCTCACGAATTTGAGGGTGAAGACCACGAGGACTTCATGGAAGCATTCGAGGAAGCCGGCGAGGAACTGCTGGAACAGATCAGGCTTGCCGAAGACGCTAGCATATCCTCCACTGAAATCGCCGCAAATTTATGGGCTATCCTGGGGAATCTAGATCCGACAGAACATGACTTGTGGCGCGAATTTCTGCTCCGAGAGGGCCAAACTAAGTATATGTTGTTGAGCAATCTTCCACATGACAGCATCGGTTCCTCTGATAGCGAGCACAGCGAAGGTGATCATGCGTCCACTGAGCACGACATTCAAGGCGACAATGATGAAGTCAATGATCAGGATGGGTCACAAAGACGCCCAGCGATGCCCCCGAGGGACGCATCGTCTCACGCACAACGAGTCTTACAGTCGCTTGAGGAGCCTTCTAGCGATGTCGCGAATGAATATCGTGGACTCGATGCGGACACTGACCGTGTCAGCAGTAGTGGAAGCTGGCAATCAGTCACGACTTCCCCGAATCCGGGCTCATCAAGCACCGTAAGGTCTCCAAATCCTCCTCTTCCTCCTACAGAAGATCTTCAAGATTACCAGGAGTCTACTGCTCAAACTCTGGCAGAACTCGACCACTCGACGGTATCATCACCTGCCGAGCCAGATCTAGGGGGGCGTAGGGAGGATGGTCTGCAAAGTACCCTCGGAGATCCCGAACACACCTCAGTACGACAATCTTCCGACGTCCTTGATCGGCCTGTTGAAACTGCTGCTGAAGATCAAAATGCTCAACTGCAAGAACCCTCGATCCATGTGATCCAGCCAGCTGAACGTCGTAAAGACCCATTGTCCAGATTATTTGACTGGTTCTGGGCCGACGTCTTGATCGAAGAGGATGAGGTTGACCCGATACCAGGAATTTTGGACGAAGAAATATTCCGTGGCGAAGCAGAAGATCACCCAGTCATCCATTTCGAGGGCGGACCGCACGACCATGAGCCTGATATTCCTCAAGATCCTGAAGTCGTCCAAGCCGTGGCTGACGCAGATCTGGACGCTGAAGCTATCGAAGACGCCGAGGATCTCGAGGGCGTTCTTGAGTTGATTGGAATGCATGGCCCTCTGGTTGGTCTGGCCCAAACAGCCATGTTCTGCGGTGTCCTTATCACAGCTACGCTCTGGATCGCGATTGGCGTACCTTACGGTTTTGGAAAGCTCGCATTACTCTTCCTTGGTGATCCAGTTTCATCCTTGATCACAACCCCTCTCCGCTTTGTTTCCGTCATTGCAGACGCAATTGTCGACGTCACTGTGTATGTTGGCGGTGCAGCTACATACTTCGGTTCCCAGTTGCTTACAAAACTGCTCTCGATATTCCTTGGCTCTATCATTCAAAAGTCTGCTCTGGGATATGTGGACTCTCTGGCCAGACGCGCCCACCACGCAGCAAATGGAGCTGGTGCTCGTTTGAGTGACTTGCTGGATGGCGATGGACCACTGGAGCTGGGACCTTTGATGAAGTCTATCGAAGCCCGCCAGTCTCTCCTCAACTTGAAATCGGAGTTTACTCATATTCTAAAGTTCATTGCTGGATGTGTGTCTAGTACCTTATACCACTTACAAAACTCCTCAGTGTCGGATGTATTCGAGACTGTTGTGGATAGTGCCGCTAAGTTGTTCCAGCACACAGCGACCAGCTATGCCTGGACCCGTACAGTCTTGAGAGAGGGGCTGTCGGAAGCCATAAACGATGGCACCTTCACGTTCACCGTCAACAAGAATCTTGGCCCACCGGATCCTTCTCTCGCAATCTGGACAACCGAAGATCGCTGCCTAACTGTTCTGGCTGGATATATCCTGCTCGTCATTGTTGGAACGCTGTATCTGATGCGCAAGGAACCGCTTTTCAGCTCATCAAGCCTGCAAGCCATCGAGAAAAGCTTCGCAGATCTTCTCAAACAGGCTGGTGGTGTACTCAAAGTCATCTTGATTATCAGTATCGAAATGCTGGCGTTTCCACTTTACTGCGGCATACTCCTTGATTCTGCACTGCTCCCCCTCTTCGAGAAAGCATCATTCGCGACACGTTTTGCATTTGCCAGTCGATCGCCGTGGCTGTTCGTGTTTCTGCATTGGTTCTTCGGAACATGCTACATGTTCCACTTCGCTTTATTCGTGTCTATGTGCAGAAGGATCTTACGTAAAGGCGTTCTGTACTTCATCAGAGATCCAGACGACCCAACCTTCCACCCAGTCCGTGACGTCCTGGAGCGTACTGTCACCACCCAGCTTCGCAAGATTGCATTTAGTGGCCTTGTGTATGGTGGATTGGTGATAGTGTGTCTTGGTGGGGCTATCTGGACCACTTCTCGATTTGGAGTGTTCCCCATTCGATGGGCAAGACCAGAGGCGAATCTAGAGTTCCCCATTTATTTCATGGGATACAATCTTTTTGCTCCCTTAGTAGCGCTTTATTTGTATCCTTCCAAGGGGATGGAGAAGGTTTTTGGAAGATGGCTCAAGCTCTGCGCACGCTCGCTGCGCCTTTCTCAATTCCTCTTCGGCGAGCGACGCACGATCGAAGAAGGCCAATTGGCAGAAGAATCATGGGCCAGTAAGCTCAATCCCTGGAGAGATCAGCGTGCCATCACCAACTCAGAACATTTTATCAAGGACGGCAAGTACGTTCGAGCACCTGCCACCGATCAAGTCAGAATCCCCCGGGGTGAGAGAGTATTCCTCGAAGTCAGCGAGATCGACCAGAGAGTGGATGGTACAGATACCTCCAACGGGATCCACGGCCGACAGCCCGAGAACTTCATCCAGGTGTATATCCCTCCTTGGTTCCGTGTACGCATCCTTACTTTCATTTCGTTTTTATGGATGTTTGCTATTGCCATGGGCTTCGGAGTCACTGTCGTGCCCATGCTCGTTGGCCGTCAGATCATATCGATCTTGACTCCCCGTCATGTCATGCCTAACGACCTTTATGCTTTTGCTATTGGTATCATCTTTCAAGGCATGGTTCTCCAAGCTCTATTCAATGGACGAGAAGGACTCAGAAGCATCAGACAAACGACCTCGAAGCAAAACTTGGCTGCCATCAGAACCAATATCCAGAGGCGGGCGTTGCGTCTGCTTCGAAGCGCCTATGTGTATGGGTTCGCAGTCGTCGTTGTTCCGACCCTCTTCGCTCTTGTCCTGCAACTTTATCTCATCTTGCCTCTCCGTACATATATGGGCCCCGTAGTACAGAAAGGTGCCGGCAGCAGTTTAAGCAGCGCGATAGGACCCCAATCCCGCTCGATAAACTCGACACTCTCTACCCTCGATGAGAAGCAGCTTCAAACAGGGCAGCTTGCAGTGGTACCTCACACTTTCCATGTTCTCCAGGATTGGACGATAGGGTTCATCTACGGGCGAGTGGTGTTGCGTCTGCTGTTGTTGTCGCGCAATTCTCGACCAGCATCAGCACTACGAATGATCACTCGCGATGGTTTCACCAACCCCAATGTGAAATTGGCAACTCGCGCCTTCATTTTGCCGACACTACTGGTGTTCTCTGTCGTCTTGATATGCCCTCCCTTAGTGGTCTCGATATTGGACGTCACAAATTTGATATCTGCTAGCACTCGCACCAAGGTGTATCGATACAGCTATCCAATTTGTGCCAGTCAGGTGCTTGGATTGTGGTGTACATGGGCACTGAGAGAGGGACTGCGTCGATGGAGAGGTCGCATCAAGGATGAGGTGTATCTTATTGGAGAGCGACTCCACAACTTGGGCGAAAGAAGGCCGCCAGAGGGAAGCAAGAGTGTGGTTCGTAGACATGACTGAAGCGGGGCAAATTGACGTTCTTGGATGATGAGACTGATGGCAACATTCTTCGACGTTATGTTTTGTACAAAATCTCACAGACCAACCTAGGTCAAACGCCGCCCTATGCATAAAAGATACAGAAAGTGATAGAAGATGACTTAGAAACCAGGAGGGTTCAAGCGTTGAGAGACTCTCGTCCACTTGGGTAGCTCTGCAGGGGATTATTAGCAATCGTGAAATGGTCAAATATGATATAGGTATCAAACTCACTGTGAATGCCCTTTCTGTACTTCTTCTCCTTGCGATCGAACATGGTGTATTTGTCTCTTGGCAGCATTTCGGCCTCGGTAGGCATCTCGGCCTTCCAACGTTCGATCAACTTGATGGTGCCCATCTTTCTAGCCTGATCACCGGTCATGGTGACAGTGCCCGAAGGCAAGCTTCCACTGAGAATTTCGCCCTGCCTCGGGCCTCTGCCATGTCTGCGCTCATTGAGAGGAGCGTTGACCTCTGCGTTCATCAAGCGCTGGCCCTGTGCGGTTTGAGCGAGCTCTCCAGTGGTGGCCTGAGTGGCGCCAATTCCTTCTGTGGCAGTCGTGGCGGGTTGCGACTGGATCTGTCTTTGCAGAGCGCTGTCAAGGACCGAGACGATGTTGTCGACGCGACGAAGGCGACGGCGCTGGCGCAGCTTTTGCGGTGCTGAGAGTCGCCATGGGATTTTCCTATCATCATTTGTCAGCACATGATACATTGGCCGTGTCTCAAGAAGCAGAGCGCATACCATAGCAGACCTCCTGATAGAGCTGAAGTGGGTCTGAAGGCGCCGAACATTGTTGTCTGGGATGAATGCGATGCGCTCGCCCGCAATCTTCAAAAGATTCGGAGTCGTCGCTGACGCTTCGGAGGTGCCAAGACATTTCCCCGACCACACCGCGACTTCCCTCCCCGCCGACTCCTTCGCTCGCTTGACTCCTTGAGCAGCTCTAGCATGTCTTCACTACCGCTGCCTCCTTGTCACCGTCACCAGTCGTTATATAACATCTCGATTTGTGAGCAAGGCAATACACTGCAACATGTCATACTACTTCACTATCATCGGCACCAGAGACAATCCGCTCTTTGAGCATGAGTTCGGTACCTCCAAGGCTGGCGGAGACGGCATTGCTCGCTTTCGCGATGAGGCCAGGCACATGAATCAATTCATTGTCCATAGCAGTCTCGACATCGTCGAAGAAGTTCAGTGGGGAAACAATGGACTGTGTGTTATCTATCATGATGCCTCCCCGAGCTGATCCGGTTTGAATCCACTCTAATGTCTTACAGCTACCTCAAGAATGTTGACCGATTCCAAAATAACCACATCCACTGCTTCATAACTGGTGGAAATGTCAAGTTCATGTTGCTTATGAACCCGGATCCTACTTCTACAACTTACTCCACATACCCGGCTGCTGCACCGCAAAGACAACATCCCTCGGTCACGGCTAGGCAAAGTACACTTCTGGCAAATAACCCGACCGGTGCGCAGACCGAGGAAGCCGTCAGACAATTCATGACCGACGTCTATGAGGCTTGGATCAAGTGTATCATGAACCCTTTCTACATTGTCAACGGTCCGGTCACGAGCCCGGTGTTCAGGAGTCGCGTTGCGGCTGCTGCGAAGAAGTCTCTCTGAAGCCTCTTGCCTGAGTGATTAGTCCACCGTCCCGTGTCGGTACTTGGACTGTTGAGGCTACTCGAGCTTCGCCACTACACGTTCTGTTCTGTCGCATTCACGACGGTCTATAACGATACTCGCCTTACGTCTTAAGAGAGGTGGGGAGCGAAACCCTCACAGCCTAACGAACATCGCCTGGTATCAAAATGGCGAGTGGTGTCTTTCAAATCCTCGCCAAGGGGATCACCCTGGCTCCCATGCTCGTCTATCAGAATACGAAGGGTACCGCAAGTAGACCTCGAGTTGGACACCAAACACCCGGAACTGCAGGTCTCTGAGCTCTTTGCCACCATGAAGGGCCAGTATCTTGAATCATGAAAGTACGATCCGGGAAAATTCATGTTTCTGGGCTTAGACATAGTATCAACCGAAGCAGGAGATCGACGCACATCTGCTTCCTATCTACAATATTTCAACTGCAATCGTTCCTCATAAAGACGATCGTCAGATACAGACATGGGTTTCGTTTTGATCATCAAGAGGTCACCGTTTTCTGGCCATATGCTGATCAACGAAGAATTTGACGATAAGTCGGTGTCTCTTCGCTCGTCGAAGCCCTTCTACATACAACATGTGGAGCCGTGCACACTAGCCAATCGTGACGAGCGATATGATAGACACTAATTACAATGTCCACATCCTACGAGATGTTCCTTCTCACATTTTCTATGCCCTTGTCAATACGACGCGATCCGCAATACGAGCTGTCTCATCTCTCGCATGCGCGTTCGGTGCAAGTGTAATGATGTGTTTCTAGTCAACCATCACAGTGTAATGACATTACGCAAAACCTGTTGGCATTGCTTTGTGCCCTAAATCATGTACGCACGTAGGAACCTCCGGACTCCACTCCAGCTCGAACCTGGCTTATTATTCCTCCGGAAGTTAAGATTCGGCGCTCGATCACCTTACGCGCCACAACACCGAACCCACTCGCTGGCCGTTGCTTTAATGACCACAATTGGGAAGGGGTCGATGGCGATGTCCAAATCCGCGACATCGGGAAGACCGAAGCGCATCTTGACCGTCTTGGCGAGATCGTCTTGGCTTGAGGTCACGGGACTGCTAAAACAAATGGCGTCCCCGCTCGCCGAATTGGGAGGCCAACCCGTATGCTTATACAGCTCATGCGCGCCGTCTGGATGCTACAACGTCCTTGTTGAGTCTTGACTGCTGGCGTGATTGGAGGACATATTATCTAACTTGAGACAGGCTGTAGGTCATTGCGCAGGTGGCGGCGCGGTGTGCCGTGTACTGTATAAGATGGTACAATACGCGTTGGACCTTCATCTTCTGCAGATCTCTATAAATCCTTCGTGCTTCGCATCCTGCAGCCACGTATAACGGCCCAAATCCGAGCAAGACCGGCGAGCAGTGTACAGTAGTAGACGTCGCGTACAGCTAGCGCCCGTTTCGCTGAAGGATTCAAGACAATTACCCGGCCAAGCCGTGGGGACCTCAACATCACCTCACCACATCCAGTCAGCACACATACCACTCACATGGCCACAAGCAGTTTTGTTCAGCTACAGCACGTGAGATCCAAGGATCGACACCCGTATTCTTGGTAAGTAGCCGCAATGACGAGCATCAGATGTGCCGACGGACCTGCATGTATCGACCCTCGACCCAGTCATCTGGGACTGACGTAGAGTCATAACAACAAAACATGTCATGATGGTATAAGCAATTTGCCATCCCAAAGCTGTTTTCTGCATCCGTGTTGAGCTCAGTGGGCGCATATGCGATTCTCAGCATACAAGACTTGGCGGCCCGCACATCCAGCAATTTCTTCTCATGTATAGCACTGCCTCGAGCTGGTCCCCATAGACCTTCCCTAAAAAGAAAAGTGCAGGATCGCCCGTTTGAACAGCCAAGCGTTGGCTTATACTATGCTATCAGACCTTGCCGGATCCCGATATCACCATCTTGCGCCATGTCTTCACCTATCTTGGATCAGGGTCTGTCAATATGACGATCCCAGGGTTCGTTTGCACCTTAAACGCCTAATCTGACACAGACACCGACACTCATAGGGGCTCGAGCGTTCTCGCCAGACACCTGTCACCACCACTTCTGGCAATTGACAGTGACAGCTCCCGCAGCAGCGTGCCGTAGCCTGTTTCCTGTGTCCGAATTGGTCCATGGAAGTTGGTAGCACGCTCGGCTTAGCATCGACTGATTCGAAGTGGCTCCCTCCATCTTTCAATATCCAGCCTTGTGACTGTTTGGCGAGTGGGTTCCAAGAGACGTCATGAGGATTCTGCCAATTCCTTTTACTGTTTTGTTTCTCCCTACCGTCCCAAGTTGTGAGATCGTCGACAGTCTCTCCAATGGGTCTTACCATGTCAACGTCCTTGATACCCAATCGATACACATTCTGCGAAGACCACCGGTACTGCCTCCGGGTATATCAGGTTTGAACGAGATGAGGGTCTACCTTCTGAAACATTTTAATGGGGGAGTCAATAGTCATAACGAAACATTGCAGATCTCCTCCACACGACGATGACGGAAATTTGATCACAACATGGCTCTTCCACGATGGAGTAGTAGGTATAAGAACAGAGCAGATCCCTGTAGACATCATTTTGATCAACAAGCGTCTCGCCCCTTCTACCATTTTGGTATCCTTATTCATCATTCACACATCTTGTCTTCTCTTTGACTAGCAAGATGCGTTTCGCCAGCTTCTCGGCGCTGACGCTGCTTCTGGCAAGCTCTTCGGCCATCCCTACCAAGAGACAAGCACTCATCGACAGTATCGGTGACTCCAGCCTCGATGATATCGTGGCCGACATCAGAAACAATGGCAACATCAGCTTGCTCGGTGATCTTCTAGATGTTGCTCTCGACAGTCTCAACACAGAAGCTTCGGCTGTGGCAGAATGCTACAACCCTGCTGCCTCTGGTCTTTCAGGCTCAGGTTCCGGCTCATCGGGCTCAGGCTCTGCAGGCTCTGATTCATCGAGCGGGATAGGTGCTGGTGTGGGTGCCGGCGTAGATGCAGGCTCACCAGCCGCTTCTTCAGCCGTCTCCCAACTCTCATCTTTGCTCAGCTCTGTTGCATCTGCCGCTACATCTGCTCCCACAAATGGTGCATCGTCCGGACAGGGCGCCGCAGACGCAGCCGCCTCTGCAGCATCCTCAGCACTTGGCTTCCTTTCCACAGCAAATCCCGCAGCCTCTGTCGCTCCTGGAATCTCATCGCTCTTGAGCTCCATCGCTAGCAACACCGTTGCTATTCCTACCGCTGCAGCTTCTTCGCTCGCTGATGCCGCCTCTTCTGTAGGCGCATCCGCTACCGACTCACCTGCTGCATCTGCTGCAGTCTCCCAACTCAGCTCCCTTCTTGGCTCCTTGGTCACTTCGGTCCCCACTGCCAACAATGTTGGACAAGGTTCAGATGCTATTGCTTCCTCAGCACTCGGTTTCCTGTCTACAGCAAACCCAGCTGCATCTGTCGCACCCGCAATCTCGAGTCTGCTGAGCTCCATCGCCAGCAACCCTGCTGTTGCTCTGCCTACCGATATTGCTTCTTCTCTCGCCAACGCTGCCTCATCTGTTGGAGCCTCTCTTCCTTCCGTCTCGGCAGGAGCAGGAGTTGGCATCGGTATCGGCGGTGGCAGCAATGGTAATGGAAATGGAGCTGGCTCAGTCACCGCCAACCCTGCCCTTTCCTCGCTCGCTTCATCTCTACTTTCCGACCCTGCTGTCACTGGCGCTCCTGCTTTGAGCTCAGCAATCGGTTCGTTGACAAACCCTGCTGTCTCTGTCGGACCTTCTTTGTCCTCGGCTTTATCCTCCATTCTTGCCAACCCATCAGTACCTCTTCCCACCGGTGCAGTGAGCTCACTCGTAGGTGCTATCTCCTCCGCAGTTAACAACGCTGGAGGTGCTGTCTCTTCTGCGGCAAGCTCAGCTGCAGGCGCATTCTCCTCCGTTGTCGGTGGTATCGGTGGTGCTGCCTCGTCTGCAGCAAGCTCAGCTGGCGGTGCTGTTTCATCCGTTGCGAACTCTGCTGGAGGTGCTGTCTCTTCAGCTGCCAGCTCGGCAGGTGGTGCTGTGTCATCAGCTGCAAGCTCTGCTGGAAGTGCTGTATCGTCTGTCGCCAACAGCGCCACAGCATCAGCCTCTTCTACTTCTACCCCTGTTGCCTGCCCCTTCGTGAGCAAGTCTACTTACACCGTTATCGGATCCCAATTCACGCGTTACTGCAACCAGTTCTATGGCGGTACCATCTTGAACATCGGCAACGTGGTTTCGAAGAGACAAGCAATTGGCTCTCTTAACTCTTGCGCCAATGTTTGTGCTCCTAACGCTCGTTGTCTGGGTACATCTTACGATCCCACTACTGGTACTTGTACCTTCTACAGCTCCCTCACCAACGGCGTCGACCGCAATGGCATCCAGTTCGCTGTTCGCTCGGCTGCGGCTTCTTCCCTTCTCCCTCCTGTCTCTGCCACCGCCAGTGTATCTGCTGGCGTATCTGCCTCGGCCGGAGTTCCATCGAGCCTGATCTCAAGTCTTGCTTCAGAAGCTTCGACTGCAACTGGCGTCATTGGCAGCCAGCTCTCCTCTCTGGTCTCGCGACTTTCCACCGCTAGTGCCAGCGGCATCAACACGGGTGCGTTGAGCTCTTTGGTTTCTCAACTACCCACTGCGACCTCGCTGCCCTCAGGTCTCGTTTCCTCAGTTGTCAACGCTGGTAGTACTAGTGGAAGACCATCTCTCCCAGGATTTTCTGGTGTACCCAGCAGTCTTATCTCAAGTCTCGCATCTCAAGCCTCGAGTGCTACTGGTGTTATTGGAAGTCAGTTGTCTTCCCTGGTCTCACAGCTCACCACTGCAAGTGGCATCAACACAAGCGCATTGAGCTCTCTGATCTCCGAATTGCCAACAGCAACTTCCCTACCTTCAGGCTTGGTCTCGTCAGTCGTCAACCCAGCCACTTCCGGAATCAGCCAAGAAATTTCATCTTTGACCTCAGTAGCCGCCACCGCCACTGGCGCCGTGTCGTCGCAGTTGTCTTCAATCCTTTCTGAGATCTCTAGCGGTGCCCCAGTCGATACTAGCGCTCTCAGCAGTATCCTGTCTGAGCTGCCGACTGCCACTTCCGTCCCCAGCGGTATCATCACCACATCGGGTCTCCCATCCGAAGTCACTTCCGTCATCGGAGGTCTGACAAGCGCCACTTCTCTTGGATCAAGTGTTATTAGCTCGATTGCAAGCGAAATCACTGGACTTCCCACTGATGTCGTGCCTTCAAGTGTAGCATCATCGATCGCATCTGAAATCAGCGGAATCACTACTGCCACTGACCCATCGGGAGTCATCTCATCCCTCCTCAGCGAGGCCACGAACACTGCCACCTCGCTTGTCAACGTCGGCACCACCGCAACTAGACCTACCATCCCTGGTTTCTCCTCAGTTGTTTCTTCCATCACCAGCGATGTTGCGTCTGTCACAAGCGATATTGGTTCCATCACCAGCGAGATTGGTTCTATTACTAGTGAGGTAGGCGCCTCTGCAACTGACGCCGTGTCCTCCGTCTTCTCGGATGCCTCTAGCATTATCTCTTCTTTGACCAACGGTGTCACATCCATTCCATCCAGCGTGATTTCTTCAATCCTGAGCGAAGCCACTGACTCTGCCTCTTCTATCTTGTCGGACGCCTCGAGCGTCGTTGCTTCCATCACGAGCAACGCTGGCTCACTCACCAGTGACATCGCTTCTATCACGAGCGATGTTGGATCAGTAACCAGCGATATTGGTTCAGTTACAAGTGGTGTAGGATCAATAACTAGCGGTATCCCGTCCATCACCAGCGGTGTTGGATCTATCACTAGCGATATCGGATCTGTTACCAGCGACGTTGGTTCAATTACTAGCGATATTGCGTCCGTCACCAGCGATGTTGGATCTGTTACCAGTGACATTGCTTCTGTCACGAGCGACATCGGATCGATCACCAGCGACATTGGCTCTGTTACCAGTGGTGTCGGATCGATCACCAGCGGTGTTGGATCAATAACCAGCGGTATTGTCATTCCCACTGGAGTAACTACCACTACTACTGCCTGCGGAGGTGGCTTGATCGACCTCTGTGTGACCCTGGGTATCTTGGATGGCGTTACCGTTAATCTTGGAATCGGCGGTGCTGCTGGAACTACACCTACGACCGTACCATCTTCGGTCACAGCCTCCTACACAGCGATTCAAACTCAATGTGAGGGTGTAGTCTGCTTAGCATTGGGAGTTGGTCCATCCGCCACTGTCACCCTCGGCGCACTTAACACCGATGGATCGATTGTTGATTTGGGCGTCGGAATTGGTGCAAGCCCTACCATCACCTCCCCCGCAGTCATCCCTACGTCTACTGATATCTCAGGGGTCCCCATCACGGCTATATCGACATCCTGCCAAGGAGGACTCATCAATCTGTGCGTGACTCTTGGTCTCGGTCCTCTCGGCACTCTAAGCATTGATGCTGGCGTTCTTCCTACTGGTACCTCCGGTGGCGGTCTCATCGACGCAACTGTTGGACTTGGAAACGGCGCCACTATCACTTCACCAGCAGTCATCCCTACGTCAACCACCATTTCGAACCTGCCGATCACTGCCATCTCCACATCTTGCGAAGGCGGCCTCCTCAACTTGTGCGTTACTCTGGGACTCGGTCCCCTTGGAACGGTGAGCATTGATGCCGGCGTCCTCCCTACTGGTACCTCAGGTGGGCTTATAGATGCAACTGTCGGAATCGGAAACGATGCCACGATAACCTCTGGCGCCGTGATCCCGACGAGCACTACGATTTCTAATCTTCCTGTCACCGCCATCTCTACTTCATGTGGTACCGGGGACCTCGTCAATGTTTGCGTAACTCTTGGTCTCGGTCCTCTCGGCACCGTAAGTGTTGATGCCGGTGTCCTTCCTACAGGTACTTCAGGCGAGCTTATTGATGCAACCGTTGGGCTTGGAAATGGTGCCACGATTACCTCTGGCGCCGTGATCCCGACAAGTACCTCTATCTCTGGACAGCCCATCACGGCCATCTCCACGTCTTGCTCTGGCGATGTACTAGACCTGTGTGTTACCCTTGGTCTTGGTCCTCTTGGTACCGTCACCATCGATGCAGGCGTTCTCCCCACCGATGGCTCAGGCGATTTGATCAGTGCCGGCGTTAGTGCCACTCTTCTCCCTGGCTCATCCGTAGCCGCAACTGAGGCTCCTTCGGTCACTGCTATTCCTACCACTACCATCTCCGGTCTTCCTGTGACTGCTATTTCGACCTCGTGTGGTACCGGTGCTCTCATCAATGTCTGCGCAACAGTCGGTCTTGGTCCCCTCGGCACCGTCAGTATTGACGCCGGTGTCCTTCCCACCAGTTCTGGCTTGGTAGATGCTAGCGTCGGAGCTACTTTACTTCCCGGATCGTCAGCAGCTGTAACCTCTGCACCAGCTGTCATCCCAACTAGCGCTGTGATCTCAGGAACAACTGTGACTGCTCTCTCGACCTCGTGTGGCACAGGCGATCTCATCGATGTTTGTGTGACCCTCGGATTGGGCCCTCTAGGAACCGTTAGCGTTGACGCTGGCGTTCTTCCTACAGGATCATCTAGCGGGCTTGTAGACCTAGGTGTAGGCGCTACTCTCTTGCCCGGTGGCTCTGCAACTTCTGCTGCCGTCGTCACAAGTCCTGCAGTTCTCCCGACAAACACCGTCATCTCGGGTACGACCGTGACCGCTCTCTCGACTTCGTGCGGTACAGGCGATCTGATCAATGTCTGTGTGACACTTGGCTTGGGTCCCCTAGGAACGGTCAGCGTTGACGCTGGCGTTCTTGCCACAGGCACATCTACCGGACTCGTTGATCTTGGTGTGGGCGCCACCCTGTTGCCTGGCGGCTCGTCGGCTGCTGCAAGCTCTGCCGCTGCTGTGACTAGCCCTGCAGTCATCCCGACCAACACAGTCATCTCAGGAACATCGGTCACTGCTCTATCAACCTCCTGCGGCACCGGTGCTCTTATCGATGTGTGTGTGACTCTGGGTCTGGGCCCTCTCGGAACAGTCAGCGTTGATGCCGGAGTTATCCCTACAGGCGCATCATCCACTGGTCTCGTCAGTGCTGGTGTAGGTGCCACTTTGTTGCCAGGCGGCTCATCAGCTACTACAAGCTCTGCCGCTGTAGTTACAAGCCCCGCAGTCATCTCGACCAACACAGTCATTTCTGGAACATCCGTCACCGCTCTCTCGACCTCATGCGGCACAGGTGCTCTACTCAATGTCTGCTTAACTCTTGGTCTCGGCCCTCTCGGAACCGTGAGTGTTAATGCAGGTGTTGCCCAGACTTCCGGAGCACTCGTGAGCGCAGGAGTTGGAGGCACTCTGCTCGGTGGATCATCAGCAACGACCACACGTGCTGCCTCTGTGACTACGACAGCCGCCGCAGTGACTAGTACCAGCTGCAGCACCGGCCTTCTGGGCAAAGTAGCGTGCGTGACTGTGACCGTCCCAGGAACGGGCATCAACCTCAAGCGCGAGCCAACTACCCTTGCAACAGTTGTTCGCAAGTGATGAATGATTATTATTTCTATGATGGCCTTATGATTGGAACTTGATCTCGTATTTCCTTCTTCCTTGTTCAACTACTCATGTAATAGTACTCTGTAACATCTAACTTATATCACGATTCCTACTTCTTACTGCTCCATTCCTTGCTTACTCCCTTCAATACTGTGCTAATAACAAATCTTCCATCCCAGATCGGGTAGACGATCACCGCCATCATGGCAGCAAAGTGCCAAATGATAGAAACTGTCACCCAGCCCTTGAAGAAGGATAATGTGAAAATCCAGTCGCGGTACATCGGTACTGGCCAAAGTACGACCGTTACCAAGAGGTTGAGCACAAAGTAGCCAGCAGCATAGTTCCTCCATTTCTTGATGTGGCGAATGGTTTGATCGCTGAAGGGATGCACGACATCATCCAAACTTCCGGTAGCTGCGGAGATGGAAGTCGCAGGGCTGACGAGACCGGTCTTTGCTTCTGCATCGACAGCTGTCGTATGCTTCTCATCAACAGTCGTGGGAGCGGGTCGAACGGTTTTGCTGATGTCCTCTTTGCTGTCATGAGGTGATGGTAGAGAAGTGCTGGGCTGGCTGCTGTCCTCGATAAGATCAATCCTGAGAAACTCTCTCCAGTCAAATTTACTTGGTCGTACAAGTGAAATGACGACCGAGAATAGAGCTGGAGAGAAGAAAGAGACGATCGCTCCGTAAAGGCCGGGTAGTTGCTGCTGAGTCGTTTGGATATCGATATGTCCACCCCAGACATAGGAAAGACTCAGCCAGGTGGCTACGCCGCAGATCAATCCCAGTATAGGTGACAAGATAGCAGCTGCCTTGGTCTGCCCAGACCAGAACAGAGTAAGTATGAGAGGGAAGATTCCGGGGCAGGCAACAATAGGTCTGAAATAGGTAGTCCAGTTGTTTGTTGCTCCGCCGTACTGGAAGGCCACGGCTATTCCTGACATAAACATGCCATGACCTACCACGCCGAGGTGGCTGACCTTCAAGATCTTACGATCAGAGGCTTTTGGGTTGATGTAAGCACGGTAGAAGTCAAGTGAAATAATACTTGAAACCGCAATCACGGATGACGAAACTGTAGAGGTGACGGCCATGAAGATCAAAACCAGCAGTCCGGTTGTTGCACCTTGACCGAGTAAAGAGCGAAGGACATAAGGCATGACCAGTCCAGAGTTGACTTGCGTCTCGGTCAACAGGTTTGGATAATCGTACCAGATTGGTGTCTTCTCAATCGCTCGGGCGCTGAGTCCGATGATAGTGCCTGTGCACCAGGGGACGGCCAAAATGACCACAGACACCAGATCATACGCAGGCACAACAGATTTCACCTCACTCGCAAAGCTCTTCTGCCAAAATGCAGTGTCCATCAGTACGAGTGCTAGATTACCAAATTTGAGTACCAGGCCGAAGAGTACAGCTAAAAGTTGGTCAGCCTCGTTCATCGAAACTAATCGTGTTGTTCGGAGCACAACATACCCTTCTTCGACTTCATAGTCAGTAAAGATCCCATGTAGTTTCCCTCAATATAGTCATCTGCTGCTTTGACTTTCGAATACAAGCCAGAAATACCCCCAATCTCCTCGTGGGTAAGGACGGAGAGGGAGAAGTAGATGAGAAGGATCAAGGCGATAGCAGTATGCAGGTAATCCGTGATGAAGGTAGCCTTGAGACCACCCACGGCTGTATAGATGACGACTAGACAGTCATTAGTACGTGGTGATCATGGTTTGGTAGTTTGCTAAACTCACCTCCAGCAGGAATTAAGATACAAGCAGCAACAACATGTACGCCTGTTATACCAGTGACTAATTGGGCTCCGGCCAGAATCATGCTTCCACAGCCGAAAACGTTGTTGATCAAGTTCAGGAGGATGAAGATCCAATGGGCGTATTTGCCATACCTCATTCGCATAAATTCGAGTGAAGTATGTGCGTACGGTACTCTCAGCTTTGCAACGATACCAAGGAGAGCCATGAGAGCAATCTGGAATGAGAGACCACTAGCCCACCAGACGGGTAATGCGATACCCCATTTGTAGGTATATGCAGCGCAGATGACGCTCTCGTTGATCCACATCCTGCCTTCAGTCAGATAGGTCTCAAGGTCTCAAGGTCTCATCCATGGATGGTGCGTAAGTTACCAGGAACTGAACACGGCACTAGCAGTCAAGCCAGTCCCGACGCTTCGATTTGCCACCATGAACATCTCACTTTGTTCAGAGTCCTCCGAGAGGTATCGCTTCTGTACTCGGACAGCGGCCAGAATGATAAGGCAGAACAAGATCGAAAGGCCAATGATGATGCCATAGCCATGGGCTTGATTGAGAAGTGCTTCCGCCATGATAGTAGTATGAGAATCGATCTATCACTACACAAAGCTCATCATGGGAGACTGCATATTATAGACACTGTATCGGTTTCTCCACAGTTTTGATGTGGAGGGCGAATCCACTGCCGATGTTGACGTGCAAAAGACTAGCGATGGGATCATCCTCAACGTTGCAGATACGTGACAAACCTTCAAATGTCTCCATGTAGAGTTTTCCAAAAGGCTGAGTAAAGATTGCACACGTGGAGACACGGGTAGGACACGCGAAGCAAAATGCGGGTTGCTTATCTCTTACGCTAAGCTTTGCCATTCGTCCTTGAATTTGATGTGATATGCTGGGGCGATGGCGTTATTCAGAGTGTGCGGGAGGAATGCCATAGCTCATGTAGGGTCGCCGACAGCAGAAGCGGTCATCTGTCACACTGCTCTCGAGGTATTGCAAGAATCTTCATTGCTTAGATGCGCAATCACTGATTGGAGAGGCTCGATTGAGTCGCACCATCACTAGTCATGTCCGCGAAAAGGAGAGGAACAATCTTTGCATTCCGACCACTATGTACACAGTACTCCCTACTTTCCACCAAATTACTCTGCCTTCCAATGGAAAGCTGCTGCAGGATGATCCTGGGCAGGACGAGCAATACCCTTCTTCCCATACAGATTTTCGCGGTAGGTACCTCCAGGTACAGCATAGTCCTCCCAGAACAACCCTCGCTCTCTGAGTACCGGCAGCAAATAATCGATGACTTCCTCAAATGTCCTTGGGAAAACTGAGTATGCAATGTTGAAACCATCAACATCGGCTTCTCTGACCCATCGTTCCAGTTCGTCGGCAACGAACTCTGGGGTACCGATGACAGTAGCTCCCAGACCTCCTACCTTGATATGATTGGCAACAGTGTGCTTGGTCCACTTTGCAACATTCGGTGTAGATCTCGACCAGCCTTCCACCGCCGATCTGACAGCATTGGACTGAACGTGGCGGAGCTCCTCATCATCTCCGTACTGTGAAAGATCAATGCCAGTCCAGCCTCCGAAGAGAGCAGAAGCACCATCTTCCGATCCGTAACTGAGATACTCCTTGTATTTTGCCTCCGCCTCTTCTTGAGTTTTACCAATAATGGGGCATAGCAATGCAAGAAATTTGATGCTCTTCGGATCACGTCCAAACTTGTCCTTTGCCAAAGTTCGTATCTCAGCAATGTTCTTTGCGACCACAGAAGGACTGTGTCCGGCGACAAAGATGGCTTCTGCATTCTTTGCACCAAATTCTTTTCCAGCCTTGGAGGTACCAGCTTGGAGTATGACTGGTGTTCGCTGAGGTGACGGTTGACAAATGTGAGGACCAGGCACGTTGTAGTATTTACCAACATGGTCGATCGTCCTTACAAGAGCTGGATCTGTGTAGATGATTTTCTCGCGATCGAGCTTGACGGCGTCGTCTCGCCAGGATGACATCCAAAGCTTATACATCACTTCCACGTATTCTTCAGCCATGGCGTAGCGATCATCGTGTTCTGGTTGTTCGGTACGGCCGAGGTTCCTTGCTGCGGAGTCAAGATAGCCAGTCACCACCTATCGCAGCATTTGTTAGGCTCCGTTCAGTCACTGATCAAATAAAACCTACGTTCCATCCTACTCTACCGCCGCTCAAGTGGTCAACGGTTGATAGACGTCGAGCGAGATGATACGGCTGCTCATAAGTTGTGGCAACAGTGACTCCGAAGCCTATGTTCGATGTTGCAGCCGCCATCGCTGGAACCGTTGCAAGAGGCTCGTTAACAGGCCACTGTGCGCCAGAGATGATTGCTGGGTCGGGATTCTTGGGACCCTTGTACACGTCGTAAGCTCCCTACAGCGAAAATGTGATTAGTTGCCTGCCGAAAGTGGCATCCGTGCTTGTTACACTCACCAGAACATCTGCAATGAATATGCCATGGAATTTGCCCTTCTCAAGTAATTGAGCAAGCTTAACCCAATGCTTGATATCGTTGAAGCCGGTAGATTGATCATCTGGATGTCTCCAAAGACCAGGAGATTGATGACCGCTGCCTGAAACAGTTCAGAAGTTGTCCGTGTAGCAGATCAGGGATCAACTTACAGGATTCTACAAAGGCATTAAGAATGAGTTGCTTTTTAGCAGAGGCACCGTTTGTGACTGCTTCACTCATGATGAATCGATTGAAGCGATTGATTTGTTGGAAGGCTGTAAAGTCGGGGATTAGAAGGCGTACGCAAACAAAACCTTTGGGCCTGCGCCAGATATTATTTACCATTGAGAAAAGGCATACTCCACCTGCTACCTTGATGGAAAGGTAAACAAGGCCGCTGACGGCGATCTATCCAGCACGCAAAAACACGAACACATAACGCAATGTGAAGCGGGGTTAATGAACAATCGTTGAGGCAGATCGCTTTGCTCACGATGGTGAAACAGAACTCTGTTCATTTTCCCGCGCAGGTGCGATAACACGCGCACCCGAGATGTATGGCGTGCTTGCGTCAAATCACACACCATTCGAGGGCCCCGCAGACCGTCCGATTCTTTTTGGAGCAGTGTGTCAATTACGCAGGGCCAGTAAGGTCCTGTTCCCGGGTCTTGACTTCGACCTTGACAGTCGTGGTAGGACGCGATTACCCGAAGTTTCACTTGTGTTGGCGACTCTTCATCTCAGCCAGAACTTTCAGGCCGAGTAGAGCAAGATGTGCCTCTCCGTGCTTCGATATTTGCTTTCTGTAGGTCGAAAGTATTTACATCTCAAGTCGGCTACTCCAGAAGTTGTCCATTGGGAGAGCGTAAAATCTGCTCCTATAGAAAATCTGTCTAAGGTGACTTGACACAATCGACCGACTCAGAAGCTGCGAGTGATCTTGGAGAGACTTGATTGTTCCACAGCTTCTATCGCAATACCTATTCAGATTGCAGGGCTATGCTGTTTGATAAATCTGGTGAATTCAGAATCATAGATCCCACCAGCGCTCGTGCAAGTCTCTCAAGTCCACCTCTTCCCTCAGATACCCGGTCATGTCACTGTCGGGGTCGAACTCTTTCTTGGTAGTCCCGTTACCAAAGTAGGCAAAGATGTTGTCGTTGTGGATGTAGGTGTACTCGTAGTCTTCCCAGCGTGGCTCTCTTCTGACAGTGGTCAGATGCGCAGCGCTTCCGGGCCATAGACCATGGATCCTGCCGCCTGGTCGACGTCCATTCGCCCAACTGCTGCATTTCCTGGATAGGTTTGTTCGAGGGAAGAAGGCGTCACAGTACTTGACAAAGGCGTCGGCAGCACGCTTCTGAGGTACGATGCTTGCAATGCCTTGTGTGCTGACTTTGCGCAAGAGCTTCGCGAGATACGCGGCCTGTGTCTCAACAGAATGTGGCACAGTGCCAGAAGAGCCATATCCTTGAGGGCCTGTAAATGTTAGAAAGGTTGTTTGGGACCGCTATTCTTTTGTATAGACATACCATGCAAATGCAACAAATTAGGAAAACCGGGTGTTGCGATTCCCATGTACGTATATGGCCATCCGAATTTACCTTCAGGCCGCCAATCCCGGGATAAATCATACTCGCCTGCAACAATAGGAAAGGGAGGAGCAAAATCTACATTTGCGCCTGTTGAGCAGATGATAGCATCAACTGGACGATGCACTCCATCTGTGGTCACAATACCGTCCTTTGTGAAGTGTGAGATAGGTGTCTGAATGAAGGTAAGGTTGTCTTTGCATAATGCCTCAAGATATCCTGGCCCGGGTGTAAGGCGTCGACAATGGGGCGGGAAGTCCGGTACAATTTGGTCCAATAATTCGGGCTTGTCTCCCAGTCTTTTGAGCATCAGGTCCCTGAATTTCTGGGCGGACGTCTTGCTGAGCTCTGAGTCCCTGATTTGTGCCTCGAAGGTTTTCCAGAACGCATTCTCAAGCCCTTTCCTATATTCCAGGTAGACTTTAGGATCTGAGAAAGAGTCAATCTGCTCCTGTGGGATGTGCATAGGCGTGGACTGTCTGTCTTTGGCCTCCGGACTGAACGCGCCTGCTATCCAAGTTCTCGAGCGGGCATAGTGATCTATGTGGCTGGCAACTTTTTGAAGCTCAGGAGTGACCTGTATACCTGATGCTCCGTTGCCGATTGTGGCGATTCTTTTGTTTGTCGGATCGAAGCTGGGATCCCAATTGGAGGAGTGTCTAAGATGGCCTTGGAAGTCGTTGATGCCTGGAATATCTGGCAACTTCCATTCATTGAAGTGGCCGATTGCAGGAATCAGGAAATCGAAATGCTCCTTTTTCTCTTCCCTGCTGTTGAGGTCTTTTGTTTCCACCCTCCATTGTGAACGGTCTGGCTCCCAGTAGGCTCCCAAGACCTTGGTTTGTAGTCGTACTTTCGAGTATACATCGTGCTTCTTTGCAACATTCTGCCAGTAATCACGAATTTCGGCGCCTTGAGCGTACTCCTCGCTCCATTGAGTGTTCGGGGAGAATGTTGACTGATACACATGTGCAGGAATATCGCATCTTACGCCAGGATACCTGTTCTCGTACCACGTTCCGCCCTGACAAAGAAGGTTAACGCGAGTCAGCATAATTTTGTTAATGAGCTCACCAAGTCTGCATTTTTCTCCAAAATGGTCAGTTGGATTCCAGGTACCTTGGCAGGCAAGAGTGATCCAGCGATGATACCAGCGAGGCCAGCGCCAATTACGGCGACCTGTTATATCAGTCGCATGTCCAATAGCTTGCAGCTGTCTACAACTCGTACCTTCAGTTCGCGGACCTCATCAATGGGGTGCTCATGGATCTTGAAATTAGTGGGGTACGGATACACCCAGTCATCTTGAGTTTGAGAGGTATCGAGCTCAATTAGAGGCGGAATCTGTTCAGTCAAGGTCTTTTGGTCGACCTGGATTCCATTGGTCTGAATTACAGTAATTGCGGACATTGGTGATTGTCTTTCAGGAACAAGAAGGCAGCGCACGCAAGAAAGATGTAGCTTTTGAACGACATAGCTACCTGCAGGGTTCGGCAGATTGTACTTACATTAGGATCGTGGGGCACCCTAGATATGGCGTGCAAGCTCGAGATAGCTTTCGTCCGCAGCCGATGATATGGCGTGCGAGCTCGCAATGTTGTATCTGCATGGCGGGGTCGAATGGGAAAGCTTCAGCAGATTGCGACACGCACGTATCGCGATTCACGCTCCTCTTAGATGACGAATAGGTGGGGCTGATATGATGGAAAACTGTAAGAACATTTCCACAGAGCCGTCTTCAGCTCTGGGCCTGTCGAGCTACGCTTCTTGTGATTGCACTCACTCACTTTAAGACGTGAGGAAAGAAGAGGAGAAGCGCGTGGTCGGTTGTTAGAAGGAACGGCGCTTGATTTGTCCGTGTTTGTCTAGTTTGTTTCGCTATCTAAACCTCCAATCTTTCGCCAGCTTGGCTTCTACCGGCACAACTTTGTGACATACCACCCTCATACCGATACCACTAGTCTGCGACCTGATATCTCGCCGCGGCGCATTCTATCTAACGCGGCATTGATACCATCTAATCCTGACGGGGACGCCTGCTCGACTTCTGGCAGGATGATTGCCTCAGTCTCCAACGCTCTTTCCAACCAATTCATCATGCTGAGGCCGATTGACGGGACTTCATGGAAGACCTTGATTGGCACCGAATGTGCCACAATACCATCGACCTTCTCTTTCGGCACGCCGGTCAATCCCACGAGATGAGATCTCCTCCCCTCTTGCGAGTCGCTTTGTAGCATCTGAGCCAGGTATCCAGCCGTCTCTTTACCGACTGTGTCGACTGCAAATCTGAGTTGTCCTTTTGTGATGGATCTTACAATCTCAATAGCTCTGAGGGGGTCGTGACTGTCAACAAGAATACAGCCTTCGCGCTCGCCAAGTCGTCCTCCGTGTTTGACGCCATCGGCGAGAAGGATAACCCTGAGTCCTCCCAGCCGCGCGATCTCCGAAATGAACAGGGCGCTCGTGCTTGAACCACCGTAGATGGCGATATGGTCACCATGTTGAAGACGCTCATTGTCTTCGATACTGGAGACACACTCAGCTTCAACATCAGCAGGGAGTGCGCCTGAAGGCAGTCTTCGGACTGCATCCCAGAGATCGACCCCTTTTTCGCCAGAGAGGTCAGGTAATTTCAGTCCGAGACTGACTCCTAGTGCAAGTGCTGCAGCCACAAACGCGACTCCAATCGATGCGCCTTGTGTTGTCGCAATGATCCGCGGTATCCTGGCTACATTCTGGTGTGTGGAGATTGCGTATTCCTGGAAAGCCGACTTTCTGATATCGCGGTAATCCGTCGATGGGCTGAGGACCTGTTTCATATTTGAGTCTTTGCTACGTCAAATCGTTGTTCATATTTCTTACTAGATCTCCGACACGTAGGCGACTAGAAGCGGTAGGTGCCCGGATGACAACACCAGCGAAGTCGCGACCTGCAATATATGGGAGTTGCGGGATGGCGAAGTTGTAGTCACTGCGCTCTTCGTCAGCGAAATTCCAGAGACATGCTTGAGTGGAGATGCGTACATTGATTTCCAATCAACTGGATTTAAGCCAATTGCTTTGATTTCTACCACAAGTTCATCCTCTGTCTTTGGTAAAGGAACTGGGTAGCCTTCTGTGAAGACGAGTCGCTCGCGAGCAGCGTGCAGAAGCGCGATACTCTGTTGATAAGGCAGTCCATCCTCCAGTGGTGAATCTGCCCTACGAGTCTTTTCAACCAAATCTTGACTTGTTTGCGACACGACAGTCGTCTTGGTGTGCGACAAGTCAATAGCTCGAGGGTGTCCTGCAATAGCACTCATCGTGTTATATTCTTGCTGTTCAAAAAGATTGACGAAAGAACAAGTACAAGTACAACAGAAATTTAATAGTTCAAAAGACACCGCATCAGAGTATTGAATCAGTTTCTAATCCTTCGTATGGCGGGGTTCCTCATGGGATCTACAATCGGCCACGATCAAGCGTGCTTTTGCCCATAGCAAGCCAGAATGGCGCAATTGTGGGCAGCCAATTGCTCATCCTCAACAAGTCTTGTCAAATCTTCGAGATTTTGACCATTCGTTCCTCAGAGTCTATCGTCTCTGTTTCCATTGCTCCGATACTCGGATGTTACAGTGATTCTTCGTTTTCGCGTCGCTACAGTTGTCCGATCACATCGTCGTCCCCCCCACCTTGAGTCCTTTCCGGCATGCTTTCTGTGTCATGTTGTTGCCGTGAGACTGTACCCGGTGAGGCCCAAGTCGGGACGGCATTTGAACGACTCGATGTCTGGATCAGGTGCACGTGTTGAAATGTGTAAAGGCTTGTTTGTCTCAGTCTCATCGAGGCCATCATGCTGTATGCACAAGTCCCTTGGCCCTGATTTATGTCTTGACTCAATCCTACATGGTCGGGTCATTGCGATGGAAAGCGGCTTACTCAACGTGGGATACAGTCACAGTCAGACGGAATAAAAAGTCCCGAAACTAGAGATCCAGTTTGTTCAGTGATATTCTGAAAAAGGCGGCGCTTCAGTGACAGGTAAGCCAGCCTTCGTCCGCAACGATGTCTACGACAAACCGTTGGCAACACCATGCTATGTGGGCGAACTGATGGCAACGAAAACGGCGACGAGCCGTTGCGAACATTCTCTCAACTCACAGCAGGGAAGTTGAGATTAGATCATGATCCTCAACACGAGAAGAACGTTGACTGGTCTCTGAATCACTACTGAATGAGGTAATGCAGCGCAAAGTGATATCTTTTTGAAATTGAAATGTCTGGCTAAGAATGCTCCCAATTTTACCCCTCAAACCAGTGCTTTCCATGCTGGAACTCACTAACCCAGCCCTTCATGATTCCAACAGCCTGATCGATGGCAGCCTTGGCTCCAGCATTACTCTTAGCATTCTGAGTAACCAAATCACTTGTGTGGAAACCTCCAGGCACGATGACCACGGGGTTCTTCGCTGTAGACTGCAGTTTGCCCTCTGGTCTGAAGTCTGACGATACACTAGCCTCTCTCCAAGGATCGTAGTCACCATTGACGTAAAGGAGACCAGGAGAGTAGTTGTTCCAGCCCTTGTTGTGTGCGTTGACGGCTTCTGCGGTGGCGCCCTTTGCAGGACCGACGGCGGAGGAGTTTGAGGCAGGGAACATCAAGGGGCATTGACGGATCCAGTAGTCTGCAGTGCTCAGACGAGAGACGATTGAAGGGCGGTCCTCGGGAGCACCGGTCTGGTAGTATCCAAAGGGCTCGTTGCAGGTCATCCATACCCATTGACGGTCGAAAGCGTTGCTCAATGACATGTCTGTGTACATCGGGCTCGAAGTGTTGTAGGTGTCGAAACACTTGATGTTACGCTCGCCTTGCCAGTCATCATAACCGTAGCTCTCACATGAGCCGGGCAGATATGTAGTGTTGAACCAACTGGCGTAACCAGCAAGAGCTTTCTCAAGGCCAACTCCCTTGGCACCGGGAAGAGTAGTGTTAGTGCTGTTAGGCTTGACATTCTCGACAGCGTCGCAGAAGTCGAAGAAACCAGTGTTCCTATAGAACTGGTTTCCTTGCCAAAGCCATGGCCCGTTCTGGAGAGCTGCGGCAAAGTCGTCATTGTGCTCCAGACCTTCGAGTCCAAAGGACGTCTTGAGCTCCGTAATTTCAGAAGCTGTTCCATTGAGCAGAACGTTGTCGATGTGGTCGATGACTAGAGAGACATCGGAGGAACAGTTCTTGGGCATACCCTGCTGGATGGGTACGAAGTACTGCCAGTAGTCGAGAATTGATTGTACAGGTGCACTGGAAGCCCAGTATGCCCAGTAAGTGCCAGGTTGAGTTGAGGCAGTCCAGGCTGCGAGGGCGCCCGAGTACGAGCCACCCATCATCACCCAGGCTGCTCTGTTGGGCGAACTCTTGCGGTGATAGTCGAATGGTAGGCGGACGTGTTTTGCGAAGTTTGTCAGATCACTCTGTTGTAATGTTAGCAAATGTATTGGGACTTGACTTTTCCGCACTTACGATTGAGTTGTCAAGGGTCAAGTATTGCAGGTTTTCCGTGGTAAGATCAGCGTATGGCGAACTGTAGCCCCAGTATCTATGTTCGATGCAAACGATAGCAGCACCAATCTCCTTGGCAAGAACACCGGTAGTTCTATTGAGGGTGAGATAGCTCGTATAACTGTGATATGTTAGTCTCTACTTTTTTCGAAAGCAGTGTTGAACTCACGCGCTAGCGTTGACCTCTCCAGGCGTGAACAAGATGATCGGTGATCCAGGACCGCCATAGAACTCAGTCGAGTAGAAGTAGAACTGTTCGAACGTGCCCAGATCCTTGTTCTCGTGATCGATGTACTGTCTAAAAGTCGCGTTGCCGGTAGTGGCAGTAGCCTGCACAGATAGAGCATGCTCTTCTTCGCCAGCCATATGGAAGGTACGCCATTTGTTCAGCCGAGCATCATTGCCCTTCCACACTGGATGAGTGTCCTTGTTGAATGCCTGAACAAGAGGCGCACTACCAAGTAAGAATGCAGAAAAATATGCCAACACACTCTTCATGATGGCGGTTAGTAAACAAGAAAAGGACAAGGACAGTTCGCATAAGTCAGCGTTCGTCCAAGCCCTTTACTTATAGATTGGAAGTCGCCTTCGGGCGAAATCCCATAGATTGGTGGTCGCGGAGAATTCATCCAGGCTTTGCACTCTATCCTACATTTACCTTCCATTTTTGATAAGGTCACCGCTCGGATGCTAAGCATGCGAGGGGTCGATCTGCTAACTTCCTAAATGGGCAAAGATTGTACCTTGGCGACCCCTCTCTGCACTTCGTATACAGTTTGCGATGTGCATTACGGCCGTGTGACGAGCAACCAGAATATTCAGAACAGTCATTGGAGTAGCACGGTTTACAAGCATAGCAAACTGGAGTGAAGGTATCACGAAAGATGCGAGTGGTGAGACAAAAAGAAACGATGAAACAAGATGGAGTGGCGGGCTCGGCGGGGGTCTTTGAAGGCTTATCGAGGCTCCGGTAGATCGTCGGGAGCAAGCAAGGATCGTCAAAAGCTCGGACTTTCCACTCTCGCTTCTCCTTGCTCGGCTGCTTGAGTTGAACTTTCTTGGGATATGTCGCCAGATCTGCCCTGCAGTCGTATCTGCTGTCGAAGATAAGGTCAAGAAGCCAAGTTGCATAGGTTGACAAAGTGCGACACAGTGAAGCTAGATCAGATATCCATACATAAAGCTATCTTGCTTACGCTTTTTCATGCTCAAAAGTACTTGACCTCCACCAGTCTAGTTCTCTTGCCAGAAGGTTGAGTCATGGCCAACCTGACCTGCGAGACACTAGTCGAGGTGAACTGCACATTCGTGATACCATTCGCCACCACTGCACTCTTCTGCTGTCCGCCGATATCAACCCAATTGCCATTGCTCAGCACCTGTATCGAGTATGCCGTAGGAGCTCTAAAGTCGTTGCCATTGTCAAAGAAGGCAAGCTCGGCTCTCGATATCTGTGTAGCGCTTCCGAAATCGATAGTGTACCACTGGTTGGTTGCAGAGTTGGCATCACTGTTCCAGCCATTGACAAGCTCTGGGAAGAACCACACGCGGCCGTCGATGGCATCGTGGACATTCTCAACGTCGGTGCCAGAAGACGCGGTACCCTTAGGATAATTGGTGTTGCTTTGTAGTTGGATGCTTTTGGCGATAGGTCTGTTGATGCCAATGATGGCCTTCTTCTGGTAAGGAACGACCAAACGCTTCAAAGTGGGAGAAGTGGCAATGACAACGCCATCCCGTTCGACACGTAGACCAGCACCTTGGCCGTAACGACTGCCATCAGCGTCCCATTGGACCGCAACGTTAGTTCCATGGTATGGCGCTTGTTCCACGCGGAAGTAGGTGATGGCGCTTGTGATCAGAGGATTGATCTCAATGAAGTCGTCAGCACGAGGTCGAATGCCCACGAGACCAGTCATGATGAGGTCAATGTAGCCACTGTGGAAGTAGTGGGGAGAACGAGCCAGGCCAACAATTGCTTCTCCGGTGTCAGGGTAGTAGTCCTCCTGCAGGTTGAGCGTGCTACTTGAACCTTGGTAATGAAGCTGAGTGTATTGCTTCAAGTTTCGGATATAGTCAGCATTTGTCACGACACTCTGCTGGTAGTGATCCAGCAGGTTCGACATTGCTAGCAACGCCTGTGTAGTTTGGAACTGATTAAAGGCACAATGTCAGCGACTATCTCACAGTATGGGAAGGGATTTCCAAACTCACTGGCCAGACCGGACCATTCCATTGACATTCAGGACGACTTCCCTCGTAACGGTACTGCTTCATATAGTATTGGTAGCTGGGCTCAACAGTGCGGAGTCCCTTCGGACCTGCCAACTCATTCGAGTTGAGTACGTGCTTCCAAGACGAAGCATATTCAGAAGAGTTGTCGGGTAGATCAAAGGTCCATGGGAGTACTCCAACCAGTTCCCTGCCTCGGATGAAGTCCCAATAGTTGACATAGTCGTTGTCGACCTTGTATCTGTCAATGAAGTGAGAGAAGGTACTGTTCCAAAGACTCTTCTGAACATTGCTCTTGATCGCAGCTGCTCGAGCGTTGTAGTCGGCAGTGACATCTGCTTGGTTCAGAAGACCGGCCAATTTGGCAATCGCCTTCGCGTTGGCATACATGTAGCTGTTGACGCTGGGTCTGAAGGAGTCTCCCCCAGTGAAACCATCTTGACCACCTGAAGCATCAATAGATGAGATGGTGTATTCGGTGGCATCTGGCTTCTGAATTAATAGGGAGAACATAAGAAGGTATCATGAGCACGTACCTAGCAGAGGTTCGACCCAGTACAAGCCCTTGGAAGTGTCGAAATGGTCCTTCCATGCGTTGAAAAGTGTCTTCATCTGGTCGAGATATTGGGTAGCGGACGGCACATCGTTATCCACCAGGTAGGAACCCCACACAGAGTCCATTATGTAGTCGGTGAAGTGTCTGTCGTCACCTCCGGTCAACATGTGGCGAAGGTAGTCGTCCTTGAAGCGTCTGTCTCGGTTCCATCTGCCCTCTCCAATATGAAATCCGGTCGCGTCGTTGAGAGAAGCCCAAGGCTGCAGTTGCCAGCCCACATCGTCTAGAAATTCTGTTGAAATGTAACCTTTTGCACCTAGGTCTCGTTGATGTGCTCGGAAAATCTTCCAGCGGTAATACCAAACATCGGTGATTTGCGGGTCGCTGCACTCAAAATATGCAATTCTGTCTTGGTACCACGGAGCATCATTGCCAAAGTACTTCTTCGCTATGGCAGAATTGTCAAGACCACGTTTCTCGTGAGTTGATGCAGAAGGTGATTGGGTAGCCTTGACTCCAGTGATGGAGAGACCAGACTGTAAAGCCAGAACGAGAAGGGAAGAATACAACATACTGAAGACACTGCAAGTACTCAGTTGCTGACAATCGAAGGATCATGATAGCGACATGTAGTGAGAATATATACTAGACAGGCATCGGTTAAAATGGAACAAGGCTCGTTACTAGCATCAAGCATCATATGTGTGTTTCGAGGGCAAGCGAGAGCGCGAATTCTGCCGACGAGAACGTTCGGTTCATTACTAGCAGATCAGTGCATACGGATTACTGCAGAACAGAGGGAATATAGGGTTGTATAGTAGACTATGCTTCACGCAAGCGTGTCTTGGAGGAGGTAAAGAGGTCATACCTCATGTCGATCCCCCACAACCCCCGCAAAATCCCCTCCGGAGTGCCTCAAGATCACCCTTTCGCTGTCACAATCTACCGATGTCGGCTGACACTCTAGAAGCTTTGTGAACGGCTCGTAAAATATCGTTGCTTTGCTCGCTGCAACGAGGATGCCCAGGAGAGAATCACGAGGTTCAAGAAATTAGGGCTTGATATATATTGTCGATCGATGTAGGTACCAGGTACGTGGAGGTTGAACGCTCCGGAGGTGGCCCAGCCCCTTCGGAACTCCCCAGAAAGGTGGCTTGCATAGCTCAAACTCGGCCGAGGTTAGGCATATAATGGATATTCTCACGACTTCCTGCCCAGTTCTCTACTTCATACGGACGGCGCCGCCATCGAGCGTCAAGACCTGACCAGTGACGAATCCAGCGTTGACGAGGTATTCGACAGCATCAGCTATATCCTTTGGTCGGCCGGCTCTGTTTGTGGCGTGGTCGCCCACATCTTTCTCCTCGTTTTGGTGCTGCCATTCGACATTATTTTCGTCTCCCAGCTTGCATTCGTGAGCTACCTTGATGCGACCGGGAGCGACGAGATTACAGCGAATGCCCCAGCGACTCAGACTGACGGCCATGCTGTGCATCAGACCGACCAGACCTGATTTGCTGCTCGCGTAGCCTTCTTGGTTGGGGTCGCTCATCTCGGCGCGGAACGAGCCAACATGAATGACGCATGGTCCGGCGTCAGAGTCGTCAGCGTGGTGTGAGTCGTCCTTGTTCTCGAGCTTCATGTATGGTAGACATGCTTGCGATACGGCGAAAGGGGCGGTCAGGTTGGTCTCGATGTATCTGTGCATGATCAAATCATCAGCATCTTGGGCAGAGTTGTGAGATGGCTAGCACGAAGACTCACGCCTGCCACTGAGCGTACGTGTCGAAGTCGTCCATGGCCATTCCATCTTTCCAGTAAGGCGACGCAATACCACCGTTGTTGACGACAACTTCTATCCTGCCACCGAGGAAGTCTGCCGCCTCCTTGACGTGTTTCCGGATCTCGTCGACCGAGCGCAGGTCGCAGAGAGCAGAGCCGAGTTGCTTCTTGTCATGGTATTGCTTCAAGTGGACGGTGGTTGTGTGTTTCAGCTCTTCCTCGTCAATGTCAAAGACGAAGACCTTGTAGCCACGTTCCAGGAACCTGCGGACGATGCAGCGTCCAATACCCCGAGCGCCTCCACTGACGAGCGCCGTCTTGGCCACTGACTGATTGGTATTGTCTGGCATGATTGATGTGTCTTTCAGAGATGTTTGTCGAGAGCATGTGGTGAACTGGAGGTTTGGCTGGTCATGATTGCGCACTTGAGAGATAAGAATCCTGCATCAAGGCAGAAGGAAAGTGTGACCGTGTCGAACGTCATCCTCCGCCTTTTAGGAGAACCCGGGGAAGCGTCCACCTTGATGGCTTGCGGCTCAACACTTGACTCAATCAATCGGAGTCAACTCCATACCGTTGATGCTCGTAGCTATCACAGACGGAGTCATCGCACATTGCACAGCTATTATAGGACTTGTAGCAACATAGACCAGAGAGAGACGTAGATAAGGAGATGAAAAATATAAAGTATCCATCCATGTACACCCAAGCTAATCGACAGGAAACGCCCATCAAATACAACAACATTATCAATAAATCATCAAAGAAGTATCCATCTAAGCAGACTGTCTGTACAAGCCAACCCACTGACAACCTCCAGTAGAAGGAATAGTAGGTCCAAAGTAGAGAGCAGAGTACCCGTCACTCGAACAAGCATAAGCCTGCTGGAACTGCCCATTGGCAGAGCAAACAAGATACCCAGCCTTCTCATCAATCGAGCACTTGACATAATTGTTGGAAGCAGTACCAGTAGGGTTGAACACCAACTTCTGGTTGACTTGCTCACCCTTGGGCATACTGGCAGCGTAGCCGGTGTAGAGGCCAGAGGCTTCAATTAGGTAGCTGGTCTTGGGGTCAATTTGGAATTTGGTGGCCATCCATTGGTTTGTGTAGCTGACGGCTGCGTTGGATCCCCAAGCTACCATGGCGTAGTAGCCGTCCCAGGGAGCAATGTAGAAGGCTGTTGTGGCTGAGGCTGGAGCCGAGCTAGTCTTGCTAGAGGAAGTTGTGCTCGTGCTGCTGCTGGTGGTACTGCTTGCACTGGTGGTTGAAATGGACGCAGGCTTGGTGACAGTGCTCATGGTTGTGGCAGAGGAGCTTGATGAAGACGAGGATGAAGACATGGTGGTCGAGACGACAGAGCTGGAAGTGGACAAAGAGGTGCTAGTCGAGGCAACAGTGGAAGACGCTGAAGTGCTCGATGAAGTCTTGGTCACCAAAGTCGAAGAGCTGGTAGACGAGCTAGACAATGATGTAGTTGTAGAAATGCTAGAAGAGGAGCTAGTCGAGGCAACGCTGCTAGATGCCGAGCTGGAAGACAATGTGGTCGAGATAGCGCTGCTGGAGGACGAAGAAACGGCCTTGCCAGAACGGACACCCGAGAGGACATTTGAGCCAGCAGTAGAAGGAGAGCCAAGCTGCGACTTCAACCAGCAAGTGCCCGAGCCAACACCATTGGCACCTCCAACGTAAGTGAAGGCATTGCACTGGGAGTCGCTGTCGCAAGCAGTCATGCAATCGGTGTAAGAGCTGGCAGCCTGAGCGTTGGAGTAAGAGCCCTGGGTCGAGTCGGAAGAGTAGTAGATGGTGTAGATGTTGCCAGCAGCATCAGTGGCCGAAGCAGCAGCGGACGATGAGCTGGAAGTAGCAGTAGCCTTTGCAGCAAGCTTAGCAGCGTAGGCAGAAGCAATGTAGCCGTTGCTACCAGCAACCACGACCTGGAAGCCGTCGCGCATTTGACCGTAGTTGTTGGCATTGTCTACAGTGACCGCACCCTGCCAAAAGACACACTTGACATTGACAGTACTGTTAGGATTGGAGCATCCAGCAATGGACGGGTCGACTTGAGGATCTCTCTCGAAGTAGATGTTGAAGGAATTGCAGCCATCGATGGTAAGACATTTGCTGCCACAGGTGGCGACGTCGTAAGAGTTCATCAGGGTGAAGCCAATGTATCCGTCAGCAGAGTTGGAAGCGGTCAAGTTGCTGAAAGTCTGGACATAGCCAGAGGGAAGCACTGCACTAACAGCCTGGATGCCGTAGTAGGGATCGGCAGCGAAAGCAGCTGGAGTATCAGGTAGCGAGGCATGGTTGACCCCAAGAGGCTGCTGGACACAGCTGCCGTCACGCTTGACGATAGAAGTCTCGACGGCAGCAGCACTCTCCGAAACAGATACAATGGCAGCAGTGACATCAGCAGCGGAATCAAAGACTGCGGTGGCCTTGGGGTCAGACGAGGGAATAGCGGTGGTTGCGAGAGTTGTTGCAGTCAAAGTTGGAGCTCCTTCGGCAGTGACATAGACAACAGGAAGGACAAAGACGGAAGTAGGCACCGCAACGGAGATCGCGTCAATGTCAATGGAGGTAGTAGATTGTGCACCTGCAACGGCGGCGAGGGCTGCGATGGCGGAGAAAGTGGTGCGCATGTTGGGGTTCGGAAGATGGGATGATAGAAATAGTAGGTATGGGGTATCGAGAAGAGGAAGAAGTCGTGTTGTTGGGAAGAGTGAATGAGCGTGTGGTTGGTGATGGTTAGGTCCAAAGAATGACTAGTACCGAAGCACTGGAGGATGGTTGTAAGTCTGCTAAAGAGAGTGGTGAAGTTGGGGCGAGCTGATGAATTAGCCAGAGTCTCGAGAAGTTGAAGATTATATAGCAAAGGACACTCGTATACAGCATTTCCATGTCTCGGACACGCACGAGGCATGTTTCTGATTTTGAGTTTGCGGCGTAGCAGTAGCAACCGTTACTGCTGACAGTAATGGCCTCGACCTCGTCGATATTCTTGGAAAACAAGAGTCATGCCCAAAAGAGGGTGGGGTATGAGCGTCGGGCCAGCCAAATGACTGACACAAGACAAAGGTTAACCTACGAGTAGTCCTGGCTTCTATATTCCCGTGTGGTGGATGCTATCACATTTGTAGCTGTCTCTATAGACACAATGCCTTTTAGACTTACAGTGTTACCAACGAGATATGTCGGTCCATCGCCTTCCTGCGCCAAGTGCATTGGCATGAGATTTGATTGTGCATCCATACAGATCGTTCTCTCTACGCTGGTGGTCATGGAAGAGAGTGAGAGCGACACAATTTGAGACATGGCGAGGATGGAAGAACGATGCTCGTGACGGACCATCTAGACGTTGACAGATCAGCGAGGAGGATCAGACATATTCAACTGCTTCTCAACGGTTAAAAAGAGGCCAGAGAAGCTCGTCGAGTAGACTCGGATGGATTCGTTAGCACAGAAGATATGCCCCCAATATTCCTCTGGCGCTACTCTCATACACTGATATGTATGGTCGTGAGATCTCTCTTGAGGAGCCTCAAGATCTGCTGGCAATTACAGTGAAGCCAGGGCGGCATTGGTACAGACGTTTTGACCGTTGCGACGTTGGAGATATCCAAAGCCAAACTCTATCTCCTGTTCCTGGAACTCGAGTGTGCGATCTTTGCTTCTCTTTCCCGGAGTCGAAAATGATGCAGTGGTGGCGCGTGGCTGGCATTGGATCTGGTGTATCGTTTCATTCGATCGCGGCTCGGCGGCTCGACTGACGAGCAGGCTTTCGAGCAAAGCCGCAATGGAAGTTGCTGAGTCGTTGCAGATCGTCATGGCTAGATCGTCATGGTTCTTCTAGAAGTCGTCAACGTGTCTCGGATCCGGCATACACACATGATGCGCGGGTGACGCGTAAATCTCAAGCTGTAGTTGTTGACAACAGAATTCGATTCGTGATTTTTGGTTTAGAACCTTTTTGTTGTTGTCCGCACCCTGACTGGCTAATATTGAAGCTGTTAACTAAACAACAGCACGACAAATTGTCCAGCGGAGATGACCATCCCTACGGGCAACCTGCCACAAAGCATCGTGATTCTTGTGAACTAGGTAGTGTGGTAAGTTGTGAGAACAAACTCCAGTATTCTTCTCTCAGGACACAAGTGTGCGGTGTTGTGTGCGGGTAGACGGGGTACTGTTCACGGCACAAAACATGCTTGTCGGAGATAGCGCGGACGCCGGCTCCCAGACGACAGAGTGGTTGACTGGACACAATCATGCGTTCAATCGGTGATATAATCTGGCCTTGGATGGTCATGAACTCGTGTTACTTGACCATGCAGAAGGTCGTGATGCGGCGAGGTGGAAGTCGAGATGTGCACGGTCAGCCTTGGCACTCAAGCCAGTCCCAAACAGACATGTTCAACTCCATCTCAGTCTCGTCGTCCACACTAAACAAGTATGAAGTAATCACACAGTTGACCTATGGCTCTGTTTTGTATTCTGACTGATCATTGATGACGCATGCGAGCATTTGATCAACGTCAATAGACGCATCACGGTAGGTCCCGACACAACTTTGTATGATGCAGCATCTCCTGCAAGCAAGAGGACGCTCTCGAGATGCTGAGCCACAGACACACGCGATGACGGCGCTCTCGACAAGCTGAGGAAGAAGCCGATTTAGGCTCTCAGGCTTCCCCTCAGCTTCCCCGCTCGCTCCAGGGCGATCTACGCGCGGTATGCAAGCAGAGCGATCTACAGGATGCTGGTATTTTTCCGTTCCTTCGGGTCAAGATGTTGCGAAGCATTTCATCTGCCAAAGCCAAGTCATATCAAGCACTCTGCCCTGCGCCATGCTCTCCAGTCCATACTTGGCCTTGAGCACTCACTATGCGCCTCATCCGACCCCTCGTCCTCTTGGGCTTCGGCCTGGTAGTGCAAGCTCAAAAGTGCTGGGAGAAGCTGACCTGTACAGGGCCACTCGAGAGCGCTTTTCCTGGTGACTGGGAGTCCAACATCTATGCACCTGCATCACGTCACGTATCGCCGACTTCGGTCCTCGCTCTTGCGGACGCCTCGCTCATCTCTGCATGGCCCGGCCCGGCTCACATCACCGGCAATGGTTCAGCATTGGTCTTCGACTTTGGAAAAGAGGTGGGAGGTTTGGCCACAATATCATACACAACACAAGGCTCGGGCGCTCTCGGTCTAGCCTTTACAGAAGGGAAGAACTGGATCGGCTTGTGGTCAGACTCGTCGAACGGTCGCTTCCAGGCAGGGGATGGTGCTATCTACGCAAACTTCACCACGTCTGGCAATCACACCTACACTATGGACAAGGTCCATCTTCGTGGCGGCTTCCGATACATGACTCTGTTTCTCATCACGAACGAGACTACGTCCATCGATATCCACGATATCTCTCTCGAAATTGGCTTCCAGCCCACCTGGAGCAACCTTCGCGCCTACGCTGGCTACTTTGATTGTTCTGACGACGATCTCAACAAGATATGGTACAGTGGGGCATACACCCTGCAAACAAACGCAGTACCCGTAGATACTGGTCGCAATTTTGTCGCCAGTGGCTGGAACAACAGTGGTCTGCTATCCAATGGTAGCACCGTCATCGTCGATGGCGCTAAGAGAGACCGTGCTGTCTGGCCAGGTGACATGGGAATTGCAGTCCCTGCGACTTTTGTCAGTATCGGTGACCTTGACAGTGTGGCCAATGCTCTGCAGACCATGTATGACCATCAAAACGCTGACGGATCCTTCCCAGAAGCCGGTAAGTGCACCTAAACTATGTTTTGAGACTAGACTCTAATCTATGGTCAGGTCCTCCGCTATTGCAACAGAATTCAGATACTTATCATATGTGGAGCATGATTGGGACGTATAATTATCTGCTTTACACCAACGACACTGCCTTCTTGAACAAGAACTGGGGTCGCTATCTACAAGCCATGCACTTCATCTACAACAAGGTTCTTCAACCGTCTGGCTTACTCAATGTAACAGGTACACGTGATTGGGCAAGATGGCAGCAGGGTTTCAACAACAGTGAAGCCAACATGATTCTGTACCATGCACTGGTCACGGGAGCAGATCTTGCAACCTGGCAAGGAGATACGACCGGCCTTGCGGATACCTACAGATCTCGCGCAGCAAACCTGAGCACTGCGATAAATCAGCACTGCTGGGACGGGAGCTTCGGGGCTTTCAAAGACAATGCGACAGATACCTCACTCCATCCTCAAGACGCTAATAGTATGGCCGTCTACTTTGGTGTCGTTCCTGCGTCCTCGCCTTCATGGTCATCTTCGCGTGCTCAGAGCATCTCTGAGAGGCTTACAGACAATTGGACACCCATTGGCGCTGAGACGCCAGAGCTGCCAAACAATATCTCGCCATTCATCTCTTCGTTCGAGATACAAGCGCATCTGGTTGCGGGCCAGAGCAAGAGGGCACTAGATTTGATACGCCGATCATGGGGATGGTACTTGCATCATCCGAATGGCACAGGGTCCACTGTCATTGAAGGCTACCTCACGAACGGCAGTTTCTCGTATCGAAACAGTCGCGGATATTCATATGACGAGTCGTATGTGTCGCATTCGCATGGTTGGAGCGCTGGTCCGACTTCTGCTTTGACCAACTTTATTGCTGGATTATCTGTGACTGGCCCGTTGGGTTCGACCTGGTCGTTGAAGCCGCAGTTTGCAGATCTGAAATATGCTCAAGCAGGGTTCGTGACTTCTCTGGGCAGATTCAGCGCAGGCTGGAACGTTACAAATAATGGCCGAGACTATTCTTTGTGGTGTAAGATACCAGATGGAACCCTGGGAAACGTCACTTTACCTCCGCTACTCTCTGGGAAGACAGGCAAAGTGATCATAGACGGAAAAAGCTTCAAGAACAGGAGTGTTGACAAAAGAGATGGCTTGACCTTTGAGATTGGTGGGGGCAATCACAGTATAGTTGTTGTCAGTAAGTGATGGCAATTCAGAAAGCCTACGCGAATGCAAGCGTCGCTTTACATTCGAATTTGATACCAAGACCAAGAAATGAATGGCAAGAACAGATCGCAGATGATCATGTGGTTCTACATCAACAATACGTTCTATCAAGAACAAGTCGTGACAGCAGCATGATATGGTCCAAGTAACACAATTCTATGGTAAAGCCAGCGATGCGTCGTGCGGCATTAGGTGATGAATGTGACGCGCTGGCCTGGTGAAGGGTTGTGATCGAAGTGTCGGAGATGAGAGGTTACTAGGGCTTGCCCAGATGAACCTGACGAATCGATTCGTTTGATGCATCGCGATACCATCTACACGTGTCTTGTCCATGTCGACAAGATAAATCCTCAGAGGCGCGTGGCGGGAGAAGTGCATGTCGAGAGCTTCCGTGGGCTGCCGATCGCCAACCTTTTCGAAACGCGCATTGACCATGAAAGTTTCGGACAGAATGGTTGAAACCACATCTCCCCGTGTGCCACGATGAGTGACGCTTGTACCTGTCGTAAGGCACGATTACATGCTGCTATGAGATGCAAGAGAATCTCATGAGTATAGTCGTCTGCTTGGCTCACCTTGCACGCTTAATCGCTTCGCAAAATGACTGTGCCTCTACACAGCTCAATGTCGGCATGTATCATCGTAGACGAGAGTGGAATTCATCGCACGATTGCGATCCTTCATCACACTCTTCTCGCGACGTCAACAATCAAGGAGCTGCACAAACGACCATCTTGATCACAATGTCGGTCAAGTCAGCAATAGTGGATCGTATTGACCGTAAGCTCCAGTGCTCTCTATCGAGGGACACCAATATTCGCCGGCTGCACATAAATATGCAACAGCCCACTTCTAGGGCTTATGCTGTCTGCATGCTTGAAAAAATTATTGCGATCGTCGTCAGTTTTACGGTCGTCGTCAGCGAAGCAATGTCCTGACACTAACAGTACTTCCGATATCCAACAGGCATCAGTGTCTAGCCCTACAAGCTGTAACATCAGCTATCTGCAGAGGACACTCAAAGTAGGTAACTCAAGCGAACTTTGAGGATTATATGTAGGTCAATCACTGTCCCTCTTCTGTCTCTTTCCTAAAACCATACAACGCCTTCTTTCTACATCCAATTATCTACATTCTTTGAAATTTTCTTCTTAGCAAAATGAAGTTCTCTGGTATCACTGCTTCGGCCACCGCCTTGATGGTTGGTGTCAGCTCTGCCGCAGTCACTGGCGTGACGGGTAAGCCTGAGGGTTTTGCTTCTTCCACCACTGGTGGTGGTGATACCGCTGCCGTCTATCCGTCCACCACCGACGAGCTGGTCTCGTACCTCGGTGATGACTCTGCTCGCGTCATCGTCCTTACCAAGACCTTCGACTTTACGGGTACCGAAGGAACGACTACCAGTACTGGCTGTGCTCCTTGTAAGTCTTGGAGGACTGGAGAGTGGCTAGCGGATATTGTGCTGACCCATTTCGACTGCAGGGGGCACTGGAGCTGGCTGCCAGACCGCCATCGACAAGGACGACTGGTGCGAGAACTACGAGCCTGATGCTCCAAGTGTCTCGAGCATTACCTATGATGCTGCAGGTACTCTCGGAATCACTGTCGGCTCCGATAAAAGTCTTGTCGGAGACGGCTCTTCAGGAATTATCAAAGGCAAAGGCTTGAGGATCGTCAATGGCGCCCAGAATGTAATTATCCAGAACGTGCAGATCTCGGATATCAACCCAGAATACGTCTGGGGTGGAGATGCTATTACACTCGATGTATGTATATCCTATTGCGGAGAGGCTTTGACTGCCACCTCGCTTCCCACGCGCTTATTCTTCGAGCCAATCGCTAATGTTATGGCAGGGTACTGACAATGTCTGGATTGATCATGTTACTGTAAGTCTCCGACGCTCTTCTCCTTAACATTATCACTAATTACCCCCTTAGACATCAAACATCGCCAGACAACACATCGTCCTTGGTACTGAGGCTTCTGGCAACGTTACCATCTCGAACTCATACATTGACGGCTCTGGAGACTATTCCGCCACCTGCGACGGCCATCAATACTGGGCACTCTACTTCGACGGAAGCGATGATCAGATCACTTTCAAGAACAACTACATTTACCAGACCTCAGGTCGCGCCCCCAAGGTCCAGTCTAATACCCTTCTCCATGCCGTCAACAACTACTGGAACGACAACTCTGGCCACGCCTTCGAGATCGGTGAGGGCGGTTACGTTCTTGCCGAAGGTAACGTCTTCGAAAATGTAGAGGCTCCTCTTGAAGCCTCGAGCTTTGCAGGTGAATTGTTCACTGCAGACTCTGGCTCGGCTTGTAGCTCTGCTCTCAGAAGATCTTGTGAAGCCAACTCGCTCAGCGACTCTGGTACCTTCAGCGAAAGTGACACCGACTTCTTGAGCAAGTTCTCTGGCGCTGTCATTGCTACTGCTTCGGCTGCTTCGGAGGTCAAGTCCTACGTTACTTCTAACGCTGGTATTGGCAAGCTTTCTCAGTAAACAGGGAAGAGGTGGTCATGCTGAGGGCGTAGACCGAAGGTGTATAGAGTAGCTTGCTGGGATCGATGGCAGCTGGTTTGCCTGCAAATGTTACTTTACTACAAGCACACAAGACAAAAATCATTTCTGCTCCCTCCGTTATGACACAGATCCGTAACTTGTGCTGCCGTCGTTTGACGTCTTTTCTGGAGGTTACGAAAGACATCGACTCCTACTGGGCAGAAACGTAAATGTTTACTTGACTGTGCACCGTGACAGAACAAAAGTCTACTTTGAATCACGATAGAAATCTTGTCTGCAAGCGTTGTCCATTCCAAATGACAAATAGAGTAGCCACGATATCCGCGCCGGAGAGTCAGGATGACTTGGGCAGAAAGCAAAGCCTAAAACCTAGTATCTGTGCTTCGCTTTCCTGGAGTATTCTTGCAAATTCAAAGGTATACCGTCATGTCTCATAGCTTTGTTGTAGTCCATATCTCGTCGCATGGGCCCAAGGCCAAATGAAACGAGCGTCCCTCAAAGCACAAAAGCAACGGAAATCAGAGCCGCCGTTGCATAGAGCAGCATGCTTGATTTAGTATATCCAGCTTCACCCTGATATACCGCATCACTGGTCTTGCCCAACTTGGTGACATTTACACGAGCACATACAGGGACAACTCCAAAAGCTCCGGAGAAGAACACTGCGTGCAGACGTTCAGCCTCACGTTTGAGGTAAGTCTCGTTTGGAGCCGAGAAGATTTCCGACTGATACCATGAGACTTCTAATGGAGATCTCTGGCGTAAGGCATCGTCGGTTGTGTTGGATCGATTAGGTCCTATGAGATCTACTCGGCACTCGACTTAGCATACGATCGCCTGTTCCGGCACACAATGGTAGACTTACTGGTGCTTCCGATACCACCATCTCCAAACTTCGCTACGCAACTTTTCGGCATCCATGAGGCACCACATGAGCCGTATGTCACGCTCTGTACTTTCTTGAGGTCATTCATGCATTCCGAACCAAAAGCATGACTGCAGTCGCCGTTGTCATTTTCCCGATAACTGTTCGTAGCTGATCTGCTTAGAGGGCCCAATGGGACACTAATGCAGAGTCGCGGTACAGCTGCATCCGTGAATCCAGACGATGCGGACTGGATGGTGTCGTTCAAACTAACACCTCCGGACCAGGACATATCATAAAACGACGCGACTTGACGCGCATTCTCTGTCCTGTTCACATAACGGCCAGTAGGGGTGAACTCGGCGATGTTGACTTGCATGGTGAAATTCTGACTACCGAGCTGGAAGGGCACTGAGACTGTGTCATTGGGGTTTTGATTGGCTTCCCAAGCGTAAGTCTCATTCCAGTATCCGAGGCCATAGACTCCTCCATCGAAGGCAGACGCGAGCGAGACCGTACAAAGCAGTATTAAAGACGATCTCTTCATTGTGAATAGCAAGACTCGGTAGCAAGAGATGTATGCGTGATGTTAAGAGCGAGGCTGACAGAAGGCAGAAACACAGTTGACTGGTCGCCTTCTTTTATGTGCCTGAGGGATGCTCTAGCATGGCCGCAAATAGCATCACATGGCTATTCTCTGGTCGATCTTTTACAGGATTGAGCCGATCCTATACAGGCTCGCTATGGAAGGATTTCGTAGTCCTTCTTGGCTGCATCAAGATTTGGACAAACATGGAGGATGACCATCAAGTGAACAACGGTCATTCTTGGCGTGACATCAGACAGTGGTCTCTCGCATTGTGTTAACTTGTCCAACAAACCTCAATTACTGCACGAATGAACATAGAAACACGTCTTGAGCCGCGTCGACAAGGTAAGGAATGGAGTTACAAAGCGCGTTCGGGAGTAAGGGGGTATGAAGACAAATGACATCATGATCGGCACCGCTATGTTTCGAGCTCGCAAAAGGATCTAGAGTACCGCTAACTGTATCAAATTCCGTCCAGTACGAAGACTGTAAAAACCCCCCAATCGCCAAAGCAATAACACAGGCACGTCATGGAAGGCTTACTTCAAAAGACATCAGAAAGCATCTTCTGTCCGCGGGGACCAGCCATGGTCTAGTCATGACCTATCACCTTGAACCAATCTCGCCCCCTCGATGCGACCAGTACTTACAGCACTACTGCGCTCCAAGTAACAAATGCCCCCATCACTAGATATGGTCACACCTTGACAAGCAGGAACCATCATCGCGCAGAAATGTATGCAGTCTTGGAGGGAGGCCCCATCGACAGTGATGGCACTCGAGGTTACAAGATCAACAGTTGCAGTATTGTCGTCGTTGCATTCAATCTCAAAAGTCCAGCCAGTCGTCGGGTCGCGATATAAGGTTCCATTGCTGGCTGGGCAGGAGATGGTAGGTGCAGTAGTCGGTGAAGTTGCGGTTTCGCTAGCTGTAGCTTTTGCGAAGGGAGCCAAGGTAGGAAGAGTAGAAAAGGTAGAAGTGGAGACAGCAGTGCCGGAGAGCAGTATGGTGGAGTAGTTGAAATAAGGCGTAGCCGAGGCGGTGTTCACAGTTGAGGCGTTCCAAGGCGAGCTCATATAGGGTGACACAGTGCTGACTGCTGTGGTGAGTGATGTGGCAATGCTTGTTGATGTGTCAAATGGCAGAGAGATGTTTGTCGAGTTTGCCGAGGCTGGAGATGACAGACTTGTCAGAGCAGAGGTTGAAGAAGCTGGACCCGAAGTTGATCTTGAGCTAGAGATTGTTGGAAGACTCGCCGGCGAAGGTATAAAGCGAAGCGCGTTCGGATTCGTGAATTTGTAGAGGAAGTCCATGATGATCGGAGTGGAATCGATAGGCGCACCAGAAGACTCTCGAACCCAAGCATGTTTCCAGCCTGCGATTTTGTAGTGGGTAACGATTCCTTGATTTTCTCCCGTTCCGTACTCGTATTTGATAACCTGTCCATTCGCTAGAGGTGTTGAGACGTAAGCATCGGAGTACCCATTTCGGGCGGACCAGTCGGAAGCCCAATGAGGGATGCTAGGCAGGCAATAACCACGGCGTGGCCCTCCGGTGTACAAGATTGTGCCATCAGCATCGCCGTGGAATTCGAGGATGGGTAAGTTTGTTCTGCCTGGAGAGCATACTGGCTGTACGAGAGTGTTGGTGAGAATATTTGAGGGCGCATCTCCAGTGCAGCGTGAGGTATCACTAGAATTAGTATAGAAAGCGCCAGCGTTTACCGCGAAAGCCGAGAATTGATTCGATAGGGTAGAGTTGCAGGCCAGTATATCAGTGAAACCACCGCCGTTAGAGAAGCCTGTAGCAAGGATACGACTCGTGTCGATGCAATAATTTGATGTCATGTGAACTATAAGATCCTGTACAAACGTCTGGTCGTCCACGTACGGCACACGGTTGACCGTGTCTGGGTCTCCTGCCCACTGTGGATAGTCTGAAACATTGGCTACTATACCTAATGGATACACAACTATCCCATACGGATTGAAGATTCCGTTGGAGAGGTCGGAGTATCCTTCAATGTTTGCTGGTGTTTCGCTGCGGCCGTGGAAAGCAAACAACAGAGGAGCAGCTCCACCATCGGTGTTGTATGATGTGGGCACGTGAACACCAAAATAGCGTCTCAGACCACCAGAATTGATGGAGAATTGAGTCGTCGATTCTCCAGCTCTCATCCCAGCGGGCAAAGCTGATCCGCATCCACGACTAGAATATACGTTGCTGCGAGACGGAACGGGATAATTGGCTTTGTTGATGATGAATGCGCTGTTGACATTTTTTGACGGTGTTAAACTTCTGTAATCATTCTTGAGGTAGCAAGCGGTGCCAAAGTAAGATACAGCGGCACATCCATCCTCTGTGTTACATGCCTCAAGGCAGAGTGCGAAGCTGGAGACGTTTATCACATCGAAGGATGAGGGTGAGGTGTCGAAGCCGCAGAGCACTTGCCAGTTATTATCCTCATCATCAGCGTATGTCGTGAAGTTGTAAGATGGACAAAGGCTTCCAAAGGCTGCAGAGGCTGACGGTGCTGCAGACGACGAGCGGACAAGAGTAGATTGTGCTTGAGATGTTCTGACCGCACTACTTTTGAACGTAGAAATTTGGGGCACCGCAGTGCTTGAGACACTTGATGATTTGATAGAGCTGGATAAATTCTGGTCAGTCGCGTTGCTGACTCTGACGGCCGATATGACGTTGCCGGCCTTTGATGGATACGTCGTCATTTTATCTTTCAACCAGCAAGTCCCGGATCCTTTGCCACCATTTCCACCGACGTAAGTGAACCCATTACAGGGCTTGACTGTGTCTTCATCGCAAGTAGTCATGCAGTCTATATATGAGTCGACCGCTTGGGTGTTGTTATACGACCCTCGATCATTGTCAGCAGCGCAGGTAACTAGATAATTTGCGCCGTGAGTATCATAGATAACGCGTCCATTGGCGGAAGGACAAAGACTGGGCGTAGACTGCGCACTTGTCACAGCAACGATGGAGCAGAGGATGAGAAAAAAAGTGATTCCAATCATAACGAAGTCCACTAGGTTTGTGAATTCTGGTTCCGGGGGCGGGCCTCATTATATACTTGTGCCGAAGTTGATTCGCTTTCAATGGCATGGGATGAGTTAGTGCTGGTACAGAATGTCAATAAACTCTATTTATGGGGTGAATAAGCAAGGGCTACTCTCGAGGGCCCAGGCTCCATAAAGCAAACCCACCTGCGAGGGTCAGTTTCGAGCGCAAATCGAATCAGATTGCTGGCGTTGTCTTCCGAGGAATGCGCAAAGACTCGAGCCAACTGAAGGTGGAATGCTCATATGCAGCAGGAAATTACAGTATTGAGCTGTTAGATGACTCGGTCCCGGGACGGTGCTGCTCGTGAATAGCTGATAGAGCCGTGTCTGACCACGTTGCTTTCGAGCGATCAAGCCGAGAAAATCAGGCAGCTATAAGCATGGCGCAGAGTCTTTACAGGACGATCAGACCGTCATAATGGTCGAGTGCTTCGCGATTGTCGACACTCTGCAAGCTTCGGCATGTCCGCCATACGACCACAGACCCATCGTCGCGTTACCGGCCCTGTTATCAGATTACTGCCCCCCGAGGTGCGAAGTAACTACTCTGATGTCTTGTAGCTGTACCAAGGTGCGTGCTTCTTCGGATAGTTACGGAGCGATGGCATCGAGGGAGCTCTTTTCAGCGACTGCCTGCGTCGAACTTTGTCGACATGCGATATAATAGTGCCTTGCTACCGCTCGCTGTTACTCTACTCCGATCATGAAAACGTGGACATGACGAAAGCTAATCCATGAGGAGAGGATGCACGAGGAGAAAGCATACGAAGTGTCGGGATGCTTAATCCACGACGCGCGGAGAAATGCAAGCGAATGTCGTTTCGCGAGTGGCCAAAAGTCATCGTTGACAGGGTCTTCTTATGACTTGAGGTTGGAGGCTTCTACCCATCCCAGTCACAGGCCAATGAAGCTCTTGTATTTCGAAGCTACAGAAAACAAATGTAGGAAAGTACAACTGACACATAGAAAGCGTAGCTGGCAAATACACAGGAGAATGTGGTTGTCCGAGACTGAACCTGTTACATGTCTTGACTAGTCGGATCTCAAGGCTTTCCCTTCCAGGCTTCGGCCAGGAAATCTTCAGCTGCAGCAAATTCAAAGTCTGGCAGCAATTTATTCCACTCATCTGAACAGATGAAATCTCCCGCAGACACGGCTTGAAGTATGCTAGACACCATGTATCTCGACAGCTGATCGTCCTCCTGAGGTTGGATGGAAGGATGGTCAATCTTAGGTGACCAGGAGCTTGTCCACGACCCATCTTTGAGTTGATCCGGGGGAATTCTCTCGACTCGGAATTGGAAACCTGATCATGAGTGTCAGCGGCTCCACACCATACTTCGATAGCTGATCTCATACCCCTGACTTTTTCCCCAAGGGCAAGCATCTGCTTGAGAGACAATTCGACTCCAGACACACCGCTGATGACAGGCCATTTGCCTTCAAAGTCGACAGCTCTAGCGACAACCTGAGCGAAGTCTTGGACGGTGGTGAAGGTGATCCGATCGTCATCGCTACCGTCAATCATGATAAAACGGCCTTTATCGAAGTCGAAAGGAGTCTGGGTCTGTAGTAGATGGCTCGATGACTTATAGGGGGCTGTCAAATAGTTCAAGAAGAGACCGGGCTGGAAGAGTGTGTACTCCAGGATCTAGAAGAGGAAATCTACCTCAGTTACGGTATCTTGTAGTTCTTCTTGTCTTCATACCTGATCGTTCTTGTTAAGCTCCTCCAGGTAGCGACGGATCTCGCCTTTGTAGGCGTACCAGCTGATGTGATCAACGCCAGAGCTACTAATTGTCAGGGCTGGGTTCTTGTGGTGTCAACGTATACATACGACGCCCACTCGCTGGGCGCAAATCGCTGTACTCCAGCATCAACCGCAGCATTGATCAATGCTTTCTGCAGAGGACCAGATGGATCGTCTTGGTCATACACAAAGGAGAGGAGGGTGTGCACGCCTTCCAATGCTTCGATGAGCTGAGTGTGGTTCTGATAATCTACCTGTTTCCAGGTCACTCCCTTAGGTATGGCTTCGATAGAGGCAGCCTGATGTATACTGAGTCAGCTTTGAACCTTTTTAAGGATACATCTCCAGATACCTTGCGAGACAACAGCAAGATTTCATGCTTGCCAGAGGCGGCCAGAACCTCGATGATCTCCGATCCGACATCTGTAGAAGTTCAGCTACACTGCTAATTCTGGAGTTTGAAGAGAAATACTGACTTCCCGAGCCACCTGCGAGTGCGATCTTGACCATTTTGATGGAGTATGACTAAATTGTTGTCGAGCTTTTTGAGTTTCTCAAATTCTAGCAGTCGTCGAGCCACATTATATAGCCCATCGACTCGGACGAAGCCATGGGTCTGAGCACGCTTGGTCAGGCAACACCGAGAGCTGGTTGACTCTGGTCGTCAAGTCAGAAGTGTTCTGTCGCGAGCAGTGTTGCGTTCCGCCGAGCTCGGCGGAAGCAGGTCAAGGGCTGCTGACAAACCCCACTTTTTCGACCGAGGTTCCGTCCTTCCACCGAATGCCTATCTCAACGACTGTACAACATCACAAACATGTTCGCGAGCTGGACGCAAGTTCGATGTCGTTGAGCGACGAGAGAGAACATTTACCGAAGCGTAGAAAGGTCCGCAAAGGCACTTCAAGCTGTTGGGAATGCAAGAAACGAAAAGTCAGATGTATCATCCAGCGCCACGATATCTGCGAGAACTGCAGACGTCGCAGTACTGTGTGCATTAGTCAAGATCTACCAGACCAAATCAACATATTGACTCCGTCTGTATCTGAAGATGATGCCTTGGTATGCATAGTCTGAGTCCAGTCTCCAGAGGGAATGCACTGACACCCGGAGAGCTTACGGACGCTCTTCAAAGTGTCCCCGAAGAAGCCATAACCAGAACTGGCTCGAATTTTTCCAGTCAGCACCAATTGGACCGCGCTTTGCGATCAGCGTGGCCAGCCAAAGTCGATGTCGAGCAGATGATGGATTTGAAAGTTGGTCTTTCAGTACACTTCCACGCTGAGATGTGCAATTTCTACAACAACAATCAAGCTCAGATTTCGAAGAGCGAAATATTCGAACCGCCGCCATCTGGCTCTCACCCCGTACTCATCGCACGAAAGCTTCTGATACTCGGCAATCACTTGCAAGGCGTGGTGCTGCCTGACAGGTCCTCAAATGGGTTGCGAGAAAAATACTATGAAATCATGCATCGTGCTGTGAATACCGCCACTAGGCTCGTTACGAAAAACGAAGATCTAATTGATTCGATCGAAGGTCTGGAATGCGTCATGTTGGAGATTGCGTACCAAAATTATGCCGGAAACCTTCAACAAGCCTGGATGGCAACACGAAGAGGGATTACGATTGTACAGGCAATGGGGCTGCATCGCCGGCATACGCTTTCTACTTTGAAGTGTCATGATCCCATGACGCGACTGTCATTTGATGCAACGCAGGCTCAGTTTCGCTTGGTACAAGTGGAATGTTACCTCGGGCTTGTCTTGGGTCTGCCGAGAAGCTCGCTGGAGGCGCCAAATCACATTTTGGAGATCCTAACAAGTTACCCACCGGTCATTCGCTTACAACACACTCATCTGTTCGTGGCAGATCGTATACTGAAACGTTCACATCCTAGCGTAGCCGAGACCGGAGAATTGGACTCCCTATTGGAAACAGCAGCAGCTGTGTTGACTCCCAAATGGTGGTTGATGCCTGATCTGAGGGCAAGCAACGACGATGATGGTGATAACATCGTCAAGACGAGTCGGTTGATGGATCAATTCTCACATTACCACTTGCTGATTAGACTGCATCTGCCATACTTGATGCGATCCACTTCTGATAAGACACACGACTACAGTAAGACGACAGCCGTGTACGCGAGTCGTGAGACATTGAATCGCTACCTTAGCTTCCGCGTGGACAATCCGGCACATTATTATTGCCGTGGTACCGACTTTCTCGCTTTCATCGCAGCCACAGTACTGGCTTTGGCTCATATCGAATGCTCAAGGCTCAGCAAACTTCACGTACCCGATACGTACAACGCGTTCGGTCTACTCACACACTGCCGAATGAGCGACCGCGGTATCTTGGAGCGAACTCTTGAGGTTCTGAGAGAGGTATCTAAGACTAGTGCCGATGCCATAGCCTCAAAAATTGTTTACCTGCTTGAGCAGCTCTTGACGATCGATGCGTCAAGAGTGAAACGCGTTGTGCAAGCAAGCGATGAAGGTGATCAGAATGTCCCCTACCACAGCGAGACGACAAACGACTGTCTGCGCCTGTATATACCCGCTTTCGGCTATATCAACTTTGGCGTGGAAGCAGCAGAGCCGATCAGGACCGATCAACATCAAGTTCCGGACGACCATGCATCGCATAGCCACGACTTATCGTCCCTTACTACAAATGTCGGATTCGAAGGCGAATGGGATATGCAAGGTATTGATCTCGCGCTGTTCGAGGGCTTGTTTGGCGAGTCAAACATGGAGCCGGTACTAAACGTACAAAGCTGGCTGTGATCGGCCACGAAGCCGAGCCGCTACGGAGGATCTGAACACCACGAAGACATGACCATTCCCGTGTGAATTGCCGGCTTCGCTAGGTAGCTCGATCGGAACCCCGTATCGTACGACTATCTTCTGCTTCACCGAAGAAATCTGATCAAGTAGTATCCTTGCGTGCTGAACTCTGACACACTGAATGACTCAAGTAGAGCCAATGATGAGCTGCGAGGCACAATCGTAATTCTTGATATCGAGGCCGGCATAAAGAGCCAAGTAAGATACACGTCCCGGCAGTATCGCTGCAAGTATAGAAGATATCGTGCCTTGAGACAGCTACAAGTGGTACAGTCTTCGCATGAGGAGATAGTGACGCCATGGGCGATCTTAGTAACGCGAAGCTCGGGCAATGATGCTCGAAGGTCGGGACCGAGCGCGTTCACGCCAAGTCTTTCGGCACCGAAGCGCGTCGGCCACCGAGAATGTGTCGCAAGCTCAATGTACTCTCTCATCCTCGCCGTCATGATCTAGAGAATCCTCCCTGGTCTTGCATCGAGTCGCAGAGCACAGCACGATCTATTATGTCGCTATTCAGTTCCCGGACTGTAACACCCTCTTCAGCAGCATCAGATTTGTCTGCTGCTACACGTCCAAAAAAGGTCATGCATCTCGCGTGTGTGTCTTGTGCGAACCGTAAAGTCCGATGCGATGGGCAGCGACCGTGTCTACGATGCCAGAAATCCAATGTTCAATGTGTCTCGAAGCCTGCACAACGACCTCGAGCTAAGCGTGGCTCAAGAGCACTTTCAGATCGGCTGCCCACGGTTGCGGTATCCCAGAGCCCAGACGCTATTTTAGGGGAATCAAGCGTAGCTGAACACGTGAAGGATGGTGGTCATTCACGCTATGTCGAAAAGTGCTTATCATCCACTTCATTCTGAAGTCACTTGTGACTGACATTCCATTCAGCGAGACGTGGGCTGGCGTGGGCAAAGAGGTATTGTTCCTTTGTTACCCTGTCATGGATTTACTGACAGTATCTACAGCTCCCCAACCCGTCCAGCGAAGAAGAATTTGAGGCTAATGTAGACTCAAGGGCCTTGTCTTCTCCTCATCTGATGAATCCCGAGCGATTGATCTTCGGGCAACCGGCTACCAGTTTATCTGAACGCCATCCAAGTGCAAGCCGTATTCTCTGGCTCTGGAACACATACCTCGAGAATGTGAATCTGCCGGTCAAGGTGTTACATGTGCCCACTGTCCAGCATCTTGTCTTGACCGCCGCATCCGACCCTGCCAAAGGAATACCTGCGAACAAAGAAGCGCTTTGCTTTTCGATATACCTGATCGCACTCTGCTCTGTACCACAATGCAATTACGCAGAGTGTGAGAGGATCATGGGCCAGTCTCTGAACGACACCATCGAGATGCATACCAGTTTGGCTCAGCAGGCGTTGATCAACGCGCGTTTTGTGCAGACCCCAGACTTCATCACACTTCAAGCCTTGACCCTTTTTCTAATCGCTCAACGAGCAAGGTCTTATCCTCGGACTTTGTTGCAATTAATTGGTGTAGCTTTCAGAAGCGGGCAAATGCTTGGAATTCATCGAGAAAAAGCCTTGAGGAGTCCAACTGTGTCCGTATTCCAGGCCGAAATGAGTCGCCGCTTGTGGTGGGAAATCGTGCTCCTGGATTCCTTTGCTAGCAAACAATGCGGAGTCACATCCACGGTCTCTTGCATGTCACTATGGGATACCAAACGACCCTCGAATGTCAATGACACAGACCTACACCCTGAGATGTGCGAGGTGCCTAAGGACTATCGTGGAATTACAGAAATGAGCTTCTGTTCAGCTCGCTCCGAGGTTGCAGAGCTGACTATTGCTTACTCGTTCCCGAGCAAGTCATCAAGGGATATCAGTGAGGCCGATGCCAAGATTGATGGACTTCAGCAACGCCTCGAGGACAGATTACTTCAGTACTGCGACCCAAACGTACCCATCCACTCGATGTTGCGACTGTTCGGCAAGGGTGCCCTAGCGCGCATCAAATTGAGCGTAAGACGACATCATATGTATGGATCGGCCGGGCTATCTCTCGAGGAGCGGAACAAGACATTTCTACTTTGCTTGCAGCTGGCCGAGGCGCCGAACAACTTCGCAAAAGACAAGACGGTACAAAGATTCCTCTGGCAGGCCAACGCATTTTTTCCTCTGGACGCTTTCATGTTCATGTTGGGTGAGATGGTTTATCGAACTCCTCAGCAACCTCTACCAGTGCCGGAAGAGGTGGTCTGGACTGAAATAGAGAAGGCCTTTGAACTCCATCCACGCCTGACTCGCGACGAAAGCGCTATATACAGCGCAGTCAGGAATTTGACTATAAAAGCTTGGGTGAAGTCAAGCAGGAGGCATGCTGAGCATGATGAACCACGCTTCATCAAAGTGCTCGGTGCAAAGTCGCCGTCGCATGCACTCGACTCGACACAAAGGCCCGTGGAGACGGACTCATTGAATCAACAGAAGAATCCCACAACAAACACGACTGATGCAAGCGATTTCGATTTCGATATTGACAGCTTGGATCCAAGCTGGAGTAAGATCGCCATTCCGAACGACCCTGAATTCTGGGAGTATTGGCAACAGTTCGCCGAGCTCCCTACGCCCTAAGCTTTGCGGCACAACTGAAGCTTTGTGATTTAATAAGGATATTTGATCGCCCCTGTGAAAATATCCTTGTAATTCACGCCCTCAGTCTTTGACTTTTCGTCCGAGTTTCCCAACACTGGTTCAATCCTAGCATCCCAATTGGGATCGAAGAAAAACGGTATAGAGATGCGCGTGTTCTCGCTGTTGTGGAGCACCTTGTGCTGTGTGCTTTTGTAAATACCGTCAGTCCATACCGAGAGCATATCGCCTATGTTACAGATAAGGGCATCGGAAACGGGGTCCGCAGATATCCAGTCTTTTCCGTTCGGAGCGAGGACTTTCAAGGACCCTCTGTGTTCATCGGTGAGCAGGAATGTGAGTATACCGAAATCGCTGTGTTGGTACAATCCGCTCTTTGATGTGTCCGAATCTTTGGGGACCCCTGGATATGCAGCCATACGAAGCTGCCAAAAAGATTGGTCGATTCTGCTGACAAACACCTTTTCGGGAACGTCCAATGCCATGGCGAATGCTTTCATGATGGCGATACCAAGATCCACAAGACGCGCAGTGTAGTCTTCAGCGACCGAACGAAAATTAGATGGTGATTTAGGCCATTGATTGCGACCAAGACCTTTTGTGTATGGCGGTCCCTCAGTTTCGAGCTCGCGCAGGAAGTCGAGAGCCTCGTAACCCGCGTCAGCTCGTTCTACCACCCTATAGCCTCTGCTGTCATCACCAGAACCCTCGCCGCTTGGCTTCACTTTGATCTCTTCTTTCTCCTCGTGGGAAGCCGTGGTGAAAAAATGTTTCGCGTTCGCAAGCATGTCTTTGAACACTGTCGAATCGATTCCGTGGCCAGCTAGATAGAAGAAGCCGACCTCGCGACATGCTTGATCGAGTTCCTTTGCGGTTTTGAGTTTAGCTCCATCGCTGCTCGATGGATCCAAGAAAGTGGAAAAGTCAATAATTGGAATATGCATAGTGGATACCAGGTGTCTAGACGTGTGATGATTTGAAAAACATCCGAGGCATTCGCGAGTCTATATGTGATAATATCGCGCTTCGGAAAACTCCGCCATGCTAAGGGGAGCCCTCGCGATTCAAAAATTCGCATCACGTGACGCAGGCAGTCTGGGGCTCCCGAGGCAAATAGAGTCACTTCCAGAAAACGATGACGTCAGAAATCTGAGCTGCCGTTGCGCGCATCACTGCAATCTCTTCTTCGACTACCTCAATTCCTACATCTCACTATGATCTACGGCGCTCGTTTAGATGGCGAACGGCTGGAGGAGACGTACATCTGTATGGGCCCGCGGTCAAGCGAAATTGGTTGTGTTCTGTGACTACGATCAGCACAAAGCGTATTGTTCCATGACATGATGCACTATCTGATTCGTGCCTAAAGGTTGCTGCCTGGGGAAGCAAGCCAACTGGTGCCAACAGTACAGGCTCCTCCTGCGTCCGACGGTTAGCGTACGCCTTGCGCACTGCTTTTATCGACTTTGGTAAAGGCTGTCATTGGCTAAACACCCTTGCTATGCGAGAAAGTGGACAACCACGCTAACCGTTGGATGTGAGAACAGTCTGTACATCGCACACAGATTGCCACGGAGAACGCGTCCATCATTTTGCTTATCGAAACTCTAGAGAGTCACACTATTACTCTTCCTGGTCTCCTCGACATACCCCATCTTGCGCCCAGTAACCCATAATTGGACCTGGTCTGTGATTCCGATGCTCTTGGGTCTGTAATGAACACTTTCTCCCTGAGTGACGTTGAAAGTGGCACATCCATGCTTCTCGCTCGTTCGATTGTTAATGACCCAGCGTCCAACCAGCTTCATGCCAGGATCCCACTGGCCCACAGTACCTACAACATCTCCAGAGACTTTGATGACAGGATCGGATTGCCGCGCCAGTGCGGCCTGATGGCCTCCACGACCAATAACCTCACTCCAGATGTTTCCGCGTGCCGATCTCGGAGTCAGATTAGCATGAAGGGGCGTCGTTCCGTTCGGAGCATGGTCATCGACCCATCGCTTGACAAGTTCGAGGTAGTCCCAAACCTCCATACCCCGATAGTAGCCGCCATGGGTCTTCTCTGGAAGAATAGATATTTCAGCCCAACTCGAGCCGCCCAGCGCCTCGACGCGTTTCTTGAATTCAGCCACCCCCTCATTCAAGAAGTAGTCATCCCATGTGCCGACGGAAATATGAATGCGGTCACGCAACACTTCGCCCAAGCGTAGCGAGCTGTTCCAGTTGCTCACGATGTGATGAGCCAGATCCATTGATTTCCAGTATTCCACAGCTTCGGGGTAGATCTCTCCTGTGACTTTGTTCCAGGGCTCGAGAGGATAGCCGTTAAGACCTTGGACTCCAAAGACAGCATTCCAGATGTCCCACTGTAGCGACGAGCGCGAAGAGGTGCCGAAAGTCAGTTCCCAGTGATTCTCCGTGGCGGTACTAGCCAATATATGCTGTGTACCATTGACAAATTCTCGGATTGAAGGTATATCACTACCGTTCGGATACTTGTAGGCGTTGGTACTATTGTACAGCGGTATCGCTTGATGTTTGTGAAAGTCCAAAGAATCTGGATAAGATGAGAAGCATGCACCAAAGAGGTCAGGTCGGAAGATCAAGCTGGCGGCAGATTCCCACCCTCCAGTGGAACCACCGTCCTGGATACGGGCGTATGGCTGAGTTATCGTCTTGAAATGAGCTTCGATATGCGGAATAAGCTCTTCATTGATAGCGTCACCGTAAGGACCAAGATTGGCCGTGTTGACGGCGTAAGAATCGTCATAGTAGGGTGTTTCGTGACGGAATGCAACAAGAATCATCTTCGGGGTCTCGCGATCAGTCGTGTTGGCAGATCCAGGGATAATGCCTGAGTCCCACGCCTCCTTAAAGCTGGCTCTTGTCGAGTAAGAATCTGGTCCATCACCCTCTGCCCAATGGTTCTGTGAGTATATGACCGGGTATCGACTGGTGTTGTCGTGGGCATCGTAGCCGTGAGGGAGCAGAACATTCGCACCCAAGAACATGTCGCGACCCCAAAAGTCGCTGAGCTTCTTGCTTCTGATCTTGATGTGCTTCAGATACTGTGTATCTTCGTAGTTGCCTTGTGAACACCCGCCAACTTCGTGGCCTTGGAAGTCAGGGAATGGTACCGTGTTGTTCAAGTGTAATTTGATAGTTTGTCCCTTGCCAGAGACATGAACATCAATTACATCAGAAGCCAAGTCGCCAACTCCTGAGACTGAGGGGCTTCCGTCGCCGCAAGGAAACTTCAGCCTCACCACGGATCCATCGCTGCGTACGGCAGTATCATATCTTTTCAAGAAGGCTTGCGCTCGGTAAATGCCAACTGGTATGTCGTCCAAGGTCTCGAGCGGCCAACCGAAAACGCCTCTGTCGGTATTATGCCGTGTACCGCCTGATAGCTTGATCGTGTCGTTGTGTTTGACGTTGTTGACATTCATACCGAAGAAGAAGTCTGGTGTCGTGGTATCATCAATGTCGTCAAGAGGATCGGTCCCGTTGGGCGAGAGAATGAACATCACGCGCCCTGACGTGCCATTTCCGATAGAAACTGCACCGGTAGACAGATGTACATGAATACCGTGAGGCTTAGCAGAGACAATTGGAAGGATCGAAACAAAGAGCAGAGCAATAAGTGATGTCCTCGGCGTCAATAGCGTCCGCAATGAGAAGGAAGGCCGAATGTTCGTCATGGTGTCGAACGTGGCTCGATAGAATCCGAAGGTACAACAGACAGAGAAACGTGCCCTTGATCGATGTGAATACTCCATCCCTTTTGAAGTCCAGGTTGAGAGAGTGGGCTGTGATCAGTGTTTAGTCATTAGAGATTGATCACCATGCCGAGCATTTAGCTGTAAGCCACAGTGCTAGCGTTATCGCATATCGGGCGGGGAATGTTGTACCTTCATAATAATCGTCGAATTGGGCCATACAAAGCAACGATGTCCTCCACGCTCACGTCGTCGTCGTCAAAATGGTCGTTCATTGCCCCTCGATATGCTTCCTGGATATTCGACAATAGAAATTGTAGAACATTTAGCATAGAAATTGACGCAAACTTCCAAGCCCAGGCTCGTGCGGCTAATCCTAGCAGAATGAGGAAGGTGATGTGCCAGTCTTTACTCGACAGATTCAGTTGTCGTCAGAAGTGTTGATAAGACAGATAAGTACACATGGTGTGTCATGCTTCTACGTACAGTATACTGAGAACTTTCTCACTGAATTTTCTTCGTGTTAATACACGCATTGAGCCGATTCTCCCAAGCAGTCAAATGCAGTTTGTTGAAAACCAGTAATTGAGAACTCTTTGTGCAGCTTGCAAGGGTGTGAAAATGATAGTGTATATCGCGGCTACGGAATCAAAATCAACAGACGTTATCGTCATCCTTTGGGAAATGGTTGCGTCTTGATACAGCTTAGTCAAACGACTTCCAGACCCTGCATCCACTCCCTCATCAATCGATATTGTATATGCGAGACATAACTTGGGACTCAAGCCAGCATGAAAAAGCAGCCGAGAGCTACCATTACTGCGGACGTCAAACCTATCCGCGAGTTCCTAGCCGCTCCAGACGTTGCGGGACTCTTGTCGCTGACATGATCGGTTTTGACACGAAGGCATACAGGCACATTCTGAGTGCCGGCGAAAATGACGACGTGCAGACGTTCGACCTCGCGTTGATAGTAGGTATCGTTTCCTGCAGCGTATATGGGTGATGACCAATAAGAGAAGTCGAGCGGAGACATCTGGCTAGATGAATTCTGAGAGGATACTTGACTGAGAATGGCTGTTGTAACACGGTTAACGATGAGGTAGGTCAGTCCTGCCAACGAGCAAACTCACGAGCACTTCCGATACCGCCAGTATCCAGCTTGGACATACAGCTCTGCGGTAAAGATCCCGTGCATGCGCTATTCAGCTCATAGCTCATACTCATGAGATCGTTGACACAATCTTTGCCAAGTGCGCCGGAACAGTCTCCGTTATTCTCTTCTTTGTAGTCGTTGTTGACCGATGCTGACAGCAATCCGAGAGGAAGCGACACACAAAGTCGAGGTGACTGGTTGCTGGCTACCGATTCTGCCTCGCCGACAATATCACCTAGACCTGAGCCACCTGACCATTCGATTGCGTAGAAAGAAGCTGCAACCCGTGGATCCACTATCACCGTGCTGACTTCTGGTGTAAATTCTGCGACATTGACGCTGAAAGTGAAATTTTGGTCGCCTATACGGAAAGGGACAACTTTGGTAGTGTTGGGATTTATGTTGGCATTGACGAAAGCAGTATCATTCGTACTACCAAATGCCGTCCCAGCATTGGGGTAAGCGATCGCTAAAGCTGAAACGGAGCAGAGGAGAATTGTAAGTTTGATCATTTTCACAGCTGGCGAGTCTTGTTGATTGTTGTTGACCAAAATCGAACCAAAAGTGGCAGGGCTTGTTATTATATATTCGACTTACCAGGACTCCAGGCATCCAGTGACGTGTCAATTTCGGAAATGGTAGCAGGTCGATCAATCCAAATGCCTCATGCTCACAGTCATGCGCCTTTGAGTAACATTGGCGATTATCAAAGGAGGTGAGAGCTTGAACCCAAACTTGAGATACCCTCGCGGCGGGGTTCGTCAGTCCAAATCCTTCGATCAACAGCATGTCACAAGATGCCACAGAAATCGTTTAGGCGATGGTCGCTAAGCACGCCGTATCGGTCCACTACGTCAATGACACGCTTAATACGGGCGTAAAACATCGAGATACTCGAGTAGAAAAACGGTGGAGGAGGATGCGACGGTGCCAAGCTGCCAAGATCTGGCGTAGCCAATCCCAACCTAGGTCCGCTAGGAGTGCTTATCAAAACGCGAAAAGCTTCAAAGCGTAAAGTCTAGCTGGTATAGGAAGACGACTAGTTCGATCGCATCCATGCGAGCGTCTACAACGGTCTTGTCGACCAAACATGAACAACATCCCTTTGGCCGACACTTGTTTGCGGTGCAAAAGTTCTAACGCACGCAAGCTTCGCGGTGACGCCCCGCCCCATGAATCATCTATCATTGACTGGCAAGGTCATTCCATCGGCGACATGTCGTGTTCCAGGGTCAAATTCCGACGAAATTCAACCAAGGATTGTTGTTGTTGAGTCACAATCCATAGGCCCCATCCTGATATCCTAATCCGGATCTCAAATGCACGCCCGAAAAGCCGACAGGATGTTGAAAGTTTCCTGGAGGGAATGTGCTGTAGCTCAAACACCTAGGGATCCGAACTCCTGATAGTGGTTTTTACAATCAGCCTCTGGCAAGGAAGAGATTTGACTTTCTGAACCGACCCAATGTTCAAGACAAACGAGGATCGCGATCTTCCTCGAATCGCTTGTTCACATGTCGAAGCTAGTTCGCCCGACCAACAGCGGACCAGGCAAGGTAGATGACTTCCAAACTTTCAGAGGCCATCGGTAGCCATGACCATGTCAGAGATGGCTAGAGAAAGAAATCCTTCCAAAGCCTCTAGTACCCTGTCAAGTCACGGAGCTCGATTGAATGCTGGTCTCTAACCGCATGTGTCTGAGGGGACGACTCTGAGTTTGTCACTCCAACCGTCTCGCTAAAGCCAGTGGTAGTTACTGTAAAGCCAGTGGTAAGTACTGCCTCATCTCGTTAGAATGTCCTGAGATCGCCGAGGCGAGCTGCAATATCTTACATCACAGGTTCACGTTGTCGTGTCATCTGTCTGAGATTAGGCGAAAAGGAGCGTAGCTATGAGGCGAAGGATCATATTCGGTTGCATCATATGTTGTCCTTGAGTAGCCGATCGTGGATATAGGTGGGGTGATACAAGAGGCTAACGTATAAGTATGGATGCGATTGCCAGCTTGAGGAAGAAATCAACCTCTCACTTGTCTTTCTATCTATCCCTGTCTACCTATTCATCTGCACCACTCTTCACTGCCTACCCTTCAATCAAACAGTCCCCATCGATATGCCCCATCCAAAGTTCCTCGCGCTATTCGCTGCCATCCTCGGCGCCCAGGCCACTACAGCTACTCCCGTCAACATCGATGTTTTCGAACTCGCGGAGACTAGCATTGGTACCAAAGCTCAATTCGAAGCTGGGTCTGTGTCATGGTTCTGGAGTAGTTCTCAAGGCGTACCCCTGGACACGGTCCAGCAGAAGCGCCAGTCTGGCCAGTATATCACCAATACCCACCTTGTTGGTGATGGCAATCCCCATCAGAATCGCAAAGTTCAGCAGGTCACACAAAAGTCTATCTGTCCGGGCGAGGAGTGCTCGGCCTCCAAGACCGATAGCACCACAGTTGGCTACTCTGTAAACATCGGAGGCTCATACAGTTGGATCAACGGTGGGTTCTCCGTGTCCGAGTCTAAGACTGATGGCGAGACACACGCTTGCCCCAACTCCGGGCACGATACAGTATGTGTCTGGAGAAGCTATGAAGTCACGGCGTACACGGTCGCCGACACCACATGCTACTACTTCAATGGTGCATCCAGCATGTGTTCAGGTGACAGCAATCAAAGAGTCATCTACTCCCCAAACGACTGCCAGAATGATAGCCCATATTTGTGCAAGTATGATGGGGACTGTCAATCCAAAGAGGACAGCTATCTGATCACCGACGGGCCAGCTGGCGGTCCCCCCTGTTAGGATCTTCGCGATATGTAGCTTGAGGGATAGTGAAGTTGGTCCAGCTGTCTGTCTACGTAACCGATTTCTGCTATCTGGGGTCGGAGCACAGCAGAAAAAACGAGGAGGAGCTATTGATGTTTTTGCTATGTTATTGCACAAGATCTGTCTCTATCTCTCCGGTTGTCATTTTATTCTTGCACTCTCATATACTTCCAAACTTACTCTCTTTTGGAATCATCTTTGTGAGAGAGCTTAAGCTGACACCAGGACAAAAAATGACGCCGTCAATTTATTGCATCAGGAACATTTGTGGCTAGCCGCTAAATTATGTCTACATCCTGAGAGATGCGTCCCAATCACCTTCTGGTGTCTCCTTCCACTGCTTGCTGTCAGGATCAAGTACTCCTGTGCTGTCTCCCATGCTTCCTCGACGAAATGGGCTCTATCCTTGTCACGAGGCAGGATATTTGCCTGAAACGTTTCAGGTCGGGCAGCAATACCGCCGACGTCTAGGTTATCAGCATTCGGCAATACATCTTGGCCATATACGTCCTGCTTCGATGATATCGAGAATGACCATAAGATTCCAGTGGTGGCTAGAAACAAGCTCCTTTCTGCAACGTGCATACCGGGGCAGATACGTCTACCAGCTCCGAAAGCAACAGTTTCTCTCTTGCTCAGATCCATCTCTATGACCGAGCCATCATCGCCCGAAACAAGCTCCTTTCTGCAACGTGCATACCGGGGCAGATACGTCTACCAGCTCCGAAAGCAACAGTTTCTCTCTTGCTCAGATCCATCTCTATGACCGAGCCATCATCGCCGAGTTCAGACCAGCGATCGGGGTTGAAGCGACGAGGCTCAGCGTAGCTTCCTTCATCTGTCATGATGGCCCAAGCATTCAAGATGATGGGTGCTCCTTTAGGGATTTTGTAACCCATGTACTCATCATCTTGAGTGCAGGCGTGAGGTACAGCACCTAGAGGCCCGACAGAAAACCAGCGTATGGGTTCTTTCACGCATCTCCTGACGTAGGGCAGATCAGGTGCATCAGCCATGACTGGCAGGCGATCTGGCCCGATGACACGATCAATCTCTTCTTGTGCCTTTGCTTACACATCAGGGTAGAGGACCATGGCTTGAACAAAGACGTACAATGTAGAGGAAGTCGTCTCCATGCCACCTTCGAATATGTTGCCGACAGTGTACGCAGCTTCCGTGTCGGTGATTCCGTCCTCCCCCTGCGCTCTTGCCATCCCGACACTAAGACAAGGGCCGATATCCCCGCTATCCATGTTCTTCTTCACGGCGTGCCAATTTTCCATGTGCACTTTATGCCCAATTTGCAGGGCACGATGGACACGTTTTTTGATCGGGAGAATAGCCTCAGGCAACATTCCAATCGCTGGAAAGGCGTCCAGCAATGCAGCAGCTCCCGTGCCAAGAGCACTTTGCAGAGCACCGAGTTCCTGATCAAGTTTGTGAATCCTTTCATCTTTGTTCGAAGAAGCTCGCCAGCCGAATAGGAGCGTAGCTGCCAAAGAAGTTGTGTAGCGCTGCAGACTCAGGAAAAAGTCGTCAGGACTCGTAAGCATCTCATTCAACATCTGCTTGCGTTCTAGCTCTTGATAAGGATCGTAGTTCTTTACTGCTTTGATGCTCAAAAGAGAGTGAGTAACTTTTCGAAGCTTGCGCCATAAAGGCGTGTAAGGCTTGGCTGGCCCAGTATGTGAGTATCTTCGTGACAGCGATATAACGTACCATGAACACAAGTCGAAGTTTGCTGATAGCGATGTGGTTTGAGGCATATGCTGAAGGTCGATCTGAGTAGATGGCACTACGCTTGTCCAGAAGATCTCTGACAACCTCGGCACTGGACAAAACGATGATCGGTCGACTGCCAACCATGATGGAATAGGTGGGTCCATATTGCTTAGCCCACTTGGTGAATTGGAGATATTCGTTCTTGCTCGGAATCTGATTCCAGGTCAGTATTGTACATCGATACATAGACTAGCATTTACTTGATGTAGATTGCCTATAATCGGCAGGGTTGGGGGACCTGGTGGATAGCTCTTAGGTCTAAGACCCAGTCCTAGAAAATAGCAAAGTCCGGTACCAGCTACTGTGGTAAGAAGAACACAAATAGCAGTAGAAAAGGACAGCATATTGAGTAGAGATTCATGTGTTGTCCCCGAGAAATTTGCGTGAGGTGACCTGACTTTATAACAGGTGATATGACTATGCAGTCCCCTTATGCACGCCTCTTCTTTATCACCATACCCTGCAGTCCATGCCAACAATGTGCAGCGAGCCATAATCCGCTGGCGAGGACGGCGATTCGTTGAAATATGTACTATATGCAGACTGCGTTTCAGATATGTAGCATCGTCCACTCAGCTGCAGTCCGTAAGTCGTCTCCATCTGCAAGTAACCCACATCGGTAGTCATTCATTTAATGTTGCGATATGGCTTTGATATCTTCTCGATGATCAAAAACTGCCATGCATATGCCTGTCGTATCACACAGTGCTTTCGCCCACCAGAGTAGTGCGTGCTGGAATGCGCCCTCTCAAGGGCAACAAGCACCAACTCGTGGGAGCGACACCACAGGACTATGCGAGGATCCATTCTCGATCGTCGGTCTGAGAAAGCTACGATGAACGTTGTGCGAGAGCAAGAGCGGAGCTGTGACTGACAGGGTCTCGATCACTGTGAAACTCTGACCACGGAATGACCTCTGCTGAGGCTGGAGTAAGTATTGGTGCAGAAGGAGCGCTTTGGTGACGATGCCGGAGATTGACCCCGCTTTGGGCAAGATTAGCCGCCTCTACGTTAAGTTCTGTTGCTCCTACTCTTTTCCAAAGCAATAGACATGAGACAGAACGAGCTGTAGAAAGACACAATTATCTCCGAGGTCTTGGAACACTTTGTGGAGACTTGGCATACCATGTCAGCCACATGGAAACGACTATAAATACGCAAGACTTAGAGTGTTATGGCTGCCACTAAGGTGACGTGGATCATGACACCAAAGGCACATGTTTTCTTTCTAGCATAAGAAACTCGTGACAGCACATTGAAATTACTAAAGACAGACACCACTCGTGTCCAAAAGCTCCAAGAATCAAGAATCGGCAAGACACAAGCAATGGAAACAGGAAAAGGTAGTGTGAGACAGGGTGCCCCGGACGATCAGACGAACATCCATCTTTGTAACGATCAGCAGCCCGCGGCAGACGCAAAATGTCATTATGGTTGTTCCCATATAGTAATCTCTCTTCAATAGCAACCTGAGAGATACCTTCCATCGTAAGACATCATAAGCAGACTAGCTCTTCACTTAGTCTCAGGCTGCTTCTTAGCACCCGTAGTGTCACCAATGGCTCCACCTGCTCCCTTCGCGGTGTTCTCCAATCCACTGGAAGCATCACTCAAAGTCTTGCCAACACCACGTCCGACATTGCCAACGACTCCACCGACAGTGTTTACAGTGCCTTGAAGAGCATTCGTTAGGCTGATTCGAAGCAGAAAGAGAGGTGAAACGGCATACCTGATGCTACACCTCCAACACCAGAGGCAAGTCCACCAGCTGCATTGCTGAGACCACCAAAGAAGCCACCGGCTTGCTTGGGCTGCTGTGCAGAGTTGTTGTTGTTGTCCGACATTTTTGTGTCGAAGGCTTGTGAATTTAGGGTTTGGGATTTGAGTTTGGTATGTTCTTTCTCGACTGGTTGATTGTTATAAGTGCGTTCAGCGTTCTTTTGTTCAGGATAGTCTCGAGGTGGAATAAAGATGGGAGGCCAGAAGGTGGGAAGGTGGTTTTGTAGGTCGAGGTCAAAGGGTTGTGAACACATAAAGGTGGGTACGCCGTACACGAAGTAAGCAATGACGTACTGTTTTCTGCGTAGATGTTTGCCAGCCGCGGGGTCATTTTGGCCAGACGCGCATTGCACGGTTCGTGAACAAGGATGTCTGGACATGATTGGCATGCTCATCGTGCAGAAGCGGCACAGATGTTCATGGAAAGGGCAGATCCGGAGGCTGTGATACCGAATAGACTGTACCTACCCCGACCTCCTCTGCTCAACGGCGTTGTCAAAAGTCACTTTTCGCTTGTACAATCTTGTTCAGGAGCCAGCATCATAGAGATTAATTAATTTGAATTCGTTCATTTCGTAGGAGAAGCGCATCAGGGATATAGACTACATGACTCTCTCAGAATCTAGGCGAAGATGGGGATGTTGAGACCGTAGTTGACAGGGTCGTTGAAACGAAGACCTCTGTCCAGATCACTGATAGCCTTGATGTCATCCTCGGCGAGGTCGAAGCTGCAGACGTCAAGGTTGGAGGCGAGTCTCTCCTTGTTGTTGCTCTTGGGGATGACTGCAACCCCGCGTTGGGTGGCCCATCTAAGCAGCACCTGGCCAGGAGACTTTTGGTGTTTGTCGGCGATCTTCTTGACAATCTCGCTATCAAAGAGAAGGGGAGTGTCATGTGCTCTCTGCATCTTCAGCTCAACAAACGAAGCGGGACCAAAGGATGAGTAGGCGGTGACTTGGATGTTGTTCTCCTTGCACAGCTTGACGAGACCCTCTTGGGTGAGGTAGGGGTGGTGCTCAATCTGGAGAGTAGCAGGGGTGATCTTGGCGTAACGGAGGAGGTCAAGCATGAGAGCCCCGTTGTAGTTGGAGACACCAATGCTCTTGGCCAGACCCTCGTCGACCAACTCCTCCATGGCCTTGTATGTCTCGGAGAGGGGGGTCTTGGAAAATGTGATCTTGTCGTTTTCATCGGTCCAGCTGGGAGGGTAGCGAACGCTAGGGTCGACGTACTTCAGAGCTACAGGGAAATGTATGATGTAAAGGTCGAAGTAGTCGATGCCCAAGTCTGCGAGCTGCTTCTTGGCGATAGGCTTGACCTGGTCGGCGTCGTGGAAGGAGTTCCAGAGCTTGGAGACAAGGAAGAGTTCTTCACGCTTGACAAGACCGTCCTTGATGGCACGAGCAACACCTTGGCCGACTTCCTTCTCGTTGCCGTAATCGCAGGCACCGTCGAAAAGTCTGTATCCAACCTTGATGGCGTTGTAGACGGTGTCGGCGCAAGTGTCGTTGTCGACTTTCCAGAGACCGAAGCCAACGAGAGGCATCTAGAAAGCGAGTCAGTACCGAGTGAAAAACCTGTGTTTCCTATCAGACAAAGTCTTACCTCGTGGCCGCTGTTCAGCTTGACTGTGGGAGCGGAAGGCATCTTGGATGAGTAGTGGCGGTTCGAAAGGAATTCAATTCTTGTACAGCAGGCGAGGCTAGGTTTTGCGATGGCAGAGTAACGCAAGGCAGTTCTAGTTGCAAGCAAAGGAACAGATCTGTTGGAGGGGAGAGAAGTGGAATCAGCGATCCGAGGAGGGCAGGCTTCAGCTCTTAAATATGCCGGCTGCAAGAAGGCATCTCTTCCACTTACCGTGCAAAAGGCTTGAGCACGTTCATCATGCTGTTTCGTGGCAGCCAACGGCGGCAGCGTACAGAGTAACTTTTAGTGTGGTGGACAAAGCGGTGCCTCGACTTTAGGCGGGAGAGGCGAAGATGGAGCAGAGGTCACTGTCAGCCTTTGGAGAAGAGAGAGAAACAGAGACGAGCTTCGTAAAAGATTCCATGCACCTTGGTGGCACCTGCCTGCACTTTTGTGCCACAATAAATTGCCATGATCCAATCCCGAATCCCCTTCTGCCCGTCTGCTCCTTGGGAAGGACTGCTGATACATTCTTCCGCGAGATTGAGCAGACTCTACCCGGCCAGGCTGGCGCAGACTTGTTAAAAGTGCATGCGGCTCATTGAGGGGCACTACGCAACCGGGAAGAGAAAGTGGGGTGTCTCTTTTAGCCAAAATTCGGCCCGCATCCATCATCCCCACGGGCCTGCCGGCACAATCGTGCTGCGATAAGCTGTCACCCGGCTTGGGATAAAACTATGGATAAATCAGGGGTATCCGCCAATCGACCGAAAATTGTACCGCGGTCAAGCTGTCTTGAGCATGTGCCTGTGAAGTTTTCATCATGCTCAAGTCTTTGGTTGTCCACTCAGCATGCTCAGAACACAAGAGATCTTGCGATCAAAGTCGTCGAAAGCTCTAGAGTAGAAGCAAAGAGGGGAGAGTATCCACGACAAGAATCTGGTATTCTGTGATATCGAAAAGGAAACAAAGCAACCTGGGCGCAAAGAAATCTGGTGTGAAAACAACTTTTCTTCTTTTCCGTCCCAGCACAAAATGAAGAATGAAACTGGACGCCGACCATATGGGGGAGATACAAGAAAAGGGGTGCGTGTACAAAAGAGGACGAGATCGGTATCGCTGAAGCACGAGACTGAGAAGAGGTGTATGGATCTACGAGGAGAACTTTTTGGTGATCTTGGCCAGAACTGCAAGATGTGCGTTAGTGTTGTTCTTTCAGCTGTGTCGTGCAGGTAAGATGTCATACTGTGTAGTGCGACAACTGAGATGATGAAGCCGACGGAGAGGACGAGGACAACAAAGGGATCGACCTTGAGGCCAGGCGACTCATCGGTGTAGAGTCTCAGCATGGTGCTGCTGCTACCACCAGCACCGGCGGCGCGAGTGCTGCTGGGTCTGACATTGGCGGCGCGGTCGGCACGGTCAGCGGCAGCCTTTCTGCGAATGGCGGTTGCGGGACCGCCAGGGGCTCTGGGAGAAGCTGCGCGAGCAGTAGTCGAACCGGTCGAAGCAGCGGCGTTGACGGGCGAAGCAGGGCGAGGAGAGGACTGTCGAGCACATTTACGTTAGGACATGGTGTGCATAGCAGAGTCGTGTGATGGTCTAGGAGCAGTGTCGGTCATTGCCTGCGCATTGCTAACGCTCGCTCCCATCGGGGACGCGTTCAAGACCCCGGACCGTACAGAACGACGAGCCCAGGCGCGACGGATTGCTACGAATGTCCAGAGCCGTAGATGTGGGTGTGGACGTTTAAGGAGAGGTTCATACCATAATGGCGACGTGTGACGACGGATGAAGGACAGGTGTAAGGTCGCGAAGATGATTCTAGTGCCTTCGAGTTCTACAGATCGTGAATTTCCAGTTACGACGGCGGTTGGAGTGCGAAGAAGATGTGGTTGTGCTGTCGAAAGCTACCTGAACCCTCTCCATCTCAGTTGACACCAGCTGTTCGTCCCACGCCAGGGCTGCGCACGGCTCCAATCTCAAGCCTTGGCGGAAGCTCCTTCCTTTCTCCGTTGCGTTTTGTCCACCACCAACCATTTGGACACTATTGCGCTCCGGGGAACAGCAAGCCCTCCACAGTTCACAGACAACGATCGGCCTGACCATCAGGACCCAACAAAACATGCTTTTTGATACATTTCGAGAAGACGAAGATTTCTGCCTGCGCTGTTCTATGCGCCCTTTCAAGTTATCCATGACATACGACCAATCCCGTTGTAGCGAATGAAGACTCCAACCCGATCCCCCAGCCCACCTAAAACCTAAGGAAAAAAGACAATTGACAAACATGTCGACATAGACCCTCTGACCTCCCAGCACATTGCCTCTAGCAATGGCAGCCCACGTCCGACATGACAAACGAGAAAGAAACTCCAAACACAAAATAGCCAAACAGAGACCTTTCCTACACAGTGAATGGCCTTCACTGAAAGGATAGAGTCCTTTGTCCCAGTATCCTGATTCGATGAAAAGGACCGAATCCCATAACGTGATGCACGAACGGGGGTATAAGCTGTTTCCGATGAACCCACAAAGACACCCTCTTGCCCAGTTCTTGATGGTTAGTTGCCGTACGTGAAAAAATGTGACCCATGCAAATTGAGAGATGACGAAAAACAAAAGACGAAACAAACTCCAAGATACCTCGTCCGAGGGGAGGAAGTTTGTGATGCATGGAATGATCATGATCTAGCCCCAGACAGGAGCCTGAACCCCAAGGCTGTTCTTAGCAGAGCCCCAAACTCCGCTGTTGGAACCCCAAGAACCAAGGCTGACACCCTTGTCGGCTACGGAGCCATTGGGACCAGCAGATGTTGAACGCTCGTTTCTGGCCTGCTCGTTGGCATTGTAGCCGAAGCTGAGGGGCGAGGGAAGGGGCGTAGTCGAACGCTTGTTCAGACCAGTGGCCTGTGCAGCATTGGGTGCAGGACGGGTACCGATAGGAGCAGCTGCGGCGCCTTTGTGACCTTGGCCAAGAGGGGGAGAGCCGCTGGGCGAAGAAACCGAAGTACGACTAGACTGTTGAGTCTCACCCATCAGACTGCCGAAGGTGGTAGGGTTCGACTGAGGAGATGAAGCGCTGTTTGGCGACTTGGGGAGCATTACGCCATCGCGAGGGGGCATCTGGACAGCAGGCTCACCGTGGAAAGGGTCGAAAGCCAATGGCGACGCACCGCCCCTGGAAGCGCCGGAGATAGAAGCTCTGGCATCACCGGAGATGGAACCCCTGACGTCCTGCGAGGCACGGCGGGCAGCAACAGCGGCGGCAGCAGCGGCCTCCGGGTTGGGATACAGGGCAGATTCGTTGCCGTAGAGGGCGCGGTGCTGGCGGGCAATGAGATCGCGGCGTTCGTCTTCACTCATGGTTGTAGCAGCAGCAGGGCTCAGAGCGCGGTCGGGCTTGGGGCCTTGGGCGGAAGTGTCTGTAGGCGGGAATCAACTTGCCATTCTAATTGTCTAAGGCTGCTCTGCGATGCTCTTACTCCTGTTGTATTGCTGCTCCTGGTGATAGTTGCGAAGCTCCCTCTCTCTTTGCGCAGCCATCCTTCGCTTGGCCTGCATCATCTGCTCTGCCTCATTCTGACGTGGTGCAAAGCGCTGCGACGCATAGTAGCCTTGGAGGCCTGCTGCCGAGTTCGATCGCATACCGTCGTATTCACTGACCGAGGGGTGGCGGGCCTGTCCAGGTCCGCTGGCGCGACCGTCGGCGGGGGAGTTGGACTTGGATCCGGCTGCACCTGACTGTGAGCACAGTGCACACTTGAGAAAACCCAGGATACTCACAATATTCAGCGTTGAAGCCACGGCCCATCATGACCGGGGGCATCGACTCGCGACGGCTGTTGTATTGGGGTGTTCCACCAGCCATCCACTTGCCGCTCTTGGCAAGGTTGTCGGTGGCACGCTCAATCTCTGCAACATTCCGTCAGCCTTTGTCCCGAATCTTGCTCTTCCAGCGACCCCAGCAGAGCCCACTCCTGTTCAATCCGTCTCTTGTTCCGGATAATTGGCCCTGCATTGGATCACTGTCCTGGTTCTACGCACCTTCGAATTGGGAGCTGAATGCGGTCGACTCATCTCTCGATGCGGAAGCGGTTCCTGCGATTGGATGTCTTAGATTGATTGTTCCCAGTTGACGAGTAGTTGCGACTACTAACCGGATCTCGAAGGAGGGGCAGGCTGTTCCCACGAGGGCTGGCGACCAGGTGCGGGCCATGCACCAGTGGCAGCAGCTGCTTGGTTCTGCTCGTAGAAGGCGGACATGGCGACTATGACAATCTATGTGTCGGTTGAGGCTGACTATGTACAGAAACCCGGGTAGTCGTTCGAGTGATTGCCGTTCGTAAAGACTCGAGTCGTGAGAAAACGAAATTCGAAGGGGCAGAAAATGCGGACTGTTGAACGGCTACCGTTAGTCTGGTCAAGGGCCCAAGGAATGAGAAAGGAGTGGCAGGAGGGCAATTGAAAGCAGGCAACGACGAGGGCAGCAGTGAAGGACAGTGAGATGGACACCGACGGACCGGACGAAGTCGCAACAGCAGCAGTAGCAAACAGTAGGGACAACTATGGCGGAAGATTGAAAGCAAAGCCGCTGGTCTGCACAACGGTCCAACTTGGGTCGACATGCTAAAAAAGTCAAAGCCCGCGTGCACCGCTTCTAGCCCGAGCGTCGCCCTCTTTCATTGAAACCCTAAACAATTTTTTCTCCTCTTTGACCAAAGGGAAACATGGGAAACGAGCAGACAGGAAACATGCAAGAAACTGTCGAGTACTCACCAGACTATGCGCGAAAGGAACGACTGGATGGGCCGTCGAGTCTTGTCCTCGAGGGGTGATTATGGCTAAAGGAAAGGGAGAAGGAGAAGGGAGACGTGGTCAAGGCCAGGAAGAGTGTGGGATTCAATCAAAAGAGGATCATCAGAGCCTTTGGTGGGCGTGGGCTGGCGTGCGGCGGTGCGCTCGAGGGAGAAGACGGACGGCTGGAACCGAAAGCCGAAATGAGAAGTTCCTCTGTCAAGGAAGGCAGCTCCATGAATTTACGGTGCGGTTGCTGATTTGCCGGCTCCTTTTCTCCCATCCTCGACCCTTGGCCGCGTCTTCCCAACAAGATGCTGTCGTGTTGATATCGATTGCTCTCATTCTGTTACGAAAGCTTCTTGACCTGCAGCCTTCCCCTGTCTGGTCCACTGTGATTACTGTCCATCTTTCGAATGCTTTGCCTACCCCGATTGAGCCCTTGTAGAGGCATCTCTCGCGCCGAGGTTGTCAGACCAAGACAGGAAACAATTGAACCGAGCCATGCATCATGCACGCCTTCTGCACCCATCCAGCGCGCGACTTTTATCTGTGGTGGCTACTGAGATGCATGATGATGCTTGACCACCCTCACGACCCTCGAATGTCACCCTGATAGTGACTCAAGATATGGTGATCAAATTGTGACGGGCTTCGCAGTCAGGAGGCGCTTTGTCCGTCTCTTGCCCCACAATGTTAGCGGAAGCTCTCGCTAACCAGCTCCGAATTGTCTTTGTCTGTGAGCATGAAATCCATCTCGATATATTGATCGCTTGAGGCTCGAAACCCTGGCAAGCTTGATGGACCAGAGAATTCCAGACCACCGGCATGTGCATGTGCACAAACACGATAATTACGCGATGCAACACGAGACGGCAAGCACTCGCGTGGTTAGAGCCGATCTCATATTCGATAGCGAAGCGCCCACCACCAAGGTCGTCCAGAGCTCACCTTTTCACCCCATCGAGCATGTAGCGCTACTACGCGGTCAACCCCGCTCTTTGCCGCAAGTCAACAAACTGGCGGCCAGCACGGCACGCAATCTCTGTTCTTGCCCCACATCTCATGTCGAATACGGTGCTCGGTCAAATTATAGTAATCTCTGGTGAGCTTCAGGGAACTATGGCCGGTCAGAAGTGGCACCGCCGTGTTTGTATATCCAGTGTCGTCGTCGCGTGTGAATATTCAGGTGGCGAGACAACGCGCAGACAAGTATGAGGAAAGTAAATATCTCGAAGCGCCAAAGAGACTGCTGGTAAAGAGTCGCAAACATCGTGCGTGCTGGATGTCAGGGTCTGCAGAAGGGCAAGAGGTACTCTCCGGACAGCCATGTCTCAAGCCTCGACGGAGTAGAGAGCGTCCGTCGGTGGACTTGAGTGGTTGGACTGGACGAGCAGAGCTGAGATGATCGACTAGACGCAGGACAAGTACAGGTTGTAGAGCAGAGCGCCTTCGAGGGGGAGATAGCGGTACAACGAAGATAGTCTGATTGGGGAATGAACGTGGGAGGTCGTTTATGGCTGGTATTGAATAACTTGTCTGTGTATTGGACGTGCAGGATTGTAGGGCAGAGGTGATGAGATGATGATGGTCCAGAAGAGTGGTATACCAGACCAAGCAGGGACTTGGCATGGATCTGGATGGAAGTGGTAAGTTCCGCGGGTCGCTGAAGCTTGACCAAAAAATCGTTTCATCAGACAGCCGTCGCCGCCGTGAGCGCGACCAGTCAATCAACACAACCGCTCTTCCACCCGACACATCACAAGCACCAACATGGGCATCTGGGACTCTTTCACTGGTCGCAAGACACCGGAGCAGGCGGCACAGGATGCGCCCATGCAAGACATGGCCGTGACGACATCGTCGCAGCCGCAATTCGAGGCCCAGGACGTCAACTCTTTCTTCAACACACCCGGCGCCTTCGACCCCGCCTCGCTACATCCCCTCGCCGGCCTCAACCAGGACACGCTCGACTATCTCTCGCTCGACGACCAAGCACTGTCCGAGCTGCCCGGCAACCGTAGTGCTCTCCCGTCGCGCGGCTGGTCCGACGACCTCTGTTACGGCACCGGCGTCACCTACCTTGCTGGTCTGACGGTCGGTGGCGCCTGGGGCCTTGCAGAAGGTCTGAACAGACTGCCAGCGTCGTCGCCGCCAAAGCTCCGTCTCAACTCGGCCTTGAATGCCATCACCCGCCGGGGTCCCTTCTTGGCCAACTCTGCCGGTGTCATCGCCATGGTCTACAACGGCTTCAACTCCTTCATCGGCCACTACCGCGGTCAACACGACGCCGCCAACAGCATCGCCGCCGGTGCCTTGAGTGGCATGCTGTTCAAGAGCACAAAGGGCATCAGGCCCATGATGATCTCTGGTGGCCTTGTCGCTGGTACCGCCGGTGCCTGGACTGTATGCCAAACACCATCCCGCACACCCTCTGCCACTTTTACTGACCTCGTCTAGTTTGTCCGTCAAATGATCTGATCAACTGTTTGTCTACATCTCGTCTCATAATTTCGCCGCCTCCCCTAGCCGAACACCTCCACAACTCGGCCTATCCTTTACACCGGCAGTCATGACATCTCTCATGACCTTTACTCCCTTCTTAGACCCGACCTCCCCCTCACATGTGTACAGTAGAAGTAAAAATCAGCGCGGGTTGGGCATTGCAAGGCGTCACGGATCATTCTCTATCACTTCATGTTTAAAGCGCCTTCTCGAATATAAGGTCTATCCTTCCGATCTCGCCTCTCCAGTCTGCCATGGTGGGTGTCTGCGTCTTTCCGTCTATTTCCAGTCTTGTAAAAATGATACCTTTTCAAAGTACCCTCTGAACATGATATCACGAAATAATGGCTGCTTCCATGCGGCTCCACATCATCTTACTTTGATCCGTGTACATCTTCATATCTTGACTACTTTGATCACTTCACTCCCGATTTCAGATCGCACGTCAATCTATCCACGTATGGTCGTTTCTCGGAATTAGAAGCTTCTGCACACATGCGGCATGCCCACCTACACTCGGATTCTACAATCTTTGATCCACGACTCGCCCGCGCTTTCGACCACATTATCATCAAGACGCGTTCTTTGACGCTGCGCTGCTTTTCATCAATCACCTCTTCAGAGCACCACCAAGATCTCAGGCGCTGCTTTGCGTCAACCTCCTCCAGAGTACCACCCAGATCTCAGGCGCAACTTCGTCAACCCTCGTCTCCTTCCTCTGACCATTTGCTGACGCAATACTGCGCCTTCTGCAAGATCGGGTCGTTCTGTGTCGAGCAAGATGAGCGACTTACCACGCGTGCAGCCAATGCCGCAGGTTGCTGCTGGTTCTTCTATGTCCAATCTCAACGCCGATCCCAACTTGTCAGCACCATCGGCCTTCGCTACTCCATCCGGACGCACTAAAGACTCACAGCGACCAACTGATTCTTCAATTGCTTTCAACGACCCTTTCACTGGTGTACCAAGCGCGCCCACCGACGTATCTCGACTATTCATACTGTGCCAATGCTCTCCTGAAGTTTGCACCTACTCAATTCCCGGTTCCCTGTTCTTTTTGTACTTCTACGCGGCTCCCTGGCGGGAGGAGAGCCGTAAATTCCGAAAGCAGATTCCCCCAGGTGCGCGCCGATATGCGCTTGATTGCGAGAGACGTTCCAGGATCCCAACATACACAAGGCTCTACACAGAGTGGCTTTTCAGTGGTGGTGCGCCGTCTTCACTTGCAAAATTGCATCGCAATGCCGATGGCTCGACTAGCGTTTCCTTCTCAAAGAGAGTGCGAGCTTGCCTTTACACGATCAGACTCTACCAGAGGCGTGGATATACCATTCATCGGTACTACCCACAAGTCGTCAAGATCTTTGAGCAACAAGGCGAGGCCAATCTCGAAGTCGATCAGGAGTCCTGGCTAAACGTAATACTGCGCACTGAGCCTACCGAAATCCCAAACGACGTATGGGTACATGCTTACCCCACGCCTACTACACAAAGATCTGGTCCATCCCAAAGACAGCCAGCGTTGTCGATGCCCAGAGCTTCTGACACAACCATCCAGGCTGAGCCGTTCCGCGGTCTTGCATCTCTACGATTTAGACATCCCGACGATGTCCCTCAAGGATGGAGCCTTTGGACACCTATCACGGTGCCAGGGAATCAAAAGATTGCGCGCGAACGGGCCTACGAACATCAGCGACGCCAAAACCTCGAACATATTGATAGCAGGGCTGCTGCACCGACGCACGAGATAAACGCTTGTATGCAGGCCAGATTCAAGCATATTGGCGGTCAGCACTCCAGACTCCCAAGTCCTGATGCACTTGCTGGTGTCGAAGAAGAAGATGACACCATCGAGGAAGATGCGGAAGGGGTTGACATTGCTCAAGACCCACGCCGCCGACTTGTACAGGGGCTCTCTCATGCTCGCCGCACAAACGACACGTCTGACCCTCTCGACACCACAACCAAACGTGGCCGTGGTCGCCCCCGCAAATCAGGAACTCCAGCTCCCACCGCGACTATCAAACCAGCCACGATTCGCCTAAGAGGTCCTCGCCGACCATCGACTCCCGAGCAAGCCGCTGCGTCCGAAGAGGCGACAGGCGATCGTTTACCGCCTACTCCAGAGCAAGCTGCTGCTTTCGAAGAGGCAATGCGTAACCATTCACCTCCTGATCGCTACGTCCGGGATCTAGTCGATACAGGAGATACCCACCACCGAGTCAATGAATCCAACCACCGAAGCCTGAGATCAGATGTTACCTACCAGATCTTGGATACTCTTGCCCAGCGTACCAGGGAGGAACTCAGGGATGCCGGTAAAAGTGTTGATGGTGTGGGATCGTTCTTCGCTGCCTGCGAGTCTACTGGCTTCAATCCGAAAGACTGGGAGTGATGTTTTGATCAGTTCCTATTGCACCGTTAAGCATGGTCGACACCATTGAGAAGCAGAGCATGAGATGAGGCCCCGACGAATGGACCAAGTTAGGGATCGTGAGAATCACACGTCAAAGAGAGTGGACGATGTTCTCGGTCACTAGTACTCTCCTGTGATGCGTAATAAAGTTTCTTTGTGCCTTCCTAATCACTGCCACTGATATGTCCCAAGAAACTGAACCACGAAAGTGCAAATGTTGTGGGTATAAGGAAATTATAGGCGTTGTCAGATGCCAATCAGGGTCACCCAAAATACTTTGTTCTCGCGTACTACGTCTAATTCGGACTTGTTCACGTTCTGTGGAGTACTGGGGACGACAGCTGAGCCTTGGCCGTTCGGATACCGTTCTTGGTTCTTCTGCCAAGCGGGTTGCTAGGTAGAGGTCGGAACATTGGATAGACGTGGTAAAATTACCTCTCTCACTTGCAAGCGCGACTGGCATTATTTCTCCACCCAAGCAAACATACTGCATCCACTCGACGCGATGGACTCCGACTTATCGCCCTTTGAAGTGCTGATCAAGAGCGATCCAGTGCTTAGGAATATGTATCACAAGGTCGACAGCCACGCGCAATCAGCCGCGACAAAAACTTACATCAAGGTCGTCTTTGCCAAACTTGCCGCCACTCACCAAGTCGAGCTCAAACACGCGACCATCAAAGACTTGCTGGACGAATTAATTCGACTGAGGCTCGAAGATGTCAGCCATGAAGAGCCCATCGTTGATGCCGACGAAGAGATGACCGACATCGCATCTGCTCACGTCCCTAAGCCTGACGCACCCACTTCGAACAGCATCGAGCTCATTCAAGCTTGTATAGTCTTCCTCCAAACCATGGTCAAAGTCGATGACAAAGTGCCTGCAAACGCACTCGACATCCTTTACCGCTGCGTTGCCAGTGGCATACGCAAACCCGCCAGAGTGCGTAGCGTCGAAGAAGTTATTGTTGTATTCTATGCTGTCGCCTCGGACTCTTTCTATGCCGCAAAGACAGGTCCACACAGCACCGTCTTGAATCTGAACAACAGCACCAACATCCGTGTCGAAGTTGTCACATACCTCAACCTTCTCGGTGGACATACTGCACTTTCCGGAACCATCATCCGCACGAACGACGTCACACTCGATGACTTCCTCCTCGCCCTGCAAGCAGCACACTCGTGGTCCAGCTCTCGCTTTCCACAGCACATGGGTTGCCTCAACTAAACTGCTCCCGACTGGCAATGTCAAGTGGCTACTGGTCTTACTTCTCTTGCTCCTGATGATTGGCACGCTCTGACGCCCGAGGTTCTGACGCAGATCAAGGAGAACGCCCCTGGACTACGTGATCAGCAAGTCTACTTCGTCCATGTGAGTGTGACAGGCAGCAGCAAAGCGTTGCACTGGGTACACCGCAGCTCTTCTCGCCCAGACGTCCCATTTTGATATGAATAAAACTTGCTGACTTATGTCAGAGATACCTACAGAGTGTGCCTAGAGCCGTCGAAGCCAAGCTGCGCAGCCTCGAAGGCACTAATACCACTTGGGGTTAA